CCCCCCCTCCCCACTGCAAATCGACCTCAGCACCATGATCCAACAACAGCTTTACCATTTCAGTGCATCCCGTCCAACACGCAGCCTGTAACGCATTACCAAAGTACCCACATCGCCATTAACGTCAGCACCTTGAGCAAGCAGTATCTGCGCCACTTCAACCTGGCGCCGCCTGGCAGCGACCTGCAACGCATTTTCGAGCTGCCCAGCTTGCCTATTGACATCCGCTCCGCTCTGGATCAGCAACTCCACAATTTCCGCACACCCTCTCCTCGTCGCTATCTGCAGGGCATCAGCTTCGAAGCTGTTAGCAAGCACCATCTCGATAACTGCGGCATCATCTTGGAATTGTTCTCCGAAAACCTTCCCCAATGTCTCCCGTATATGCGGGTCGGTCTCCAGTCTCCCAATCACCTCAATGTCATTTTCCAGAAGCCCGAGGTAGGGAGTGCCATCAAGGAGCCGGTCGACAATGTCCAAGCGGGCTTTCCTTGAGATCAATAGCGGCGCCATCTTCAGATTGCGTCTCCATGCAGCCGCGCAGAGTGCATTCCCGCAGAGCCCTCCCTTTGCGTCGACGTCGGCACCACTGTCCAATAAGGACTCGACGACCACTATGTGTCCTCCTCGCACTGCTAAATGCAGCGCATTCCCGTACCTCCCGGCTGCCGCATTGACGTCGGCCCCGCGAGCGAGCAGGAATCCCACCATGGAGACATCTCCGTCCCACGCCACCGCTTACAGTGGGTTACCATGGCGCCCGTCCGGTGCGTCGATGGAAACTCCGCGTGCCAGCAGGGTTTCAACGACTTGCGTGTTGCCTGAGCGCACTGCAGTTTGTAGTGCACTGCCGTGGTAGCCACCGCTGGCATTGACATTGGCCCCGTTGGCTAATAACGCTTCGACAATGGGCATACGGCCCCCGAACCCTGCGGCCTGGAGTGCGCACCCGAAGTGTCCCCCGGTTTGGTTCACGTCAAATCCTTGCGCCAGAATTCGGTGGATGAACTCCGCATGGCCACGGCTGGATGCTGCCTGCTGATCTCTCGAGGGTCCGGTAGCCTCCTTTCGGGGTGAAAATAAGGAGTCTTGTATGGATCGACCACCACTGCACCTAATGCTTCTTGGACGGTCACGGGTCGCTCGGAAAAAGCCAGAAACTGTAGGATTTGAATGAACTTCTGCGTCGTCTGGCAGGGATGCTGACCAGAATTCGAGCGTAGTCTCGCCTAGAGAGTCGGGGGAGGAAACAAGGCATTCCTCGAGTTTTTCCAAGTCCAAACACTCTTCTAGGAACATCAAGCTGGCATGCAGCCCACCTAAACCTATTATACGAATGTTGTTAGCAAATTGGTCAGCTGAAAATGTTGCTGTTCTTGGCAATTGGAAACCGGCCATTTGTCCCCCCAGACAAGAGGGCGGAAGAATCAGCAGGTCCAGGAACCAGTCCCACATTCCGTTTGCTTTACTCACAAGGGCTTGCTCAATAATTTCAAGCACGGGTTGCTTGCTCCTTCAACTTCGAAAATTATTCTCTGCACGGGGTGTAACGCGGATGAGTGAGTGGATATCGAACTCTACAGGAGGCCCTGCAATAGGAACAAAGGCGCCATCGCGCAGCCAACTTTCAAGACCTGATTATATTGCTCTTAACGGCTAGTCGCAATCAGAAAGACATTGGCATGCTCGGGGCTCGATATGGATTTCAGCCAGTCGACTAGATCTTTCTTGGTATCGCATTCATCGAGGGCGTCTATCACGATTTGGACCCTTTCCAAATGGCTCACCATCAGCAGGAATGTTCCCAAAAGAGACTCAAGCGAGAGCTGTCGGTGGGCGTTACTGCAGGATGCAAACAGCTCACGTAGCTCTCGTTGAGAACTTTCGAAATTGAAAAATAATTGCGCGACAAGGGAGCGAACCAGCTGTTCGAGTGATTGTTTGTCAGCAGCGGCGAAGTCGAAGAAAAGAAAGAGCGTAGCGTGAGAGGAGGATTTGACGTGCTGGCTCAGATGTTGGAGGATCGTAGCACTGAGCACGGTCTTGCCGCAGCTCGAGATGCCGTGAAGCCATAGATGTCGATATGATCCCGAGCTCCATCGGATAAAAGACTTGCTGTTGAGGAACCAAGAACCCGTACCCCCCAACCACTTCTTTTGTGCCTCGTTAAAGTTGGTGGAGGGATCGGGAGGAGACAGCTATTCCATGATTTGGCTAGATTGATGATCAAAGCAAAGGCCCTTGACTAAACCTTTCGTCTCTGCGGTATCGGAACGAATGTCTGCTGTAGTCTTGGAGACTTTTCGCATGTTGGCTTGATTAGGAGTTACATCGAGGAAACCGACCCAAGGAAAACGACTCACTGTCCTTGAAAATGTCGAGCATTCTTTGTGTTTTGAAGACCTTAAGGTGGGACGTATTGAAGAGGCTCCTTTGCATATGCTGCGGCTGTTGCAGCTGCATACCGTTGCCATTGATCATTCTTATGCGAATCGGCATAATCGGATATTCCTCGGATGACCACACATGGAAAAGCGTTCATTAGCCCCGCCGCTTCCATCTCGAAACATATGCATCCCTGTCTCCCATCCTCGAGAATCTTGTCTCGATAGAAAGCATCCTTCAGAAGCGTGTATCCGGAGGCAATAGTACCATAGTGAAACTCGGGATCGGCTGAGTCCCTTGGTTCCCGGAAAACCTCCATCGTTGGATCTTGTGCTTGAAACAATCGATCGTTTTCGAACCCTTGATGCACGTAACCGTGCTTCGCCTTGGCCATTTTGGCATTCTTTTGCAACATTTCGGCTAAGATGTCAGGCACTTCCGCTGACCTCCGCTCGTGGTGGGCTTGCAACCGTGCCATGGCTTTGAGAAGAACCTCTGGAGGCATGTTCAGAAACGCTTCATTCTCTCGTCCGGTTCCAAAAGCCGTCGCTTTGAATAGATCGTACTGGATGACCCCGGCGTTATTCCCTCAAGGCTGACTGACAGCAATGTCCCCTAGTCGGATGTCGTACCCTTTCTCTGGTCGAGCAATACCCCCTCCAACTCCCACCAGAAGCCCAATTCGAACGCGGGGGAAGGAAGCAAGCATGCGTATTGCGGTCGTCGCGACAGATGTCGTGCCATAGACGCCTGATAGCAGCGATGTGATGACCACGTTATGTTCACCGACACGCTCGCCGTTTCCACCAAAAATGTGGATTTCACCCCATATTAGAGATTCGTGTCGTGGTTCTGGTGAGCGAAGTTGCATGGTGTGTCGTCCTTCTCGTCTAGCATTCCAGTTGCTGCTGCGAGCTCGAAGAGAAGTGCGGCGATTCATCCGATGGTATAAAGATCCGGGGAGTCTAATGCCACCGGTGAGGTCAATTCTAAATGTTGCAAGGGTATAGCCTTGAATACGGTAGTCCCGATCGCTTTCTTGGCAGCTCCCTAATTCTGGAACAGTGAGGTTATGTTTGATGCCGGGGTGAGGCCTATGATACAAGGTGAGGTTGATTTCAGTTACCCCTCTTGGTTAGATAATAGCGTCTAACAGCTTTGTGAAGCGATTGGATTAAAGAGAAAGCGCCGACTGGACTAGTCGAGCAAAGCGTTAGCGCCATTGGCTTTGATGTGCTTTAGCCGCCTGCGATGCAGTGGCTAGTACAGCACTTTAGCTGTCACATAAGCGCAGGAGCCTGCATGCTCAATGAATCCGGATGACTGATCGAGTCTCGACAGGCAAGTCCAGCAAGCCTTGAAGGATAGGGACAAATCCCGGTCTTCTTTTCGGGATCAAGTCTCCCTCTGAAGAACCCCGCGACTCATAGATGAGAATCCCCTGGAGATCTCCCTGAAAGTGGTGAAAGATCCCGCACTGAGGCCCACGGCCCAGGCTATATATAGAGACATTCCGTCTTTACCGAACTAGTGCATCAGATCAGTCGATGGTGTTGAGCCTCCTGCAGTAGCTTCCAGACGTACCGTACCGAATTCATCTTCAGCCCACACTGGAATAGGTTTTGTCCGTATTACCTGACAGCCAGACTCGCCATGCCTGAAGAACAAGAACCAGGGGACCGAGTCACCCGGTATGAGGATCGTGAGTGGCAAATCTGGTTCGGGTCCGGTCTAGTCTGGCTCTGCGCAGGATTGGTTTTCTGTGCAGGCCTGACGGTCTGCGGATTCATCGACTGGTTCCCGTATTGGGATCGCATCTGCGACACCAATTACTGGACCGGACTGCTCCATGGTTGGGCCTTCATCGGAACTGCGTGCTTTGCGGCGTTTGTTGGTTGGTACATTATGCAGAGCGATGATTACATTGGAGTTGTGGGGGAACATGCCGTCCAAGCTGGAAACTTTGAACCTCTACCGGGCCCGTGACTCCGCCTGTACTGTATGAAGTACGCCTTTCCCGCTGCCCCGCACGGACACCCCCGCCTTCCGCAGAGGGGTCGGTGTGGATTGTTGATTTCTTACTCCAGAATGACATAAAAGTATCAAAACAATAAAAATGACTTTTCCAGACGGTAACCATTGCTTCTCTCAAAGTATATCTCAATAGCACTATTCCCATCTTGACTGTATCAACGATATATCTATCCTTTCTAAACTCCGGCATCCCGCCTTGCAAACACCCTCCACCCCCACCACGACAAACAATAACATCACCTCCGGTCCTCTACGACATACCCTCCGCGCCCTTGACCGACTCGCTCTCATGCCAGACCATTCCTCGCACTCGATCCTCCTCCATATCTCAAAAGAATCAGGCACTGACCCCGTTTTCATCCAGAAAACACCTGAATCCTCCCCATTCTCCCACCCACAACAAGATAAACAAACTACCCCGCGCCCCCCCTCCCCCCCCCCCTCCTTCCCACGACACGACTCACACACTCATAGCCACCAACGATACCTCCCAATTCACTGCAATCCCAACGCTATCGCCTCCGACAGTGTCCCTCGCGTGCGCAAGACCTACCACGCCTCTACCCCTCTACGCATCCCTTGCCGGACCGCCCGGAAGGGAACACCTTCCCGCAGAAATCATCTGAGCCCGACTCAACGAGAGGGATCCCGCAGTGCGGCAGGCTATTCTTCCAGGTATTTAGCTCGGCGGAGGCAGCTGAAGAGACACGACAAGTCTTTGCCGCCAGGGGGGTTGAGGGTCGATTCGTTGTGGCGTGTGTGGATCTGTATTGGGATTGTCGTCGGGAGATGGGCATGGTACAGACATTAAGGGAACTACTTAAAGCCAGGAGTATGATGGAGGTGTATTGACAGATATTGAGTAAGGGTGGTGCATAATTGCTCGTGTGCTAGCTACTAAGCTGTAGTGGTCATAGCTGTCATGATGCTATGGGGTTGGTCGAAATATATATACAGGACTACAGTTTGATTTATCGGTCTTCGGCTTGGCGGACCGTACTATCGAGGGATATATATCAAGCACATGCACCTAGAACACTAACAATTTACGTGCAAGGCGCCGCGAGCAAAGAGGCAACAGCGAAAATTAGAGCCAGATATCATTCTCTCCGCCGATGTACTTCGATCAAGGCAATCGTATTAAGAGTCACTATTCACACACAAGGGGAGCGGATTGCAGAAACACAGCCTACCAGCAAGTTCATAAAGACAAAACCCTCAACACCGGTGACACAGAGCAAAGCCGCGCCGAGATGATGGCCATGCAACGTAGCAGCACTATCCCGCTGCAGCAATATCCAATCACGCCGCTTCACCGAAGAAAATGATGAGCAAGGTCCCTGGTCCCGTGACACACGCGTAACGCCGATTTTTATCCAGTTTCAGTCCAAGGTTGCTGCTCCAGAAGCCCCATATTATACATGTCCCCCACGCAAGTGCAACGAGAGATGAAGGGTATCATATGTATTTCCTCCCATCATTGGGAGGGTGGTAAATGGCAAGAAAAAGAAAAACAAAAGAAAGTGATCAGCGTTCGCCAACTTTGCCGTACTCCTGCTGCCATTTGAGAAGATGACGTGTGAGCACATCCATCATCTCGACGCTGCTCAGTTCTTTGAAGTCTTTCTCGATGGATGTGGGCCCGCTGGCTGCGTCGCTGTCCGAGGCAGTTGCACTCGCCGGGTCCAGGTCGCCCACCGCCAGTGCCAGTGCGGTTTCCAAGATGCTGCCGTTGACCCGGGCGGCCCCGTTGTTGGGAGGCGTCGTGCTCTCCCCTGCCACCGCCATTTCGACCTGCATCCGTGAGATGAACTCGAGGATTGCCATCACCCGTCTCTTCATCTCGTTCATAGTAGTGCGCTGGTTCACATACCGTGGCCGACTGGGCTTGCCGGACTCTCCACTGTGTAGGTGTATGCCATTGATCCGGGGTGAGTCGCTGCCGATATCATGCGACTGCCCGCGCCGCGGAGATCGGGTTGAGAAATTGGAATCTGTCCCATTCATATCCCGGTCCCGAGTGTATTGGTTGCGGCCCACGCGGCCACCGCGACGTGCAGGAGGACGGCCCGACTTGCGAGTGGCGGGGCGCGAAGGTGCGGGTTCCGGAGCAGGAGCAGGGGTGACCTCAGGACTAGGTGGCTTGGGCTCGGGGTCGGTCGCAACTGGCTTGATTGGAGATCCCGGAGCATTGTCGGACTCTGCGTCATCTGCTCTTATTAGTCATGTACCGGAAACATCGACGGCATAGACAACCTACCATCCTTCGGCTTATCGGATTTGGCCTTCCTGCGATCGACAGCGTCGGCCGGTTCAGACTCGGGTTCTTCCATTTCCTTGATGTCTTTATCGCGCTGTCCGCGCGAGGCAGCCCGTTGTCTTCGAGCTACATGTGCGTTTGGTTTGAATCGGGATTCATCCTCCGAGACTTGCTGTGACACCGGGTTGCTTTTGGAGACGGCGCCGGGTGAGGGTGAGCTCGTCCGTTGACGTTTAGTCGTTTGCCTTTGACTGTCTCCAGTCAGTTGACAATGCAATGGATCAGACGCCGACATGACATACGCTTCGCTATCACTGCGGCTCCTCTTCGGCCTCCGAGCAGCAAGTTCCTCGCCGGGTTTTGTTTCTTCCTTGCTCTCTTCTATTGCACGCCGCAGCTGCTCCTCCTCATCATACGCCGCATCCCGGCTGTTCATTGTGGATCGACGTTTAGGATTGGCAGCGGCATCATTCGATCGTGACTTCGTGTCTTTGTTGCGACGGGAATTATCGCGTGAGGATTCCCTTGAAGAAACGGCTGTGGAGGGAGGGGGAGGGGCAACCGGTAGGTATTGTGAAGAATATGATCTGTGTTACTGTGAGCGACGAACCCTTCTAAACTTTGAACTGAAAAATCAAGGGATTTCAGAAGCTAATGCAATGGTAACAATGATATGGTCGGTTTTGTGGGTGTCCCTAGTGTGGTCGGTGCAGCAAAAATTCACCACGGCAGCATGGAAAAAGCAGTCCCACCAGAAGGGAAGAAAGGACAAGGAGTCGATGTGCATGAAATGGCATAGTAAGGACAAAGGCGGACAACGCGAACATACCCATTTATCTCGTTGAGTATTTTGTGCAGATCCTTTCGGCACTCTTCGCAGAAATACTCGTCCGGGCTCATGGCCTCATCCATGATCCCGACACAACCACCGTGTTGCCAGACCTTGCAGGAATCACACTGAATGAACATGCTCCCAATGTCGTCCGACAACAAATCGGCAGAATCTGCGGAAAGACCTAAGACATTCTCATCTTTCAGGCCACCACGCAAACCATTGCGACCGATTGCCTCCCGACGCGAGGGAGGCAGGCCCGGGTATTCCTGCTGACCACAAAGACAGCGAGTGATCTCTTCCTCCTCATCGTCTTCTTCTTCGCCGTCTTCGTCGTCACCGTCGGCTAATTTGATCTGATCATTATCCTCCTCCCCTCGAACACGCTGGCGCTGCCGCGTCTCTCGGTAGTCGCCTTTCGAGCCAATGTCGGCGTCGTCGATCGACTGGGACCGGTTGGTCGAGGATCGCTGAGGGGAGGAGATCTTGTGGTGGGATCGTGTACTTCTTTCGCGAGTCATTGAGTTGGAGGAGCTGGAGGAGTTTGTATGTTGAAGGATGGCTGGGGAGGGTTGAGAGGTGCGAGCACGAGAGGAGCGCCGAGGCGTCATGGTGGGAGAAACAGGGTAGTGGGAGGATAAAAATAGCGGAGAACTCTGCGAGAGAACCCAGCCTTGTGTATAAGGATATAAACGAACAACGTATATAGGTAGCAGTCGAAGCACTGAGTGAAGCTGAATCCGACTGCCCGTGAACGAACAAATTGTCGCACACGGGTGGGAGAGCTGGGATTTGGAGAGCGACGTCCACGGTAGTGGTAAGGATGAGCGGAGGATGCAGAGGGCACAAAGGCCGGGTGAATCAAGGAAAGGAAGCTGACAATTGAAGACCAAAGCAGGGAATGATCCGAGAAATAGGCCTGCAAGCTCAACTTCAGGCCGAGGACTACATAGTCAGAGGGGAGGAGGGTTGAAAAGAAAAGGTGGGGAGGAGTCGGCCGAACAAAAGAGACGAGAGACGCAGAGGAGGAGGAGGAGGGAGCGAGAATGAGAGAGGGTAAAAGGACCGGCCGGAAGAGGGCGAGGAGGAGTGACGGACGGCCGCCGGAACGGGACCAAGTGCTTTCAATCCATCATTCAATTCTGCGCGCGCGGGTTCGGTTTTTGCGGTCAACGCGCATTGGTCTTAGACTCACTTTTTTTCCCCGCTCTGCCCTCTTTCTCCTCTTCGCTCTATCGCTTCCTCCTCTTCGTCACCCACCTTTGCCCATCTCCCGCGCGACTCTGGCGCGTTGTCTCCTCTGCGCGGGATCGTCATCGTCCTCCACCCAAATCCGTGATCTATTCCCAACCCCGATTACCCATTCCCAAGCCTATTCTCATCCCCGCATGATCCTCTTCTTCCCATCTGCCTTGCGCATCAGGTGCTCGCGGAGGAATGCGATGATGCCACTCATTCATGCGCCTATAAACTTCGCTTACCATCCATGAAGAGTTCCCGGCTTATCCTTTTTAGTAATGCTTTTCACGACCCTGTCTCTGTACCGTGCTCTATGAGTCGCAAAGCGTGCTACAGATACGGATTCCCTGCTCCTCGACAATAACAGGTGGGGTCAATAGTCGAGGGTGATACGTACCCTGCAATCTCCCGGCCACGCCCTTCGCGATGAGCTTTCAACCTACAGCCAAAACGGTGTCACCATGATTCTATTCTACCTCAGCTGAGATGTCAGACCATTCCCTTCGGCCAACAACCGACACGTCCCAGAGCGCAATTGCTTCGCTGCCTCCCATTCAACATGTCCCCATGCCCCGAGATTTCCCCCGAAATGTTATATCACTTGTGAGGTATAAGGGTCTCGAAGAAGACGGGCGAGGAACCCGGTGGCCTTCCTGTTTGAAGACAGGGTGATGGTGGGGCTTGTCTTGAAGCTATGGCACCGTGATTTTCCGGCTATGCTTTGTGGTCGAGATCGCTGGCTCGGTTCAGGGCTCTGATGGGCTGTAGTGGTTGTCATTAACTGTATCGCATATTTGATGAAGTTGGTGTAGTTATAAAACATAGAAGCACCCAGCGAGGTAAACTAGTAGTTGGGACCTGAGCAGGTTTGCTGGTGGGATGGACGAAGCGGCGGCGGTGACTGAGTCAGGTGAGTGAGTGCTTCCATGTTAAGTTCCTCAGGCTCCAGGCTCAGCTGGAGTGGGCCTTGACCCGAAACGGCCTAGTATCTGCTCGTATCCTCAGGCATTCACTACCCGGGTATCTGTCACAGAGGGAAAGCGTATTAACTCAACTGACTATTGGCCATTCATAATATTATCGTCGACTAACTACCACCACCACCACCCCTCCGCCATCTTTGTCCCCTATATGCCTTCCGCTTCCCCTCTTCTTCATTCCCCAAATCTATTTGCACCCCGGGTTCTCTACCCTCGCTTCCCGGCTTTCTGAGGGTCCCTCTAATTCGTTCTCTCCCATCCGTTTCCCCCCCCTGGTCCGGGGTCGGGTTGGCTTCGTTTCTCGGCCCTTCTCTACCGACCCTCGGGCTGAGTCAAAGTCTGCATGAGCGGTGCTGGTACGTGGTCTACAATGTGAGTCCCTTACTCTCCTCCGGAATCTTTTCTGGAGGTGCCCTGGCAGTTGGGATCTGGTGGAAATCTGGAATACACGCTTGGGCAGCGCTCCATCCTAGCTTTGTGTGGTTCCGTGTGCCAGCGTTCGGGAAACATGACAACTAACTGTGGGTGCCAAATCAGTGCCGATTCACAACCTCCGCGGCCCCCTTCCACCCTTCCTCCCTCCCTCCCTCCCTCCTTCAATTCTCTTTGGACTTCGGTTGGCTAGACCATAGCAACTTTCTCCGGGGCCTTTGACGGCAGGCCATCTCAACAATCACAAAAAAGGCTAGGACAAGAAGACAACGCGGACGGTATTGTTGGGGTAGGCTATCAGGCCATCGAAAAACGGTGTCGTGGCTGTGACCTTAGTTGGAGTCAGTCAAGAGTCTTGCAGAATGACTGCTACGTTGAGTATGTCTTTTACCAACGATGTCTGTTCCTCGGGGGAAGTAACGCCTGGTGTTCTCGGTGCGTACAATTAATGGAGTGGCCCACAAAGCGGGCAAGAACGAGGAGGCTTGGAGGGTCTGCTGGCTGCTTGGTTGCTGATACTGTTCACCCGCAGATGGGATGTTCAATGCGGCTCCTGATACACCGTCTCCTGTCTACCCGGATCGCTTAATACGCCCTCTTCCCAAGCGTACCCTCCGCTCTCGCCTGTCCTCCGAAGCGGCCGACTCGATCCGCTTCCCCCCAGCCCCTGCAACTCAGCTCTTCTACGGCACGTCGGTGGATAGTGCGGACTTAGTAAATGACGCGAAGGTGTACGTGCAACAGGACGACGGTCGTGACCTGAGCCCCGGGCGTGACCACCATTACGAGAACGGAGTCGAGCTGGAGAGTGGCGATGAGGACGGCCCTGTAGTTGTTCGACGAAGTGCCGGTTTTCGAGGGTCCTCCTTGTCCCCATCGGCCACCAGTCAACCGCAGTCCGTCCCCACAAACGGGGACCGGGCGCCCATCAAGTCGTCCTCGGCGGGTCCTGACGGGTACGACGCGTTTGAGAACACTAACAACAAAAAGAAACGCAAGATCCCAACCCCGGGCAGCCTTGGGAGTCATTCCACACTCTCTCCTGAACTTTCTACCATGGGTCTGGCCGCCTCGGTTCAACCCCCATCGGCCGGTGAAGCGAGCACGTACTACGGCACAGGGAGCCCGGCGTCTCCAGTCTCCAGTGGCATGTCTGGGGCCGGCAGAGGCCGTCTTGGTCGTCCACCACCACATCGCAGTGCGGGGCGTAATTCGTTTTCGCTGCATACACCGATCAGTTGGCCGCGGACGCCCAGCCGACGCGATGATCTGTTGTCCTCTCCCGGACCTGCAGGTACGTCCCCATCCGTCTCCCGGTCGACCAGACATTTGCTTATTCGCTTCCCAGGTGACTCGTCAGAAAAGCCCGATCAGGGTATTATTTCAGCAGCCATCGCCCACGCCGCCGCATCCGCATTCTCACCTCCCCCTTCCGGCTCGGGTCATATTAGCATGCTGGAGCAACAAACTCCCACGCCTACCAAGACTCAATTCACATTCACCTGCGAGTCCGACTCTTCGAAAGGAATGGCGCTGCAGCCCCCGAACACGTACCCCGCTCCTCCGCGCTCACCCTCGTCTCTCTCCGCTGCTGTCCAGAGTCAGACGGGTTTCTCCCAAGGAACACAGACGAGCCCCAACATGACCTTACAAGCCAGCCTGCCAAACCCCCAAGCTCAACCACAGCAACCCCAAGCGGGTGCGGGTCAAACTCCTCCTGGCGGCAGGAAGCCGAAGCGGCCGCCCGGCACCATGTACGTCTTGGCCGCTCGCTCACGCAAGATTCGGCAGCAGTACACAAATCTCCGGCATCCGCCGAGTCTGGAAGACATCTGGATCTGTGACTTCTGCGAGTACGAAAGTATCTTTGGACACCCCCCGGTGGCTCTCATTCGGCAATATGAGATCAAGGATCGCAAAGAGCGCAAACGCCTGGCTGAAAAGAAGCGATTGCTCGAGAAGGCCAAGACGAAGGGACGTAAGGGCAAGAAGGCGACGAAGAATGCAACCAAGCAGGCCACAGTTCCACCGACGACCTATGATCACGGGTACGACCGCGCATCTGTGGATCATTCTTCGCTGGGAGGCGGGCCTGGAACCCATGAAGATGAAGACGGGGGTCATGAGCACGACGAAGAGGCGGATTCAGGCCCACCCCCACCACCACCACCACCACTGACAGCCGCTCAGAGCGCCTTACCGCCGAGTGCTGCGCCGAAAATGCCAGCGACGGGACCCGGCGCTAGAGGGGCCCATGGAGAGACGCGGCCGCCCTGACAAAGGAGCAACGGCGCTCGGGTATACGACCAGTGAGCGGCCGTTGCCTCTGTTTGGTTTCGGTTCTTTGTGTCTTCGTGTTTGATGTTTTGCTTTCCGTTTCGCATTATTGGTAGTTAGCCCTGTTTTGATTTTATTGTTTATTTTGCATGGAATGAATCCCCGCTCTGGTTGATGAATGTCACGTCAGCGTCATGCATGGTTTCTGGTCCAGTTGGAATTATATTGAAACAGTGATGCATATTGGAAGGTAGTGGGAATGGGATGGATCTTGGGTTCCGTTGCATGGAGGAGACGATGGTTGATTGACTGTCAGTAATGGGCGATGATGGCGTATGCAGGCCTGGCATAGTTTAGTGAAGGAGGTGAGGGGCTGTCTGTGTGTATGTAGTATTGGGTGGCAGCTAGTGTTGAAAGTAGGTAGGAGGATGAATGGAGCGTCCTTCAAGGGAGGCGTTTAAACCCGGAAGATTCCATTAATCGCCAAGCGATGATCGATTGGACTCCAGCCACCGAGCGCTGCGGCGGGCGCTTCGTCCGGCACCAACCATCGGGCATTTGTGGTGGTCGTCTAAGCGCCGCTGGCGATCTGAAACGGACCTTAGGAGTGATCGGATCCTCGCAGATTCTCTTCGCGCGCGGTACGGAGTACTTGGTGGGATGCAAGGTTTCCCTGGGGTGCCTGGGAGAAGTAGTGTTTCACGCAATCCCTGAAGAAGATAAAAATAGGTGTTGGTATTGTTGATGGGATATAAAGAGGGTAGATGGTGTGTTGTTCCACCCAGCATTGTTCTTTGTGTTGTGTTCTCGTCAGTCTTTTATCTATTGATCTCCTATAACTCAGAAGTTTTATTCATTCCCTCCGCCAGTCTTTTGACTTGATTCTTCTCCTACATAAGAAGTTCAGTGTTATTTCCTCTACGTTCTCCAGCATACATTGCATACATACATTTGACAGTTACAGAGGCATCGCATCTTGCATCTTTCCTTCTGTCCTTCCTTCCTCAGTCTTCTTTCTCCGACTTATTTCAACTCTTTCCTACATCTTGATAGATCTGCTTGAAGCATCATACACACACATACACACCACATACACACGGGTTCACGAACGAAACGACAAACGAACGAAGTTGTACTGCGCCGGCGCATACAACACCACGATCACCACCACAACACAACTACCACACCCCTCATCTCCCAACAAAAAGAAGCAGAGAGCAAGATGTGGTTCCTCCTCCTCCGCATCTTCAAACTGGGCTTCAGCGCCGCAAAGAAACACAAAGCCTCCAAAAACGCCCCCCTCGACCCCTCAGGCTATCCCATGTCCGCCCCAGGCACAACCACAACCACCATCTCCACAAACAACAACAGCTATCCCCCGCGCAGCCAAGCAAAACACTACCTAGAACTCTTCACGCACCTCCTGCAACTCGCCTTCGGGCTCACTGTCCTAGCGCTCTACGGCCACCACATCCACACCCTGCACAAAGCGCAGCACTCCGCGCCGCCGAAATTCATCTACGCGATCGTCGCGGCCCTGCTCGGCTGCTGCACCGCGCTGGTCTACCTCGTGCTCATGCAGTATGTGCTGAAGACCCGGGTGCCGGTTGCGCGGCGCGAGCGCTGGCAGCTGCCGATGTTTGTGTGGGAGGTTGTGCTTTGTGTTGTTTGGTTGACGCTGTTTGGGATCTTTGGGGCGGAGTTTTTGTCGAAGGGGGATAGTGAGGATGGGGAGGTGGTGAGGATGCGGAGGGCGGTTTGGGTTGATTTGGTGAATCTGGGGCTTTGGGTTTTTACGGCCTCTTGGAAGGGATTCCGGTGGTATTCTAATTTGAATAGGGCTGGTGGGGGTCAGGAGGATCAGGGTGGGGAGAAGGAGGTTGAGTCTGTTTGATTTCTCTTTTTTGAGGATTGGGGGTTGAGGTTCCGGGGAGCTGAAGGGAGAGGGGTCTTGGGTTCTTCCCAGTGTTAACTAAGATTGAATTGGGCCAGGAAGCTGAAAGAAAGGGGGGTCCGGGGGTTCTCCCCCGGGATGCTTTAATTGGGAGGGGTTTTGTTATGAGATGTATGGGAGGGTTTGGATGGGGTATGTTGATGGGAGGGAGAGGTTGGAGGCAAGGAGGGAATGGTTCTTGGTTCTATGGGTGTTTTTTGTGGTCAGGGCTGGTGCTGGTTACTGGCTGGAATGGGTTGGTAGGTTATGGTTATGGTTATGGTTATGGATATGAACGATACAAAGGCTTAATGGTGGATTATGGTATTTCGGTTATCTCAAAGCAAGCAAAAGCGTGTATCTTTTCGATTATCCCCGTACACCTAGTCGTCTCTCGTTACGTCGTAAACCTTCAAAGATTGTGTCTAGTGATCCCACTGGCGATGCTGATAGCCCTGGCCCAGAAGGTGCCCCTGCCGACTCTGCTCCATCAGCCTGCTCAACCCACTGCGGCTAGGCGGCAAAGAGAACGGGGTCAGCACAGACGGCCCTTCGTCTTCGTCCGCACTGTCGTCCTGCAAATTACCGTTCACAGAAATGTCATCCTCAGACACGGTCTCTACAGTGACACCAGAGCTCGTAGCCGTAAAAGCATTACCGTGCAAGATTTTGATTTGATGAGATGGGCTCGCGTTGCTGGCCGTGCCGCTGGAGTCTGGTTTTAGTGAGCCCGCTGACTGAGACCCAAAGCTGGCGCTGAGAGACGACGCAAGGAAATGCTCCTGACGAACACTGTCCGTGAACCGTTGGCGAAAGTCCTTGTCAACCAGTTTCGGCGGAGGTGGCTGGTAGTTCTTGGCTTCCAGGTGTCGGTAATCATAGCGCCGAATAGCACAGGGCACGAAGAAGTTGGGCTTTGGGGTGGGCGGCTTGGCCAGGAAGTCGCCCCCGGGATGCTTCTGCGGTGGCGGTGACGGCACTCTAGGGTTATTCTCCATATTCAACAGCTCCCCCAGGTCTTCGACGAATGTGGCGGGCAGACTGCCGCATCTGGGCTGATCGCCTTGATGAATTGCAGCACCAGGTGTCTCCGACTGGGTTTCGACTTCGTTGGACAGGCCTTGGCTGGTATCCTCAGGGGATATAGCAACCTCTTGAAAAGTTATCAGACCCGTACTCTAGACTGGCGTGTTACTGCCTACCTTCCACAGTCTCGGACACCTTGATCTCACTCTGCTTGAGTTGGATCTGAGAAGATTCAAAAGTTAGTGCAGCAGACTCTGGCGTGACAGAGCTACTAGTGATTCTAGACAACGGCTGTGAAGATTCACGGTGCACGGCCTTCCGAGATTCGGCAGGTTGCACGATAGATGGAACAGAGTCATGCTGCGGGGTCAAGATTTCAGTCGAAACACCACTAGTGGCAGAGGAGTGTTTTGAGGATCTGCGAGATGTAGTTGCAGGCTTGGGTTGAACCGGTTCTGCAGCCAGTAGAACTGGGTCCAACGGTGGACTCTCCTCGAAAACTGAACTGCTGGTGGTACCGGACGACTGCTGAGATGATTTACGTCGCATGAGAACCGGTCGAGTTTCCGGATAGTCGGTCATCAATGGAGCAGGGTCCTGAGCCGAGTGCTGGGATGACTTGCGACGCATGATGACTGGTCGACGCTTGGCACCTCTGGCCTTGGCTGTCACCGCGAAGGTTTTCTTCTGCGGGACTCTGGAGGCAGGCTCTGGCACAATCAATGGAGTTGGGGGGATGGGCGTGGGTGTGTTGGAAGGTTTGCGAGTCGTGCTTTGACCGTCCGGGGCCGTCAGTAAGATGCGCGTGGTTTTGTGGTTCTCTCCGTGAGAGTGACTGCTACTGGGCTTCTTCAGAATCGGGGGCAGTGGTTTGCCGCTGCCACTGCTCGGCTTGCGTGGTTTGTTCGCCTGGGCTGCTCGCTTCTGGGCCTACGGAGATTAGATCCGGGGACATGAGTAAAACCATTGTCGAGAATCATACCTTGTGTAGCTCCACTAGGGAGATGGAACGCTGGTCTGAGATTCTGGAGAACAGGTCGGCCAGCGTGGATCCAGTCAATGAGTCCAGCAGATGCCGATTACCCCAGATCCTCCAGAAGAAGTTCTCCAGTCGATATCCTTTGTCGTCATTATGCACCGACGGGTTGGCGCTATAGACTAAGGATACCACCGAACAGCGTAAGTCACATCCACAGGTTGTGAGGGAAGGTGCGACCAGGCTCACCTTTCCACAACCGCGCAACATCCGCAACCTCCACTGCATCAGTCCCGGTCAGATCGGCCGACACCTCTTTGGTCACTGTCGACAGCAAGCCTGAAGGAAGACGCTCCATGCTTTTCATTGTTCCAGCTGATGGATGGATTCAACAACAACGATAGCAACAACGACAACAGCAAGAAGAAGGAAAGCAGACAAGCTACATGGTCAGCATGGGGTGGAGGGAAAGTGAGTGAGTGAGAAGTGATGGTGTCAGTGTTGCGTGTGGCGGTGAATTGGGGAAGGGAAGGGAATCCGGGGAGCCTGAGACTACCAGGTGAGTAAGGTAAGAATGCATTCAATGAATGGTCGGAACACTTTCCAGTCGGTGGAGACCCTAGGAGAAGAAAGGGAAAGGCTGCGACGGATCAGCTGCAAGGGCCGGCCACACGAAACCCCGGAGATCTTCAGTCTGCAGCCTTAAAGGGGAGATGATGAAGTAGACGGATAGTCAAGAGATGGAGAGACGAAGAGGGAAACAATGGCGGAAGAACAAGCCGCAAAAGCCACCGCCGCTTTTTTGCTTCTCTCCCTCTTCTTATATTTCTTCACTGCTCCGTACCTCCCCAGTATCTTCATTGCCCTCTGACCCCAATCTCTCATCCTTCTTCTTCCTCTTTCTTTCTTCCTTCCTTCTTCACCCGGTCCAGGTGACCAGCGCCATTCCAGTCGACCCACCAACCCCCGAATCACTGCACGCTGACTCCAACCCGGGCTCGCGTGCAGAACTCTGCAGAAACCGAGCGGAAAGCCAAAAAGCGGGCGGGCAAGACCGTCCAGGTTGACCTGTCACTTTCCAGCGCTTAGCGAAGGTTGGCTGCTTTTTCCGCACCTCCGGAGGTTGCCGACAACAGATGTATGGTTCTTTTTTCCCGTGAACCATCACCAGTTTCCACTGACTGTATCTTAGTAAGATTCAATGATGCTACGGAGTCAATGCTTTGTGAAACCTTCAGACCCCTGGTGACTCTTTCCTAAAGCCGCTGCCCTCCACATTCGACGCGGCCAGGAACTGCAGATTCCCCAGTGGCTGTGCTGCCCCGTTTCCCCGGTTTTCGCTGCGTCGGGTACTTTCCACGCCTATAGGGACCTTACCTCCCGATCACGCAGTGCAACTCAACTATTAGACTCGAGCAAAAGTGATCGTCGTTCAAAATAGGTCACAACACCGGTATGATGCACCTGTTCCCACCGCTAGCCTCATTGCTCCATCGCTCCGATACCGCCTGTGAGGGTGTTGAAAGCCGAGGCCGGCTGCGCTGGATGTCTGCCTACCAGCTTGTGGCGAAGGTCCTTTCAGTTTCTCAGCACATGAGCATCAGAAGCTACCGATACCCCAGTGCAACAAAGAACTTCCCCGAAATGATCCAGCTTTTCAGCAATACTACCCACGTGCGGTGTGATGTAGTGTCACCATCTCAACGCCTCTCGTATTTCAGAGCCCGCCTGGCATCTTAGGGCACTGCAGCGAAACTGGATCGCCCGTCCAGCACGTGAACAGCAAAGATAATGATTTTAACAACACTTCCAGCCAAGAGTGAAGAGACTCATCTCAGGTTTCCAATTGCAGAACTGGTTCTAGTGAAATAGCAACAATGCGACAGGTAGTCATATCTTTTCGGACCTGTCCACCTGCCGCGCAAGGGGTATGATACATCGATCGCTAATCTATCATCTCAAATCATGGCCATTCCTGTCGTCGCGTTCTGCCATTCGTTGCCATACTCGTTGACAATCCACTGACAGAAGTCCTCCCACTGCTGGTTCCAGACTTGCATGTATTGTGCCTTGACGCCTGTGCCATGTTCTCCGAGATCAATGTCTCTGACCCAGTCCCCGTCCGACTGGTCCTCGAAATTGGCCCACCGAACACTGTTCTGAGCAAGGGCTCCCTGTTGGTACGATTGCTGGTTAGACGGGAACAACAGAAGATAGAGAAAGCGACACTCACCAATCCAGCAAGTCCAATGTTGTCAAACCCCTGTATGGTCTGATAGAAGTCATAGCTCAGTCCGGCGGCATCCTGACCAAGGATCGCAGGATCATCGTTACTAATGGCAGTAGCAATACCGTGAGCGACCATGGCGGGCAGCGGGTGGTGCAGAACATCGGTGGCAAGGCGGAGAACTTCGTTCGAAATGGGACAAACTTCAACCATAATCGACTTGGTGATGACTTCGTCAATCAACTGAGGATGCTTGTACAGGCTGAACCCATGGCCGATTCGTCGAGTATTGAATAAAATGGCGTCCACCAGATTGTAGTCGGTGGAGTTGCCATCTCCTAGCGTCTCTCCAGCGTGGAAAAAGAATGGGATCGTGAGGTTCAAGCGCTCCGCCTGTTCACGAAACCAGATCAATTCGGGTGCCACATCCGCCAGGGGTCGACCCAGATCCTCTTGACCGACCAGGTCGTAGCCACTGATTAGCGTAGGAAACCGTTGTTTCCTCCCCAGAGCAACCTTCATGCCTGGGAATGTCAGCTTTCGCATCCAAGATTACAAGGTAATATTCGACATACTGCTGGTGAGCGAGGCCCGATCCTCGCTTCTGATGTCCGACCAAATCACACGAGCACCCCAGAAGTGCTTCCCTTTGTCGCTCTTTTTGAAGCTATCCAGCTCCTCTACCAGGACCTGCCAGTATACATCGAGATTAGGGTCTGCGTCTTCGTCGCCCTTGTGCACGAGAACTCCTTTAGCTGCTGACGCACGGATCTCCACCCAGTGGATGCCGTCATCAGCCAGGGCTCCAAATAGCTTCTGGTAGAAAGTCCGCAGCACGGGCTCGTACGTCATCATGCTGTCGGCCGGGTCAAAACAAGCTTGGAAGATCCTCCAGATCTCGTCGACTCCAAGGTCATGGCGGATTGATTCTTCAGGTTGGAGCTGAAGTTTGGACATCACAAACTCTGCAAAAGCCTGACTTCCTCCGGTAAAAGACTGCGCGGCATAATTGACTGGCAGTTGCGTGTTTGGTACGTAGTCCGTGCTGTCGATGGCCGGTCCCGACGCTGCAATGGTGTGGTTAACGTGTGCGAAGGTGATGGTCGCGTTCTTCTGTTCGAGCTCGCTCGTGACAGGTTGCGACACAGACACAACCATCCCCTCTGTGTTCATGACAGCGTCGAGTAGAGTCTCATATGGGAGCATCGAAACCAGATGGGCATGTAACAGCGCACCCTTCGGCATCTTCTTCACGATGGACCACAGTCTGGTCTCCGAGATCAGCGGTTTCGCCTTCGGAAACATCTCGCCCGCATATCGTTCCTTGTCCTCATCCTCAATCGTTCCTGGCACCCTCCAAAAGCTGTCGATCTCATATTGGCGTATGGCATTGACAATCGCGTCCGCCTGTTGAGCCACCGCAGAGAGATTCTGGCGGAAAGCATAGTCTGCGCCGCGTGAGTCACAAGTGCAGTAGACACCGGAAGAGCCAATTTACGCACCTTGTCGTTGGCGCTTCTCCAATGTGATCAATGCAGCGCGGTCCTGTAGATGCCGCTGCACCGCACTGCTATTGACATTTGGCTCCCCATCGAACACAATTCCGGCGCAAACGGAAGAGACTGAGAGGGCAGCGAACAGGGACTTCGAGAAATGCATGGTGATTAGGTCAAGGCCACGAAGAGGGGTGTCAGAAAATCGTATGACACCTCTTGATCGCTGCGCTCGTTTGACCACAACACGGACACGCTAGAGCTTTTATGTCCTCCGTGGCCGCGTTCAAATTATTACTGAGGGGCGGGGATCAAAAGCGCGTGCGGGGACAGGAGAGGGGAAGGAGGGCGTCCAGCTAGGATATAATCTACCTTATCAAGGGCAAACAGGTCTGGGTACACGGCTAGTCCGAACTAAATAAATTGGACCCCATGTATGGGAGGCTCCGAATCTCACTCATCCTCGGCGCGGGTTCCAGTGATAAGGCCCCCGATGAACCGGGGGACTGACTCAGACCCTCCCTATCCGCTATTGCCCAGCTGCATTCGCTATGTGACAGGTATTAACTCGGCTATACCTGAAAAACACGATGCGATGGATGGTCAATTCCCCAATAAGACACACAGCTGTCGACAAGGAATAACAAGAAAAAGGGGGAAGCTCCAGCTCAGAGATAAAAAATACCTGGAATTGAACAAGGAAAACATCAGATCCGGTTCCCATGGTTAACACCACTCAATCTAATGGAGAATGGGACTAACGAACCCTAGTCGGTGGCCACTGGGCAGAATGCCTGCAACAGAGAGGCTGGGAACCTCTCGCCAAGCCCCGGGCCATCGATCTGCATGAGCTCTGGCTGACCTGACCGTTTGACCCAACCAAACAAACAACAAATCTTCGCACTGGACTGGAGAAGATATGAAGTTATGAAGTCACTTCCGGCCACACCACACGCATTTGTCTTACATGAGCTGTGTTTGTGTTTGTGGCGCTTGGGATGGATTACTCGAGAATTACGTCAATGGGTAGTGCGCACGCCTTGTTGCTGCACCGACCCCACTGCTATCCGACGTGAAACCCTGGGAATGATCAGCGCAGGTCCTGCCGATTCAGGCACCGACTTCAAGTGCCTGAATTGGTTTGCTCTTTACCATGGGACTCCTGCCGCGTTCGTTCGGGGCGCGTGCATTTCTACTGTGGGAGGCAAAAATAAAACCTTGAAGGCCATTGACTTTGGAGATGCGCGATACGGTTTGTCGCTCGAGCCCGCCAGTGACTAATGAATCTAGGCTCATTCGTTTAGTCATTATTGACGATCACATGCGACATTAACAATAGCAAAAGTGTCACTGAGTTTGTAAACAATACACCTCCTCGAGCTTCACAGGCCCGAGCAATGATCGTCAATGCGGTCGGAGGTCACCAGCTGCATCAATACATCATTCTCTGCGAACACCACGAGATTAGACGACCCCTGCTGGAACTCCGGCCACGCGAAGTAGCTACTATTGTTTGGGTTGAGTGCAGCACTCTCGACGGTCAGACGGACCGGCCCCCGCGAGGGATCCTCCGCGAAAGATAGCCAGAGGGCCTCCATGGCGTAACTGACCTCCCACTCGAACTGCGTCGAAGGTCCGCCATATTGATTGTGCGTGCCGAAGAGGATCGGCAGCTCGGAGCTATGGTAGGCCCCGAACCAAGGGAGGGGCGAGATGTTGGTGAAGTTTCCCGCGTACTGGTAACGGTAAGTCGGCAGACCGGCTAAATTGCGATTCTTGACTTCGTGAGCAACGGGGCAGGCGATGATGGACTCGGTTAGCTTGAAGAGCGTTGCGGCACCGGGTCCATTGGGCGTGAAGGAGACGAAGCCGGCTCCTTCGTTGGCGTTGCTACCGATTATCATGGGCTGTTTTGACCACAACTTAAGTCCTTGAGCTTTCTGGGACGAGGTGTGCATGACTTACAATTTTGGCGACCTTGCCTTCGAGCGCCCGCTGAGTCCAGTTCGCGAAGACCGTGACATTGTCCACAGACGGCTTGAAGGAGATGGATGGTGTACCGGAATACGTGGAAAGTGCATTCTGTATGGTCTTTGCAGGCACACCTCGCACGCAGCTGAGCTCGGCTGATGAGCTGTTCAGCCCACCGCAGCCGACGAGACCGGCTAGGAAGGTAAAATTGGTATGGGCATAGTCCTGAAAGCTCACAATGCCTGGGGCACCCGAGTCGGCGGCCACAGCAGCCACAATGGGGTCATCGGGGTACGAGTAAGTATAGAGTGAGACACTGCCTCCTCCTGCAGACTGGCCCCAGAGGGTGATCCTGTCCGGGTCACCGCCGAAGTTTGCGATATTGGCGTGCACCCACTCTACACTATGGTACCCTGTCAGTTACTTCAAATCTTATCTTCGTTTAGCCATGTAACATACGCCGTTCGCTGGTCGAGGAGACCGGGGTTCTGATCTTGCAGACCTTCAGCATTAGGGAACCCAAAGACATTGACACGGTAACTTTGAATGATTAGCCTCGGGTCCATCAACCTCGGCAAGGCATATTATAACGCTAAACTCACTTCATAATGACCACAATATGTGACTGCGATCGCTGAATCCAATGATCGGGAATTTTATACATGGAAGCCTGGCCACCGCTCGTGAAGCCTCCACCTGGGACATAGAGCAGCACAGGCAGCGGTCGCTCCTGGGAGCGGATACTCTCCACCTTAGGTGCCCAAATCGAAAGGTAGAGGCAATCTTCCGAGTCACCGCCGCTGATCAGGAACCCCTTCTCATAGGCGGTGTATATCGACGAGCTGTTGCTCGTTTGCTGTATGCAGGAAGGAGGAAGCGCGAAGGCATTGACCATCCCATTGGGCTTCTTCTCCACGGGCTTTGCAAAGCGGAGCTCCCCGATGGGAGGCTCTGCGAAGGGGACTCCCAGGAACTGACGAACGTCGGGCGTGGTCAGATTGATGAACCCCTGGACCGGCCCGCTAGATGTCTGCACGAGAAGCCCTTCACCCAGAGTTAAGCCTGGAGAGATGGGAGATGCAGATGTTCTTGTCCCAAGAAGGGCGATGAGCGCTGCAGCAGTACGAATGCTTCTTGCAAACATTTTGATAGTACTGAATGAATTGACACATGCTCTGGGTCGGGCGGGGTCAATGGATTTTATATGCCTCGATCTGCACGCCCCCGCCTCCGGGCGACGACAGTGAATTGGCGTCCGTGTCTTAGGGGCGGGGGTAAACGATTCAATTGACACAAAGAGGTGCAGGAAGAAGACTCTCCCGTGCGAACCGCCCATGAAGTTGCTGGCTAGTTCGAAGCCTAACTGCAATCTATCTCGTGTTCGCCGTTTTTATGAGGATATGTGACTTTTTCCCATCTTGCTGCTTCGTTCCCCACTCAGAGAGGGCTGATCTAGAGAGGTTCATGCGTGTGCCTTAGAAGAGCATGCAGTAGTCATCAGTGGTGAAGAGTCAACCGACTGGGGATCTTCAATCTGATACAACATGCACAGCCAAGGATCATGGCTGACAAAGAGAACGCGGGGCGCATTGAGGGGTAAAATAACCCTGATGGCCCTGAGTTGTGGGGTAATTTCCCCAGACTTGGCAAGTTAATCTGGATGAACGCTATCCCCAGTCATGCAGCCGGGGTTGGTATTGAAGGCCTCTGTCAGCACCGGCTGAACCTTCTCCCCCTCGCGGCCAAGATCTTGGAACGTCAGCGCGTCTGGTGCGCCGAATTAGTGGTCCACAAGCCATAGCAAACCAGGAATAGTGTTTCTCAGCAGTGAGTGGCATGTAGGGCGCAGGACAGCCGCAATCCTGCCAATGCCAAGTGCCAGTGTTTACGGTCAAAAGCCCCTTGGGAAGATGGCAGAGCATCTTTACTTTCAAGGACGTCGAGTCATGTTATCAGTATTTCCGCCATACTAACATCGTTTCAATTGAGGATCAAGATTGACTGTATCTGAAGCTTATTATTGCTTTGTGAATTGCTGTCGCTACACTGTGATCGATGATGGTGGTGGTGGTTTCCTTAATAGGCAGGTATACTATAACACGGCCGCTCTGCCTGGAGTTATCACACCCTTAATATCCCCTCTTTTCTCCTCTTCTACTCTTCCTCCTCCTGCTTCTCATCCTTTATCGCTACCACCAGAGCACCAGCAACACCTAGCAGATAAATTAACTAGTTCTCGTCCCTAGCCGGCCATGTAGGCTATACACTCTTTCTTACCCATCTTCAGCCCGTCTTAATAGATGGACTCATTGTGGGCTACAAGACACGATATGTCATTTTCTGCTGAAGGCGCATTGGCTCAAAATTAGTTCACCCCCATGAGCTGTGCCACTATGCAAGGTGCTGTGGACAAACAAGTTCTCAGGAACCACCTACCTTGACTGCGCCGTGCTGGACACGAGTTGAGAGAGATGGCTTATACCATGCATACCTACCATGATACTAGAAATCTTCGGCTGGTGGCTACGCCCTCCGATACCCCATAAGGGGCAAGTCCCGTGTTGCTCCCCGAAGCCGCCGTCGGGGCGGAGCTCCGGGCTTGCGGTCTGCAGGCACCAAACCACTTGTTCCTCAAGACGATGCAGTGGAAGGAACAGAATAAGCTTGCCGAGCACGATAGGGCGATTTCGGAGGAATCACGCAGAGACTCAAGGCGCTTCATGCACAACGTGCTCAGATCGAATGGCACTAACTGAGGTCAGTTCGAGAGCTTCGTCGATGTCTACCAGAAGGTTCTCGTATCTGACGATATTGGCGGTCTTTGCCATGCTGAGGGTCTCTTTTTTGCTGATATTGTTGTCCAGGTACTTTCTATCACTGTGTTGATGGTATCGTGGTTCATGGTGTATGTTCATGTTTCGAAGAATAACCCGGAAATTTCGCTAACCCCACGTGAATGATGATGTGTCAAAAGCAAACAGTATATTGTGGGTGAGGGGAGTCCATCGATACAGCGAGGCTGATACTAAAAGCTAAGACCTGCTGAACATCCTCCTCTTATGGCCAAATCTTTAGTCGTGTGTCGAGCCACTTGTCTAGGAGCCATCAAAGGCAAGGGATAGTGCATTTCGGATGTTGAGATAACTTTGCCGACGGCAGTCGCCATTCTCCACGGCATAGTAGCCATATGGCTCATGCTAGAGGAAACACCTGTTATCGAGGTAGAAGCAGGGTTTAACAGATGAGTGTGTTCACGTTCACTTTGGGCCTACCGCGTAGTTGCTTATAAACTGTTGCAAGTGGTGATCAAAGTCTGCTTACTACATTCAGCATACCCGGCAAGTTGAGTCGAAAATGATTGCACCATCCAGTGACATGGCCGGCATAATATTTAAGCACTCTTGGCAAACTTGCTTGAAGGCGGCAAGCTTTCGGTTTCGGGCCGACCTTCACCCTGTGGTTAGACTCGGAGCCACGACCTCCAATTACCAGCGGGATAATGCAGGAGATATCAGCAGCTGTCCCAGTGCGGGCCTTGGGTCTGCGGCCGAATTATAGGGCGTTTCGGTGTCAGGATACCCTGGACGGTTTCCTCTGAACCGATTCTTGCACGCCGTTACTTGATCGCACTTCTTGAGATCCTGGCTACGAGCACGGCCATCGCATGACAAATTCGCAGCGTCACAATCAAGTCAAAATGGCCTAGTCCTCTTCGTCCGACACGTTGAGAAGGTGGCCAGGGCGAAGGTGGATCGCCTCGGTCAACCTCCGAGCGGCATGGCCGTCGGAAAATGATACGTGCTGGGATTTCCCCACTCTGGGGTGCTTTCTTTGCGGAGAAGGAACAGGAGATGTCGAGTTGGTCAGACATCGCTAAGAGAAAGCTGACGCTTCAACCTCTCTGCTCACCGCACATGCATCGAATGAGCCACTTTGCCGACTTCCCGTGGGGGCATCCCGACTCTGCCTGCAGCTGCCCACCAAACCCACTTCTTGACGCCGAATGACGGCTCGATTCTCAAATCCTGGTGCTTGCGCTCCTTGATCCTGGTTCAGCGAGGCCCGGTAGTCACGTCAGCAAACCTATCTAATCAGCCGACGAAATGCCGAAGGACGTGGGGGGGAATTCTTCGGACTGCACAGGGTGAGACTTGCGGGGATCAGCCCATGAGCAGGATAATCCACAGATGCGTGTATCCGGGGTTGCCCCAGGTGTTTGGCCCTCCCTGGCTCTTGTCGCATCTATTTAAGTCCCACTCTTACCAGTGCAGGAGAGACCAATTTTCTTTCCTCTCAAGAATCTCGTGCGTGTTTCTTTCTTGGTTGCCTGATAGTCGAGGCAGGCTCGAGTTAGAGAGACGCCTATCAAAATGCAGGGACCATCCCTTCGCTATGCTCAGATTTTCCTGGTCGCCCTACCTTCTTTCGTCCTGTTTGGGTACAACCAGTCAGGCGTAGGTGGTCTGGACGACTTCACCTCTTGGATCAGACAATTCCCCGCAATCGACACGGTCAATACGACGGGGGCTCAAGAGAATCACAATGCTACCGTCCAGGGTGCAGTGGTGGCGTCCTACACAATTGGTGCTCTTATCGGAGCTCTTTCCTGCACTGCGGTGGGAGACATTCTCGGTCGCCGCCGTACGATATTTGTGGGAGCCTTGATCACCTTGATCGGTCAGGCTCTGGAATGCACGGCTTTTGTGCTGGCTCAGTTTATCGTTGGTAGAGTAATCCTCGGTGTGGGAGTTGGTATGCTGAGCGCGACCGTACCCGTCTGGCAATCGGAATGCTCACCTGCTGCTCAACGTGGACGAAACGTGGTCCTCACGGGCATGTTCATCGCCCTGGGGTTCGCCCTCACCCAGTGGGTTAACTTCGGCTTCTACCACATGCAAGCCTCGTCCGCTGCATGGCGAGTGTCGCTTGCCATTCCTGCTATCTTCTCCTTCATGGTTATGGGCAGCATTTTCTTCCTTCCCGAATCTCCCCGCTGGCTGGTCATGAAGAACAGGTCGGACCTGGCTCAGCGGACGCTCGCAGCCCTGCGTGGCCAAGAGCTCGAATCGCTCGAGGTCATTGCCGAGCTTCGCGCCTTCGAAGTATCTTTGGAAGAGACCTCAAATGGTAACATGAAGTTAAGGGACATCTTTACCATGGGCGAGGAGAAGCTCTTCTACCGGTTCCTCTTGTGCATCGTCCTTCAGTTCTTCCAGCAGATGAGCGGTGGTACGCTGATCTCGGTATACATTCCGACGATCTTCGAGACCAACCTCGGCCTCGGATCAAGTCTTTCCAAGATCCTCGCGGCGTGCGCGCTGACGTGGAAGTTCCTCTGCTGCTTCGTCGGCTTCGGCATCATCGACCGCATGGGACGACGCACAGCATTTATGGTCAGCGGCGGCGGCATGTCCGTGTGCATGCTAGCCCTGGCAGTCTCCAACTCGTTCAAGGACAACCACACCGCATCAATTGTCTCGGCCTTCTTCATCTTCCTGTACAACTTCTTCCTTCCCGTCGGCTTCCTGGGCGCCAATTTCCTCTACCCGGCCGAGGTTGCGCCCGCGCGCCTGCGTGTTGCCATGCAGTCATTCGCTATTGCCAATCAATGGTTGTGGTACGTTACCTACCTTTCTCCGTCTCATGAAAAACTTGAATAAGGCTGACCCGTCTAGGATGTTCGTGGTCGCCATGATCACCCCAGTCGCCGTCAGTGATATCGGCTACCGCTACTACATCGTCTACACCGTCATCGCCGGCATCATTCCGCCTGCCATCTACCTCTTCTACCCCGAAACCAAGAACAGGTCGCTGGAAGAGGTCGACGAAATCTTCCGCGACTCGCGCTCTATCTTCGAGGCGGTCTCCATTTCCAAGAAGAAGCCGGTTGGGGACCGCGTGGCGGAGCAGTTCATGGAGAAGGCTACCGTTGAAGAGGTGGAGTGACGGGAATATAAAAGATCGATATAATCGTCTTCAAGGCTGGTTGGTTGTCAATAGATTGTATATATGAGTTATGATTGAGCATTGAGTGATTTGCTTCCATCATACCTTCAGCTGTTGTCTAGTTCTGGTGCTTCTGGTGACCACTGGATGTTTGTAACACTGACAGACTGGCTCATGGTGAGTAAAGTTCTTGACAAACTGACTGTCAGATCTGTCGATCTTTCGTGATATGTGGCTGATCTAGGCCTTATGAGGCGTATATAGTAGTCAAGGTGGTGTGCCACACCGCCTTCCGCGCAGTCTGAAGCAGGGTCTCACTAGTCTTCTCCCAACTTAGTCCAGCCCCTGGAGAATATACACCCCGAGTTACCGTTCACCATGCCATGATGCCTAACCCCTCGCATCCTGCTCCCAAGCTACACATGGCCAGACCCCATCGCATAGTCTTTACGCACGGTGATTTCCAGCATCATGCTATCGGGGTTCATGAGGGTCGCGTCTCTGGGCTCTTGGACTGGCAGGCTTCGGGTTTGTAGCCTAATTATTGGGAGTTTACGACGCCGTTGCGGTTTGCGAGGGAGGGATTTGGTGGTGCGGGTTTTTGGCGGAGTTGGATGCGGACAGGGCTCCGGTGAGGTTGACGGATGATTATTTCTGTTGGTGATTGCTATACCTTTGGTAGGAGGTTATGGGGGAGGTAAGTAGGTAGCTGGGTGGGAGTTGAGTGTCTGGGATGGGACTGACTCAGTTGTACTAACAGACTTTCATCTGGCTGTGGAAGTTCTATCCCCGTGCCGGTGGGCCCTGGACGGTTGGGCCCATGGGTCGAAAGGCGGCCCGGGGGCCTGTGCCGTGTTCTCGCGCGTCACTGGTTGCGGGTAGTATACAGGATCTATCTAGGAACCGGACTGGGCATTCCCGCGATAAGCGACCAGCTCAGATTGGCTCCGTTGATTCGTGTGAGTGCCTCCTTCGGGGAGCTCCATAGGCTTTGAGGTCTGGGCGCTATAGGGACTTCCTACCGAGCCATGGCAAGGTATTCTCGGTTTACCAGCGGTAAGTTTCCTGTTGTGCATAATGAGCTATGTACTCCGAAGATTGCAGTACTTCATCGCCGCAGACTCGGTCTTTGACAATGGCTGAACAGCAGGCGCGCTAAGGCAGTGACATCATCAACTCTTGCCTCCCCCTCAGAGACTACTAAGTATCGTCGCAAACGCATGAGCCCGACCACTGTCATTATTATGTTTCCCACGCAGATAAACAAACACATTTTTAACCAACTCGGATACATGGAATTCGCTCACGGACCCTGTACGCAGCTCCAAATTGTCGTCATAATGCAGCTCAATGATTCGCAAACAATCACGGATAATGACAGCCGCCTGAAAACAAGAAAGTAGAAGACACGCCGCTCATAAATACAAGAAGTAAACTCGCTCTATGTTACCAGCTCAATTAACAGACATATCCATACATCATGCAGCCTTGCAAATAGATCAAAACCAGAACCCAGCATAGCGTACAGCTCTGGATCTAGGTCAAGGTGTAGCCACCATCAACACGGAGATCGGCACCGGTGATGTACCGAGATGCGTCACTCAGCAGGAAGGTGACAGCGCCCATGAGATCTTCCGGGGCACCCATCTTGCCCACAGGAATGAGAGAGATCCACTTATCGCGCAGCTCCCGGTTTTCCTCCAAGATTTTGCGGGTGCTATGATCATCATTAGCAGGGTTCAAGAGTAGAATGGCGCGGAATACTCACAGAGCAGTAAGCATGTATCCGGGGCTGATGCAATTGACGCGGATGTCATGACCGGCCCATTCCACCGCAAGGGATGCGGCGAGGTGGCGGACAGCGGCTTTGGAAGCATTGTATGGAAATTGCGGCTGTGGGACATTCGTTATTGAGCCTGACATGCTGCCAATCATCACCATGCTACCAGGGGCCTTGCGCTCCAGCAGGTGCTTGGCGACACCGATGGCAAACAGATATGTTCCATCGACATTGACACCCCACAGCTTCTTGATGCGGTCGTATGGGTAGGAAACAGCGTCGAAGTTCTCGGCAAATCCCGCGGATGTAACGAGATGGTCAATCTTGCCATGCTTCAGGATCACCTCGGAGATGGCAGTATCCACAGACTCGGGATCTGAGACATCGGAGTAGTGAGCCGTGACGCTCGGAATCCTAGAACAGCTCTTGTTAGGTCTGGCAGACTCGGCGCGAGCGATTGACATACTGATCTGCCTCCAAGCCCGGGTTCTCCTTTTGGAATTGCTCCACTAGTTTCTTTGCCTGTTCTTCAGCCTCCTGCTCTAGATAAACCTATCAGTATGACATCTCCGAATATGCTGAACACCATTGGGTAAAACATACTGTTCAAATCGACAATGGCTAGATCAGATCCCGAGGCAACAATGGCCTGAGCCATGGCCAATCCCAACCCGCGAGCACCTCCAGTGACCAGTGTCACTTTGTTCTCTAAGGAGAAATCGGCGAGAGTTCGCTTGAAGTGCATTCCGCCCCGGCCCTGCACAACTGGGGATCGCGGCATATGTTCGTCATCAGGGTATTCGATCTTGACATTTTCGTCGGTACGAGCGTATTGACCTTCCGCCTCCAGAGTACCCTTGGGAGCATTAGTCGTTGCTGTCAACAGAGGGTCCTTCTTGCTCTTGTCGTCTTCTTTTCGATAGAGGGGCGCCGTAGATGAGAGGGGTCTGAAGAATGAGGTAGTCAGAGCTTTGCGAGTGGGTTGGCCTAGTGCCTTTGCAGCTTGACGAAAGTTCGCTGGTCTGAACATGGCGAAGGTACGGGAGAAGTTCTACTAAAGGATACTGGACCAAGTCGGTTAGCAATGGTGGTGGTTTAGAAAATAGATGGGTTAATTGGAGAAGAAGCAGGAAGGACCAACGAGCGCAACATCTGGCTTACAAGTAAAAAGAGCTGGTACTGGAGATAATGAAGATGTCTAAAGGATCGGCTTTAATGTGTAGGGGAACTGAGGAGCTTTAAGAGGCAAAACATTGGGGCAATGAGTTCCATCGAAGGCAAACCTTAGAGCTGGAATAAAAAATCCAGAAACAAAATCCAAAAACAGCAGCCTTGCCAAAGGGAGATTAGAATTTGATCCTGCCGGGACTGAGATCGAGGAGCTGGGGAATGTAGAAGCGGAGGGGAAAGTGTACAACGGCTGTCGTTGCGGTGTGACCCAATCGACTGGTTGTCGTTTCTCCTTCGGATGGCAAAAGGTTCCCCCTTCCACCTCCGTCTCATCTTGACATTCCTTCTCGAATGGTTCTTTTTCTCACAACACAGCAGCCATCCGGTCGCAGGTGATGTCAGGCGGTGGTGAGAAATACCACGGCCAGGCCTTAACCGCCATTCAGCAATCGGGCCAGCCAGGATCGGCTCTTTGCCTCCGCTCGTGACTTCTTCCCTGGGCTTGGACCGGCTTCTGGCCGATTCCTTGTCGACTTGAACCAGTCCAAACTTTGCAATGACAGAGCCATGAGGTATGCTCCACAGCCATCGTCCGGGAGGTGATTGACAAGTGCATGGTTGATCATCGATATGAAATTCAGTGTGCCATTGTCGTATCTAGCCCAGTGTGCACGGCGATAAGCTGAAATGAGCCAAGCTACGACTGCTCAGAAATGCAAAACCAGTGTGTTTCTTGGCTCTCATTTCAATGATCCATCTTCGTATGTCCACATGACCATATATTTAATGAGCTAACCATCTATATATATCTCTCAACATCGGTACTTCTAGCCGCACTAAGTCCCCACTCTATCCCGAACGAACGTTGCCTCAATCCACTGGATCCGGGATACATGACCCAGCCATCATGTCCTATCCCAGGTCGCAAAGCATCAATTACATCCTGCTAAATGAACCCAATACCTGCACTATCGCACGCCAATATGCTACGGAGTGCCACCCTTTCCCTACAGTGCTGTAGCTCGACTCATGGAAAACTAGCTATCGCTGCACTTTCATGCTAGCCGCGAGCTGCAAGCCTATCCTGCCAACTGAAAAGCCACACGGCTGCAGCATTACGAATCACCTACAGCCCTAAAACATAGGGAAGAGGTAATGTACCCTTACACTTCGCCACTTCCTCCTCACCCTGGCGTTTATTTGCCAGTCGGTCAAGGAAGAAAGACATCGATCTGCAGTCACACCTGTATCGTACTTTTTTACCCTCCTCTTTCTGACACTATAAGCTCGGAAAGCCCAAAACATGGACGGCAGGCGGAGGGCTTCCAACTCCGGGCATCCCGCGCGCGCTAATCGGTGAGTGAGAACTGGGGAGCGGACTGGGTCCCCACTAGCCCCATGGGTATGGTTCCGCCAAACAAAGGTGAAGTTCTGTAGATGTACTCCTACTTCGGGTGCCGCCTCCCTCGCTATTGCTATTGATACAGCACAATGTTTGCCACCTGTCTTATCACCATGGCTCATAGGAGTGCACATGCATGATTCAGCCGCGGGACGCGTAGTTACCGCAACGCTCTCTCACCCAGCGGTCTCTTCGACGGGTATATCCGAGTCACAGCGGAGCATAGCTTCTTGTGTAGAGATAACCGGTTAACCTTGTTTTGGCTATGTGGCCAATTTGGAAGTGCCCAGACAAGGTCAAACGATCCATCATCTTTGCTCTGTACTGCTGATTGTCTACAGGTTGTAAGTGAAGAACGAGAGTGTTAACACCGAACAACTCACTTCTCCTGTCCCCTGCCCTTGACGGATAGACACAAGGATCCAAAGGATCTGGCTTCATCCCTCGCTCCCCACAATGTCGGTTTCTCTCGCATACCACAAAGTGGCAGACGCTTCATTGTGAACAAAATAACAATTATCAATTCAACGCTCCAAAGAACACTTATTACACAATAAGAACTGCCAACGAGACTCCTCAATGTCACCTTCCATCTTTCGCGCACCGGTTGGCCAGGTCATTGTTTGGCCTCTTATTCTAGATCTACGTCTCTCTCTCCCCATCTGAGAGAATCAACCAGATGGTGTCTTCCTCTTTCTCACTCGCCGCCCTCTTCCGCGAATTCAACCAGCGGTGTTCCGCTCTTGCATTGATCCTGCAAGGTACCTGTTAGTCATCTGACTGCGAATGTCTTTGTGCTAAAATAAACAAAACAAAGTGGGGTAACGATGAGTGTTTTGGAAGGCTCGTGGGAGTGGCTGTGGGAGCCTTGACGGTTTCACCGCCCATGCGAAAGGTACAGTAATAGCGCCTCATAAGAGCCGAACGCGGCCCTAAAAGATGAAAAGAAGGCGAGCCACTTCTCGCTCAAGTCCCAATCTACCAAGATCTGGACCGACCTGGTCGGAAGGTCCGGAATTTCATCTTGGCCTGCGCCGAAGTCCCCCCGGGAGCCGATTCGTGAGTTCACACATCGGGCGAAATGGGAATACGAAAAACAATAATGGGATAAGCATGAAGAAACGTGCGACTTACTCCTTTCTGATGAACCACTTTGGCAATAACACCCTTGTGCGGGCTGCGGATGACCGTCTCCATCTTCATGCTCTCGATCACTACGAGCGGCTGATCCTTCTCGACAGTGTCGCCTGCAGCGACCTCCACGCGCAGCACTTTGCACGGCATGGGCGCGAGAACGCTGTTCTTGATGTCCTTCATGCCTAATGCTTTCTCCATCCATTTCGCTGGTGGGATTGTGAGGCGGTATTGCGTGCCCTTTTGGAAGACGATGATTGTGTCTCCATCGCGGATCACTGTTGTATCGAGGCGAGTGTGCGGGAAGAATGAGGTGACGACGCGCGAATTAGGGTCGTCGTGACTGGTTACCGGCTCAAATACAATGTCGTTTACGGTTATATTGTATGTGTCATCGCCTGTTTGTTGGATGCGAATGTCGTGTCGCGAGTCATCCTTAGCGCCGGGTGTCCGATCTGCAAATGATATTTGATGCGCCTGATAGCCGGGACTGAAGCCAACTGCCGAGCCCTCGAAGCTAGCTTGCGTGCGAGACGCAAGGCTGGAGTCCCGCTGAAGGCAGGCCAATGCCACCTGTGCCAGCACCTCGGGATCAATGGACTTCCCAGCAAATAACTCTTCACGGTGCTTCTCGATGTATCCGGTTTCCACTTCGCCTGAGACAAAATCAGGGCTTCGACAGATGGTCTTCAGAAACTCGATGTTTGTGATCGGGCCTGCAATCTCGTATTCTTCTAGCGCCGCCGCGAGCTTACGGATGGCTTCCTCTCGCGTGGCGCCTCGCACGATGAGCTTGGCGATCATCGGGTCGTAGTGTGCTGATACTTCGTCGCCGGCGACAAAGCCGGCGTCGATGCGGACATCCTCAGTAGCGGTGGGCGTGCGCACGTGCAGCAGGGTACCAGAATCTGGGATGAAGCCCTGATCCGGGTTCTCGGCGTAGATGCGAGCCTCAATTGCGTGCCCACGGGTAGCCATGTAGGTCTCCACCTCGTCTTGGGTCAATGGCAATCGGGCGCCTTCCGCTACCTTGATCTGCCAATGCACCAAGTCCTGTCCGGTCACCATTTCCGTGACAGGGTGTTCGACCTGCAGTCGGGTGTTCATTTCCATGAAGAAGAACTCGCCGCTGTCATTGTCGAAGATGAATTCCACTGTGCCCGCGCCTTCGTAGCCTACCGCTAGGGCAGCTGATCTTGCCTTGGCCCAAATGTCTTTTCTGGTCGCGTCCGGTAGATGGGGGGCAGGAGACTCTTCCAGGATCTTCTGGTGGCGGCGCTGTATGCTGCAGTCACGCTCACCCAGAGCTACACAGTTCCCATGCTTGTCGGCGAAGACTTGAACTTCGATGTGACGGGGCGTAATAATATACTTCTCCACGAGGACGTGATCGTCTCCGAACGAACTCATGGCTTCTGATTTGGCGGACTGGAGTTGGGCTTGAAACTCGGCTTTGGAGCGTGCGATGCGCATACCCTTGCCGCCTCCACCTTTGACCGCTTTGATCAAAACAGGGTACTTGATTCTATCGGCCTCTGCCTCGAGGAAGTTGGGGTCTTGATTTTCACCATGATAACCGGGGACGCATGGCACACCCGCGGCGGTCATGATGTTCTTGGACTGGCTGTAACGGGTCAGCAACTTTTGCCCATCTTTATCCTAAACCAGCCATCCTACCTCTTATCACCCATATCCTCGATCGCCTTCCAGGGCGGACCGATAAAGACCAGTCCAGCTTCTGTGCATTTCCTGGCAAAAGCAGAGTTCTCGCTCAGCTGCGCGGGATCAGTTCACCTGTTCAGGTCAACCAAGGACTGTAACCACTCACGAAGCCATAGCCCGGATGTATCCCTTGACAGCCCTCCCGCTTCGCAATCTCGATGATCCGATCTCCGTCCAGATAGGCCGAGACCGACCCAAGATTATAGGCAAACGGCGAGCTCAAGGCATGCTGGGCTCTGCTGTCTGGATCTGTGTAGAGCGTCGTCACCCGAATGCCATGCTGGGCGGCAGTTCGTCCGACCCGTCTGGTTCGAGAAAGTCAGCGACAGCAGAGCATGGGTAGAGATAGGTCAAGAACAAGCATACAACGCGATCTCTCCTCTATTCGCGATCAAGATCGAGTCCAGCGATTTTGAAACCGTAGGAGCATCAGCAGCAAGAGTGGAGGCTGCTCTTCTGGCCTTCCGGACCGTCGCGGGCCCTAGACGGGATGTAGTGCGGAGAAGCGATGAGAGGGTCATGATGGTTGACCAGATGAAGATTCGATTCAGAAGAGATTGATCAACACAGCAACAGGAAAATTGTAGCTGCTCGCATATTCCTGTCACCGCAAGAATTCAACCCAGTTCATTAACGTGGGTAGGTAGCCACCGCGAGCAGCAGCACCCCGGGTTCTTGTAGATGCCCCCAGCTTCAACTATGGGGGAAGCGGGACCCCCTTGAGCCGACGCAAAGCGAACGGCTGCGGGGAAGCCCGTAGGCACGTGACTGCGCGATCCACCGGTCGGTTTTTTCGAGTTGCCGAGAACGCTTGAAAGAAAGAAACGATCGAAACCGGGTCAGCGCCGATTGCATCAGAGTCAGTCAGTCAGTCAGTCCGTCCGTCCGTCACGACTCTCCCTCAGCCTCCCTCCTTACCCTCTCCTCCATTGCGATCGACACCCTTCCATTTGGTTACTGCTTTACCTCTTTTGTCTGCAGCCCATTCGCCCTGTCTTTTTGGTTCGGGTCACTTTTGTTCATCCCATTCGTTCTTTTCTTTCCGTATCTACGCAACACGACAAACCCTGACGCGCAACACGCATCTGCCTGCCTTGCCTTTCCCTCACTTTCCAAGTGTCTGCAGCGGAACGAAAATCTCCGACAACAGTCGCACATACATTTCACCTTTCCAAGAGAATAAATATATACAGCACGGAACTGAATCATGTCCGACGACGAGGACTATTACGATGAGTACGACGAGGATATCTTCTGGGTGGAAGAGCCCGATCCCACCATTGCGGTAAGTTTCAGACAGCACTTAAACCACCTAAGACACCACCAACCAACTCCCTGCCCCTATCGCATCTCAAAGTCTCACACCCAACCACAATCGCACCTCCCGACCAACAAACACAAACTAACCCTCACGAACAGGACGACCTAGCCGCAACCGCCACGACGGACGCCATCTTCTACGAAGACCCCGCTCTTGAAGTCGAAGACTACTTCTCCGACTGGGACGATCTCTCAGACGACTACTACGACGAGGACCCCACCGCCGTGCGCCGCGCCCGCGCCTTGGGACTGTTATCCAAACATCACCATCACCATCACCATCACCATCATCACCACCAGCACCACCAGCATCCCGCGACGAAACGGCACCGCGCGAACAGCAAACCCACCCCGTTCTTTGATCTAGCTGCTTTCCAGAGTGTCGTGTGGAAGAACCCAAAGCATGATGTTGAGGAGATCGTTGCGCTGCATGAGCCCGGCGAGGGAGAGAAGGTCGCGCTGCTGAAGAATTGGAGGGAGGTGTTTCGGAGTGCGAATCCCAGGGCTGCTGCTGTCGCTAACGCTGCGGGGAGAAAGAGTGCGCAGCAGCAACAACAGGGGCTGTGTTTGAGGGGGAGTAGTGTCGGGGTGGAGGGGAGGAATGGCGAGAGTAAGAGGGAGGAGAATTCTGCTATTGTGGTTGATGGGGCTGGTAATGGGAAGGGCGTTGGGAAAGGGCAGATGGTTAATGGAGACGGATTTGTCGCGGCGGGGTTGGTGATTGATGCTGGCTCTGTTGATGAGAGGGTGGCGCTTGATGAGGCTGAGCTTGAGGCTACGGCTGCTACGAATGCTGTGGAGGTGGACGGCGAGTCTCATGAGGCCGGTGATGGGTCCTCGCTCGATGAGTCCAGAGACCCGGTTGAGAAACCGACGGTCCTGAGGACCAGGAAGCGTAAGGCCGATGATGCGGTGGAGGACGCTCCGGAAACCGCAGCCAAGACCAGAGCGAAGAGGGTTGCCTCTGCGAAAGTGGGCAAGGCTAATATTACAGATGTCCCTGCTGCGACCTCGGGCCCTGTGCGGAGGTCAGCCAGGAATAAATAACGGAGCGCGATCATTCCGAATGCGCGTTACGATGTTATGAACTTCTTTTGTTTCTCTGTGTGTGTTGTTTATCCAATTTATTAACTGCATATAATTAATCCACTAAATCTTAGCAGCCTGAGGTTCTATGCGTATTCCTTGTTGAAGGCCCGTCCGATCACCATGCGCCGGATCTCACTCGTCCCCGCTCCAATTTCGTATAATTTCGCATCTCGTAGCAGTCTCCCTGCGGGGATCTCGTTGATGTATCCGTTTCCTCCCATGAGCTGGATCGCGTCGAGGGCGCATTCTGTAGCGCGCTCAGCAGCATACAGAATCGCCCCTGCGCAGTCCTGGGTGCGGATGACGGCTCCGGACGGAGATCCGGCGGAGTTATCGATCTGTCGGGCAGTCGCGTATGTGTAGGCGCGCGAGGCCGCAAGCTTCGTGTGCATGTCTGCCAGCTTACCCTGGATCAGTTGATTGTGAGCAATGGGCATCCCGAACTGTTTGCGGACATGCGTATATGGCAACACGAGGTCTAGCGCAGCCTGCATGATTCTGCGACACAATTAGCATCAACCCCGAAGGACCCCCTTCTCTCAGCTTATATCAAGGTAATGCCTGTCAGGAAGAGAACTCACCCCAATGGACCCGCACTCAGCACCAGACGCTCCAAATCCAACCCCTCCATCAACACCTTGACCCCGCGGTTCACCTCTCCCAAAACATTCTCCTTGGGCACGAAGACATCCTCAAAGACAAGCTCTCCAGTGTTCGAGCCGCGCATACCCAGCTTATCGAGTTTCCGGGCACACGAGAATCCCTTTGATTCCTTCTCGACGACAAATGCAGTGATACCCTTGGAGCCCTTCTCGGGCTCAGTCTTCGCATATACCACAATGTAATCTGCATCTGGGCCCTGCGTGCCATCAGCCATGTACTTATCTAGAGCGGTATGTCAGGGCAAGTCTCACGTTCGTGATCCACATCTTCGTCCCGTTCAACACCCACCCCCCGTCTACAGCCTTGGCCGTTGTCTTCATGCTCACCACGTCGGACCCAGCCGAGTGCTCGGACATGGCGAGAGCGCCGACCTTGTCTCCTGAAAGGAGACCAGGGAGGAACCGTTCTTTTTGTTCGGGGTTTCCGTTCAGCGAGAGTTGGTTGACGCAGAGCTGTGAATGGGCCGCATATGAGAGGGCGATGCTTCCTGTTGCGCATGCATCAGTACGTCGAGCGTGTCTAGAGGAGGGAGGAGGGATGTGTACCGGATGCACGACTGATCTCTTCCATCACTATGCAGTGGGCCTGGTAGCCCATTCCGAGACCGCCGTATTCCTCGTTCGCTGTGATACCTAGGAATCTTGTCCGAGACGGTTTGTCAATATGACATCCTTCCTGTCTGCAAATTGAGGGACTGGATCCTACCCAGCTTCGCCGAGCTTCTTCCACATCTCCGCCGGGAATTCATTCTGAGTGTCTGTCCGCGCGGCAAGCTCCTCAGGGATTTCTCGCCCTTGATTCCGCAGGGCATGGTCAGAATTATAGATGGTTCATGAGGAATGGGGCACGATACGTACGGGTGAATTCCTGGACTCGCTCACGTAGCTCTAGCAAGTCATCTTCCGTGGGAGGAACGAAGTCTTTTGGGTGTTTGGTTGCCAGGGTCCGTAATGCGGGGGACTGGATGAGGGGATGGATGCGTCTGGCCACTGTCCGGGAGGAAGTCCGGAGAAGACTGGGGAGTCGCGGAAGGGTAGCCATGGTAAAGGTATCAATTGACTCGGTGTTTGCCAACGAGAAGGTAGTCAGGAAGTCATCAACATATATGAAGGAGAAGGCTGGAAAGAGGGGGTCGCGCGCACCGAGGGAGTAAACGAACGATGTCACCGCCGCGGCTAAACACGGCAAGCAACGCTCTTCTTCTCCGCATGTCACCTGCTCTCTCCTCTCTCGTTCTCCCTCCGCTTGCGTCTTGTTCCCCATTCCCCGGCAAGATAAAAAGACCGTATCCGCTGTTTGCCTTTTGGTTACTGCAGTGGGCAATGAAATAGCATATTCTGTCCTCTGCACCCGGTTGACGTTCCTTGGGAATTGGTCTCCGCACCGCACCCTCTTCTTCCCCGGCTTTTCCACCCCCATCCATCCCCGCAATGCGCGCTCCGTCTCCGCTTCTGCGGAGCCTGAGACCCAACACAGTCTCCCTTCCATGTCGACGACTACCACTGCGTCCATCCACCACCAAAATATTCTCACAACACCTCTCCAGATCAATTGCCAGCTACACACACCCTCATCATGCATCCGCTATATCCGTCCTCCCCACCGCCGTGGACACCACCTCGTCCGAGTTCCGGGAAAACGCCCAGCAAATGCAGGAGCTCCTTGATCGGATGGCCAGTCTTCACGGGACAATATCACAAGGCGGTCCCCAGAAGGCCAAGGACAAGCACCTAGCCAGGGGCAAGATGCTGCCTCGAGACCGAGTCAGCGCACTCATCGACGCGGGCACATCTTTCCTTGAGCTTTCTCCACTCGCAGGCCACGAGGTCTACGACGAGGACGTGCCTGCCGGCGGGATCATCACCGGAATCGGCACCGTCGAGGGAGTGAATTGTATGATCGTCGCCAACGACAGCACGGTCAAGGGTGGCACCTACTACCCGATCACCGTGAAGAAGCACCTCCGGGCGCAGGCCATCGCACAGGAGAACAAGCTACCCTGCATCTACCTGGTCGACTCAGGGGGCGCCAACCTTCCGCACCAGGCGGACGTCTTCCCGGACCGCGACCACTTCGGCCGCATCTTCTTCAACCAGGCCCGGATGAGCTCGCTGGGCATCCCGCAGATCTCCGTCGTCATGGGCCCCTGCACAGCCGGCGGCGCCTACGTGCCCGCCATGAGCGACGAGACCATTATCGTCGAGAACCAGGGCACCATCTTTCTGGCGGGTCCGCCCTTGGTCAAGGCAGCCACAGGCGAGGTCGTCTCCGCCGAAGATCTGGGAGGAGGGCATCTGCACAGCACGATCTCCGGCGTAACAGACTACCTGGCCGTCGACGACGCGCACGCCCTCGTATTGGCCCGCCGCTCCGTGGCCAACCTGAACTACCCGCAAAGCAACCTCCCAGTCACGCCCACCACCCCCACGAGTACTACTACTACCACTAAAACCACCTTCAAAGAACCCCTCTACGACCCCACCGAACTCAACGGCATCGTAGGCACCAACCTACGACGACAGATCCCCGCACACGAAGTCATCGCCCGGATCGTCGACGGCAGCGAATTCGCCGAGTTCAAGCGCGACTACGGCACGACGCTGGTAACGGGCTTCGCGCGGATCCACGGGCACCGCGTTGGGATCGTCGCCAACAACGGGATCCTGTTCTCCGAGTCGGCGCTGAAGGGCGCGCACTTCATCGAGCTGTGCGCGCAGCGCCAGATCCCGCTGGTGTTCCTGCAGAACATCTCCGGGTTCATGGTCGGCGCGGACGCAGAGAAGGGCGGCATCGCGAAGAACGGCGCCAAGCTGGTGACGGCGGTCGCATGTGCCGATGTGCCCAAGTTCACTGTGGTGTTTGGATCGAGTGCGGGTGCCGGGAATTACGGCATGTGGTAGGTCCTGTCCCTTATCCACCCCTATCCCATTCCCCTACCCTCAATACTAATCAACCCAACTAACGAACATACGATAATAAAAAGCGGCCGCGCCTACTCCCCCCGCCTCCTGTTCATGTGGCCGAACGCCAAAATCGGCGTAATGGGCTCCGAGCAACTCTCTGCCGTAATGGAAGCAGTGGGCCGCAGCGCCGATCCAGCCCTGAAAGCGCGCATCGACCGCGAATCCGAGGCGGTGTTCTCGTCCGCGCGCCTCTGGGACGACGGCGTGATCCCGCCGGCGCACACGCGCATGTACCTGGGGCTGGGGCTGTCGGCTGCGCTGAGCGGACGGGTCGATAAGGATGTGCAGACAAGGTTTGGGGTGTTCCGGATGTAGCGTTTATTATCGTTGTTATTGTTATTGTCATAGCGGGTGTGGAAGTATCCCAGGGATTTTGGGAGCAATGCAATGCAATGCAGTTCCTTTCAATTCTATAGAATCTACTGGTATAAGTATAGGTACAGTATGGTGTGGATTGTACAGATGGAATAGAGTGTCGGATGACATCATACTGGTTGTGTAGTGTAATGGTTAGCACACGGGATTTTGATTCCCGTAATCCCGGTTCGATCCCGGGCATGACCTTTTTGTTTACGTTTATCTTGTGTTTTTAGCTGATTTGGGGGGGTTGGGGTGGTCTCTGGGTGGGTGTTAGGGTGGTTCTTCTTTCTGTTTGGTGGGAGGGTGGGACTGCTGATGGGATGTTGGGATGGATGGATCGAATGGAAAGGGGAACGTGTTCGTGGTAGCCATGCTTCGGTGGTACCAGGACAGGTTCGATAGAAGAGTTTAGTAGGTCGGTTGATGTTGCTTTAAGGTCGTTGGTGTTTAGAGACTGTGTGCGGAGGGAGGACTCCCCGATGTATAGCACCCTACCACTGATAGTTATATGCTGCGGTAGCAACTCCTTCATATAAGCAATAAAAGGCCAGAGGTCAAGCTGCCACACATGTCTGCATCTTGCTGTAGCATATCAACCAAATAATCAGTAAAGGGAAAGAGGACAGCACACAAATCAATCGCAGATGTCTGTCGCCAGCTCTGCGTCTTGTATTCCCTCGGCACTGCGCAAGCAGCGCAATCTAACAACTTCTCCTTTCTCACAGATAGGTGATAGCCATACACGGCATCAGGATGACACAAAAAGACAAACCAGTAATCAACGTACACTTTTCCAATTCCGAAAACACAAGTCACCGGTGCAAGACGCACCGACAAAAAAACATTGGGCTATAAATCACATATATCTATCGTGGGAGCACGTGGACAGCGTATGATGGACATGGGCGTGGAGAGGTGGATGAGATTTGACATTAAACAAGGCTTGTAGACGGAAGGGGGTATGTGCAGCAAAATAAAAAATAATAAGTCATGCGGATAGGCAAATCATAGCTCGCCAGAGGGGGAATTCCACAGTCGCTTGCATTTGAAGTTTGTTGCTTCGCTTCGTCTCAATATGGATGTTGATTATAAGATCACGCAAGGGCCCTTGCGCCGCTTCTTATCCTTCTTCTTGTCGCCCCGGTTGGGGTTCTCGCGTTTGCGGGAGGATTCGTCATTCTTCGAGTTGCCTTGCAGGTCCTTTCGGATGATCTGTCGGCAGAGGTCAATAAAGACCTCGTTGACGTTGGCTCGTCGACGAGCCGAGGTTTCGTAATACGGGGCGTTGCCCCAGCTCTGGGAGAGAGCGAAAGCGCGGGCGCGCGGCACCGCGCGGTCTTCCTCAAGATCGGACTTGTTGCCTACAATCACAATGGGCACTTTTTCGTCCTCCTTGATGCGGATGATCTGTTCTCGTAACTCGGATAGTTCGTTCAAGGACGACATGCTCGTGATGGAGAATACAAGCAGGAATCCCTGTCCTTGCTTCATATATAGCTCTCTGCGGAGTTCGGTGTCAGTTGCGAGTTCGGACGAAAGACGCGCTGATGATCATTGCGATTGCTTGATTATGATAAAATCATGATGCTGGAGGGTGAACGCGTTGTTTACCTCATGGCCGCTATAGATTGATTAGATGAGGGAACGACCGGAGAATGGAGGTTGACCTACTGAACTGTTCTGTTCCTGCGGTGTCCAGTCTGCACAAGCCACTCAAGTCAGCAATCACAACCCACTATGTACTGCCCTAGCGTCGAGTGCTAGTGTTTGTGTTATTAGATGAGAAGCATACATTTCCAGAATACATTGTCGGCCCTAACAACTGTAAGCGACTGGTTTAGTGTCCGAACGAGAGGGGGTGACTTACGTCTACCTCGATCTGCTTGCGGTAGGAATCTTCGATTGTAGGGTCGTAGCTCTCAATCCACACATTCTGTACGAATTGAGCTGTCGGGCGTCAGCATGGATGAACTCAATAGAAACCCGGGGTTGTCGCCCAGACATACCAGTAAGACAGCTCTTGCCCACTCCTCCTATTGCGCCGAGGAGAACCGCCCGTCGTCAGTGGTGAACCTTTCCCGAGATCCCGGGGAGAATATGTGCCTACCAGCGCCGAGAACGACGATATGATACTCCCGTCTGTGGTCCAAAGCCGAGCGATTAGCGCCCTCCGCGAATCGATGTATCCGATAGCATGACGCGCAAGTCGGGAGACTTACTGTGGCCGCATTGAGACGGTGGTTGCTGATTCGCGATTATGGGGATGCTTGGGGCTGTGTATGAACAAGAGGAATGCGAGAGTGGTGCCGACAACGAATTGATGTCAATTGTATTGTCTGATCTGGGAGGGGTCCGAAGCTGCGGGTCGAAACGAAAAGGCGGCCGGCGGCGACTGTTGCGAATGGGCTGGTCGGTATTTGTTGATGTTTGTCTGTATCGATCCGCACCAATCAATCGTAGGAGGGATGGGGGGGGAGGGGTTGGTCGGAGGTCACTGGCAACCTTGAAGAATGACTCCCTTTCGGAGAGTTGGAGGCGCGGGGGGTGGATTCGGGAGGTGTGCTGGGAGAGCAAGGGCAACCACACGCGATCCGTTACATCGGTCTTAATGCCAATCAATTCCCAACCAATTCCGCGGGAGCTGACAGGCGGGAAGCGTCAGACAGGGAAAAAGAGAGGTCTGAAGCAAGGCAGGGAGGAGGGATGAACGTCCAGAAGAGGAGGTCGGTCGGGATAAAGGAGAACGATAGTCGTTGGGGGTGGGAGGGGCGAGGGGGTGGAAAGATGAGCGAGAGGAAGAGGTGGAGGAGAGGAGAGGAGAAAGAGAGGGGGGAGGGGGAATTCGGGTTTCTGACAATGCGGGAGACTAAAACTAACAACAAGCGTGTGTGAGTGAGTATCAGTCCGTAAGTGTAAGTGTGAGTTTGTGTGAAGTGAGGTGAGCAACAAGAAGAACAAGAGCCAGACTAGACAAGAATAAACCAGCCAGAATAGGCCGGCCAGCCAAGCCCCAAGTCCGCCCAAAGTGGGTGTGGGCTTTGCTTTGTGTGGGGAGAAGGGGAGAGGAAGAAGAAGCAGAAGAGAGAAAGACATTCAAGTGCGATAACAAGCCGATCAGATGAATGTGTCGGGAACCCACCTTTCTGTCCTTGTTCCTTCTGTGCCTTCTTTCCGAGGATATGTGCTTTTTTTTTGTCTTGCTTGTTCTTCTCTTCTCTTTCCCTATGTTATTTTTGTTTATGTGTCTTGTCGTGCACCGTTAGATTCTTGAACCCAAACTCCACGCCTGGGGAAAAGCAAGCAACCGAAGGTCGGCGGCAGCGGTGAGAATTCACTCGAGGGCTTGTTGTGGTCTAAAAAACCTTAAAAAGTCGACAGAGTCTCTCATTAGCATGGCTTGTCGGTATGCTAGTCTAGCAGTTCACTTCCTCTGGGTCCGGAATGCTGGATCCCCCAAACTCAAAACAGCATAATGCGATGCATGCATGGAAGAATCGGTCGAATCCCTCTGTGTAATTCCGAGTTGGATGCTCATCTAGTATGGCTTGGCCAAGAAATCATTGGATCAGAGGTGGTGAGCTGCCCCCAGGGCACTTTCGGAGGTATTGTGCATCCATCCGAGTTCTGGAGATCAACTTTGGGGACTATAGCTAGTGGTGAGGGAGATGAGGATGGGGAGGAGAAGAAGAAGAAGAAGGGGAAGAGAGGGAGAGCATCCAAAGAATCCATAAGCCATACAATCACCGTCATTTACTTACCTGGGTTGAATTCTTAGGAGAAGGAACAATGCACCAAGTATTGAGAAAGTCGTCAAAGAAGGAAAATCAATAGAAGGGGGTGATCGTTGGACCATATAACCTTCCGGACCTGATTGACAAGGGACAACGCAATTACACTATACTTAGTTACTACTGTAGGGATTCATGAATGAACAAAAGTCCAACCTCTTCATATCTTTCCCGATACGAAGCCAATCTATGCTGCCTCCTCATTTCAACGTCATCAACCATACACCCTTCACGATCAACAACAACAACAACAAACACAATGCATCCAATCTAACCTATACACCCCTGCGTTCTCTGGTGGTTAGTTCTCCTTCCGCTTACCTATCACCACCACCACCGACCCCCCAAAAGGAACCAGAAAGAAAGCAAGCGCAAGCCCAATAAACTCCCGGAAAGAAGAAGCCGGGCCACCTGTCAGGGACGGATCAAATCCGGATGAGGGTGCCCCTCCTGCATTGTACTTTCGTATCACTGGTCCGACTCCCATCCCCTCCTTTCGACTAACACATACAGAATCCCTAAGCGAGCCAGCCCAGGACTTTCGTCTCCGACTCCATAACTACTTAACTAAGGTACTAATTTCAGGGCCGACTGATCATGCAGAGACGTCATGCCATCGAGGTCAGTTCCCGGGATGTATCGAGGTCGGAGGTCGGAGGAGGAGGGAGGGGGATTCGATCTATCACACTTACGTAGTCTATCTACTCCGCTGTACAGTACCTTATACTTTGACATCAGTCTTATCAGACATCCCCAACAGCGCACGGCCTCGTCATCGAGCAAACAGACAATATCTGTAGACTGGCTGAACTCGAATTCTTCAGTCCAGAGCGATGATGGGGTGACATAATGCGCATTGCAGCCAGACAAGGTGCTGACAGCATGACACTGACGTGGGCATACTTGATGGGTCCCGGTTGTGTGCATCAAATGTACTGTACATCGCTGAAAAGGCTATACTAGACGGCTGATAAGCATTCATGTGCTGTACAAAGATGACTCGCCAAGTGACATGCATCGCCGCATTCAATTCTAGACACAAAACCTTCATTCTGCCGGCCGAATCTTTCTAAGCGAAGCGATCCTATGATCTTCCTGCAGAATACACTGCAATCCATCATGACTGTTTAGGAAAGTACTATGCATCTATATGTCCCTCTGCGCCAAAACAGCCAATTGGATCCAAGCCGCTGATGGGCGATATGTGCTAGCGTTCCCTCCCCTCCGAAGACTTCCTCGCTCGATGGGCGCCCTAAGGTCGGTAGGATGTCCCTTCGACCCTGTCGGGTCTTTGCTTCTATCATGTACAGGCAACCTCTCCTCAACTGCATCCCTGCTTATCGAGCCGAAGCTGCAGACAGGTCCGTCAGACCGCAAACCCAATCGGATTCTGCCATCTCTTTGACACCATTGACTTGATCCGACCCCTTCACCTTGCGGTCATGCTGCTCCAGGGCGTCGAACACATGACTGAAAACCCGCTGGTTCACATCATGCGCCCACAGGAAGTCCAGATGCTCGTACTCGGGGATTTCCTTGGCCACGGTCCCGCTGGGTAGCTCCGATAGCATGATATTGATGTCGACCAGACTGTCGCTCCCACCGTACAACAGCACGATGGGCGTCTTGATGTTTCTGGTCGGGTACTTGACCGGCTTGTAGAAGCGCTCGCTGGCAACGATGCTGAGCGGCGCGTGAATCTCATCGTCGTAGAACTGAAAGTTTCGGTGGCGGATGATTTGGAACCAGTGCACCACCGACTTGGTGCTAGTGAACGAGAACAGGTGCAGGTATCCGGCCAGCTTTTGCCAGCGACTGATGCTCTTGCATCTCCAGTTGAAGAGACCCCGAAGCGACGTGTCAATAATCCAGACGAAGATAGGGGGGTAGAGTATGGTTTGCCACATGGTGGTTGAGCTGAGGATGCTGCGTCGGCCGAACAGGAGGAACAGGAAGTTAGGCGAGGCCTTCATCAGCGAGTCCACAACATGGTTCGGGAGACCCGTCGGGGCCATCGCGGGCGCGAGAGCCACAAAGACGTCGATCTTCTGGTTCAACAGCGGATGAATGGAGAGGGTCGCGAAAGCCTGGGCCGAGCCTTGAGAGAAGCCAATGTATGACAGGGAGGGCTGCTCCGTCACTTCGAGGATGTACCGAATGCTGTCGGGGATGTCATGGAAGGAGAACTGATCGATCGAGAAATCCCAGAACTCGTTGGACAACGGCGAATGCTTGACGGACTTCTTCGAATACTTGTTACCGCGATTATTTCCAAGCCACACGTCGTAGCCGCGCTCTACCAGTTGAAAAGGCAGACATCGCTGTTCCTCGGACAAGCAGACCCAGACCTCACTGCACATCATCAACCCATGGTGAAGGTACACGACCTTCTTTTTGATACTCCCCTCCCCCTGGTTGACCCGTTTTCCTTCCTCGCCCTTGCGACAGGAGAGACGGTGCAGGCCGAGCAAGTAGCCGTCTCCCGTCTGAACGATGTGCTCCTCCGCTTGGTATCCAAACAAAGAGCAAATGTCTGTGAAGTCGGACGCCTGCGCCACAGCTACAGCGATCTTTTCTTCATTATCCCGCCTGTCTAAGTCATCCCCAGGAGGAATAAGGAGATTGAAGATAGTCTTGGAGCGATCGTAACAGAAGCGAATGACAGGTTCGGCTGCTTCGAGTTAGTGTTCTGGGCCCTGGCAGAAGTAATTTGATGCTGGATTACTTACGCAGACAGAAAGTGATGATGTGTATCACCCACTCCAGCAACACCAAGATCAGCGACCCAAAGAGAGCCAGATACTCAAACCAAAACAACCTCCCAATAACCGGGACGCGCGCCATAATGCAACCAGAGTTCACCGCACTCTAGAAACTGAACAGTCGATCGAAAAAAGAGACAGCGAGTAGTTCAGTGGTCACCGTAGCTCATAGTGCGCAGTGTAAGCGTCGCATCATTGGGAAAGCCAGCAATGAAGTAAGATCGCCTCCTAGAAAAGGAGTCAAATTGCAGGGCCCGTTCATCCCCAGACGTCATGCGGAGGCGCCGCTTCTTCATGTGATGATTACCTAATCCGGGGAGCAGGCGTCGATTTTGCCGGCCGGAAATGATCATCAGATGCCGCAGCACTGCCAGGTGCCTCTAGAGAACATCTGGTTCGAGCAGTCGAGCAAGCACCCTTCACCATGCCGGCTTCCTGTCAAGATATCAGTGAGTGGCTCCATTGCTTTTCTCTCTTCACTACCAGTGATAGCTCGCGCAATTCGTCTCGCGATCCCCCGAAATACCCACCGTCCGGCAAAACAACGGCCCTCTCTTCTTGCTCTAACAGATACACCCACTGAACTCTAGGGAACGCATTGGCCCAATGCCTCCAAGAATCCGATTGCATCATGGTTCAACGGCACAGCCCGCGCGAGTGTCTCAGTGACCCGCACGTCGACCAGCTGCCTATGCGATGCCAGCAGTTGAAGAAGGGCTTCAGCGAGTGCAAGTGAGTTGGTCCCGACAACCCAAGACCCAAAACCCGTCCATCCCTCCCTTATGCGCAGCCGGCTGACAAGGTCACATGGGATGAAACTAGACGCGGGTTGATCGACATGCGCAAGCGATTCCGCGGGAACCAGCCCATCTCGGTGTCGACGGAGCTCGAGGGCGGCAGCTCCGGCAAGTCCCAGCAACTCTACGCCGGAAAGCCTGCGTTCGAGACGGTCAAGGAGATCAGTGGAGATGAGGTCAAGATGGATCCCGAGAAGACGAGAGGTCTGTGAGTGAGAGACGGCGAGCGGTGGTGGAAAGAGCCGGGGCCAGGGGGGTACAAAGTTGTTGTCGTTGTAACAACCCTCTCCCCTCTCTCCCTTATCTTGGCATTTGTAACGTGGATTTCTTCGTTATACTACTCTCCCTCGGGATCGATTGCTCTACTCTATTTGTGTTTTGTTATATATACTGGCATGGCTTGGAGTTGATTGGAAGCTTTGGGATTGTTATCCCCTCTCATGTGATTACTATAGGATTATACTGGAATTGTATTGTACATACCTCCACAGAAGCTCCTCCGATTACTTTCTACAACACTATCTTCAAGGCAGAAATGGCATAGGGAATAAATGCGAAACAGCATGGAAGTTGTGACAGACATAATGTACGGAAACTGTCATTGACGTGAACATCTAGATAAAATACATCACTGGTTCTTCTTGACCTTGGCCGAGGCTGGCTCTGAGTACAGCCACACGATCACAAAGGCCATGAATCCACCGATGACAGACCACAATCCAGCGATCCAGACCCACCCACCGCTAATCTTCCAGCTGCGGGGGAACTCGTCATGGGCGAAATGGCGCACCGTCACCTCGTGCTTCTCCTCGATCGCGGTAAGGAAGGGACGCTTGTAGTTGACACGGAACGAGAAAATACCGTGCTGATCGGGGACGGTGAACTGGGTGCGGAAGACGGTGCTGTTCTCGGTGTGGTAGGCAGGCTCCAGCTTCAGGCGGTGGAAGGGGGAGAGCATGGTGAATTCGAGCTGGAGGGCGTCGTCGGCGGGCAGTTCGAAGGGCACCCACTTGTCGTTGCTGTACTCGGAGATTTCAATGCTGAAGACCTGTGGCTCTCGTTTAGTGCACGCTTGTTTGACATGAGATCAAAGAGACCTACCGTCTCGTTCTTAACCCGGTAGATGGTGGGGTTCAGGTCTTCAGCGGTAATCTCGTCCTGAGCGAGATGGTGCTCGATCTTTCCGACCTTCAGGACTCCATACTCTTTGAAGGTCCAGGCAGTCAGCTGCTTGGCGAAGTCCTGGTTGACCGTGTTGGTTTCCTTTCCGCTGCCGGGGGCTTTGACGGTGGCAGAGAACCACTTGTCCTGGAGACTCTCGACGGAGCCGAGCAGGGTGAAGCGGGAGGAGCTGCGGGTCTGCAGAGTCGAGACCAGGGCGAGCTGGGAGCCGGTGGCCGAGATGTCCTCAACCGCGGTCGTTTCCTCCTTGGGGTTGTAGCTATAGGCGGTCACCGGAGCCCGCAGAACAGGCGCAATCAGGATGTTGTCGCCGAGAGTGTGGGGAGCAACACTAGGGAACGCCAGAACGCCTTCGCCGTCAAAGTAGGCTTTGGTGTCGGGTCTCAGCTGGCCGGGGCGCTGCAGAAGCAGAACATCGTGCTTCTCAGAGGCGGACAGGGTATCATAGTTGAAGTGGTCGACAATAACAGAGGAGCGATCGGTCGACAGATGGAGATCAAGCTCCAGAAGTAGCGAGCTGATGGCGCTAGGCGTGGTGGACTTGCCGGAGAGAGTGAGGAGGACGTTGCCGTCCTTGTTCAGGAAGTCGACGATGTTCTTGGGGCTAAGAGAAGGTCCGAATCCTAGGGCAGGAAGTCAATTGCATGTCCAGTAGCAGCTACGTTATGATGGTCAAGACCAGTGTGTCCAACTAACCCTTGGACTTCGGAGGAAGAAGGAGAAGGTGGTCGTAAGCTCTCTCGCCGAGATCGAAGAGCGAGAGCTTGTCACTCTTGGGAGATTCGAACGCAATGTCATATCCACGAGCTTGGAGGAAGTACTATCAGCATCAATTGCAAGAAATAAACAGCAGCAGCGACTGCATACCCTTCAGATCACTCCAGAATGTGGAATAAAGACTCTTCTCAGACGCATCCTCCAAGACGACCAACAGGCGGTTCCCGGAACTACTGAGCGCATTCACGACGGCCAGACAGCCGAAGAGGAAGAAGGAAAGACACCACCGCATCATGCAATGGATCCGCACAGCGGCGCGGACGAACAAACAACAGGGAGATACAGTGGGGGAAGAGCCAGCTCCTGGCGAAAAATGGGGAGGGGGGAAAGTTGACGAGGAGAGTGATCTTGGATCCAATCTCGCCCATTCAATTAGACTGATACTGATTAAGTTGGAGCAACGAAACGGGCGACGTGTTTGGACCGAGTGCCAAGACTCCATCTCCATTGGGAACCGCCGCATCCACACTTCGGCTTGTCGTCACTTTCGATCCTCATCGTTCCCGTTCCCCTCCTTGCCATACCTTCGATCACCAAACCCTTTCGCCAGACACCTGGAACCTCTGACAGCCGGTCACCCAGCTCAATTGACCTCTCTCGCGCACCTGGGTCAATTCAACGAACCGTCCCCCGTCAAAAAACAAACCCCGTCCGTCCGCGCAAAGGCGAGAAAAAAACCCTTCCCTCCATCGCAACAATGTCCGCCCCTCAATTCTGGTCGACTCCCTTCCGCTACATGCGCTGGGCCTCGCACGAGAAGCCCGCCATCTTCTACTCCCTCATCGTCGGCGCCATGGGGCCCGTCGCATTGGTGACTCTGCCCCCGATCAGACGCTACTTTGGTTCCTACGACCCCGAGCCCGTTCGGTTCACATATCCCAGTAAGGCAGCTCCTGGATTTCGTTGAGCCTTCAAAAACAAACTCAACGCCCTCTATCGTTCTTGAGCTAACGCATTTCGCCCACCCAACAGTTCCCGAAGGCCCCCGAAAAATCCCCGAAGGCTTCGATGACGAGTAGATCGATCTATATCCACTTTTAAGATACAACAGCAATGCAATACCGTTTGACTTTTTTTTCTGTGTCTTTCTCTGATCTACGAGGTTTCTGCTTTGGTTTTGTCGTTATTAGCTTGTTTTGATCGCAGGTAAAGCTTTTCGGGAGGGAGTGAGGGACCGTCCAGTTGCCGCTGGTAGGATCAGCAGCGGTACCGCGCCGTTCGAGAGTCGCAGGAGGAGGCATTCGGCAAGTTGGATGGTTGGTTAATTGATCAAGAAGGGGGCGTTCGCAGAGTCATTGATCTCGGAGCCGCTCAACTCGATATCAGCATCCATCATGCCACCCTTTGCTCCGTATCACGGACACCGCTCCAATGGCATGCCGGATGGGTTCCTAGGGTCTGAGTGTTATACAATGAATGTATGTACTGTACATGGAAGTATGTCTACTGAGCAGGGAGGTCGAAAATGGGCTCGTTAAAGTAACGCGTGCTTTGTTATTTCCTGTTTGTAGGGTAAGATTGCCAAGTAAGGCATGAACTTCTCCGACTCCGCAACCGTCGTGTGTGTCGAAGGATTCTCCGAGCCTGTCTCCTTTCGGTTCTGGTCCAGATAGACGTGGTCCTGATGTGGTGACTGGCTCGAGGAGATTCCGGGATTGGCTGCTCGGTAGGTATGGTGTCAGTGAGGTGACCGAAATTGAAGGAGTTATTACACATTAGGGCAGAATGGGCTCAAAAAGAAACGGGGCGGTAGTCAGAAGACCAATTTCAAGCTTGTTCCAACGCAGAAGTTGAACTAGACGAAAGACTGCGAAAGACATTATCAAGCTGGGGAAATGCGAACAAAAAAAAGCTATCAACCATTGCCATGCAATCAAGTGACCGATATCCAGGTTAAAGGCATGGGAGCAGTGCGAACGAAAACGGGAGGACTTGCGCAGGCGATTGGGTAAAGCTAGCATCCGAATTGTGTGAGGAAGATAGCTCTCGTAGAGGCAATGTTGATGAAGTACTCAGAAGAGACGCGAGAGGGGCTGTACTCTACAACTTGCATAAATCTCGAGGCGAAGCCAGCCAACAGAATCAGTGCTCCCAAGGAATATCCTCGTCCCGCAATATCCGTGCAGACCAGATATTCTTGACTACCGCGCTGAGCATAACTAACCAACAGCGGCGCTACCTCCCACTTCGCAACCTCCTTGACGATGCGCAAGCATTCAATGACGATCTCCGCGTCCTCCCAGTCGCAGTCCGTATCATCGATATACGGAAGCCAGCTATCGTCATGTTCATGAATACAGTAGTAGAAAGCACACCCGCCATCCTTACCACGAAAGTTATTGCCGGCTGCGATGACCTCGTACACCCAGGTCTTGAAGCGTGCAATCGCAACCCACATGTGCAACTGCGTGCCCATCCGAGTTGAAAGCTCCTCGCCCACTTCTTCGAACGGCAGGCCAAACGGAGTGAGGTTAATAAGGTCGTTCTCAGTCTCCTCTTCCGCGACTGCGGCTCCATCCGCATCTTCCCACGACATCCTGGGTGCATCGGGCTTCAAGTACGGCCTCTGCCGGACGAAGATCTTGAGCATGTTGCGCCAGACTTTGCGGCACCGTGCGGATCAGACCGTGAGGATGCTGCACTCGGCAGCCGGGCGCGCTCTTCCGTTTATAGCCTGGAATCCCCCTTAAATCAGAATCGATGATTCCAGTAGTAATGTCACGACGGATCGAGGCTAGACAGCTTACCCTGAGTTCAAGCTTGCCATAATTGCGATCGGCGGCAGCTACCACAGCGAAATCCATTGGGAAGGGATCGAGCCCAATCCACGGCGGAGCTTTCAATCGCGCTTGAGCCATCTCCCTGGTGAAAGTGCCGGATTCCGGAATCAAATATGTATTAGCAGAACCTATACCCATCGGGTAGCACGGAGAGCTTGACATTCCCGTCTGGAGTACAGTCCACTGGGTCATTTTCCACAGGGATGTACCGAGGCACATAGCCTTCGGCGAAGTACTCCTCGCGACAAGGCAGAAAGACTGTAGACGTGCACATGAGAGCTATGGTGATTCTGCGAGAAGCGCCGCACTGGGTGATACTGTTTAGTTCGCAATATGTGAGGCCAAGGATGGAGGCAGCTTCGTTCAGAACACGAATGTGTGAAGGCACAAGAACAGCTGATGAACGACATCATAGAACCGTCGCTTAGTCGTCGAAGAGATGGGCGACGGTGAATATAATTATGCACCGTCAAACAACACAAGTGAGTGAGGCCTCGACCCTTTTCGGCGGTTAGGCAGATGCCCTGACCTGAGCCCAGCCACAAAGCATGTATACGGCCGTCACAATGCAGGCTCGGAAGGAATCAAGGACACGGTATAATCACAAATGAGTCCATGTGCAGACTGCATATAGTACAGTGATAGAAGCAGTGTTTAGCGGGCAGGCTTGGGAGGAATAACGGCAAACGAGAGATGATCCAAGGTAATGTAGTTTTACAGGGTCAATAGACTGTAAATTGATTATCAGACAAATGGGAGCCACCTTGGATAGAACCAGAGAACAACCATTCAGAAAACAGAGGTTAACGCCGTGTATGCTCATATCTACATATAGCTCGTGGACAGCATCACCGGATATCATGACCGCGCTGACATAGTAGAGAATCAGCCGGTGCTCCCCGCCGGACTCAAGACATCGTAAGAAATACTCCCAACAAGTCCTTGAAAGCAACAGAGACAGGGTGCCACAGCCGATACACCAGAAAATAACCAGGAGGCGCAAGAAAGAAGAATACCCAGCACGGAAAAGAGATGCAAGACAGCCAGCGCCGGCAACGCGGAGAAAAATCAGCCAGAAAGCCTCCTCATAACCAAACACCATAGAAATTGCGGCCAGTCTTCGGATCCCAATTACCAAGCATCCCCACATGTCGGTTGAGAGCAGATCAGCTGCAACACGAGCCAACGTCAGCGATGACGTCGAGTAAGACTCAAGAGTCGATGAAATAAATTTATGAATGGTATCCAGTTCGAACAGTATCCAGTACTCCAAGTGTCTGGTTCCGCAATTCGGATTCCCAAAGTCATGCACGCTTTTTTTTCCTGGTCTGATGTTCCAGTTGGGCTAAGAAATGCAAGAGGATTGCTCCTCAGAACTGCTCCAATACCGGAGCGTAAATCTGGAAATGCCCGCAGTTTCCAGGGTGATGAGGCCGTCATTATTACACAAAGAGAATTGTGGATTTCACCTAAGCTCACCAGCATGGGATAGGTTTGATGCTCTCACCGGGTTCGGCGAGGAGCTTGGCTCTCTCTTGTTGGCTGGGGCCTATTGCGGTCTGGATACGTCGACTCAGGAGTGTATCTGGGATCCATTCCAATCCTCGGATCCGCGGCAGTAGTGGGAGGGTATGCTATTCCGGAAGTTACCGGGGGATAGTCCTGTTCGGCCTCATATGTCGCTGGCCCAGGGTATCGTGGGGCATTGTTTCTCCCATTTTCATAGCCATAGCCCGTGCCGTATGTGTAGGATGGGTGCATGGCGTCAGAGACCGCGGGTTGGGTAGGAGCAGAGTATGGAATTTGCGGGGGAGGGTAAGGGGCCTGGCCAGTTCCAAAGGGTGAATGGTTTGCAGGGTACGATGACGGAGTGGGGTACGGGGGACTTTGAGTCGCCGCGTACGGAGGCTGCACATAAGGGTCCACAAATTGCTGAGGTGCCGGTGGTGGTGCCGTGTAGGCTGGTGGGGGTGATGGGCCTCCTTGTTGACGTCCTTCATGGATAGTCGTTGCTGGATAGGTGACGGGGGAGATGTTAGGCGCCTGGGAATAACTGTAATCGTGAATGTAGCTACCTCGGGGATTGCCTTGGTCCATTCGACGTGACACATCTGCCTCCCATCGAGCTGAGTCGGCTTTGAGATCCGCAATCATTTCCTGCACGGGCAAACATGGTCAGTGGGCTTGCACACCCGAGATGGCGACTGGTGCGAGGGGCTTGTGCAGAGACATACAGAGGTAAGATTGCGATAAGCTCGGATGAAGTAACCTTGACGGCCCTGTTCATGTGTCAGTTGGGGCATTTCCAATAATCTTTTCCGCCAACACGTTCACTTCATCTCATGGTCAACAATACAAGAAGAGTTTTGGGGCACAGACATTGTGGTTTCCAGGTCTTACGAGCGCATCATTCCCCAGGTAACGGCAAATATCTGCTTGGATGACTTCCCGGCTGATACCATCACCGGGGATGAAATATTCGTTCTGACGCTCCGGGCGTCCTTCAAATCCATGACGGCCAGTCATTTTGTCCAAGGGGGAAAAGGTCTCCAGGTATTAGATTATAGTCAACGGTCCAAGTGGCCAAAAAGAGATCCGGGAAAGGTAGGTAGATATAGCCGACGGGTCCAGAGGACGGTAGATGGTCTCTTGGGTTGTTTGGGAACAAGAAATGGAAGGAATTGCAGTTTAATAAGACTGTGTCCAGGAGATCCAAGGCTGACAACTAAGGCTAATCCGAATTTCGGTTGACACAAGCACACATGCAGAACACGAAGGCGAAGCAGGGTCCCAACACTGGTATATCTGGCTTTATCTCTGGCGAGAAAAAAAGAAACAAATCCGGCACGGGCGCTCGAAGAATCCAAGGAAGTTGCGAAAGATGAAAGATGATTTGAGAAGCCTCAGGTCACTTTGTGCATTAAAAGCGAACCAGAAACGGAAGAGACAGTCAAATTATGGGCAAGTCCGAGCAACGAGGCAGAGGTACGGTTCAAGGCGAAGTCGACACAGATGATGACGGTCCAAGGCTGTTCAAGTCACCAGCAGTAGGATGAGAAAAAAGGCCGGAGGAATCTCTCTCTTTTTGTAAATCCTGTGGGAAGAAGTGGCCCTCTTCTTGTTTCTTTGATGATGTCTTTCAAGACGCACCCTTAGACAGACTCTTATTACCTTTGAGCTGACGGGTAATGCCAGGAAAGGATAATGGAGAGGATAGTGGTGGTGGTGGTGGTGGAGGGGAGGGAGGGGTAGAGGAGGTTAGGGGAAGGGAAAATGGAAGAAAGACGAGAAAAGAAGAGAGGAGAGGAAAAGCAAAAGGAGGAGAGAAGGGAAAAGTGAGACAGATGGGGGGAAGATAAGAGAGAAACCTTTCCAGTTGGGAGGCGAAAAAGGGAGAAAAGAGAGAGGAGAGGAAGAGAGGAGGGGAGACTGGATTTGCAGAGGCTAACTAAGACGGGAGAGAGGGAGAAGGAGAAGGAGAGGAGGAGGGAGCGGGAGGGGGGCCAGAGGGCGCAAAGCAGTGGGAGCAAAAGAAAGAGTGGATTGGGTTGTTGGGCCGGCTTGTTAGGCTGCCTGGGCTTTGTCTGGTGCCACGACTGACTCCACTCTCGCCGGTCAAAAATGATCAACGGGATTAGACGATTAGACGATTAGAACCGACCCTCTTCTCTCTCTTCTCTTCTTTTTTGCCCAGTGACTTTTTGCACCCTCCTCTTTCCCCCCCCTCCCTCGCTCCAATAACCCAGTAGTAACCCACAATGACCAAGAGATGACTCTGCCCCAAGGAAAACCTGCATTATTCAATAGACTAATAGGGCGTCAGCGCCTCTTCTCCCGGGCAGTGGTTGGATATTGGGTGCAGACGATTGTCCTGTCCCTACCCGTGCGGCTTGCTCTTGAAGGATTATTATTCGATGACTATGACGATCCTCGTCTGAACTGGAACCACTCTTGGAAGGGCCAACTGACCTGATCAGAGGCTGGGATGATTGTGATCTCTTCTTGCTCCTTCTCTGCCGTGGCTTCGATCTACTTAACTTCTTACTTTCATGATGACTCCAAAAGCTAAAAGAGTGGTGGTAGTTCCATTTCCCATTCGACCCTCGAATAGGATAGTACATGTACATGTATACATCATCATCATCATCATGGATGGTACCTGATTGTCCCCTGGCCAGTGTGCCCTGAGCCATGGTTGAACCGCGGAGAAGTCCTCTGCTGGACCGCTGGTGGACCGCTGGATAACTCCCGAATTAGGTGACCCAAAAAAAAAAGCCCATGTAAGGTGGCGTTGTCAGACAAAGAGCATCAGACTGAGCAGGGAACCGAAGTGATGCTGATATGGATGTCCATCTGATCGTCGTTCCCTCTGGTAATGATCGATAATTTGGGCGAAATGGTTTTGAACGCCAATGAGCATTATGCTTCATCCGCAAATATGGAAGACCCGAGCTGATATTTGATGAGTCAGCATCAGAAAAGTCACAGAAGCGATGAGCTAAAGAGAGATGACAGTATCACAGAGCACACCCCTGGGACAGGAGACTCTGGGTGGCCAATATTTTGCCCAGTTGAAGCTATCTATTGCCAGCTGCAAGTGCTTGCAAGACGATCTTCGAGTATATTTGCATCATCCTGAATGCTGCTGGGTGTTGCACAGGGCAGGCGGCATCATTCATGGATTGCACTATTCAGGATCATCAAACCTAGTCGCCCTACCGTCCTAGGATCACGGCTGCTGGGTTGATACCCCATACCTACCCATTCGATATCTATGTGATGTTTATAATAAACATGAACTGAACAAAAATCGCCACGAGTATACTTGTCATGACAGCAAAAGTACGGGGCCATCCGTACCTAACCAGGGTTATACTCCGGACTGGCAGCGAGTCCATCCGGAACCAATGAGTGAAGAAGTATTGGGTACTCCAGATTCCAGAGTCTTCACGCTCTTAGGCGCTTTCTTCTTTCCATCTCCTCAGAAGAGGCGCGCCCTTTCTCCAGACCGGATTGGACACAGCCATCAGCCTGTCACTGGTCAGGGTTTGGGGATGGGAACGTAGGTTGGGCATGAATGCGTGAGTGGCGGCTTGGGCACTCATCCATCCTCCCGTTGGTGGCCTGGGGCACTACCACCCGTCCGCAACCAATCCCGGCGCTGGATTGGCCTCGGATTCCCCATTTGGCGCATTCCGTGGGCCACGGAATAACTTCGCTAAAGTGAACTAAACATCTGCTCGGGCCGCTCATCGGGGCTCAATTTGCCTGTGGAACTGCGACGGTGGGTTGCACTGCAGTACTCTTCTCCATTCGTAGCCAACAGCTCAAGAGAAAATGCACTTAACATTGTTCCGATGTAAATCTGATTAAATCTAAAGGCATGAAAGAAGGGATGAGAACAGAAAGTCTAGTCAATTACCGTTTTCCAGAAAGTCTCGAATGATCCAGCGTCGTCGTATCCTTATTTGCAGTGGCTATGCAGTGAGTTGGTTCCCAGGAACACAATCGCCAGCACCCACACTCGGCCAGCTGCATGACCACAGAATCTCAATTTTGTCTGCCGACTTGACCGACCTTGGTGGTTTCAAGGTCCAGTTCTTCCACAAGAGCGGCCGACCGTGGTCGTGATCCTTACTCTAACTGTGCTCTTTTTGGGTTTCCTTCTGCTTCGCGCGGCTTTCACCCTCCTTCCTTCCCCCAAGCAGACAGAAACCGACAAAGTCAGAGCTCAAGGGTCACGCTCACTATGTGTGTAAGGACTCACATGCATCTCCTTCAAAGGCTGTTCCGTCATCTGCACGGCGGTGAGATCTCCAAGTTTTGGACCCATCCAAATGCTCGAATGATATCGATCCAGGTGTCTCCTCTGCCGCGTCGTCTCCATAACGCCTGCGTCAACCGTGTGATTTTGACCGGCGAAGAACTGATCATAAGCTGATGTATTCTTCTACCGAACATTTCATGCAACATCCAACCCGAATCAGAGGCTGTCTTGCTTCACCGGAGCCTATACTGATGCTTGTTAATAGTTCGAGACGGGAGCGTGCTGTCGTAGGATTGCATTCTTCTCATGCAACCAAGCCCGAGCAGGATTCTTGAATCAGGTTCAATCAAAGATCTTGCAGCTACAGAAGTGCAGTACCGGTCGGACGGCTGCACCTTCATGTAGGGGCGAGCACCACTGGCCCATTGTGCTTCGATGCGGTCGGAAAGTAATGTCCATACAGTGACAGTCGGTGAAGCTACATATCTTCCGACTGTCAACCTCATTTGATAAAGACATTGAGCACCGGCATGCATATCCTCCGTAGAGCGAACGATATGATATCATGGGCCTCTCCGACCCGTTGTCGCGATGTACATACATACAACTTCACAGCCGTGGCATCGGTTGACTTTGACATTGCAGTTACCTTGGCTTGCACGGACTTTCCTGTAAGCCTGTCAACCCCTCATGCTCGTAACTCAGATGATGATGTGAAAACCTTCGCACGCCTAACCTACCCGAATCAGCAACAAGTATTGTATACCTATGGGCGTATATGGAAGGCAGGCTTCGGAACTTACCTACCCAACACAGCCTTGGGCTCTCACCGAACAATGCCTTGTGGTATGTGTAGACTGTGATTTCGTAAGGCAGCTCACAGTTCAACATGTCGTTGGATGATACCGAGTCATTCAACCAAGAAGATTAACATTATCGTCATGGTGAGTATCTTATCTCCTGAGCCCATACAGTGTTCTGCTGACGAGGCATCAAAACTACGGCACGGTTTCAGAGGACGCTAGCCTCTTTGGGAAGCGAGTTCTTCTGGACCGGTTCTCGAACTTCCCTTCCAACTCAGCTCGACCTCTGTTCAGCCTCGGTCTCCCGACCACAAGGCATGCGTGTATCCTCCATGATCAACCCTTGAAGCTCTGATTCGACGCAATACGATACGTCTCCCTTTGATTTGCCGATAGACAGTGATCGCCTCCCTGAATCCACGGTCCGCCATGACACTGCCGTTATCGCCATGTCACACTCGTCCCCGGAACCGACTTTTTCGTCCAGCGATCCCCTGAGACCGGAGTCTCAATTCACCTACCGCCAACTCCAGCTCCTCCGACATGGCTCCACGGCGACACCGCTCCGCGTGATCGCGCACATCGATCTCGATGCCTTCTACGCCCAATGCGAAATGGTGCGGCTGGGCAAGCCGCGCGACGTGCCCCTCGCCGTACAACAGTGGGACTCGCTGATCGCCATCAACTACCCGGCCCGCGCGTCCGGGATCACACGCATGATCTCCGCCGGCGAGGCGAAGAAGCTCTGCCCGGAGATTGTGCTACAGCACGTTGCAACCTTCCGCGAGGGCGAGGGCGGCAAATGGGCCTACCGCGACGACGCCTTCAACCGCGTGAGCACGGATAAAGTGTGCCTGGATCCATACCGGGCGGAGTCGCGCAAGATTTTGAAGGTCATGAAGGAAGAACTGTCTGGTTGGCATGCGAAGGTCTGCGGTGGTGAGGGCCCCCATGCGAACGCCGTACAGCAACCTGGTCTTGAGAAAGCCAGTGTGGATGAGGTCTTTATCGACTTGTCGCCGATTGTCTATGGCGTCTTGCTGGAGCGGTATCCTGAATTGCGCGCCGGGGCGCATGGTGATGATCGGGTTGCGCGGCTGCCGACCCCGCCGACGACGGCGTTGGTGTGGAACGCGGAAGACTGCTTGGTTGATTTGGATGAGCATGAGACGGAAGTGGACGACCCCGACTGGGATGATATCGCTATACTGATTGGCTCGGAGGTTGTGCGCTCGGTTCGCAAAGCGGTTTGGGATAATCTCGGTTATACCTGTTCGGGGGGAGTTGCAAGGAACAAAATGATGGCAAAACTTGGAAGCGCCTGCAACAAGCCCAACAAGCAGACCATCATTCGGAATCGTGCTGTGCAGAATTTCCTCGGAGGGTTCAAGTTCACGAAGATCAGAATGCTCGGAGGCAAGCTCGGAGATCAGGTCACTGCCATGTTTGGAACAGAGCAAGTGAGCGATCTGTTGAAGATCCCGCTGGAACAGCTTCGAGCCAAGTTGGACGACGATACCGCCACATGGCTGCATGGTATCATACGAGGCGATGATCGAAGCGAAGTCAATTCACGGACGCAGATCAAGTCAATGCTCTCTGCAAAATCCTTCCGACCGAGCATCAACAATATTGACCAAGCGGAGAAGTGGTTGCGCATTTTCGCAGCAGATATATATGGCCGTCTTGTTGAAGATGGTCTGCTGGAACACAGGCGTCGCCCCAAGACGGTGGCCTTACACCACAGGCAAGGTGCTCAAGTCCGCTCACGGCAGATCCCTATTCCGGGGTCATCCCCAATCGATGAGAACTTACTCTTCAACCTTGGCCTTACACTATTGAGACAAGTCATTGTCGACGGGCGCGCATGGCCCTGCGCGAACCTTTCTCTGAGTGTCGGCGGGTTTGAAGATGGAGTATCCAAGAATAAGGCAATCGACTCGTTTTTGCTTCGCGGAGAACAGGCGAAGTCTGCACAGAACACTCGGTCCTTATCGACTGATGACTTGATGGATATACAACAACCTAGCGAGAAGCGTCTGAAAACGGACACCGACGGAATTCGACGGTTCTTTGCCAAACCTCCCAAGGCTGGTGCATCACCTCAGTTGACAGAGTCGACATTAGAAGAGGCAATGCAGGGCACGGAACTCGAACAAAGCGGCATAGAAGCATCGCCAGAGGATGATAGGCCGCAATCTGCAGACGCCCTCTCAGTCTATACTTGCAGTCGGTGCGGCAAGTCACTGCCCGAGCACGAGAGAGCCGAGCATGACGACTGGCACTTCGCCAAAGATCTAGTAGACCAGGAGAACCAGGCCACCCGGAGCTCTCCTCAGACTCCATCATCATCTAATCATGGAGCATCACATTCACGTAGTCGAGGTGGTCGTAGTAGTCGGGGGAAGCCCGAAAGGGGTCAAACCCGTCTGAAATTTGGGTAGAATCTTTTTGGACGCTGGAACGCGCTTGCGTTTGTCTTGGAAATCATGGGACATAATCTGTCTCTGAAGCGAGTTATGTAGCACTTTGCAAACAGTGGCGATTGATGCTCTTCGGTCACCACTACTACAGTCTTGGGACTCCGTTGACGTGCTGGAAAATAGGCGAAGGTTAGCCATGGTTGGCAGTTTACAGGGACTACCCTGCATGAAGTCAACACAAGTGAAAGACAACACTTGTGACGTCGCATGGTCTCCAAACCATTCGATTGCCACAACGTTGCGTTGTCAAGAGCGCCATTGACGAACTACAACGAACTGGCCTCATTCTTCTATATAAAAAGACATATGATAATATGTATCGGGCAATCTTCATGAAAGCTTTTCCCTCAGGGATGCATAGTCAAGAGAATTGAAAGACTTCAACGCCTTGACTTAGTAGATCTTCTTGTGGCAGTTCATCCCGCGTCCAGGCAAAACTACCATTAATTATATAAACTTCGGATGACAAGCGGGCCCGTCAACCACGGTCCACCTTCATCAACTCTATATCTCCAAAACACACTTTGTCACTGCAATCCTCATATCCTGAACTCATTCATGCAACGAACTCTCACCACCCAGCAATAAACTCAAGTCGCATAAATCCGGCCACAAGTCGACAACCCGGCCCGACGGCGCAGCCCTGCTGCAGAGCATGACATCAGCAGATCACCAGCCGCGGGGTTACTTGCTAACACCAACCAACTAAACAGATGTGATGTGCAACAATACTTTCCAGCTACATCAGCACTACTTACAACGTCCATCCTCAACACTATCTCATCATCATGATCATCATGATCGCATTCCATTGACCGACTCGAGGATTTAACCCTCAAAACCTACCAGCAAAACTCTCTTCCCCTCCTCTCTACCCACAACAAGTCCTCAATACGAGTCATCGCTCACGAGCCGACAGCGCCCCTCCCACCCCGCGCAACCAACCCTTCCACCCTAGGCTCCTCTCCCCTCTCCTAGGCACAATACTCACAAACCCACCCAGCATAACCACAACATAAACCCCAACTGAAGCAAACACCACACTCAAACAGCAACCACCAAGAATCCCAACAGACCAATCCGCTTCGACGCCCCGTCACACCGTGTAGATACCCCCGTGAGCCTGTTGCACATACTAGCGCCCCAATATATGTTTCCCCTCGGAAACAACCTCCAAACAGGCAACAATGCCACGAAGATCTCGCGCCCGCGACACACTCGAAGAAGAAGTCTACGACCGCGACCGCGATCTCTACCCCCGTCACGGCCATGGACGCGGTAGAGACCGCCGCCGCATCTTCAAGGAAGAGGAGGAGGAGCTCAAGTATGAGCGACGAGTCCCGCCGCCTCCACCGCCGCCGCCTCTGCCGATGGCTGTACCGGTAGAACGACTTGAGCGGCTTCGTTTACGGGAAGAGCGGGCGCGAGGGCCTGAGATGATCGTTCCTGTCCCGCCACCGCCGCCGAAATTGGTTAGGGAGGAGGTTAAGGTCATGCCTGTGCGACGGCCGCTGAGGGATATGGATAGGGGGTTTGAGAGGGAGAGGGATTGGCGGGGGAGAACGAGGTATCGCGGGGTGGATCTGGAGAAAGAGAGGTTTGTTTTGGAGGAGGTGGAAGAGGAAGAGGAAGAGGAGGAGGAAGGGTCATCGTCCGAATCGGAGAGTAGTAGTCTTGAGGAGAGTGATACGGAAGAGGAAGAGGATATGGTCGTTGTGCCGCGGAAGGGGAGGCCGAAGCAGAGGCTTGAGGAGTTTGGTGGCTCGGGAGCTTTTGGTCATGGTCATGATCAAGATCATCCGTCACGGAGTAAGAGTCTGAAAGAGGGGTTCAGAGGGGCTCGAGATCCTAGATTCGAGCAGGATGAGGTGTTGAAGCGGTACCATGAGCGGAATCGCAGTGGTCCGGTCTATGCACGATCACAGCATAGACACCATTCTCATCGGCATAGGGATCTCGAGGATGCTGATAGTGAGCTCGAGGAGGAGGTGGACGAAGAGGTCTTCCGTCGGAAGCTCAGGGAGCGCAGACATGGCGGACATGTGGTCGAAGAGGAAGAAATCCGACGGTCATCTTCGGAGATGGAAAGGTCAGGGCCACCCTCGCCGAAGAGGTTCCCAGCCTTCCCAGAAAGACATGTCTACGAGGGTACGCTGCTCGCTCTTTTACCACCCTCAGAGCTTGCTACTGACTTTGGCTTAGAGTCTCGAAAGATCTACCCTCCTCGGCCGCCCAATCCAGACTTTGTTTATGAGTCCGAGACTCACCATCGGTTAGCCGACGCGTCCATTTTCATCATCAGAATGTACGGCTGACCCTTGAACAGAGAAAGATCAAGCAGAGGGCGACTGGACAGGACTGAGATACCCATCATCCGGCCGAAGAAGAAGAGTGGCTTTCCCGCACCGCATCCAGACCCTTACCGGCGTTCGAAGGACGGTCTTCCTCTCGTGCCTCCTGAACCGAAGATTGCGGAACGAGAAAAGGAAGTGCTCACTGTGGTACGACGCGACGGCAGCCACGAGTCGCTCAAGGAAGAGGAGTTCCTCGAAGAGGACTACTATGCGCCTCCTGATCCTCGTCACTTCCCGAAGAAGGTATCCAAGGAAAAGAGAGAACTGGATTTTGTCGGGCCTGGCCACCGAGCAAAACATGATAGAGCTGCACCAGACATCGATGCATTGCGATATCCCGATCGGACCCCCAAACATGGCTTTGGTGAACCCAAACACTCCGACTCCGACTCTAGCCGCCAATTCGGCAGGATAGGCAGACGATATGTCGGTGTCAAGGACCGTCGCGAACGCCTCTGGACCGAAATCACGAGGGATTTGGTCGTGAAGGAAGCCCTTGAACGGGCGGGCTATGAGTACGAAGAGACGGAAACGTCGTATTTCATATTTACTTACTTGGACAAGGTGAGCACAAACTCCTATCTCGTCTCACCACAAACTGCCCCCCTAGCTGACTGCTTCGCGTAGGAGGAGGTAGATGCACTCATTGAGCATTCCGAGGACATTCGCCGCGCACGCCGCCGACGGGTCCAGGAGATCCACCGCGAGCGAACCGCGTTGCCTGGTGCTGCTGCTCCTATTGCTCCGCCGCCACCACCGCCGCCTGCATCGGACAAGACCGGTCCCCTGCTGCTGGACAGCCCGCCTCCACGCTTTCCTCGAGAGGAGCGACGAAGAACGGAGCGAGAGATGGTTGCAGAAGGAGGCCGTTGGAGGCCGCCACCGCCTCGGCCGGAGCGGTGGTGACGAACCTTGGTCAGCAGCAAAAGTACATGAGCAGAAAGACCGTCGACATGTGTCCGTGGCTGCTTTGACATATTTCATGTGCGATACCCTGCATCTTGACTTTGCCATATTTGTTGATCTAGTTGATGAGATTGAAAAGCCATGCGTGTAGATTCCCGAGCTGACAGGCGTTTGACCACAAAGAAGCAATCTGATTCATGATTGGAATCAGAACGCACCATCATTCAACAGGAATACTACATCTTGATACAATAGAAAAATGCAACTCGGGTTGCATCTGCGATACTCAAAGGACATACCGGGACACTTATGCTGCTTCCCAAGTCAAACTTCAAGTCCGCTACCCCATCCTCTAAGATGTTAAAAAGACCTCCTGAGACTTTCGCGTACCTACATCGACTGTTTCAAGCCCCATTCATATGACCCGTCTCTTCAGCCTCGTATTATGTTACACGGGTATAACGCCAGTGATAGGTCAGAGGACTCAAGCAACCCAACACTGAGACATAAGCTGGACGAACCAACGCCAAACTCTGAGCCTCCAATCTGACAGGTCTAACGGTGGCACGTCGGGGCTTGTCAGCCAGGTCCGAGTGACTTGATGTTTCAGAGCATATCGGAATGTCGTGATCCTACTATCCCTAGGTGGCATTTCGGTTTCTTGCGAGTAGGATTGCTTACTGGCGCAATGCACTTAGGATCTCGTTGTTGTTCCTCAGTCTCGTCGTTCAAGCATGAGTATCTATTGTTCTCTTTTTGGGGCTTCTGCTGGAGTCCGACCGGGGAGAGTCCTCGCATACACCTTTGCTGCTTGTTGCTCTATATATGGGTCCTTTCTCTCCAGGAGAGAGGGCATAGATGTTCCTATGGTGTTTGTGTATGAGAGGTTTGGTGTGGTCGTTGCCAGTTCAGATAAACAGTACAGTACGCCAGGCATGGCACTGGTCTTCGAACCGGCACAAGCCGATGCATGTACTCCGTGAATCTCTATTGAGCTTGCATTGGAGTCAATCAATTATCTGGCCGAATCGCTGTCTTTTGTGAACAATACAGTGAGTATAGAGAGGAAAAGGGGCCTGAAGAGCAATGATCCTTTTTTCGCTACGCACATCACCTCACATCGCAAAATGATTCAGTCAGTTGACCTCGAGCAATGAAGTTGAGGCTTGCTGGATCAGCTTCCACTCTTACTAATTCACCACTGCATTGCGAAGAATATTACCAATCTCTCTTTCCATCATCGTCGATGACTATTGTTTACGGGATGAAAGTTACCAAAATTAGGAGCACCAAGCCTGACATGGCGGATACGCCACTAGAGTAAATTAAAGTGTCCCACAAAGGGGGGGTGGAGAGCTAGGAATGAAAAGATGGGGCTGAAGGACACAGCAGCAGCTGTGGCTGCTATTTTTTGCCATGCTAGATGGAGTCTGGGTGTCGTTGGATCATGGGATGGATGAATTCTTGCCGATTCATTAGTCGATGATTTTATTGATGTTATTATTATCTTTCGGGTGATGTTGTTGTTGTCAATGCTGAATTGGAAATAGAACTTATGGATCCTTTGGCCCTGGGAAAGGGGAAAGAAATTGATTGATTACACATCTACGGTTCATTGGAGTGAGTTGTTGTTGTGGTGGTGGTGGTGGTGGTGGTGGTGTTGTTGTTGTTGTTGATTCTTACGCCCTGCTAGAGGTGATGTGATGTGGGTGTTCGTTGGGTCTTGATCTCTTTCGTTTTCTATCTCTCTCTCTCTGTTGTCATTTCCTCTCGCTTATGGGCAGGAGACAGATCGGCAAAAGACTAATCTCGACCCTCTTGTTCCACTTTTCATTCCCTTCTGCCACTTTTCATCCGCCTCGAAGGGCTGTTTCGGATTGGGGGCGCCGTTACCCCGTCCGGGAGGGATCGTCAAAGGGAGAAGGACATTGAAGTCGAGAGTTGTTGCTGTATTCAAAGGGAGTGGCTGGATCGGCCGGCCCTAAGCACTTTTACCAACCATTGAATCTCGCTCGCTAATCATCCTGTACGGTAACTACTGCACCAGCCACATCTTGATGCTAATGATGCTTGGTGAAAGGTTGGTAGAAACAGCGGATGTGCCGAGTACGGAGTAGTTGGGAACAGCAGCAGTAGACCAGCTCTGTCATCCTTCTTGGGGCGTGTTTCAACAATACTCCTAGTCAGTCTAGCGACCTGACAGTCGGGACAGCCCTACTTGGCAGGAGAATGCCCCTTCAATCTCTCTTGTAGACTCCTTTGGGTTCCCTTCATTTGTTTGACATTTTGCCCGACCGTTGACACTACCGATACGGCTGGATATGAATCGTTGGTCTGTTTGGTTGTCTATTCACTATCCGAAATCTGGAGGTCGGGTTGACTTGTAGACCTCAGCCCCCCCCCCCCCCCCTGTTCGACAGAACAGCATCTCGAAGGAGGGACGGGATCTCGGCGGATGCTCCAAAGCATTGTCGTCATCTACTCTCTTAGCTCTGCGCCAATGCATGTGCCCAGAAATGGGGTAAATCGTCCCCAATTGGCCGGCACGCAGCCCTGCACGAAGCCCAGGGTGCACCTCCAGGGATATACAGTAGCTGCATGTGCACACCACAATGCATGCTGAATGAACATCCTGTGCAAGTTCCGAGGAGAATTCATGAGAAACGGCAAGTCGAGTGCACTTTCAGCCAGCCCGTGCTGTTGTGGTTTGCGACCGTGGAGGTTCCCATCTCCATGCCTCTTATCACGGTCGGGCCATACCCCGTCACGATCACAGCACCTCCTCCCATCACCCAGCAACCTCCCGCTAATCATGATGCGGCGACATTGTTCCTACCTGGCTGGTCTGGAGATGGCCCGAAGCTTGTCTGGCTGTCGTTCTGGTCTGGTGTCCAATTGTACGCCGTGCCTGGCCATTGACACGAGGCTATCGAACCTTGGAACGGAGCACTCTCGATATCCTTGGGTGATGTCGACGGGACTGACCGGCTGCAAACCCATTACGGTACTTCGCTCCACCCACGGGCACCCACGGCACTCACGGTCAGTCGCTCCTCCTTCGAGTCTTTCATGGATGCTTCTAGGGAGTTGATGAGTACTCCGTACCTGAAAGGTAGAGCGATGGTCTAGATACTCCCTGGAGTTCTTTCCCGCCTGTTCCAGCCCCCCTCCCTCCCTCCCTCTCCGGCCAAGATCCAAATCAAGAAGAGGCACGTCAACGAAACTATAATCATACATCATACGCGGACAGCTCAACTCTGGTCAGCTCCGATCTCTTCTAGACCACGGTTTTCCGTCTTGTCTCGCCCGGGCTGCAACCCCACCGGCGCAGATTCTAAGACCAGCAGCTGTCCTCTGCGGTGGCGGGTGCAGTAGTGCGGTGCGTGTGGTGAGTCGTAACTGTGGTCGTTACCTCCTTCTTTTCCTAGGAAGGGCACCGGCTCGTCCACAAGGAGAAACGGGAAGAACTTTTGGTGGTCAGTCCAAGGCAACAACCACTTGCTTTCTCTGTTGTTAATTTTGACTGACCCCTACGGTATTTATGCTACCGGACAACACCATCTATCTGGTCCAATATTCCTGAGAAATCCCCTCGAAGTATACAGTGGTTGACGGACGAGAGAAAAGGAACCCAACAGTAAAGCAGGCCACGCAGTGCCTGTCTGTCTCCCACCAATAAACAGCCCCGGATCTGCGTCCGTGGCCTGTTCTCAAACGCTGAATACTTGGCTCGGATACAAAGTGGCTGACCCGGCAGATCCATTTCCCTTCTTACTTAGTACAATGCGACTGGTACTTTTACGATTATACTTACGTAGGTATTTCGGCTGCCCGTCCGCCGTGTCGTCTAGCCTGTGTCAGACAAAGTGACGCAGGCAGATAATAGCAACGGAAGGAGAAAAAAAACAAAAGAAAAACAACCATCCCCCCAAAAAAACCATCCTTACCGACTCTAGTCGGGTCAGGTCGAGGGAATTGGCACCGAGGATCGCGGCCCCCAGGATGCGGTTTCAGAACAAGGATCAATCGCGTTTGTCATGCAGCTAGTGACTGGATCTGTGCCGAATAAACATCGAGTTTGCTTTCTGGTCTGCCGTGCTTGCTGCGACTTTAAAATTGGTGTCTGGGTTTGAGCCCGGACTGCGCCTCACCAGATAGAAACTGTATTGTCTTTGGTTGCGAGGATGGTTATCTAGCACTGTACAGTAGTTGAGTCGCTGGTTATCTTTTCTTCTTCTTCTTCTTCTTTTTCTTCTTGCTTTCTTTCTTTGTTCACAGGTAGATGTTGTTGTCGTCATTGACTTCTTCGGCCCCTTTTTCATCACTGCCTCTGATACTTTTGCTTGCTTCCTGCCTTTCTTTTGCTCCGCAGGTCCCATTGCGGTGGCGCCATCCTACCGTAAGCATGTTGTCGAGAACTCCCTAGCAGATCGGAATTGGGATTCTGTCCACGTACAGGACGTAGACCGATGGGGTACCAGATAGGTAAGGTACGAACCGGGAGAGCAGCATCAGCTCAGAGTCTATCTGCTTCTCTCCTTCGGCTTGAGCCTGAGTAGTCAGGTCAACATCTAGATCGCAGTCCGTGTCAGTCATAGTAGTGCATCTATAGATGGAGTGTGTTCCTATCGGGCGGAGACCAACAAGCCCGTCCGTCCATCCGTCATTACTAGTACTTACCAGCAAAGAACGCGTATGGTCCCGACGGTTGGTGAGGCCCCTAAGCCAGAAGCGGTCTGCAGGCCCCACTTCCAAGCGGGTAAGCCGGATTTTTATTTTTATTCCTTCTGCCTCTTGTTTTTTGTGTGGTGTTGTGTTGTTGATTCTAGTTGATTCCCATACTCATACTTCACATAATACACAGGAAAGTGTGCGCAATTCTACCACGGCAGGAACATTCTCATGAACTTCTTCTAGTTGCTCTGAATAGTGATACACACAAAGAAAATTGCCATCACTTGAAGATGATGATAAGTGATCTTGGTACTGTAGATGCAAATCTCCTGGTGTCCATTTCTAGACCGATGACTGGCTCTTCTGGTGGAAACATCGGGACTGCCCACCGGATCTGGTCCCATTCTGGTTCTTACCATAGATAACCACACTAAAACCTACCACGACGCCCGCTGCAGTACGGCAGTACTAGACTAGTTCATCGTCGTACCAGTCAGTTGTAGTCTAGTCAGTCAGTCAGTCAGTCAGTCAGTCAATCAGTCAGTCAGTCAGTCTACTTACCACACTAACTACCAACTCTCCCCATCTGTTTAGTTCGTTACTGGGCTTGCTTTCTTGCTTTCTTGCTTTCTTGCTTTCTCACTCTCTTTCTTTCTCTTGTTCTCTTTTTCCTTAGACTCTTACCTTTGTTCTTCTTGTCTTCTTACCTGCTTGCTTGCTTGCTTGCTGGACATTGAAGGACTGAAGGAACCGAAAAAAAAAGAAAGGGTGCGCTTGTTCACCAACTAACACGATCGCTTTGCTTTCTCTCCTTTCCTGTCGCTGCCTTATCTGCGCTGTCTTTCCGGCTCCATACGATCGCTCTGTTCCTTGCCTAGCAAGCCATTCACTCCCCGTCCCCTGTTCGGAGGTGACGATGCCGATTACCTGCTAATCATCCCGGTGTCGCCTTGATCCTCATTTCTCGACTTTCCCCCTCCTCTCCCCCCGATGCTGAGTCCCGCGTTCCTTCGCTCGTAAGAACGCCCCTTCATCGCTCGAATTCATCTCTGCCTCTCGTTTACCCATTCGACAAGGATTTGTCGATTCACCAATTCCTGGTATGTATTGGTGCTAAATGTGGCCTCTGGAATTGGTGGCTGATCGACATTAGCTATTTTTGCGTTTAACCAGGTCCAGAAGGACCTTTTGCGGGACACCGACCCGACCAAGCAGTTGTGGAAGCTCTAGGTCGTCACCGATTTCGGCACGGGCCTTGCGCATAACATTTCCGACTTTGGGGAATTCCGAACATTTCTGCGAACCGACCGACCGACCGGGTGATTTGAAGCCATTGTGGTCGCAGCCTGATTCGTACCGAACGAACCAGTCAACTCGAATTGGAGGGCTTGCCGTTTGTCAGCCTCAACCTCAAAAGTCACCCAGTCCGCTCGTTTGTACCGGTGGCCGCAAAACACGACTTCGCATCGATAAATTTCGCCTGCATTCAGAAGCCAAGCCCCCAGCAGAAAGGCTGCGGGCGAAATCGTTGCCTGCCATGCGGACTCAATTCGTGCTCCCGTCCCTGCTCGGGGTGATCGTCTTGCTCGCCTGGCCAGTGTCGGTTTCCTCTTCCATCACCTACTGTTCGTCTGTGAACACTGGATCTTCCCAGGCCGCAAGTATGTTTTCGCGCATGGCGTCTTTTGGCACGGTTCTAACCGTGTATAGATGAGAGTACATTCCAGTCCAACGGTCTTTGCCAGGCCCATTGCAGTTCCTATGCGTTCGGAATTCTGCAGGGCTACGACTGCTGGTGCTCGAACATCGCTCCGAACTCCAAAACCAACGTGGCCGACACCAAATGCAGCCAAAACTGTCCTGGCTACCCAGATGATAGCTGTGGAAGTACTCCCAAAGGACTGTATGCCTATGTCGAGGTCGTCGGCAATCAGCCACAGGGCACAGCAACTGTATCTTCGAGCTCAACCACATCCACTTCGGTTAGTGAACCTTGTGCCGCAGATCCTTGTTTCCAGACTTGCGAAGGATGCGCATTGCCGATGTCGTGTGATGCCTGGGATTGATTTCATTGAACACTATGCATCTTCTCGGTTTGTGCGGCAAAATCTCGACTGAGACGGTACCGGCGCATCCTTTACGAGTCCCGCCGCGGAGACATATTGCCTGTCTTAAACCAACACGATCGCACAGACTACTGACTTCTTTCAGACCTCGTCGACGCACTCGTCTTCTACAACAACATCAGCTGCCACTACAACCACTGGCCAGACGGTGTCGACCGAGACGAATGCGGGTGGTACGGTTAAGACAATTTTTATTGGAGCATCACAGCCGACAGCGACGCCGTCCAGTACGAGTACTGCTTCCACGTCCAGTAAAAACAGCTCGAGCATGAGTCCCGGAACCATTGCTGGTATTGTTGTGGGATCCATTGGCGGAGCCCTTGCAATTCTTGCTCTGATATTCGTTCTTTTCTTTGCGAAACGCAAGCAGCGTGCGAGCAGCCCTGATCCAAGTGTACAGAACATCCTACTGGACGGAAGACAAAGCAAAGGCTCACAGATGAGTTTCATGAAGGGCATGTTTTCCGATAACCATAGTCATACTCTATCGGCCGGGTCGTCGACCGCCGCTCACCGTTTGCCGACGTTTACGGACAACCGCATGAAGACCGATACCGTTCTCTTTGCCAATGGCCGTCGCGACAGCGATGCGTCGCTTCAAGACAACGAGGACTATTCTCGCCCTGTTCTACGGGTTAGTTCAATTGACTGGTTCATGTGAATGCTATAATGTTCTCTTGCTAACGATACACGCCAGCTTACGAACCCGGACTAAGTGTCGACCGACCACGGAATCCAGTCCGTCTCCTTGCTTTTTGCATTTGAACTCTCTCCTATGTCTGCTTCTCGATTTGCGTGTTCCGGCGAAAACAGCGGTGTTATGATACCCATTTGTCACATAATCCTCGACTTCACATCACACTTTTTATTCGACTGCCCTGGGAGACGATGATGAGCTCGAGTGAGCGACCCGACCCGACCCGACCCACCACAACACCACCCACCAACCACCGGTTAACCACCAGGCCCCCTCGCTATTTCTCCCCTTTTCCGCCGACCAAACCCCGCTTTCCCAGCCAACTTCAAGGTTCCAAGTTACTGTACGGAGTACTGTTTAACTGTTTACTCGTACTTTACCAAAACAACAACCGAACCCAGCCAACCAATTAACCCCCTCCCTCGTCTCGATTTTATCTACACGTCATGGATTCATTCCTCGATCGATGACGCAATGCACTCCGGGTGGATAAAGGGGGAAAGGGAAGCGAGATCGGACAAAATCCCCATTGACGAAACACAACACAAAATTCCACCGTCATGATCGATTGGCCTGGGGGGAAAGAACTGACGGTCGCTCCAGTGTTGCAGTGCATTACAGGATCATCCATCGTCCGCTTGACGTCGACAACCCCCTACCTATCCCTCCTCCCCCCTTGAAATACTACTCTCCACCTTCTCCATCTCAATGGTCGACAGTTCGTGTATATCGACGCACAGGACCTGTGTCACAAGCACAGGCTGAAGTACATACTCTAATAGATTAGCAGAGTTCTGTTTGATTCGCTTTGCATTCACTTCCTTTTTTTTTTCTTTAGTGGTCCACTTCTTATTACTGTTTCCTGTCTTGTGTCCAAGTTACCTGGAGCGTTTCTCATGCAAAACTTCGATTCGTGCATTAAAATTGCATTGTGTTAGGAAGCTTGTTGATTGGCCAGTGGAAGCTGTGCTCTGGCCTGACGAACCTGTAATAATCCTGCCACTTTATATCATTCTTGTATGCGCTGGGCTTTATACGTTGTCGTTTCCAGATGATAGAGACCTGTCTATGGATTACTTGAAACAGAAACCAAGAAGACTGACTTGCTGCTTGCTTGTTCAATTCCCCTGGCCTGACCCAGTCCAAGATTCCGTGCGGACCCATCCGTAGAACGAACATCATCATTTTCATCATCGAGAATGACGACAATTGAACCTGGTGGGCAGTGGGCACACACAAACAATTCAAACAGACTTTCTGCCCCTTCGCCACTCACTGGCCGGCTCTTTTCTCCATCGCCAGGAACCAAAGTTTTATTCCACACCATCCACCTCCACCCCACCACATGGAAGCCAGCTCTGACACTTGAACATCCATCCATCCATTTTTTTTTCTCTTGGGAATATGGTAAATTGTATTTGATGTCGGGAAGCGGGTACCTGCATCTTATTTTCTTCCTCGCCACCTAGATCGAGTGTTAAACATGTACATGTATGAGTACAGGTGGACTATGATGTAATCTTTTTCTTTTTTTAACACATTTTTCTCCGGAAGTGGACAATCCCAAGTATGCAGGTACTGTGTTTGGATATCTATGTTAAGCATATTCGGAAAAGGTCTTTTCTGTACCGGGGTACCGGAGCTGGGAGATTTTGATCAGCGTGCCGTTTAATGGGCTTGTGGTGCGGCTTGCTGGTATGGGGTTCGTTTTTGGTGTTTCGTTACTATGGCAGATAGTAAAGTACCTTTCTTTAGTTTGAGGGGGATGAGGAGATGGTCTGTGGTAGCTTTTTATGGTTTGCTGTGGCGTGGATTAGGACTATGCTTCCTGTGCTCTATCAGCTTGGTCTCGTTTCTGGTGGGTTGGGGTGTTCTCGGGCTTGGAGCTTGTATTCCTGGTTCTGGGCTTGTGGTGAGCTGGAGTTCTTGCTAGGATTTACTGTGAGGGCTGTAATGTGCTTTAGAGATGGACTAAGGATCATGTGTTTGAACGCTTTGCGCTGGTTCTCATTGTGTACAGTGGATGAGGGTACTGTTACTCAGAGCTAGGGGATATGTACCTAGACATGCTGGATCTGGGTAGATAGGGTGTGTCTTGCTGGCGGTTATATTGTAGTGCGCTCGACTGTTACCACTGTATGTTATGTGTGAAGATGGGCAAAGAGGAGTGGGTTGTCCTGCCAGTGTATACTGCCTCTGGTGGAGGAACATCTACTTCTACGCAAGTGTTATCTACCAGCGTTCTGACATAGCATGGCAAGAAAGCAGATAGAGGCTTGCAGCATCTCAACATCAATATCTTTATGAGCATGAGCCAGTATATATTTGAGACTACCCACCAGTCGAATCTGATATACTATGCTAAACACTCGTGGTGGCACATGACTTCTCGGTGGTCGGGATAGCTTTGCCGTTCCAGGAAATGCGGAGGTGCATGCGACTCTATTTTCCCCTTCAGTCCACCCGATCCAGAGACCTCATGTCATCTACCAATCCTATCATAGAAGTCGATGCTGTCTCCTGTGATTTGCGGTAGGTTGGTTTGATAATTCGTCGGTCCTCTGCATTGAAGATAACGATTCTCTTTAGATACGGTGCTATCTGATTGACAACGTACCGGTACACTTGATGCTCGCAGTGATTCCCCGACCAAAGTTTTGACGTGAATGACAACAAGCTGGGGTTACACACCAGCACCTAGCCTATTTGCGATAGACAAAAGTACAATCGCGATGCGAGCTGCTGTGCAAGAAGCTACGTCTTTCGAAGAAGCTGATAAGCGCAGCGGCCACTGACCTATCAGTGTACTGTACAGCAATCTGCCAAGGGAGATACTGATAGAGCCTATCCAGCAAATCATCTGTCTCTTCGTTCCCTGCGTCAGGGCGTTCCCATCATGCCTCTAACTCGCCAATGATATGCCCTCGACCGGCATGCAGATCCAGGAAACTCCCACCCCTGCTGGTCAACACCACTCTTGCAAATGCACCGGCCCAGCATGTCTTGCGTGTGTTGCTTGCCCCCCTTATCATCTCATCTGCGTTCACGCACCCAACAGAGTAAAAAGGTCTTGCATGCGAGTTACCACCACCCGAGCCTCAGCAACCGGAAACGGTAGATCGAAACGAGTCGCTCATTGCATACATACATGCCCCATCCGCCATGGCATATGGAGTTGGCTGCGATCTTTGGCTACTCCCGATAGATCTTTCCCTCCTGTCCCTTAAATGTGCCGCAGTCGCGCCCCTGATGTGTCCGGGGTACAATGTTCATAACAGTCTTCGCGACACGACCTGCAGTAACGGTCAACTTACATTTGTTGAACTTGCCCATCGATGAATTGAGAGACGGCAATGGATGCACCGCTTACCCAGGGCAACGTGTGGCTAGTCGCTCTTGTCATGGTCGCACTCTCGGGGGTATATCTGGTGGTGGGCAAGCGGCAAGGCAGCAGCTCTCTGGCCAGTCGGTTGCGCAGCTACACAAGATCGGACCGTGGCGCACGCCAACCATCACCAGCATCGAATGAAAAGCAGGCTCTTTCGACTGGGCTTTCCTCGCCAGCTAGCTACGTCGATGCTCTTCCGCCGCAACGCCGCCAGGCGCTGGCCTCGCTCAAGCTCTCCGTTCCGTACGAAGAGAGCGACGAAGACGAAGTCAAGCAGCACATGCTACCTATGACGGCCGACTACAGAACCAGTCCAGCCAGAAGATACACTCCCACGGGGTTTTCAGTCGCAGAGCTCAAAGCGCTGGGTGATTTCCCAGACTACGCGACGCTCAGCGGCGTGCCCTTGCCCCAACCATACCCGGAGTTCGACATCGACAAGGCACTGCCCCGGCCCTACCGGCCCTTCCGATGGGCGTACCACCAAACAATGTGTACGATACCTCATCCGCACCCTATCCACAAGCCCCTACCAACCCCAGCTAATCTTTTCGTCTGCAAACAGCCCTCACCAAGATGGAAACGGACTGGTGGATCGAGCTCGAAAACACCTACCGCGACCGCGTGGCGCAGCGCCGGGCCCTGTACGCGAAGCACGGCAGCGGAGTGCTGGGCTACCTGCCAGGCTCCGAGCTGGCCTGCAAGGAGCTGATGGAGATGGTGCTGCAGTTCGTCTGCGCGCGCTATCCGCAGTACTTCTCGCTGGAAGGCCAGCGGATCTTCCACAACCGTATCCTCAGGACCCAACAGGACGTCACCAGCAAACACCCGCTCGAGATCCTGATCGACAATATCCCGGAAGACTTTGGGATCATGCTGCGCGACGAAGCCACGGGGTTCTATTTCCTGCGCGCCGGCGTCGTCTGCTCCTCGCTTGGGTGGAACGTGGGCACGAAGATCGGGATGCAGCTGCATGAGATCCACGAGACGATCCCGGATTATAAGGAGAAGATGCAGTTTTCCATGGATCGGTATGTTGCTTTTCTTTTCTGTTTCCCGATCTTGGCCTTGATGGTGGTTTCCGGGTTACGGACGGCTGATAGTGGCATCTGGATAGGTTCTTCACCAAGATGCCCGCCGATAAGCCCATCCAACGAGGCTCCTGGGGTCTGGAGGTGGGCCAACCACTGTACATGCCCAAGGGCAATCCGCACGAGGTCCTGCGGCTGTCTCAGGATCCGGGTTTGAAGTTGGAGGACTGCAATCTCCGCGTCGACTGGCAGACGCTTCGGCGGCTTCCGCTGTCAGCGGCCGTGGTGTTCAACTTCAAGGCGCTGTTCACGCCGGTCACTGAGTTCCGCGATGAGCCCGGGGTGCCCGCGCTCGCGGCGACTGTTTTAAAGGAGGGGAAGAAGAATCTGATGGAGTACAAGGGGACGTGGCATGTGGAGCATGTGGTCGTTCCGAACTTGGAGAGGTGGGCCAAAGAGCAGGTAGAGAGCGGTGCTGTTCCTAAGGATTGGGAGGTGGCTACGTTGGAAGATAGCCCGTGGTTTAGGGGTTGGGAGGATAAGTGGCATCGTCAGCAGGGGTTTTAGAGTGTTTGCTATTTGGTGGTCAAGCTGGTGGCTCTGTCATGGATGTGGTTGTATTTTCTATATTCAAGAGAAAAGATGTGACTAAGATGCGATATCTGGCCGTCCTTTCAATGAGGGCTCAGAGGAGCGATCCTCTGCGGTCCTGAAGCAGCGGATTGACCGAATGCTATTGCAGGTGTTTTTCCGTAGGAGTGTGCTCTGAGCGTAGAGACTGTGTACCGAGCGGTGCAATGCAATGCGCTCAACGCTCATCGCTCCCAGCGATCGAGCCGGAAGTCTTGCTGCAGAGCTCCCGCCATGAACTGGTGCTTACACTGTCGCAGGGCTGGCCTATTGTTGGTAGGTGGAGCATCACTCTGATGCGTAAAGCTGGCCTCAGACCGCTTCCATCCACCGACCGGCCAAAACCGCCGGCGGCGAAGGGTAAAGAAGTATCGTGTGCGTTTAACAAAGGGATCACCAGGCCCAATTGTCGATCGCAACAGACTCAAGAGCAGCTTCAATCATCCTCCGCCCCATTCCTCTCACCACCGACTTCCCTCTCCTCTCCCTCTTCCTCTCCCTCCTCCACATCACTGCGATCCATCTCATCCAACTCCGCCTGCAAAGGACTAACCCTCTCATCCAACAACTCCAAATCCTCCAACTGCTGCCGCGCAGGCAACTTCCACAAACTGGTCCCGCACACGCGGTCCTTGGTCAACAACTCATCAACAAACTGATCCATATACGTCAAAGTAAACGAGTCGCGCACCCTGCGCTTCAACTTCCGATAATCCAGCAACAGCGGCTCAAGCGTCTTATAGACGTCGGCAGCAGGGAAGGTCAGCCGCACGTAGAACGCCGCCAACGCGCGCAGGTACTTAAAATCCCCCTGCGTCTTAACCACCGCCGGCGTTGCTGTTGCTGTTGTCCCCCCCGCCTCGTCATTGCTTCCGTGCTCGTCCTCATCGCTTCCCGGATCCGTATAGTTGAGGTACTCGAGGATTATGTCGCGGGACGGGTTGAGCTGCAGCAGCTTGAAGGCCAGACACAGGAACGGCGTCGGCTTCTCGGCTACCCCGTACACGCCGCCGATGCAGGTTAGCTCGACGGCGCGGTCGCAGAGCGTCGCAGCGTTCAGGCCGAAGCATTGCTCTTTCCAGTAGTAGGAGTCTGTGATTCGGTCGCGGACGGCTTTCTCGAAGAGTGTGGCTGGGTTTACGCCTCGGACGAGCGGGCCGGTGTAGCCTCTGTTGTCGAGGAAGGTGCTTGCGTCGGCGCGGTGGGTCATTCTTTGTATTGTTTCTGGGTGTTGTAGAGAAGGAGGGCGGTGGGGAGAGGTAAAAGGGAGGAGAGAGTTGGAGGCGCGAGTGAGGAAGAGAAGGAAAGCTGAGGATGTTCCGGTTCAGTTCTGGATTGCTTGGCGGCGACGGGCGGTTTCTTTGCCAAGCTTCGGAGCTGCTTATCGATTGTCGCGCGGACAACCAATCGTCTCTTCTGCTGAAACACCCCAATTGGATCCAATGTTTATATTATGATGTAGTTGGAGTAACAGGTTAATGGCCGTTCGATTATTGAGGAGATGATCATCAGCAGCAGCAGCAGCAGTACTAGAGAAGGCTGTGTCTGGAAGGTTGAGACCATACTTTAACCATTAACTCTGTGTGCAGTACACGCACCGAAAGCAACATTCCTCCCCCGCATTCTCAAGCATATCCCATGTGGTTGATAGCGCAATGGTGCTCTTGACCTCGTCGACCGTTTCGGTGATCATCTCGTCCGGGGTTATCTGCGTCTTTACCTTTGCATTGTTTTTGTCTGGTTATGTCCTGCAACAACAATCCGTGCGCAACATCCAACACGCCATCCGCGCGCCGGACCGGCCATCTGGTCCTCTATACCGCGACAACGTGAAGAACAACAATCCAGAGATCTTCGCCAATACCGAACCCCAAATCCCAAACCAACAACCGATACTCCCTCCACAAGAAGAGAGAACACAAGACCAAGAACAAGAACAAGACCAACCAGCAACGGACCCCATCCCCCCCTCCTCCCCACCACAAGGCAACTACGCCTACCTCCAACTCCTCTCCTCCCCAAACCCAACAACCATCTGCTCCGCGATCCTCTTTTTCCAACACCTGGCAACAAACCACACCAAAATCCAAGACCGCCTCTTCATGTACCCGCGCGAATGGGACAGCATCCCGCCCACCACCACTTCCCAATCCCCATCCGAAGCAGAACAAATAACCCAAGCCCTCACCCTCCTCCGCCACGCAAGCCTCCAATACGGCATCTGGCTCCTCCCCATCGACACCACCGCCGCGGCCGGCGCGCGCCTCACAGACACCAAGCTGCTCCGCCTGGGCCAGATCCAGTTCGTGCCCTACGACAGCGTCCTGTACCTGCCCTCCCCGGGGCTGGTTCTCGACACCGCGAAGCTGGATTCCGTGCTGCTTGGCCGCCCGCTCCCTGGGCGGTTTGAGGCGGCGCGGCTTGACTCGGTTAGTAACCCTGCGTGGGTGCCTGTGCCGCTGCGTCCCGAGCGCGAGGAACGGTTGCCTTCGACTGCTTATCTTGTTACTGTTAATAATGTGGGGAATGGGGTCCCGATGGTTGAGGCTCGGGGGCATGTTTTGAATTCGGAGTTGGAGGGGTTTGGGGGGCTAGTGAGTCGAGTTCCTTCTTCGGATTCGGATCTAGAGCGAGAGGTGGGTTTGGAGGGGCAAGGGGAGGGGGCTGGGTATGTGGCGTTTGAGATGGAGGACGGGGCGGTGCGGTGGCAGGGGAATCCGTGGTATGGGGCCTGGAGGGCGGGGGTGCAGGCTGTTTGTCCTGGGGTTTTGTTGGATTGATCCTTGGGTATTCGTGGCGTTACTGGGTTATGATCATGATGAGGTATGATTTATGGGTTGTATATATGGTGTTGTGTAGATAGGTATGGGTTTATCTTGTTTTGGGTGTTTAGATTGAGTGTCGCTGGGAAGTTGAAAGGAAGGGGGGTCCGGGGGTTCTCCCCCGGAATACTTTATTACAGTTTTAAGATTGAGGTAGCCAGGAAGCTTAAAGGAAAAGGGTGTTCCGGGGGTTCCCCCCCGGGACGCTTTATATTACTCTGTTTAGGACTGAGGTAGACTGGGAAGCTGAAAGAAAAGGGGGGCCCGGGGGTTCTTCCTTGGGACGTTGTTATTATTATATATATTATATTCTGGGTGTAGGGTTGAGTTGAACTGGGAAGTTTTATTGTGGTATTAGGATTGGAGACAGCTATGATTTATATTTAACAGGTTTAGCGAGGCACGCCGATCTCATAGCCCAGCAGCACCTCGGTGGTATTGCCCTCCCAGCCGCGGTTGCCGCTGGTCGAGACCATGAAGCGACAGGCCTGGTCGATGTAGAGCTGCGAGACGGTGCCGGTACGATGGCCGGGGATGATCAGGAACGGCACCGTCGAGTGGCGCGTCACCTGTTCGTGCTTGAGATCGTACAGCCGGAGAATGTCATGCGACGCACTGCATGGGTCAGTTAGTAAAGTAGCCACCCACACCCTCAGACGAAAGACTCACCAGACAATGTGCCGCCCGTTCGGCATCGCCCGCAGCGCCGTCACCGGCCCACTGCCCTGCGGGAACCTGAACGTCCGCTCCGGGTCCCGCAGGCCCTTGTGCAGGCTGTACTCCTCCACCGTATTGTTCCGACGCCCGACGTAGATGTAGTTGCCGTCCGGCGACCAGCAGGCGTTCATACACCACGGAGGCGCGCTGCGCGGGATGATCCGCGCCACAGGGTCGGGCTGTCGGCGATCCCAGATCCGGATCGTGCCGTCGATCGACGCGCCCAGGAACGTATTGTCTGTGCTGGACGTCTGTGCCGGTTGTGCCGGTTCGCCGAAGACCGTGTTCTGTGTGGCGGGCTCCAGCTCCTCCGCGTGTGGCAGGCCGTTGACCTGTGGTGGAGGAGCCCCGTTGGGCTGTGCTGCTGCGGCCGTGTCGGGCCCTTGGTCCATGGCGATTGGGTCTGTGGGCGCGGGCGCGGGCGCGGGCGCAGGTGCGGCTTCTGCGGCGCCGTTGTGACTCGTCTCCGGCTCGCCGGGGGCGTCGGCGTCTGGAAGCACTCCGTTGGTGAGTGCTTTGCCGAACTCGTCATCCTCGTCGATGCCGAATGCGTTGCCGGATGCGCCTGCGTCTTCGCCGCTGGGTCCGTCGCCGTCGCCGAACAGAGAGTCGGCGCCGCCAAAGAGCGAGTCCGCTGGCGAGCCCGCCTGCGGGTCTGGGCCAGCGCCGTTCTCGCCTTGGTCGTTGGAGGTGTCCATGAACCGAAAGCTGTCTTCATCTCCTGCGGCTTGGTAATTGGACGAGTAGGTGCCGTTGGTTTGCGGGGGCTCGATGGCGTCTTTCGGGACAGGTAGGCTGGACTCCGGGCGCATCTCGATTGCCGAGATCTGTCCAGCAGTCGACCCGAAGGCACGGCGCGTCTGCCCGGTGTTCAGATCCCAGTCGAAGAGGCGCTTGTCCCAGCTTCCGGAAAGCAGGGATTTCTCATCCGAGGTCAGTGTCAGGACCGAGACGGCCGATGTATGTTGTTGCAGGAGAGCGATCTCCTTGCCTTCGTCGTGGCGGACGGACTGCAGTCGGATGCTACCCGACTCTAAACCAGATAATAGCCAGAGTCCCTCACTATGGCTAGCCAGTGAATATACCGGCGATATCGTATTCCCGTCCATGTTCTCCCAGTAGGTCATCAGCACGCCGGCCTTGACCACGCTGTCCACGAACGGGTGCCGCTGCGCTACCGTGAGCATCAGCTTGCTGTTGATCGAGTCCACCCAGTTGAATTTGCGCACATAGCCGTCCGAGCCGCCGCTGAACACCCATCTCATGTCGGCCGTGGCCGTTACCGCATTGATCGAGGTACTGTGAGGCGCCGCCGTCGTGGGGACGATATCGAATGTAGTGGCCGTCAGACACTCTGCTCGGACCGGCGGATGATATGCAGATAATGGAGAAGCGATATTCGCAGCCCCCGGTGAGGTCATTTCCACGTCCTGGTTCGGTTGAGTTGCTCCCCCGGCGCTGTCCGACACATGGCTGGACTGGCTTTCCGCATCTTGGTCGGCGTCGTCCGCGTCGGGGTCCGGTTCGTTGTCGTTGACCCCGTCGTCTGCGTCGCGAAGGGCGTCTTCCATCTCGTTGTCCGAGCTGCCGTCTTGGGAACCTATCGGTCGTGAACTGTGTTAGCTGGTTGCTGTTCGTCGGAGGAGGGCCATGAGGGCGTTACCCGCGAGATCGCGATCGTCATCATCGTCTGCGAGGGAGGCCATATCGCGGCCGGAGGATGGAGCTTATAGCTTTATGATGCGGTAGAGTGGTGACCGGTAGCAGTGTGTGATCTTCGTAGGAAAAGGTATTATGCACGGTCGGGGCTTGCTGGGACCCTTTGTGGGGAGACCTCAATAAGAGCTCAATGAATCGCGGTTATTGAAGTCGCATGCCATGCGCGCATACTTCTAATCTATCTCTGTGCTTTTTGCGGATATATAATGAATTCAGTAAGCGCATTCCCGGGATCATGGGTTGACGTGTATCAGCACCTCCATTGGCACCACTGCGAATAGACTCATGCGATGCAGGCTGGGTTGCGATCAGTTACTGATTGATCTTCGCATCTTCTCCGAGGCCGGAACACTGACCGCCTATTGTATGCCTGAGGCTGAAAGGCCTTTCCAGTAATGGTTAGCGGCCATCCCACTTTCCCCAGAGTTTGTCAAGCACGGGCAAGTATACAATCCTCCGTCCGACCAGAATTACGGGTGTTGTTAGCCACCTGACATCGAACATATGCTGCGTCTCATTTCTGTTTAGATCCTAAGGCTGGAAGTATTCTGCTGGCGGATCGATGCTTCAAAGTGCTACTCAGGTTGTCAACTCGCTAAGCATACATGCACATACAGCCCGGGTCTAGATCTTTGTTTGGAATATCCGTTTGTCGGCACAACATGGATGCTTGCATAAGTGGAGATGATTGAATCTTTGTATCTAGGTATTACTGACCAAGTTGACTGTTTGCTGTATATACTGTACAAGCTTGTCGTTATGCTGCCGAGTCTGAGCTCAGGACACATTCAAGGGAACTATGTCCCGTGGGCGAGTTGATTCACAGGAAATTCTGCAAAAGCGGACCATTAAAGATAAGAATCAATAATGACTAGGCTTCTGAGAAGCGAGAAGTTAGTTATAAGTTACAGGAGAATAATGGTGAAGAAAATCCATGGAATTGCAGGGGCTCAGGCCAATTTCTATGTGAATCACCCACGGCCACTACTGGTGGACAGGTGATTTCTCTTAATCGCGGCGAGACCCTGCGCCTTCCAGATTAAGGATCTCTCTCTCCACCTGCATCGCCTCACGCTTCTCACTCTTCCTCATCTTTGGTCCGTTCTGCGGAGCAAGGGAATCTTACAATCTTCCCACCCACCCTGTTTTGGCTGATTCTGGAAGCAGCCTGGCCAAGCCACATCTTCATGCTTGTACTGAACTTGTGCAAAGACTTCAGGGATTGATGTGGTTGTTCGTATCAACTCTATCTAACGAAATTCCCCAGTGTCTACAGGCTTGGCAACACGCCCTTCTTATTTCATCTACCTCTTCATAGTCTACCTTCGACTAATTGGCCTCTGGCATCCCGTTCCCGCAGAGGCTAATTCTCAACACGAGCTGCTGACCTTGAACTAATCACAGACCTCTACCTCTTACGATTGCTCCTACAGTCAAATCAACCCGAAGCTGGGCACTCATATCCCGATAGAGCCACTCCTCCTCATACCACAGACGCGGTAGAACTCCACTCTGCCATATTTCGACCATCCCCCACCTGGCCAAGCTCCGGAAAGGATGAAACCCAGAAAGCAGAAACGCGATCTCTTCTTACGCACGAGCAGGCTTTCGGAACCACCCGAGGTCCCCAAGGATAAAAAGAACCATGCCTGTCTGGAGATCAGGAACTATCTCTTTCCCCAAGATACAGAAGACTCCGAGCCGTGGCTCAATCGTCCAGAGCTTCCTTCTTCGGAGGAAATTATGGGCACTGCTGATGATGCCGACGAGGACTTTGTTGACCTGGCCCCTAACAACATCTTCGGTCCGTGGGAGTCAAAGAGTGCATATCTCAAAGCACACTACGAACTTCTGAGAGAAGATGCAGTCGCCCCGCTGAGAGATGCTGTGGCCTATGTCCGAGACGACCCCAAGATGATGGATAATAAGGTAGCTTCGATCTATGAAAAGGTATGTTGTTCCGTCAAAGCTCGTGTCTGGTCCAGATTTGTCTCATCATCTGCTTGCTAGGTTCATATTGTCGGTGTCACTTGCGCCTCGAGAGGACTAGGCTTTCGCATACAGTTTTCAACACATCGAGCCGGGAAGAACATTGCTTGGGAGTACTCTAAGCGTCTGATCACCGGATCCCTCGTTGCATTATCCCCGGCCGACGATTCCTTTCGCACCAAATGTGTTGTCGCTGTTGTTGCGAGCAGGCCCCTGGAAAGCGTTAAAAAGCGGCCTCCAGAGATTGATATATTCTTTGCGAAGCCAGAGGATATCGAATTCGACCCTCAGCAAGAGTGGCTCATGGTAGAAGCGAAGGACGGCTACTATGAGTCCGTCAGACACACAATGATGGCCCTACAGAAACTGTCCCGAGAGGAGTAAGTACTATTTGGCCGGAGCACCCGTATCATATGCTAATGATACCATGTAGGTTTCCCCTGTCCAAGCACATATGCCGGCTGGATCCGAATATTGAGCCCCCAGAATATGTAAAGGAAGATCCCCGCGTTGATCTCCAGGCTGTAATTGATGGGTGCGACGAAGTGAGCCAAGTCGATCTGCTTGCAGGATGGCCAGCGCTGCCATTCGGAGATCGTGACGCAACACAGTGGGAAGCCCTTCATAACATGCTGTCCAAAAGACTGTCCATTATTCAAGGGCCCCCGGGTACCGGCAAGACATACGTGTCCGTTCTTGCGTTGAAGATATTGCTCTCTAACATGAAGCCTAATGAACCGCCCATTATAATTGCCTCTCAGACAAATCATGCGTTGGATCAGCTGCTCAGACTGGTTTCGCTCTTCGAAGAGAAGTATGTCCGCTTGGGCGCGCGCAGCAGTGAGCCCGGGATCAAGTTACGAACGTTGTATACCATCAGAAAAAACGATTCGAGTGTAGTTAGTGGCGGTGTTATGACGGCTGCGAGCCTTGATTACAGAAGGCTTACCAAAGAAATAGCTGACCTGTTAGAACCCTTCAGTTCCGAGCATGCCGGTGTGCCGTTACCGTCTGAACTTTTCGTTGAGTACGGCTTGCTGACTGAGGCTCAGCTTGACTCACTCAAGCAGGGAGCAGAGGACTGGATCAGCTCAGATCAAGAAGGGGCCGTAGACCCTTTGGCTACTTGGCTTGGGGAAGAGATAGTGCCTTTTGAGGTGCATTATGCAGAGGACAACTTTGGTTTCGAAGAAGATGAGATAGATCTGGAGTATGAACAACTGAAGGAGCTTGAGGCGGAGCAAGGGCTTGAAGACGATGGTTTCGAATATCTCAGAGGTCGCTTTCTTTACCTGCGTGAGGGCAGCTGTAGCCGAAACCAATCTTTCTCCCATGTCTTACCCTCGAATCATATAAAGTTTCCGGACTTGTGGAAGGTGAAAGCTGAGTTTCGAGGAAGCATGTACGACTCCCTGCGGCAGCTTCTCAAGGCGAAAATCACGAAACAGCTCCGTGCACTTGCTTCTAAGTATCAGAAGAACAGCAAGTGGGCACAGGCCGGCGGATGGGAGTTAGATCACATGATTCTTCGCAGTGCAAAGGTCATCGGCATGACTGCGACAGGCTTGAGCAAGTACCGAGGACTCGTTTCGAGCCTGAAACCCAAAGTTGTTTTGATCGAAGAAGCTGCCGAGGCCATTGAAGCGCCAATAGCGGCTGCATGTTTCAATTCTCTTCAGCATCTCATTCTCGTCGGTGATCATCAACAGCTTCGAGGGCATTGTACTGTGCAAGACCTGGAAGGAGATCCCTTCTACCTCGACGTTTCGATGTTTGAGCGGCTGGTGAACAACAAAATGGGCTATGTTACCCTGAGAAGGCAGAGAAGAATGCCCCCTGAGATTCGCCAGCTGCTGACGCCCATTTACGGCACCCTCGAGGACCATAGATCTGTGCTTCTACGCCCCAAGGTAGTTGGTATGGGGGACCGCCGGTCATTCTTCTTCTCACACGATTGGCCGGAAAGCCGCGACAATCTTGCATCAAAATACAATGAGACTGAAGCACAGATGATCGTGGGGTTCTTCATCTACCTTTTACAAAACGGCGTGCCTGTCCACGACATCACAGTCTTGACATTTTACAATGGACAAAGAAAGCACTTGCTTAACCTGATGAAGAGACACCCCTTTCTCCAGGGTCTCTATCTGAAGGTTGTCACGGTCGATTCATACCAAGGTGAGGAGAACGAGATTGTAATCCTGTCGATGGTTCGAAGTGGTGGTGATAATATTGGATTTCTGTCCATCGAGAACCGTGTCTGCGTTGCATTGTCGCGTGCTAAATGCAGCTTCTATATCTTCGGTAACGCGAGGTCTGCAAGCACGAGCGAACTGTGGGCACAAGTTCTGTCCATCATGAAGGGCCAGCGGATGGGCTCGTTGTTACCATTGACCTGTGTGAAGCACAACGAGAGGACATTCATGAAAAGTAGGTTATTGCCTCGTTCTATTATCAGTGAGTCAGCATGCTAACAGTTAACTAATAACTGTCTCAGATCCTTCCGAATGGGAATACATCAACGGGGGATGCCTGAGGAAGTGTGGAGAGAAGCTCGACTGTGGCCATTTGTGCAGCCTAAAATGCCATAGCTTCCCACACTCTCGGGTCGCATGTGACAAGATCTGCAGCAAGAGGTGGGAATGTGGACATATGTGTCGGACCCCTTGCGCAACCCAGCACGTATGTTCCTGTTCCAGTTGCGAAGTGGGCCTGACAACGAGTTATGCGGCCGCGGCGGCGGAGTCGAATGTCCCAGTGGAAACCAAAGCGGATCCCCGGCCCGAAGGGGTCCGGGCCTATCAAGCATTTGCAGGCGGGGAAGTCATAGAGCACGATGCGATCCTGTTTGAAAAGGCTCGCGCCAGTGAGATGTCGACATCTTCGCCGGATGTATGGGTGGGAATTGGGGATCTTTTGTTGGATGATGGGGAGTTCACAGGGACCTGCGGCAAGGAGCAGGCGGGCAAGGAAAAGAAGCACACGACACGGCGGATGTCGGTGTCACTCTTGGACCCCTACGACGATTGATCGGATTCACCATAACTAAACCCGTGGAGGGCTTACCAAGATTGCAGGAATGGCAGTCATTGCATAGGTCTGTCTCAGTTGTCGACTTTACATGAGTAGATGGTAGATAGTCATCCTCACCATAAAGGAAGGGATCAACACGAGACCAAATTACCTTAAAACCAGGCTGACCCATCGATGATGTCAGACGTCTTCTCTTTGCGTAGATTATTGGTTCTTGGCTGGTTTTCTCCCGCGGCTAAACAGCGATTGACAGGCACAGTCCGGTTTTTTTCTTTGGTCTTCTCGACATTTCCAGCTCTCCTTGCCTTGATTGTTGGCAAGCAGGGCACCACGTTCTGGAACGATCTATGCGAACTGCCCATGTATGCGTCTGTATGTACGGAGTACTTAGTATGTATGTACTGCACCTGCCCCTCAGACCGCTGTACTGGTTCCAAGGCAAGAATCATGGAGGAAAATACTTCCTGGGAGATATCGGGATCCATCTTGTAGTTATGATCATTAAGGTACTGGGAATAACTCCTCCCCGGGCCAAAGGGTGTGGTGGGGAAGAACGGCGATGGGGACCATGGGTTGCACTGGGCTGTTATTTTAGAGGGAGGAGATTCGGGAAAACTGCTGATGACTACTACTAACACAGCCTAGACAGCCTAGACTGGATGAAGTGTTCCCATCCATTCATTCATTCAATCATTCAATCAGTCAATCATATCATTCAACCTCGTTTCTCCTCCCCTCCTCTTCCCTTTCCCACCTCTCCTCTCCCCTCTCTCCCATCTTTCCCGTCCCTCCCTTCCCCTCCTCCCCAACCTCCTACTTACAACACAACAATCCTAATCTCCCACACTCTCCCTGCAGCCCTGCTGGCTGGTATCCCATCCCACCAATCATAATCCCATCCTCTTGGTTTCGTTCCCTTGTTCCCAACTTCGATGGAAGCGTCGGGAATCCTCTGAGCAGCCCTTGAGAGCGCCACAGACGTGACCGAACAGGCCGAGGCACTCCCTTAACTCCCCTAACACTAGCGCGGCCGATCGAGATGCACCTTGTCCAAGCTGTCATACAATCGCCCTGACAATAAAACCTTCCCCTCCTTGATCATCGCCACTGACATTATCTATCGCTCATCCTTCTGTATTTGCATCATCATCATCAACAACTTCGTTCATCATTCATCATTCATCGTCATCATAACCATAGTCATCACTACTACCTCCTTCCCTGATCGGATCTACCCACGATCATGGCCGAGTTCATTCGCTCGCAGATCTTGGGAACCACCTTCGAGACCACAAACAGGCAAGACTTTCCCATCGGCGGAGATCCTGGTAACGCAACGAACCTCCCCCCCCAGCTAAACTTAGTTCTAGATATGCGGACCTCCAACCGGTCGGACTTGGGGCCTTTGGGCTCGTCTGGTATTGGCTCCCCTGTTCTCATACTATCCTACTCGTAAGGAGGACGGGGCACAGACTGACCCAAAAATAACCTCGCAGCTCCGCAAACGATCTCATCGCCCGCCAACCAGTAGCCATCAAGAAGATGATGAAGCCATTCTCGAACCCCACGATCGCTAAGCGTACGTATCGGGAAGTTAAGCTGTTGAAGCATTTACGTCATGAAAATGTCCGCGGTTCCTGGATCGATCTGTCCCTTTTGGCTCCGTAGCTAACGTGTCCCAGCTCATTGGCCTGAGTGATATCTTCATCTCACCATCCGAGGATGTGTATGTGGGACCCGGACCTGACCGTCGCCACGTGGAAGATGTCAAAAGTGGAGAGAGTGTACTGACATCGGCGTTCAGGTACCTTGTGACCGAGTTGTTGGGAACTGATCTCAACCGACTGCTCACAGCCAAGCCCCTTGATGGCAAGTTTGTCCAATACTTCACATATCAGCTTCTGGTAAACACCCTTCCCGGTTTGTGCGGCCTACTTCCAATACTGATACGGTCTAGCGGGGATTGAAATACATTCACTCGGCAGGGGTCATCCACCGGGATCTCAAGCCTAGTAATCTGCTGATCAACGAGAACTGTGATCTGAAGATCTGTGACTTTGGCTTGGCTCGGGTGCAAGAGCCTCAGATGACGGGCTATGTCTCCACCAGATACTACAGAGCACCCGAGATCATGTTGACTTGGCAGAGATACGGCAAGCAGGTGGACATCTGGAGTGCTGGCTGCATTGTTGCCGAAATGCTCCGTGGCAAGCCCTTGTTCCCCGGTAAAGATCACATCAACCAGTTCTTCCTGATCACGGAAGCGCTTGGAAGCCCACCGGACGAGGTGATTCAGAGGATCAGCACGAAGACGGTAAGAGAGTGAAGCGAACAAGGTTTGGCTCAAGCTCTAACGTCCACCAGACTTTGCAGATTGTTCAGTCACTGGGCAAACGCAAGCCTCCGGTGTGGGGGTCCCTGTTCCCCGGGGCTGACGCTCAGGGTGAGTTCATCATCTCTGTGAATTTTTTGTGGACCTGGGCTAAAGTAAACCCATCAGCGGTTGATCTACTCGCAAAGATGCTTGTAATTGATCCCGACAAACGTATCTCCGCCGAGGAAGCCTTGGAACACCCATACCTGGCTGTTTATCACGACCCTAATGACGAGCCCGTTGCCGAGACTATGTTTGACTGGTCTTTCCAGGAGGCCGTATACTCTACAGATGAGTGGAAGATCATGATGTGTGTTTACCAGCCATGCACTAGTGGTCGGGATTGGCTGACATGAACCATAGATACTCTGAAGTGGTGGACTTCCACGACCTCGGTCCAACAGGGCAGCCCCTCGTCGACTCAGCTCCACCTGCTGATCCTACGTACGGTCTCGATAATGTTACTGGCCTAGGCCAACAGCCGATTGACGGCATGTACCAGCCTCCTGTCGATAGTATCGACCAGGATATCCTGCAATACCTGCAGATCTAAACAATACCGTCAACTGGTTGAGTGTACTGATGGCGAAATGCAAGGGGAAGTAATACAGTGTGCTGTGGCAAACTCGACTGTGGGCAGTGACATCATGACACACATGTTCCTTCCTCTACATCGGGTTGTCTCACTCCCCCCTCCCCCTTGCCTGATTTGCTCTCATGATCACTTGAAACTTGAACCACATCTACCTATTCAAATGACCATACAACCCCATCACTTTGATTCCCCAGGGCCTACACATCCACCCAAGCGAGTGAACCTAAGTTGCTGCTCCTTGCGACGCGAGCTACCCGACCTCAGCACCTATTCATCTACTCCGATATCATCACAGCACACAATTGTGATACGCCAAATACCCACCCACCTCAACAAGCTCCTCTCACATCCCTTACACCAACTTCACACAGAAACTCAAATCCAAGGCACGAAAATGAAGAACATGCTCGCAATCTGGTCCATCATAATCAGCCTCCTCAGCCACATCACCTACGCCTTCCCATCTTTGAAAAGAACCACATACAACCCGTCCGCAGCCTGGCAAGTGTCACTCTACCAGAACAAGCGCTGCACCGGCCAAACCACCTTTTTCTCTGGAAACAGCAGTCTACCATGTCACGATGCGATCCTCAACGGCGGCGCACTGGGATACATTGTGCAGATCGCCCCCGGCTCCAATTGTTCGGTGCAGTTCTCTAGCGATACGCAGTGCAGTCAGTCCGTCAACGCGACCGTCGCTATCAACTCGACGGCGTCGTCCTGTCAGGTGATGAGGATACAAGAGCGAGAAATGCAGATCCGGCGGTTTTCGGTTACTTGTCGAGGCGTTCGGAGGCCTTTCCGTTTTCATGACCGTGTATGATGTTTCTTAATGCAGCGTTGTGCCTTCACTTGTTGTAGCTATTTTTAATGCAGCGTGAAATGAGACTATCTTTCTTGAAAAGTGGTGCTGATATGTCTGCGGCAGTTTTGAATCACTTACTGATTTTAGTTTCGGGTTAGGTAGTAGACAGCTATGTAGAGCTTTTGAGTAGGATATGCAAATATCGCATGTCAATGTCAAACGGAGGTTCCCTAGTATACACCAACCAACTCTGACACAGCTAAGACACCGTCCCACTATTGTCGGCACAAGAGACCACCCCATTGACACTCCCATCTGGATATGCCTCGCAAATCTGCACCACAACCGCATCCGCATCGCGACCATCATGAACAGCCCCAGCAGCTGATAGTCTTCAGGAAGATGGGCTGGTGCTCGGATCCAGCTCACGGTCCTGAAGTCCACTTGGCTTTCGCCTTGTTGGAAGCCTTCGTATGTCTCATGGTCGGATTGAGGTGCTGGGTGCCGGCGGTGGCGATGTCCTCGCCAGCAGGTCTTGCTGGTGAGATTCCGAGGTCTTTGGCCGCGTCGGTCGACATGGTTTGATTCGGTGGATTGGAGTGAGGGGGGCTCCCTCTCGAGCTTGGGTGGTCGATCATATTATGTGGCTTTGCAAGCGCGGATCAAGCTGCATAACTGTAGGATATCTAGTATAGTATGCATGTTCTTCAGTATCGATCTGCCTTGTCAAAGCTATGTCCCGTTTGGTAGTGTTGGATGACGACTCGTGGACGTTGCAGTTGCGGTTGCGATAACAAACGGCTCACAGTTGGGGTAGTATTATCGTTTGGAGTAAGCTACCTCCTGCTGTATCAGTCATGCGAGTCGTTGATAGCGATTTGGGGTAAGTATGTAACTCTTTGAGACTGTGCAGGCATGTTGAAAGATGTTGCAAAAGTGGGAGGGTGAGTTGGTCGGAGAAGAGACCCCTCCCGAGCCTGATTTGACCTTGGATTCAAGGTTGCGGTTAACTGTTGGACCGGCTCCGAATATCTTGAAGTACAGTGGAACACTTCAAAAAAGTTCCCAAGTTCTAAGGCACGGTTCGGTCAAGCTCTGGCCGGCGACGATCGACTAGGCGCCAATTGTTTAGCAGCACTCCTTCAACCATTAGGCTCCTTCCTGCCTGGTTGGAGTCTTCTTACTCCAACAGCGATAAGGCCCTATGGCTTGGCAGTTGGAGCAATGCTTTGCATCTTCCAGCAGTCCCCCGCGCTAAATGCGACTCTATCTCTTATGTCTAAAGAGCTGAGGTCTTGAGATACTGTGCATATTGAATTATCTTTTGTTTGACTGAGATAATGTGTTCGAAATACCGGACATCACACCACACCATGTCGGTCCTCTCCACCTCCATCTCGCCGTACGCACCTACATCATCGAAGCACTATATAGCTTGAAACCTGCCTGCTGAATCGTTAAATAGGGGCAACCCAGTCAAGAAGGAAGACGCAAACCAGCTCCTCCAGAAACTCGGCCTCTCAGTGAGCCCAGAAGAGGAGGATGACTTTAACATGCTGCTGGCAGCCGTGCACGACTGCGCCGAAACCATCTCGAATCTACCCGACTACCAGCCCAGCCCCGGTCTCAAACGATACCCTCGACAGAACGTGCGACGTCCTTCCCCAGAAGAGCAGGCCTTTGGGCAGGCATGGGCTCATAAGTTCCTGATCAAAGGCAACCCCGACGGAGGACTTTTGGCCGGCAAACAATCAGCCTCAAAGATACGATTGCGGTCGCAGGCGTGCCGCAGCTGCTTGGAAGCGACATCATACCCTCTTGGACCCCTATCACAGATGCCACGGTGGTGACGCGGGCTATTGAAGCTGGCGCGGACATCCACGGAACGTCGACCTGCTAGAACTACTGCCACTCGACCTTGTCGTACACCAGTGCGCAGGGGATCGTCGAGAATCCCCATGCTTCGGGGTACTCTGCTGGGGGCAGTACCTCGGGCGGCGCAGCTCTGGTCGATATAACGTTTGGAGGTGATCAGGGTGGAAGTATTCGTGTCCCTGCCTCTTGCTGCGGCTGTACGTGTAGCCAATTTTGAATTCTGAGGCCATTCATGGTAAGCTGATATCTAACTTAGGCGTCGGACTGAAGCCGACATACGGGCTGGTTCCTTACACCGGTATCGCCAGTGGAGACGCTATCAACGACCATGCTGGTCCGATTGCCAGGAGCCCGCTTGATGTTGCCTTGTGCTTGGACGCCATCTGTGGATATGATGGAATCGACGATCGGTGTCTGGGTAGTCCCAGGCACGGATCAACGTCCTATGCAGAAGACCTTCGATCAGCGCCTGACCGACTTGACGGCTTACGAGTAGGATATCCGAAGGATGGTTTCTAACACACCACCGTAGACCCTGTAGTCAAGAACGCAGTCTGAACGCAGTCCAAAAGCTCGTGGGCCTCGGTGCAGTAGCCGAGGAAGTGTCCATTCCGGACCACTACCACGGACCTGCCATCTGCACAATCCAGCAGCGCATCTCAGGCTCCCTGACATTGCTCGGCCAGGCCCACGGCTGACGAGGCCTCCACATGACCGGGATGTGGCGCGAGAGACTTCCCTGGACGGCAGATGGTTTCCAGCGAGCGTTCCCCAGCACCAAGAACGTGATAATCAACGGCCTCTACCTCACCTCCCAGTTTCCGGACCTGTACGGCAAGACCATCAAGATCGGTCGCAAGCTCCGGGATCTCTACGAGGAGCTTTTCCAGGCGTATGACGTTGTGGTCGTGCCGACCACGCCCGTTGTTGCGCCCCGATATGGTGCACGCGGCCTCCCTATTGAAACTCTCAAACCCAGTACGGGCCTCACCATCAAAACGGCCATCTTCGACGTTACCGGCCACCCTGCAATGTCTATACCCGTGGGGCTCGTCTCTGCGGAAGGATAACGCGGATATACAATTGCCAGTGGGGATGCAGATTGTGGGCGGACTGTGGCAAGAAGCCAAGGTCCTTCGTGTGGGACACGCATGGGAGAAGCACTTTGACTGGACGAAACAGCACGCAGACTAGAACAGCAAGGAATGGCTTTCATACACTTTGGATACACACAATCGCAAGCACATAGTCATCAATCATCATTGAACATAGTCACTTCATGAACCTTAGTTAATCACATACCCTCCATCCACCACCAGAGCATGTCCTTGGATGAAGGACGCAAAGGTCGAGCATAGAAAGAGCACTGCATCCGCGACTTCGTCGGGCTTCCCCATCCGCTTCATGGGTGCTATCTCCACGGCCGGTCGGAGACGTTCGCGGACTTCGTCGCTGTAGGTGGTCATGGGGGTTTCAATGACTCCCGGACAGACGCAGTTCACTCTGATACCATCGCGCGCATAGTCAATGGCATCGGAGCGGGTCATTGCGATGATAGCAGCCTTGGAGCTACAGTATGCCGCTGACAACGAGGAATCATCAGTACCTTACGGTTGTGTGTAACCAACCATGGTTAAAACGCGCGAGACTTACGAGCACTCGGGCGCCCGACTATGCCCAGCTGGCTTGCGATGTTGACGATGGCTCCTCGCTGGGGCTCGCGGGCCGGATCATGGCTGAGCAAGGGATCCTGCTTGAGCATCTGTCTCAGTTCCGCCCGCGAACAAAGCCAAGAACCCCGGTAGTTGATGTTGTTGATCCGGTCGAAGGTCTCGGTAGGTGTGTCCGTCGACCGCAGGGCGTCCCCCAGTACACCAGCGCAATTAACCGCATAATCAACTCGTCCGAACTCTGAGACCACTTCTCCAATGAACGATTCCACGAAACCTTCGTCGGAGATATCTCCGGCTTTCGCGTAGAGGCGCACGTGAGGGGACGCGGCCGAAACGGCTTCTTTCGTGTTGTTCAGCGAGTCCGGATTGAGGTCTGTGATGGCGATTCTCTCGCATCCTGCCGAGGCGAATTCCTTTGCGACTGCGGCTCCGATACCTTGATGGCGATTCAGCATTTTACTGCGACAGAAGGCCTCAATCCAGTACGACTTGTTCCAATTTACTGACCAGTTCCGCCGGCTCCCGTGATCACGGCGACTCCCGCAAATGTATATGTTCGCGTCATGGGTTCGGTTGTCGACAAGCAGCAGTCGCACAATGTCAACGTGAAAGATGGAGGTGTGTGTTCAAGGGTGCAAACCACCCGCAGGTGTAATTGTTGTGGACTTTATCACCCTGACATCATTCTATAGATCGGATGGCAGGCAGGCAGGGGCAGTTGGAGTCTCTTGGGAGTCTTATCAGCGAGATAGTGGGGAAAAAACCACCCAAAGTGGCGTTGGGGCCGATTCGGCAATCGTTGGAGTCGGTCGCTTTGCCTCTTGTGGTTCGTTTTTCTCCTCTTTGCGATTTCTCCTACTAGACTAAGTACGAATTTCTCCTCCATCTTGCTGCCCGCCTGCTTCGTGTCTCCAATTGGAGAGCTGTTATCTCTTCCATATGATACCTTGTGCCTCCAAATGTCTTAATGCAGTCCCAGCCCTCCTCACAACCTGCCCGGGGCAATCGTCGCTCGACTGCTGCTGCCAAATCTCGGGTCTGCGTCCATTGTGGCCGCAGTTTTCGGCGCACCGAGCACCTAGAGCGCCACGTTCGCACACGTATGTCGCTGCTCCCTGCCTCAATGCGACGTATCTTAGCGTCTCCTGCATGTACGCATTCGCTAACCTAACCTTCTTGATCCGGTCGCAGATACCAAAGAGAAACCGTACATCTGCTTCTGCGGGGCAGCCTTCACTCGCCGGGATCTACTGAAGCGACACACGAATATCGCACACCCAGGCAATGACTTGGTTTCGCCCAATTCGCAGCCAGAGACTGAGAGCATAGAACCTCAACCTCATCCGCGAGTTTCCGAGCCCGCCCCGGCACCACCAGCTCCCCCAGCTCCTCCTCCGGCTCCTCCAGCATACATCGTCCCGCCGACATCGCGGCCGGACGCACCTCTCTCGGTCCCGCCGAATGTGGAACAATGGACCGGAGGCCCCCCACGAGAGTCATATATCGCGCAGGACCGAGCTCCTGTGCTCGAGCCGGTGAATAGTGCTCCTGGCTTAGCGGCTCATGGTGGTGCGGTCGGTCACGATGCAGAGGTTTTGGAGGCGGCCCAACTTCTGCTCCCCGGGAACTATCGGCATACTCCAGCTCCAGGTAAAGCATCGCTGTCGCGAAAGAACAAAACCTCATGCGTTCGCATACTAACCGAGAGCTAGCCCAAACCCTGTCATACCTCCCGGAAGAGTTGAACCACTTCCAGGATTTTACCCATTTCCTCGACTCGATCGGCTTGCCATCCGAATGGGTTCCGGCGTTTGGAGAGGTCCCTCAGATACACAATCCGGTGCCGGCCACAACGGTCCCGGACATTGACAGAAACCATGCGAGCCAACAAGATGCGCGTCGTCGGAGTATACCTGAGAGATCCCGGGCGGATTCTCCCTTCCGATCATGGCTTCCATCTGTGCCACCAGAAGACCAGAGTCTTGGCTCGGTTCATGATTATGGTATGTCGTTCATCTGGGGGAAGCTAGGAGCTGTCCTTCTGACTGTATCTCTCAGAGCCTCCGCAGAATGCCAAGAGCAGTTCCTCGTTGAAGGTGACAGAGGAGCAAAGACAGCGTCTAGCTGCTGCCCTGGAGGAGTTTCGTTACTTGATACCAGATTTCGTCCTGCCGTCGCGCCATACACTGACCCGATACTTGACCTCATTCTTTGACGGGTTTCACACGCATCTGCCTTTCATTCATGCTCCGACATTCCGGATTAATGAGCATGCACCGGAGCTCGTGCTGGCTTTCATGACCCTAGGTGCCCAGTATCGCTTCGAACACCGCAATGCGGAACGGCTGTTCCATGCCTCCAAGGAGATTGTTTTCTGTAGGTTATCGAAAGAATCTCATGCCATGCCATATAACACCATAATTCAAATACCTCTGAACCACATTCGTGATCCTTCACTACCCAGTCAGACATCCTCGCTGTCGCCTGCGGAATTCGCTGCGGGGATGAGCGCATGGAGGCAAATCGAAAACATTCGCACTCTGCTATCCTTGATGGGATACTCCACTTGGGAGAAGGCAGAGCTTGTTCAGGAGGCGTTTGGCCTGCAAAATTTGCTTGTTCGATGTCTCCGGGATTTCGGTCTGGCAGAAAACATAATCGTTGCTCCGCGGCACGCCCCTCTGCAATGGCACGAATGGGCCGAGGAAGAGTCTATTCGACGCACTCGATTCATCTCCTTCTGCTTTGTCCATATTCATAGCATAGCCTACAACATATACCCGGTCCTGCGCAGCAGTGAGGTCCACTTGCGCCTTCCGTGTTCTACCAAAGAATGGAATGCGGCCACGGCTCTCGAATGGGAAGCTGCGCAGAAGGAAATCGACTCTCAGCAGTTGTTCTTCCAAGACGCACTCGCATTACTGCTGCAACCCTCCCGACATCCAGTGCCGCTTGAGCCGATCCCAGCGCCACTCGGCAATTATATCCTTCTCCATGGCCTTCTCCAGCGCATACACCTCGTCAGCGAGCTTTCCATACCGAACGGGGATCACTCGTTTTCTCTCCCTACAGAAGAGTTGAACAAACTTGAGTACGCTCACTTATTTGCGTGTAATGGCTTTATTGGAGGACTGTTCAATTGCTAATCTCGTCATAGGAGAGCCTTACGAACCTGGACATCAGTGTGGCAACAAGCTCCAGAGTCGAGCCTCGACCCCCATAACGAGAACGGCCCTATCCCCTTCACGTCGAGCTCGTTCCTAGGACTAGCCTATGTTCGTTTGTCGCTGAACTTAGGGTCCTATCGCCAACTTGAAACGCGAGACCCCTACCGTATTGCCTCTGCGCTGCATCGGTCGCCTCGCCCTAGCAGAAGCTATCAACTCACACCTGCACTGATTTATGCGGCGCACGCTCTAAGTGTCCCGGTGCGGTTGGGCATCGATCACGTGGCACGCAGTCAAGCTTTCTTCTGGAGTGTCCGACATTCAATTGCGAGCCTCGAATGCGCTGTCCTGCTAAGCAAATGGCTGATGTCGCTGGCGGAAACTGGCGGCACCCAAACCTTGAGTGGTACGGATCTCATTGCAACTCACTACGCTTAAGCTTCTAGTTGACTGTACTGACAATGAGTTTTGATAGGTAACGAGAGCCGCATACTGCATTGGACACGCTGTATTGTTCAAGAAGCTTACGACTCTTTGGACCTTGATAGGGAAGAGATCTTTCCTGGTCTCGATCCCACCAGTCTTGGACTGGCGGTCATACAGCTCTGGGCTCGTCTGTTTCGAAAGAATACACAATGGCCCTTCATCAACGTGATGGGCGAGGGCCTAGAAAGATACCTTGACCTCATTCGACCGGAGTGAGGGACTTGTGCACAACTACAGGAAAGAACCAAATGCTACCTTATTGCCATCACGCTAAGCGCGGACCAGAAAGTATTGGCACCGGAAGTAGCGTTGCACATTCACATGAAGAATGGCATGTCCTATATCGCTGAACGAGGCCAGCCCCGCATACAGCATGACATTACCTACAGCCGATATTTATTCCAATACCGATACTAGTCCTAAAAATACTTCGAAGTGTGCCGGATGTATCGGCATGTATATCCAAGGCCGTCTAATAAAAAAACCCAAAGCCCCGCTCGCACAGGAATCGATTGCCGGATGATCTCATACACTTTGTACAGAAGCGGCCAGAGGCAAAAGCACGTCGGACATGAAGTCATCAAAAAGACTTTTTAAAGAGTGCTTTAGCGTTCGGATTTCCTCGGATTCACACACCGCGCATTATAGACCAATTGCTCTAGACGAAGAACGTGCTGGTTCTTGGTCTGGTCTTAACATTAATTCACAATTAGAGGCTAATCCAAAAGATTACAGGAATGGTCTGCAACAAATGTTACCGTTCCAACCAAATTAATTCGCCCTTCTTTTCTCAAAACGTCATCTTCAACAAAATCCATCGATTGTCCTTGCGGACAGCATAAACACAGGCGGCGATCTCGGGGACGTAGCACCTTAGAAGAGAGCTCTCTTCGCCCAGCTGGGAGATGGGGTAGCCGAAGCGGAAAGCGAGGCCGAGCTGGAGGCAGCAGCGCTGGCCGAGACATTGGCAGCCAGGGTGGCGCCTAGAGGGCCGATGAACAAGGTCTGACCGCATGGTGCTGGGGGAGCAGTCACACAGTTACCGAGGTAGCGGCCCATATTGCCCTTCTGGCTGTCGGTGGACAGTACAAAGGCCGGGCTGTAGGCGGGGACAAGTCCAGAGCTATTGGCCGGGAAAAGGACGTCCTGCTGGTTGCTGGCAAGGTAGTAGGCATGAGCCGTGTGCTCCGCAGCCAGGCGAGCCCAAAGGAAGGAGACCTCGGGGGCCTGGGTGTAGCCAGCCAAGGCAATGTAGGCTCCGGCGACCGTGGACTCGAGGGTCAGTGCGTTCTTAACAAATTCATCGCCGCCGCTGGCGGAGGGGAAGGTGAAGCTGCAGTTGGGGGCAGTGAAGCCGGATATCCTGGACCCCAGTTGCTGGACGGCACGCACGCCCAGGCGATTGAGGCGCTGAATGCCCTGGAAGTTGGGGTAGTACTCAGCATCTGAGTCGTTGGTGGCGCTCATCAGGAAGGTCTGGTTGAGGGCGACCTGGTTGTAGTACCTGTCGAGGAAGTACGACAGCGCATAACCATATTCGACGACCTGGACATCGGAGGAGGACGGCGAGCAGTTCCCGGAGGAGCCCTGAGCGACAGCCACTCCGGCGAGAAGAAGCTGGCTAACAGTAGAGAGGAAGCGCATGATGTTTGAGAGGAGATTATTACTCAGTCTGCTCAAAACGATACGTTTTCTTCTTTCTGTTGCAAAAACGCGAAAGCGTGCGATGGCGGTTGAGAAAGAGGTAGGAGTGGAAAAGAGAGCGCCAAACTTGTTGAAAGAGAGACTCAACCGTACGGTATACTTATATGTCGTTCTTCTTTGCACCAGGCTCCTCACAGGTGAATTCCCAGAAAGTCTAGAGTTCGGGAGATCGGAAAGCAGATGCAACGATATGATGATGGGTGTGGAACCCTCCGTTCATTCAGTCTGTCATCGAGACGCGCGGTCATCAGGCAGAGGGAGGGGGCGGAGCACGCTTCCTCTCCACTGATTTGCATCATGACATTTCTGCCTGGCCCGGGGAATACCGAATTGGGGAGGGTCTGTCAAGATCATGGCTGATGATAGGAGGGATGTTGGACGACCATCCCAACCAAAGTAGGTTGGACTGTTCATGGGCCGAACTGGTGTTCCTCAACGTTCGGCCGCACCCAGGGTTCAATGTCAAAGTTAGTTTATCGAATACTCAATCTTTCATTGTGAGATCATCGACGAGGTAGAAGAAGAAGAAGAAAGAAGTTATACTAGTGGGAACCATCCGGGAGAACCTTAGGCGGGATCGAATACCGAGGTGGTGATATCATCCGCCGGAACAGATGGGAAGGGCAACCCGCAAGTCGAGAGCGTAATGCTTTCTTACTCTCAGGCTGTGGAATTATTCCACTGTTTCTGATTTCCAATTTAAATAATATGCTAGGCAGTGTCTGGCGGTTGCTCGTTCCGATTCAATCTCTATCTTTGAGGTTATTTTAGAAGTATGATGGATGATGGCGAGATGTCATTCCTACTATATCTAGTCAATGTACTATACCGTAGTGTCTGCACGACAATCGATCTGCACCTAGTGTCATCCACCACCCCCGCTAAACTCGGATCATCCGGGGATTGCTGAGTACCATTACTCCTAGATAGTTAGACAGTGACCACAACAGTCACTGCCCAGGGTATAACCACTGACCACTAACTATAAACTAAGGACAGGCCGGATCTCCTCGGAAATTCCCTCGAGATCTTTTTTTTTGGGGGGGATTGTATAGACGCTAGTCTGGAAGAGGCTAGGGTAGCTAGTGCGGTGCCAAGAGGTAGTTCCCACCACCGCTGGAATACCTAGGTTGTCTCCTTGACCGCCCTATTCACCGCTTCGAGCGGCAGAACCTAGCGAACCTCGCAACAAACACCACGGAAATAAGCGGATTTAAGGACCAACAGCGCCCGAACAACTTCCCGGGAAACTGTTCGTTTTAGGCGGTGGCAGAATTTTGAAAAAAAGCGGCAGTGCCGTCCGTGCCAGTATATTTTGTGCTGCACAAAGAGTTGTCTCTGCTTTGCTACCTGCTTGCAGTGGTGATAGGGGAATACTGCTACTACTTATTTCTCAAGTGACTGAATCAATGTGGAACATGGTATACCGGACTCTATATCAATAACGCAGTCCCATCTCACGAACTACTTACTGCACTTTACAACACATAATTGAGGACAGACCACCCACCACCTCTACCATCATGGCCGAACCAGACTAAACTACAAACCAAAAGGCGTATACATCCACAAACAGGAAAAAAAAAAAAGAAATCAAGCATAAGGATTCCTCGCCCGCCCCGCCAGCACCTCAGCAAAATACTCGCGGAACGACGTCGGCCTGAGGTCCGGATACAGCTGCCTCGCATCCAGATATCCCAGGTACTCCGCATACTCGGGGCGATTATCCTGCCGCACATACTTACTATACCGGTACTGTTCCAGCCAGACGGGAATCAGTTTCCTGATATCGTGCGGGTCTTTCGCTAGTTCTTCGAGCGCGAGCGTAGCTTTTCTTTGCGTTTCTTCGGGGGGTTCCTGTTTTCGTTTCGTCGCGTTAGCTATCTATACCCAGTTCTTCAATTTGATCCCCCCCCCCCCCCAAACCGGGAACCCCATCACCCTTTCCAACAAGATAACCTAGAGGAAAGGAAGGAAAGAAGGGAACATACAAAAACCCGCTCAACCCTCTCCCCCGCCATCTCCTCCACGACCGCAAAGATCTCATTCTCAGTCAACACCTCACCGCACGTATACACGCGACGATTCAGCGTGCGCTCATCGGCGATGATACGCGCCACGAACCGCCCGATATCCCCTATCTCCGTCAGGATATTGGGCGCCGTGCCATCGCCGTGGATCGTCCTTGTTTCCTTTAACGGGATGGCGTAGTCGGTGCGGCCGGAGGGCAGTGGCGGGAAGGACGTCTGGTACCAGTAGCCCACGTCGATGATCGTGTAGCCCAGGCTGTGCAGGAGGATCTCGTGGTAGATTTCTTCTGTCTTTTTGCGCGGCGGGAAGGGTTATTTCTCAGTTGGTTTGGGACTGGGATTGGGAGGGAGGGAGGGTGGAGTGTGCCTACCTCCTCAGTCAGAAGCATGGCACCGTGCGGCGGAGCGATCGTGATCCATGAGCTCGGCACAAATCGCCGCACGCCTGCTTTCTTCGCGGCGCGGACGAGCCCCTTCTGCTGCGTGACGGAGACCGGGCCCGGCCCCAGGCTGCAGATCAGGATGTCCACGTTTGCCAGGGCTGGGACGAGCTCGTCCGAGGGCAGATCGATGTCCACGATCCGCTGCGGGATGCCTCGCTTCTGGGTCAGGGCTTGCACGGCGGGTTTGCTGGCGGAGCTGGGCCGGATGAGGATCTCAACGTCCTGTTTAACTTTGGGTCAGTTACGCTGTTGGAAATTGTCTTTGGGAATGGTGATTGCGTACGAATCGCTCGGCTGCTAGCAGGGCTTCGAGGATCGAACCGCCTGCGTTCCCTGTGGCTCCGATCAATAAGACTTTGGGGCGCGGCATGGTGTCTTGCTTGGGGTTTGGGATTTAATGTACTGATGAGGTGAGTCCTGGATCTTGTTATGCATGTTGAAAGCTGGGAGAATGAGGTGTTTAAATACAGTGAAGACGGGGAAGTATACAAGGTGAGCCATTTTGCCGACAGGTGAGGTGGAGCCCCGGACCCGTGTCGCTTGGACTGTAGCTCGCCCTGGATTGGCCAGCCCGGGTATAGCAACGCGCCGCTAATCCATTCCAAAGATCTATACAGCCCATCTTACTATGAGCCATTTATTGCCTGTCCGGCATCACACCGCAGCTGACCGCGCCGCAGAGGCCAGACTGATCGATTACCTGGTCCGTGGTGAGCATTAGACATAATACGGACGACTGGGCTCCGACGTCGTGGAGGCTGTACATTCGAAGCAGTTGGTTCGATTCTCTATTTCATATGTAGTAAACAGATAAAACAAGATGCTGGACTCAGACACAGACAGACAGACACATACATGGACGTCAATGCGCCAGTTTTATAATGAAATCCGATCACTTAATTATGTACCATAACTTTTATGGCCCCGCTGCAAGAAATAAAGAATTCACAGCGAAAAGAACAGCAGGGATGTATGTATGCAATCAGAATGAAAACAATCCCCTTAGTACAGATGACTTAATATATGCAGCTCTATGTTGAGGCGCTTGCGCCGTGGGTGCTTTCCCAGGCCTTCTTGGCACCCTCCAAGAGACCGTCCATATTTCCACTGTTCTCGCACATGCTTCGGAAGAGACCATCCTCCCGATTGATCAAGGTCCAGGGATGCTCGAACTCAATCACCTGACCATGGTCAAGCACCAGCACCTTATCATAGTCGATGATGGTTTGCAGGCGATGGGCAATGGTGATGATCGTGCTTTCGCGAAGTTCGCGCAGGGTCTCCTGGATCTTGGAATCCGTGTTGTAGTCAATCGAGGCGGTGGCTTCGTCCATCATGAGAACCTTGGGGTTCTTGAGGAGGGCACGGGCCAGGCAGAGGAGCTGGCGCTGACCCTGGGACAGGTTGGACCCGGACTCGGAAACGGCCGTCTCCAGGTTCAAGAAGATATTCTTATTGTCAAGCACAGTACTGCTGGTAACCCCGTTCGTGCTGGGCTCGGCAATAGTGCTGCTCGTCATGGGTGTAGCAGTGCCCGAGGTTCCGGGGCCGATCAGATGGACGCGGCGCAGAGCGGTGAAGATTTGTTCGTCACTGAACAGGTTGAATGGATCAAGGTTGGTCCGGATGGTACCGGTGAAGAGAGTAGGGTCTTGTGGAACGATGGTGATTGCTTCACGCAAGTCGCGAAGGCCGATCTTGCTGATGTCCACATTGTCGATAACGATGCGTCCCTTCTCGGCCTCAAGTCCGCGGAACAGCGCAAGGGCGAGTGAACTCTTTCCAGCACCGGTACGACCAACAATGCCAACCTTCTCCCCAGGTTGAACCTTGAACGACACATTCCGGAGGACAGGATCCAGGTCAGACCGGTACCGCGTGGTATAATTGACGAACTCAACGGAACCCCCGCTGGGCCACTGAGATGGCGGTCTGGAGTCGGCAATGACAGCATCGGCCTCCTGTTCGACCTCAAGGTATTCGTTCACTCGCTCCACCGAGTTCATATTCTGCTGGACCTCGGAGTACAACCGGACCAGCCATAGAATATTGTCGGTAAATGTCACCGCGTAGGTCAACGAAAGTCCGGCAGCACCCGCGTCGACCTTCCCAACATTAGCGAGGACGAAGGCAGCCGTGAAGAAAGACACCAGAGCTCCGGTGACATCAACGCGCAGCGCCAGCCAGCGGTTGCTTGCCCAAAGGTAGATGTGAGGCCGGTTGTAGGCATTGATTCGACGGTGGTTATCGACGATGAATCGCGGTCCATCACCATAGGCGCGGATGGTGACGATACCATTCAAAGTCTCTCCAAACTGTTGGTACAACGGACTCCTCTGTACGGATTCGAGCCTCTTCAGGTCCCGAGACGAGTTCACGTAGACGGCACCGAGGGCAATATAGACCAGCGTGATAAAGATCCCAGCGATCAAGAAGCCGGGGGTGATGGCGGAGATCAAAATCACAATCATTATCACAGATGCCAGACTGTGAAGCATACCAATTGCCACGGGAGCTACTTCCTGGTCAACTGCCTCAACATCTTTCGAGAAGCGGTTCATCAATTGGCCCAAGGGGGTCGAATCGAAAAACTTGAACTTGGCGTGAATCACAGACTTCAAGAGACGTTGGTGAATAGTGAACGAGGCGTGAAGCGAACCCCAGAAAAGAACGGCTTCCCTCAGAAGGGAGATCAGAACAAAAGACAGACCCAACAGCGCGTAGACGCCAAGATAATACGTGACGTTGACATCAGTGTTAGTGGCAGCATTCTTTTCCGTGCTGAACTGGGGGGCGCTGAGGACTGAGGTTCGAGGAACACCGCCAGCATTGAACGAGGGCATTTTGAAGTTGGCCACGGCCGCATAGTCGCCAGCATCCGGTTGTCCAGAGCTATGGGTTTGATATGAATTCGCCCATTGTCTGATCCAGATATTGGTAGAGACCGATCCCAGTTGTTGCAGACAGAACACTAGAACAGCAACGACCCAGTACGACCAAGACCCCATAGAAAGCAAGTACATTTTGATCGTTGACCACTTGATGCTACCGACGCTTTTGGACTCATTGAGTTTGGATGGATCATCCTTTCCTTCCTGAACCTTTGCGGAGGTATCGTTGACTGCCGAGCCATTCGCGTGGGTCCCTTCTTGAGGGTCCTCAGCATCGGAGGGTCTACGGGAGAGACGAGGGGTGCTAGCCCTGGAGGTTGGCCGAGATTTCAGAAGCTCGTCACCCAGGGCGCCTGAGGCAGCGACATCATCCGGAGGACCCTGGGCCGCAATCTTACCGTTGTTGAGGACCACAACATAGTCCGCTTGGGGGACTGTAAGAGCGACATTATGCGTGACAAGAATGCAGGAACGATTCATCATAAGAGGACCGGTCAAAGCCTGGCGGAAGATGTGCTTGGCGGTGTGCGAGTCCACAGCACTCAAACAATCGTCCAGGAGCAGGTGGCGGGCTCTACTGTAGACCGCACGAGCAAGGGAAATGCGCTGTTTCTGGCCACCTGACAAGCTGATACCCTTTTCTCCCACGAGGGTTTGGTCACCAGCATCAAGGATTTGGAGGTCTCTCTCCAAAGCACAAGCCTTGATCACGGCATTATACCGACGTTGGTCGAACGGAGACGCGAACACGATGTTGTCCTTTACGGTAGCATTGACGAGCCAGGCTTCCTGCGCACAGTAGGCGACGCTCTCAATCAGACCGGTCTGCGGATCCACGGGAAGCTCCGCCCGGTTGGCAGTACCGCCAGGTAAATAGACTCTTCCTTCCAGAAGTTTCATCTCACCCAATAGAGCCATCAACATCGAGGTCTTTCCAGAGCCAGTGGGTCCAGTGATAACGTTGAGCTTTCCGACCTTGAATGACACATCCATGTTAATCAGACGGAAGTTGTCCTTGGCGTCATCCGAAGGGTCATCGGAATATCCCGTCTTGGAGGCGCCCCAACTGAGAGTGGCCTTTTCCAGTGCGATCTTAGGTGGCTGTCCATGGGCATCCTCGTTCTCAAGCAGCCTGTATTTCTCGGTCTCGTCCTCATTGAGATATTCATCGACACGATCGAGGGAGACCTTGGATTCTTGCACGTGTGCTACCATATCTGCTAGCTGATCAAGAGGCACACGGAGCAGGGAAAACATTGACAATGCGGGAAAGGCAATAGAAGGTGTCAATTGTTTCTTTTCCACCACCGTGTACAGGAAGAAAGAGGCGAAGGTGATCAGAATCGGTGTACCGTACCAGACCGTAGCTGCTGAAGACCAGATAATGTACCGGAAGCGGAGAGCCTTCAATTCAGTCTTTCGCTTTTCGTTGACGATATCCTGAAAGCGTTGTTCCCACGCAAAGTACTTGATAATCCGGATGTTCTGCAGAATCTCATTGGTGCTATGAATCCGAGCATCGGTGCCCTTCAGTATCTGTTTCTGAACCTTAGAAAACTGCTTCGCAATCACCAGGTTCACGGGCAGCATGAGCACCATGATAACGATTCCAGCCAAGGAACTCAAGCCCAGGAGGCGATAGAGAAGAGTAACAGCGATGACAATCTGGGTCGGGACACTGGCCCAGAGGAAGTGCAGGTAGGCACCAACTTCGCTGACCTTGAAAGAGTCGATAGCCATGAGGTTGATAATGGTACCAACGTTGGCCAATTGCTTTTCCTCACCCTCCGAATCCTTTGCGGCCGTGCCGTTTGTTTCTGGATCGGTTGCGGCCTTCTTCTTCTTGCGGCCGAAGGAAAACAGACCTCCCTTCTTTTTCTTGTCGTCATCCGACTCGGGTCCCTTCTTGGGAGCGGTTTCGGCGGTCGAACCGGCCTTCCTCCGCAAAGCCTTGGCGTAGATCTCACCAATGATGATTGCACGGATTTTCACGCCGAGTTTACGTCCAATCCATAGGGCTTGACCGTCAGCTGTACCTTGAATGGCCCCGGAACAGAAGAGCAGTATGGCATAAAGCCAGGCGGCATTTGCTGTTGTGGAACGCGGATCCTCGACGTACTGAAGGATCACTCTGAGCAAGATAGTGGGTAGATACGTGAACAGGTTCGAGAAAATTGTCCAGGCGCCCTGATAAAGAAGCGTGCCATAGAAGTAGCGGCCCAGCTTCCACCACAACGCACCCTGATAATGTCTTCGGCGGAAGTCGTCCAGCACAGTGGCGGCCTTCTGAGACGCAGTCAAGTCCCAGACGTCATCAAGCTCCAGAGGCTGTCTGTAGCCCTTGAGGATCAAGGAGTCCAACCAGCCGAAGGTAGCAAGCGAGAGCAGGCTGGCAGTGGGATGCCTCGCGGGCTCCAGGCCGTCCTCGTGTGAAATCAGAACAGACTTGTTCCCTCTACGGGTAGTCAGTGCGATGAGCAACAGAAGAGTCGACAGGGCGAATTCGATCGAGCTGAAGGTAAGGGCGCGCCTGGACAAGGGATAGATGACGGCAGATCGGAAGACGAAGACTGTGAACAGCCATTGCAGCCCGTACAAAGCTGCAGTATGGTTCCAGAGCCTAGGAGAGGAGTGTAGGTCCAGCGCCGACAGGAGCAGCCGAACCAAAGCCAGAAATAGTATATAGGACCACGAAACTAGCTTCGCAATGGCTGGGAGAGAGCCGTGGCGACCCCAAACATCCGTTGAGAGAACGGCCACGAAAACGGCCACCTCTCCGGCAAGCGCAAGTATTTCCAGAGATATGACAGCAATTTCGCCTCGCGGACGATCAACCTCGAAGTGGGGCAATTCACTTTGCGTCGCATTCTTCAGCATTGGATCTGTCTCTCCTTCCTCATCGTCCCCAACAGCCGTGGATTGCGTATCCTCATCTTCCGCATTGTTCACTAAAATTTTATATGAAACTCTTTTCCGAGAAAACAGATAGCCGTATGCAACGTGGAGCACGATGAAGATCAGGGAAAGGCCACAGGCCGTGAGCGGGAGGATCACTTGTAGGTAGCTATAATTGGCGTCTGTTAGTCCATAGTCGGGCGCAGCACTCTGGTGGGCAGGAGAAACTCGACTCACTTGCGTTGGAAACAACGAGAGAGGTCATCACGGGCCCAGATAGGACCATGGCATTCCACCCCCATAATTGATAGACGAAGCAGGGACGAATCGCAGAGCTCATGCGCTATTGCGCCGACTTCGAGATATAGGTTGAATAAGCCTAGCCGATTGGTGGCTGGAAAGGCGTCCGTTATAGTCGCTATAGAAACAACGTCACGGCATATAGATGCAGGACAAGCCTAGCATCGCCGAACGGCTGAGGCGGAGAAAAGCGATGGAGCCGACTCTGATCTCAGCAAGGGTTAGGCACGGGCGGAATTATGAAGCAGCGATGATCGCGAGGAGGCTGACAACATAGCACGACCTCAGCGATAGTATAGAGTACTAAATGGAAGGGGAGGAAGGGTAGGGAGCGGAAGGTGAAGAGGAAGGGAAAGGGAGAGTCGAGAGAATTGGGGTGGGGGGAAAGGGAAGAAGAGAAGAACCAGAGAAATGCAGCCCCGATGACGAGACGTAGGCGGACGCCGAGAGAGAGAGAGAGAGAGAGAGAGTGGGACAGCCGGGCAGCCCATGGAGAAACAGCAGCAACCGACAGGCTACAACTCCTAGCATACTAGTTCGTCAAGACTCGTTAGTCCCTCCAACTAGCCCTGCAAAACAACCTTCGAAGTGGAGGCTTTTTTTCCACCCTGCGCCCGCAGCAATCCACGAAGCTTCCAGAGATTCCAGACCTCCAATTGCCTCCCAGGCTTCCCCGTTACACCCCAAATCTACAAACTATACTAGTGGTGTTTCACCAACACGATGACTCCGTATTCGTCAGATTAGATACTATATTTCTATGTATCCCCAGGACTCGGGATTCATGGTCAAAGCCTCCGTTTGGCCTCACTAACTGCTGACATTGCACGCAAGACATGGGAATTATGCACACCTGCGTGGGATGCTTTTTTACTTTTTTCCTTCAGTTTCTTTTCCATTATCAGATGCCTGCAGTGTCAATGCGTCCGGTGGCATGGACGTATCACAGATCAATAAATTTACTTTGCATCAACTATCTCATCAATGACTGGCTAATTTAATTGCTTCTTCGTTTCACTGCTTGCTTGAGTTTTAGGGCAGACTCGACCACCAGATACCTGAGAAGTCTTGGATTTGTTCCAAACGCGATACTTCGGCAGGCTCTACTTAATCGAAGCATTTCATCAAGACTTGCTCACACAACCCCACCCTGGCAGCCACTGACCGTTCTTACCTGACATTTCCCACGGCAAGTTCCCCATCGAGCACAGAAGAATGGGGGGGGGGGGGGGTCTAGAGTCTGAAAAATGCGAGACTTTGGGGAGTCTGTCCGTGCATCCTGCATGCCCCTTGCCCGTCACACCGACTTGACTGACAAACTCCAGCCTCTGAACTTCTGTTGCAATCAACGCGGTTGATTCGTCATTCGCGCTTGGCTCTTATCATGTTTTGCGCAGGACTATGAGTCAAGCTCTGGGAAGGTCATCACTTGACAGACGTCGGCGTCTGAGAATGGAATGGTCAACCAGACGTCGGCATCTATATTGGGGATAGTTGGCTGATTCCGTAATCCGAGACCAACGGGGCACTTTCTTATCATCCGAGATAAGCAGCGAGCAAGCTGCAGGCAGGCAGGGCGGCTAAAGAGCAATTGAGCCTTTGACTCAGCTGGCATCTCTTGTCTCGCAAGGGGCCTCTCTGATAGAACTGCAATACTCCTCGGTCCATGCCCAAAAATCCCATGTCTCTCCCGAGAGAGAATTCTTCACCAGTCATGGCCGGCCAGGGACTATGCCGTAATGATATCACGATATTGATAACTGAACCAAGTGGCCCGAAGTGGTTATACAGCGAGCATTCCATTCCCCACTTGAAGGTTGCTTTTTCCCTCTTGAGCCCCCACTGCTTATTCTCCTCTTAAGCTAGAAACACCAATGAACGTCAGTGATTGCTCATCGGTTCTTACCTTATGAGTGGCTGCCCTGATTTCTCCTCCCACCTTGGTGCCCGCGTAGACTGGGTTCCTCCTGGGATGATCAAGTAACTATAACACAGTAAAGTTGCCTGGAGGGTCGGGTGCGATGAGCGAGTCTATATCGGTTTTGCTCGAGTGGTTAACTTACGAGAAGGTACGAGTAGTTTCCCATAGGTCCTTGGTGGCTCATGGCAGAAAACTCTGCGGATTTACCCGATCTCCAGAGTAATAATGATAAGGAAGTTTTATGCACGCCACTGGCCATCCCCGGAACCTTCCGCTGCGCGTGGATAGCATGGATTGCCACTGCGGGACTAGCGGCCTCTTTCATCCAGCGGCGTCTTCTGCGGTCAATGCCTTCCTCCCACTTGTCTCCCCTCACTAGAACCGTCATCACTGCTATTTGATCTTCAAATCTCAAGACAGCGATCAACCGCTATCCTCCGCTACTTGACTCCAACTTTTTAGATCCGTATCCCAATACGCCTTGATTCTCTCGCCGTCCGCTAGCCGCCACCCGCCGTTTCTCCCCTTTCCGTCGCCCACCATGGTGGAACGCATCTTGATGAACGAATACAAGGCGTTGTCGCAAGAGCCTTGGGTCAATATTGAAGTACGCTTCCTTGCTGGTTTTTTCAAGATGGATTATGGTTCATCAACGTCTACGTCCCAACTTCTTGGTTTTACTTTATCGCGATAACGACACTGACCTGAATCCCGCCTCCCAGATCGATGAACAGAACATCCTGAACTGGAACCTGGGCTTGATCGTCCTCAACCCAGACTCGCTATACTATGGCGGCTATTTTAAGGCCTCCATGAAATTCCCAAGCAATTATCCCTACTCGCCTCCAGGTGTGTTTTCCATCGCGCGGTCCGGCCGGCCTCCAAGCGTCTTTGCCCCCCTTCGCTCCCACCGCGAAAACAAGCCATGACTAACCTGCCTTTTTGGTCCCACATAGAGTTCCGATTCCTCCGTCCTCTATACCACCCAAACATCTACAAGGATGGTCGACTGTGCATCTCCATCCTGCACGCGCCCGGCGAAGATGAAATGTCGGGCGAGCTCGCCTCGGAGCGGTGGTCGCCCGCTCAGCGGGTCGAGTCCGTGCTCATCTCCATTCTCTCGTTGCTGGACGACGCCGAGATCTCCTCGCCCGCCAATGTCGACGCGTCCGTGATGCTCCGCAAGAACCCGGAGCACTACAAATCCACCGTTCGTCAGAACGTGGAGGATTCCAAGAAGGACATCCCCGAGGGGTTCGTCATGCCCACCCACCACACGACGTCAGCGACCCGGGCCATCGAGAAGGACGACTCCGACTTCTGGGCGGAGAGCGACGTCGACGATGATGTGTTCGGTGGCAGTGATTCGGACGAGGACTTGGATGTGGACGATGACCAGGAAACGGGCAGTGAGGAGGAGGATGAGCAAGCTTGAATTTCTGCTTGCTTGGTTGCAGTCAATCCTGCAAGGCAGAGCTTAGGACTCGTAAGCAGTTTTCTGCTGGCATCCGCCGTCCCTCTGGATAGGCGCTTGGACACCTTGGTTTTATCTTTCTTTCATTGTATTCCATACGGCATAGCGAGGCGCATTGGATGGGACGATATAGGCGTTGAGCATATTTTTGCTTTCTGATTTTAAGACCATTTTGCCGAGCATGGACTGGTGTCTCATTCCATGCGAGCATTTTATAGATTCACTTTGTTTTCTATCGGCATCATCTACTTAGCATCAATTTCGAACGTGTATTCCTACCAGGTCAAGCTCACGCCCTCCGAATCCGGTAATACCCATGCAATCCAATAGGGAGGTAGTTAGTACTTGATAGCACCACGAAGACACCACCAACCTCCAAACCCACACACAAAACCTGCCCCATCCAACCCACAACCCCGAAAACAATGATGTCACACCTCCCAGGAGTATGAGTCGAGAAATTGGAAGAGCAACCCATGATCCACGAAGGAACCCCGACGGTATGCAGCCCGAAGCAGATCCTCTCTCAATCCAGCCAACGTGACCTACATTTACATATAGTACATGAAACCAGCCATCCCATTCCAAGCGCCCCGAGGGGGAGAGGAGGAGGAGAAGGAAAGGAGAAACTCCGAATGCCTCCGGTCCTGTCCCGTCCCGCGGGGATCGCGGTGCCTGATCTGAAAATGATACATACGTAACCGAACTGACTGGCACGCTGATCACGGTCACGGGCTTGGGGCGGGGGGGCTTAGGCTTTCCTTTCCCCTCTTTTCTTGGAGTGCACATGGTCCACTGCACGATAAGCGGGGTTCGGGCTGTAACTGCCACTGGGTTGGCGATAAGGGTGTGGGTGCCGACCACCTGCTACTAGTATGTAGACGCTGTGCAGATAATGGGTGGAGGGTGTTTTGATTACTGATTTTTCTGTACTCACTTTGGAAAGATGGTGTCTGGTATAGACTGGGGTTGGACTTGGGTTTGATTTGGGGGTGGTTGAGGGTTGTGTTGTGTTGTGTTGTGTTTCTGTTTGGGTTCTAGGCCGAGGTATATGTATCGGCGATGCTGGAATTATCGGCTGTCGATGTATGGCTATCAAGTTGTATCTTGCTGGGCGTTGGTGGCGAGTATCATAGGGAATAGTCTTATTAGACTGGCTTGAGGAAGTCATATGGCCTGTATGATGTGTGTGGGTGTGTAGACGTGATGCTTATCAAGTGGTAGTATGCATTGAACCGCCAGGGGCGACAACCTCATGACCGATGAATGCAGCGGTGCGCGTAGCCCTTTGCTTTACTAGCTGAGGCACGGGCACTGAAGAGCGGAAGAATGTAAAACTCAATTACTGTGATAATATGATGTAGCTTAGTCTATAGAGCTATCAGATGCGGAGTTGAGCATATCTACGCATCCATTCTAGTCATGCCATGGCCAGCACATAATACACATCTGCAAAAAGGCACGGCTTAACGCACCACTATACCTCAAATGATTACCCAGCATACTCATCTCTAATAATCGCATCAGATTGACAATTTGTTAATAGCACCAAGATTCTAAATCATAACGTCAAGTGTTCTTTACGGACATGTATACTACCATAAAAATAGGTCAGACGGGCGGAAACATCAGGATGGTACAATTGACACAGTCAATGCAACAACATCTCCAAAAGCAACCAACTAAAAAGACCAGCGCCAATGTCCGACCTGTCTTGTCTTGATCTCAAGCTGTCTTGATGCCAAAACACGTTAACTAGGTCTGTGAAACAAAACAATAAATCTATGCAATGACAGCGTCCTGGAGTTCGCTGTAGATAGCCCCGAGTTCCTCGGAGAGCATCTTCTCAGCCTTGTCAACCAAGTTCTCAAAGCGGTCCTTGATAGTCGAGACCTTGTAGCCACCGTCGGCCACAATCTCGGTGTAGTTGTTGGAGCCACCGCCGTTCCAGGCGAGGAGCTAAACAAATAATTAGTGACGTCGTGGTATGGGAACTGGATATCAAACTTACGTTGGGGGTATCCTCAGGCATATCAGTAAGAGCACCCTTAGTGGCGATGGAGATCAGATCCTTCTTGAGCTTGGCAGGGGTGAGCTCGCCAGCGGCGAAAGCAGAGTCCGAGCTAGGCTGGAGCGAGACGAAGTAGGCCAAAAGACCACAAATGTGAGGAGAAGCCATGGAGGTCCCAGAGATGGTGTTGGTGGCGTGCTTGCTACCAATCCAGGTGGAGAGAATGTTGAGACCCGGAGCGAAAATGTCAGTGCACTTGCCATAGTTGGAGAAGTAAGCACGCTCATCGGCCAGGGTCGAGGCACCGACAGTGATGGCATTCTCAGCAGCAGCAGGGGAGTAGTTGCAGGCGTCAGCGTTGTCATTACCGGCGGCAACAGCAAAGTGGAGACCGGCCTCAACACCAGCGTTGACAGCATCCTCGAGGGTCTTGGACTTGCCACCACCCAGACTCATGTTGGCAACGCTACCCTTGAAACCCTTGACCTTGCCGTCCTTAGCATCCTTGGCCTTCTTGAGGTGAGACTGGACAGCCCACTCGACACCCTGAACAACGTCGGACATGGTGCCAGAGCCGCTGGATCTCAAGACCTTGACGGCATAAAGGTTGGCCTTCTTAGCCACACCGTACTTCTTACCAGCAATAGTACCAGAGCAGTGAGTTCCGTGACCATTGCCGTCAAGGTCCTCATCGTTGTTAGGGATGGTCTTACCCCAAGTGGCACGACCCTCAAAGTCATCATGGTCAACATTGATGCCGGTGTCAATTGTGTAGGCATCAACACCCTCACCACCCTCGGAGTCAAACAGGTACTTGTTAAACGTGCCAAAAGTGAGGCTATCACGGTGGGAGATACGGGCCAAGCCCCAGGGTGCGTTCTTCTCGGTGGTCTCCTCCATGGTGTGAACCTCCGAGTCTCGCTCGATGTAAGCGACCTATTCGCGCGAAGCGGTTAGCAGATGTGACCAGAACTGTGCCAGAGTTGATGGGAGACTCACATCAGGATGCATGCGGACCTGCTCGATGACATCCTCGTGGAAGTGGCCGCTGTATCCAATCACGGAGCCAGCGATATCGAAGGTGTTCTTGAGACCGAGGTAGGCATCTTCGCCAAAATCAAAGATCGACCGCTTCTTGAGCTCGGTCCGCCCAATCTGAGAGGCATGGATGTCCTGCACCCAGCTGTGGTGAGCGGCGGCCGAGACCGACGTGACGTGCTTCTTGAACACAATAATGTATGAATCGGGGAGCTCCTTTGCGTTGGATGCAGACAGGATGGGAGCGGCGCCATTGTGGATGGAATCAACAAAGACAGGCGATGCAGCCGCCAGCAGCGGAAGCACGGAAAGGCCGAGGATGCCCTTCATGATGGGTGTTGGGGAAGATGGGGAGCTCAGGGCAGTGTAAAGGAGGGAAGTGATGGTGGGAGGGGGAGGAAAGACGAAAGGAATGAGGAATGGAAAGAGAAAGAGAAACGGGGGGATGGAAAGTTGACAAAGATAAAAATGGGGGGAGAGAGAGAGAGAGAGAGGAAGGGAGGGCGAAGGTCGGAGTTGATTAAGAAGAGGGAGAGGGAGAGAGAGAGATGAGGAGAAGGCGGATGGAGGTGGATGCTTATCCTCTCCTAACAAGAGGCAAGGGCAGCGGGTGATGATGCAACCGGGATACGGTAATTTTACCAAAAGATGACCGGATGACACAGCAGATTCAGTTGGTTCTTGTCGATCGGCCCCAGTAATGATTAGCGCGCGGACACTTCAAGGTTGAGATGGACCTGGGGTAAACTGGAAAAAGAGAGGTATGGCGGGCGTATGCGTGGTACGGCGGTAAACGCAACACCCCCCAGCCTATTGTGACCGGGGAACTTTAAGATGCCGACGCTAAACGTAAGAGAGGCTGATAGGTTCTATTGCCTTTCTGTTCATGGATACTCCATATTTACTTTTCAGTATGATAAAGAAGATAATGAGGCGAACTGGGGCGCAGCTTGCATCCCTCGTTACCTACTAGGTAGGAGGGAAGATACCCGCAGTACATGCGGTTTCTGCTGGTGGGTGGGTGACGAGGAAGTACCCTGGGAGCTTCCATGGGGGGCGGTGGGTGACTCAAGAATAGGTCAGCTCCCCCCAATCAACTTACTCAAGAGGCACTTATACTGAACGACTATCTTGAGCGACATCGTCAATTTAAAGCTCTTCAACAATGTCGTCTTGAGATCAAATGACCCTGCATACAAGCTCCTTAAGCTTACCCGGCTCAGCCGGCTCAGCCAGCTCAAACCAGCTCAAACCAGCTCCTTGTTGCGGAAGAGGATGATGACCCTGGACTGCAGGCAGGCAGGAGGTACCTGGCCCTGACTGGTATGTACGGTAACCCGCCACCACCAGGCAGCGCGCGCATTCGGCACCCAGGCAACCCCGAGTCGCGTGCTCGGAGTGTCCTTGGAAGTGCTCGGCTGACTCCTGCTCCTCCAGGAAGGGGAAAGGAGGATTGGCTTGGTATTACCAGGGATTACCATCACCCTTGGACCTCCGTAACGCCCGGTTACTGAGTAGTTAGATAAGGCCACTGCTTATCAAGGCCCACTCTACACCAATCACCATCGCAGCCGCGGATGATCGCTTGTGTCACCTGCGTTGCTGACTGGAGTAACCGCAGGGTTGGCCTTCCGACCGTCCATGGATGCTCAAGGCTGAGGCATTGAACCAGTCACTATGCCCAGACGCCACTCTTTCAACCTTGAGATTGATCCTCCCAGACCCACGGGTGTGCTGCAGTTGTCGGAAAGTTAATGATTGCAACATACGGTGACGGGGACTCAAACACATCAGAAGCCGAAACCAGTATGAGATAGACCAGCATCCGGAGTATCCATGATGGCTTCATTTCCAGTTTTCTACTTGTGCTCATGCTCCGTCTGGTACGACAACCTCTTTTGTATGAAGGCATCGAGCGGGCATGACTCGTCGAAGCCACTGAAGGACGACGTTTGAGATTGGATTTCAGCTCGACTTGGTAGGAATGCTATTGAGTGGGAACAGGATTGTCCACAGAGTTCATGAGGCGCGTACGAGATGACATGGGTGTGACTATATGTTTCGATTGTCTGGTGTATCCAGTCTGCTTCATTGCATTGATACTTTTGTGTAGCTTTGATAGTAAGCCAAGTGCATTCGACATAGTATGGACTCGAGTACAAACCATTTGATGAACACCTTCATGAACCCCTGCGCCACGCGCACTTGACACAATCCCCCATTGTTGTTAAACTATATCGAAACACTATTCGTAATCGTGCACCACGAGCAAATTTGAATCTTGATCGATTGTTTGAATTTGCCATAAAGAAGTACTACTGCAAGTACAGGAGATTGATCGAGATGGAAGGAATTGCGCATACTATTAATAGATTAGTATGAACAAGCAAGGCCTTGAGCACATGCTTCAGTTGATCACTTCAGCACTGTAAGGAGTGCCTGAAAAGGATGCTCTGGAAGGTATCGCCGTTGCGATGAGAATGTCAACATCGGGCCTTTTCCAATTCATGGAGGTTCAAACGTGCTGAATGCCGCAGGTGTCACTTCACAAGGAGGCTCAGCAAGGAGTCTGTCTACTCCTGGGTCGCGTGGTGTTGTGCAAAGAACTTTCGCTTCTCAGCGGTGACCTCGTATTTATACTCGAGCACAAAAGTCTGGCAACACTCTCTCACAGCAAGCATACAACAATCGCTGGTGTCCAACACGCGGAAAGACTGCTGAGTCAGGCCGATCAAGACATTGGATATGGGAGTGGGCAATGACCGCGCGGCCTCCTATACGAAAGAGAGTCGGTCAGTGTTTCACTGGCTTTTCCCAAGGACCAAGGGTGACTGCCAGCGTGACGAAAGAAGTTCCTTTTAGGGACGAGAGCCAACTAGCTCATTTGCGAAGAATGATAGAGCACAAAGTGTGTTAGGTTGAGGATAGTTAACTAACTTTATCATGAAGTAGTTGGTGCTGATGCTCCCTCAGTTTCGGCCTGAGGTGTCCACGAGGCAAGCACCAGCTAAAGCGGCGACGTCCACTGATAAGCTTGAGTGGGCCATGAATTGAATTGAGATCCAATGGCTCTTAACCATTCTGTTGGCTAGTGGAGACATGGAGGAGAAATTAGAATAGCTTGGTCCAGCCGAGACAGCCGTCGTCAAAGAGTGTAGGGCAGCACTGCCCACTTGCTCAGGGAGAGAGCGCCATCGAGCATTTTTGCCTGGGCGGAAAAGGACCTGGACGCTCCGATCCCAGCAGCTCCCGTAGCCTCTCCCCCCCCGCCATGGTTCCGTCGCAAGTGACGTTGGCCTAGGTCCAATTCTCCCTCAGTTCTACACACACCTACACACACACACACAGACACACACACAGACACACATACATACAGTGTGCGCTCTTATCCAATTAAAACACGATTGCTTCAATCCGCGCCAGAGACTGCTAACATACTAGGTACCCCGCGACCCTCCTGGAACAAAAAGAACGCACTTTCGTTCCCAATCCCTGGTGGATCTCGCCAGAACCTCTAATTCCGTTGACTCCTCACGGACGCACATTCGCTGATCTTCTCTCTCCTGCAACCAACCCGTCCTTGCTTCTCATTCCCCCTCCCTCCCCGGCCGTCCTATGCTCCGGCAGGTGTGTGTGTGTGCGGATTGATTCAGGCCGGTCGAACTCCACGAACCCACTACCACACTTACCAATGCAGACCGTCTTCACCAGTACACTCAGCGAAGGTTCATGGTGTCTGATGGTCACTAGCCGTCAGATAGGGTGCCGGGGTAAATATACTGCGGCGCAATGAGCCAGGATACTTCCCTTCTCTCACCGTCGCCTTCCTCGTCCATCGTACGGCCGGCCGTCGAGTTGACCCCAGTCATCGAGGAGCTGAAGAGTATCGCGAGCGGACATGCGATAGACTCGCAGCTAGCACTCTCGGCAACCGAATGTCTACTCCGCCTCCGTCACACTTTTATCGACACCGAGCATCCTCGAGAAGCTAAGGAGGATTTTCGACACCTACAAGGCTTTCAGGTTCTGATTGATCTTCTTCGGAAGCTTGCCGAGTTATATGATCCAGAGCAGTCGTCACAGGAACAGAGGAAATGTCTACTGACACTCTTCAAGGATATATTGGCGGTACTGGCGGAAGCTTTGAAGGATCACTATGGAAACAAGCGGCATTTTGCGGCTCAAATCCCTGGGGGAGGAAGAGCAGCCTTGGAGGAAATATTTGCTGGTCTGGCCAAAAAGGCTGATGGCGTACGGGGTGATACAGAACAACTCTATAGTGGTATTCTGGCAGCGGCCCTTTGCCAGGAGACGGTCTCTAGCATCTTCGCAACATTAGAGACAAAATTGCGATCGGCCCCTGAATTACTGCCTGGTCAAATTCGAACAGAAGTGGACCGGTGCGTAGGACAATCCGAAACTGTTGAAGTACCTGAACTGCTGGAACCTTTCATCCGTGTATGGTTGCGTCAGACTTCAACATCGCCGTCCGATCACAACATTCAGAGGATCGCCGTGCCCGCATGTCTCTGCCAGCTTGCCTCACAGTCTCAGCGCAATATCACCACATTGCACAATGCCGGAGCCCTGTCTTTGATCCTTCCGCTCCTGTTCAGTGACGAGCGCTCAGAGCCCGAGAGGCTCTTATACCAGGAATTAGGACAATTGCTATGCACTCAAGGAGTCAGCAATCTGGACGATGCGGCGTTCCTCTACAAAAGGGCATACGACTGTCCCAAAGTCTTACAGTTCCTGGTAGATGTCCTCAAGCGCTCGAAAGGACCTCCTTTCATACAGTTTGATCTGTCCTTGCATGGCTTCTGCTCTATAGAATTTTCCACCATGGGTCGTTCCTTCCCTCCGGCAACTTCGTCTGGATACACTTTGTCGGTGTGGGCGCGTTTCGATCAGTTTGATTCGAACACACACACGACGATATTCGGGGCATTTGACCCTACCCAAACCTGCTTTCTACTGGCCTATCTTGAGAAGGATACGCGCAACTTCATCCTACAGACATCGATTAGGGGGGCAAGGCCTAGTGTTAGGTTCAAGTCCATTGCTTTCGAGCCTAAACGATGGTACCATATCTGTGTGGTTCACAAGAAACCTAGACCGCCATCTTACTCACGCGCCTCCTTATTTATTGATGGAGAGTTTGTGGAACAGTTGAAAATAGAGTACCCATGTATGCCTACCGCGAGCTTCCCGAACCGGTCACCACGGGTTCAAGCATTCCTGGGCACACCCCAGGACCTAGCAATGAGGCTGGGGCGAGGGGTGTCCACCTCTCGGTGGTCTCTGGCCAGTGCTATACTTTTTGACGAGGCCTACAGTGATGACATGATTGCTGTCTTCTACAATCTCGGCCCTCGTTATTATGGCAACTTTCAGGACTGTTTAGGCTCATTCCAGACCTACAAAGCTTCGGCTGCTCTGAACTTACGTAACGAGCACCTGCACCCTGGTAAGGAAGAGCAGTCAGATATTGTTACTGTTATTCGGAAGAAAGCTAGCAACCTCGTTCGTGAGGGGTCCATCATCATCAATGTCTCTCCGCTTTCGATCCTGGATGATGATGACACCAACACCGTGGATGAAACTCGGTTGATCAAGTCATTGTCCAAACAAGCTGCAAAGAATCTGCATCAGATGACAAAAGCAGGGGGAAATGCGGTCGCAGTAAATGGTGCTACTCCTGCCATAAACGATGCCCTGACTCAACCTCACGGCGTCGGCGTTTTGACGGGTGATCCCGTTGTCGCGGTCCCGCACTCTCTGGACGATGCGAGTTGGTGTATTGGCGGCTGCGCGGCGATACATCTGAGTCTTCTCCACGCAGCTGATACTGCGGAAGCGACTCTTTTGGCCGTTGAAGCGCTGTACGAGGCCGTTCAGGACAACTGGCGTAACAGTGAAGCCATGGAAAAAGAGAATGGGTATGGAATCCTCGCAGCGCTGCTGCGTGAAAAACTCGGTGTCTCTTCCGTAGGCTCCTCATCAAAGTCATCGAGTGTCTGCTACAGCCAGGAGGACCGATCTGCACTAGCTTTAGAACTTCTTCGTCTGACATTGAAGTTTGTTGGTTATGACTTTGAGCAAACTAATCGTTCCATGATCACGAATCCTCTCGCATACAGAGTCCTGCTTGTTGACTTGGAAGTATGGAGATTTGGCGATATTCATCTGCTTGAAATCTACTATACGCAGTTCCGTGTTTTCGCCAGCGAAAGCCAGTTTCGCCGGTTCAACGCAAAAAGACTTGCTAGAATGCGTGAGCCTCTCTTGGTGCTATCATGATGGAATGGCATGTTTGCTAATGAGGAACAGGTGTCAACAAGAAATTACTCGAAGCGCTCAAGGGGGAGGATTTCACCCAGGAGGCATTGAACCTTTTCATTCCTGCCTTCCAGTCCTTGATGGAGAGCTGTTTGTCGGCAGACTTGCTTCGCTCGCTCGCTCTCTTCATCACTTATGCTATCCACAAGCCACGAGAACCAATCAAGCTGCAGAAGAAGAGAAGCATGCGCTTCAACGCAGGTGCGCGGCAACAGCAGGCTCCTATTGACAATGTCACATATGTGTCTAGCCCTGCAATTGCCGCGGAAATGCTTCGGATGTACTGCTCTCTGCTCTGCAATGCAAATGATCGTGCCCCTATCTCGAAATTCGCCAGAGCCGTCACAAACAAGGTAAGTCAAAGAGAATGACTTGCTGCCATTTGCAAGGAAAGAATGGCTGACATCTCTGCAGTGGCTATTGTATCTCCTATGCGAAGACGACCCCGAGATTGTGATTTCAGCGCTCAAAATCCTCGCTCGCCTCCTTGTTACCCATGGAGGTAGTTACTACAAAAAGTTCACTGACAAGACGGGAGGCTATGTTCTCATGCGCCATTATCTGAAAAGATGGTGGCACACCCCCGCTATCTGGTCACTCTGCTTTGCCATTTTGCTTGGCCAAGACGTTGGCCGAATGATTGATGATAGACCGTTTGACAAGCTCGGATTGATGGAAACGTTTTCCTCGGACACGCCATTACAGGTAGCGTTTCCTGAGGCTTTTCCTGTTATCACCGAGATGATGCAGATCTCCATGGAGCAAATAGTGGCTACAGGCAGCGCTATGGCTCCTAGCGGAATGGTCAGTGGAAAGTCTGAGAATGGTTTGACAAACACATTCAAACCCTCAGTATTTGGCCATCATAGTGCAAACACGATCCCCGAGAAAAAGCTACTCTTGAACACGGTCACTGAGTTCATTTCCGAACTGCAGATGATATCACCAAGCTTTCGTGAATTCACAACACAACCGGAATATGTTAGATGCCTACTTTTGGCGCTATTTCCCGTCGTATCCGGTTCACAACCGGAAAGTGCAGACATCGAAATGCATCCTCGTGCAAATAGCCTTGGCTTTGGCGATCACAATCTGGTTATGCGACCCCGCTCTAGAGGTGTCAGTGAGCTACAGACTACAACAGTTGAGCAGCCAGGGACCCGCGATGGTCTCGGCAGGTCGCTGGGCCGGACATCATCCTTCATCCTCGTCTCATCTGATAAAGGGAAGCATTTGCCGTCTTCTGCACGTGTAGCGCATGCCTGCAGTCCGAAGAAATCTGAACTCGACGGCGCCATGGAGCATCTTCTGGTCATAAATGTGCTCAGCTTGATCATTCCAGTCTTTTCTGAGCAGATCATGGAGAAAAAAGACTTCTCTGGCCTTGGAATTTACTCGAAGTCACCTCCTGGGTCCACGGAGCATCGGGCGCATTTTAACTCTTGGGTGATGAAACATCTTCTCTCAACGCTTAAGGAGGGCTTCCTCACCAAGCCTGATTCACTCACTGAGCCCCGCGTACTAACCAACATCGGCCGGTTCGTGACACATCTTGGGGAGTCGGTCTTCGAAGGCTGGTTTGTAGATGGAGTGACCACGACTCTCGAATTTGCAGGGACGATCTTAGAGTATTTGCAGAGGCCCGATGTCTCCCAAATGAAGAGTATCAGACTCTGCAGCCAAGCTGTCACGACGATCCGATCGACTGTTTTTCGCCTTGTTATTCTTGGATTATCGGAAGCCGAGGGCGCGCACGCCCTAGAGTTCCTGAACCATTTGTCATATTGGCAGGTCGTGCTCTTGTCTGGAGATGCTCGGTCAGAGTATTTGCAGTTGATATGCTATTTGCTCTATGTCAAACTAGATGACGAAGACGAAAGAGTGCGGCTGGCTGCAGCTGGACTCTTTAGAATCATGCTCGTTCAGAAGCCGACTGACATGGCGACCATTCTAAGTCACGCCTCAATCCACCTCCAGAAGCGGTTGGCTGCGGGCTTCGAGACCGTGGTGGGCATGGATGATTGCGAGTTTCTGCAGTGGTTCAATGATCAGAAGGAAGATCTCCAGTCTCTCTTTTTTGGCGTCATATCCAAGCGATGGGAAGACTTTGTTCAAGAGGAAAATGCAAATATAGAGACTAGTTGGCGAACGCGGACGTCTCGACGCCAGGAGAGATTGAAGCAGTGGAAACAAGCAGAAGTACTCGGCAACGACGTGACACGCAAACACGAGGCCACTTTCCCTCATTGGGCTTCAAACATTTCCCAATCCGAGTTCCTGAAATATCAGAGAGCACTTCAGGACCAGCAGGATGACAGTGCATTCATGTGGGCAGCTTTCTCTAAGCTGACTGTGGATCTGCGGCGGTACGGCGGTCTTTTAGCGGAGGACCGCGACAGGAGATGGCGCCTCGACCAGACGGAAGGACGTAGCCGCATGCGGCTCCGTCTGATCCCAGATGATTCAAGTGAGAGGCAGGATTATCAGCCGAAACGAAAAGCATCCGAGCCGCCAGCAATCAAGTTGGACACGCAGGTTCAGACAACCCCTGCGGCTGGGACACTTGATCTGACTCCCATGGCTCCGACCAATGAGGCTGCAGATGGCAATTCTCAAAGCCTAGGCCCGGATACTAGAAGCATGCTAGAAGAAAGCTTTGAAATGATTGATGACCCGAAAGCCGATCTGGAAGACTACGAAGACAAGAACCGGAAGGTGATGCGTAGCCTACACCGCGGGGATCAAGTCGAAGGAGTGTGCAACATGTCTCGGATTATCGGTCTCGAGGCATTTGAGGGCATCCTGATCCAGGGAAAAGATCACATCTACATCCTAGACAACTTTTTTCAGAGATCAGACGGCGAAATTGTGAATGTTTGGCAAGCTCCAACAGATGAGCGTGACCCTTACGTTCGTATGATCGCTGGGCGAGAATCGATGGAACGTAAAGCGCAGGAGCATGAAACGCGAAGCTGGAAATGGTCTGATTTGATCAGTGTCTCCAAAAGAAGATTTATCTCCCGTGATGTAGCCCTGGAGATATTTTTCTCGGATGGCACCAGCTATCTTTTGACACTCATCTCGTCGCGAGCTCGGGACAGTCTATTCAACCAGCTAGCCAACAAGGCCCCCCAAGTCACCGGTAGTGTTGGTCACGCACGCCCGGAGGATGCTTGGAGATTCGAAACCCTTAGGAGCCAAGAGGATGCACCACAGACGCTTGGCTCAAAGTTCGCCAGTGTTTTCGGACATTCCCCAGTCTATCCAGCGACGCGAAAATGGGCCAAGGGTGAAATCTCCAACTTCCATTACCTTATGCTGATCAACACGCTCGCTGGGAGGACGTTCAACGACCTGACGCAGTATCCGGTGTTTCCATGGGTGCTCGCGGATTACACCAGCGAGGAGCTAGACTTGACCAACCCCCTGACATTTCGTGACTTGACCAAGCCTATGGGCTGTCAAACATCGGAACGTGAAGCGGGCTTTAGGGAGCGGTACAAAGCGTTTGCTGAGATGGGGGACGACAACTCACCGCCCTTCCACTACGGCACTCACTACTCTTCGGCGATGATTGTGAGTTCCTACCTCATTCGACTGCAGCCATTCGTCAAGTCATATCTACTGCTTCAAGGAGGGACCTTTGATCATGCCGACCGTCTGTTCTACTCGGTCGGGAAAACCTGGGAGTCAGCCTCACGCGGTAATATGACCGACGTGCGAGAGCTCATCCCGGAGTTCTTCTACCTCCCGGAATTCCTGACCAACTCGAACAAGTTCGATTTTGGATTTCTCCAGAATATGACTACGGCTATCGACTCAGTCGAATTGCCCCCGTGGGCAAAGGGTGACCCCAAAATCTTCATTGCAAAACATCGCGAAGCTCTCGAAAGCCCGTACGTCACACAGAACCTACATCATTGGGTTGACCTCGTGTTTGGCTGCAAACAGATGGGAGAAGCTGCCGTTGAGGCAGTGAACGTCTTTCATCATCTTTCCTATGGGGGTGCCAAGGATCTCGATGCCATTGAAGACCCGGTGGAACAACTTGCCACTATTGGCATCATCCATAATTTCGGTCAAACACCACATCAAATCTTTAACCGGCCGCATCCACAAAGAGAAGATCCAGGGCAGAAGATGCCACGGTTGGACCGCTTAGCTGAGTCGCTCACTCAGCTCCCCCTCGCCCTTCTTGGTATGTTCTCGACTGATTTGGTGGGCATTGATTCTCTCGCTAACAGCGGTGGTAGATATTGGCGAACAGGTCTCTTCTTTATCAATGAAGCAAGACCGCCTTTTGTGTGCAGCTGCTCTACGGTTGAATATCCCTCCAAACTACGACAAATATATGGAGTGGGGTTTCTTTGATGGCAGTGTCAGGTTCTATTCTGCTGATCACCGGAAGGTAAGGCCATTACCGATATTCCTGCAAGTGGAAATAGCCTCTGACGAAATTCCAGCTTCTTGGCCACTTTGAGCACATCCATGCGGGCCAACTGTCGTGCGCGCTGTTCGCCGACTCCAGGACGCTGGTCACGGCCGGTACCGATTGCACAGTCTCTATATGGACCTTTACCTCCTCAGGGAAGTCCGTAGATCTACAGCCATCCGGATCATTATTCGGGCATCGTTCGCCGGTCACGGTACTTGCGGTGTCCTGGTCGTTCAGTGCGCTGTTATCTGCCTCAACTGATGGTCAAATCATGCTTTGGGACCTCAACCGACAGTGCTTCGTTCGCGAGCTTCCGGCCAGTGGACCTGTTGACGTAAGTTGTCCTAGACTCATTCTGGAGCGGTGATGACTGACACCTCGGTAGTGCGCTAAGATCAACGATGTGACTGGCGAGATCATGATTTGTCGAGGCGACCGCCTCAGCTTGTACAGCCTTAACGGAGCGTTGTTACTTGAGCAGGTGGTGAGTGATTCTGTGGATGACCAGGTCATGACCTGTGTCTTCTACGAGGGCGTCAACAACGAGTGGCAAGAGCGGGAGCTGCTTTTTACGGGGCATAAACGAGGTGTTGTCAATGTGAGTCCTGCATTCCAAGCGGGCGCCTCTACAGTCACTGACGCCTTGTAGATCTGGAGCAAGATCGTCCATCACGGGCGGTTTGAGTTAGAGTTGATTAGACAGCTGCATCATGTGGACAACCTTCGCGACAACGGCGCCAATATTTCGGCAGGCATCAGCTGCATCCTTGCTTTGCCACATGTTGTCTACACCGGTGATGAGGTCGGCAGAGTGGTGAGTGTGCTTCAATTCTGACGTGCGTGAAGATCGATCTCCCGCTAATCCATGGCTAGTATGAATGGACCTGTGTGCAGCGTAGATGATGTTGCCGAAAGAAAGCCAATTCGGCTTCGGCCACCGCTGACAAAGCCCCCAGAAATTTTCTAGAAGCGCTTCAAATCTGAATACAGACTACAATGCTGGTCTTCTTTTGGTTACCCGAGTCCATACAAAAGACAAGATCACCCTAGCATAGCTAGCCCCTGGACCCACCCCGGCGGTAGTATATCGACTTGCAATGTTCTGTTGCGCATTTTCCATCTCCAGCCCAGGATTGTTCTGCTGGTTGGAGAAAGAACGGGGACTCCACTTGTATATACTTGAAATGATCCCGTGGGGGCGGACACGCGGAGAAAGAAGCTGCGGTAGCCACGGATATGTGGGGGTAGTTGTACTACTTAAAGACTAGAAAGAAAGCCTTAACTACCTTAAGGGCCAGCAGTCACGGAAAGGGCGGGCGGGTATTTCGACCTGAATGGGAAGCGTCACCTCCGGGAGGAATCATTCGAGAACGGTTAAATTCGGTTCTAGTAGCGGATCAACAGGGGGATCCTGGAACCGTAAATCCAGCCGCATTGTTCATTAGTTATTCCGAGTAATCCGTACTAAGCTGGAACGAAGCGGGCAGAGACCACGGAGTAGATAGAGCCAGACCGCAAACAAGCCGAAGAGGAGGGGCAACCGAGGGGAACATGGGTAAGGTATGGACGTTTGACTGCAGCAGGCCCAATGGCCCATCATGCAGTAGCAGCAGCAGCTCAGACACGCTGGGGTAGAAACCTCCGGTGAAGCAAAAAGGAGCTGGATGGGGTCGTGATTAGCCGGGCGTGAGTGGACCGGCCGGCGTTGTCTGGCCGGCGCAGTGTGCTCCGGTCTGAACCAGCCAAACAATTGAATGGTGCAGTTATTCAGGGATTGCTGTTCCTGGTGTTATGTGGAAGCCCTCAGAACAGTATCACTAGTACTCTGTCGTGGGCATTGGGATGGGAAGGTGGAGGGGGAAGGGGAACGGAGGAAAAGGTACAGTGAAAGGTTGAAGCGTAAGAGAGACAGAATGGAAGGAGGTATGTTCAGTGGAAGGAATAATAATAATAATAATAATAATAATAATAATAACAATAACTATGAGCGGAAACTGAAAGGCATAGCGTCATCGGGGGGGGGTTGTGGTGGGAAGCTGTTTTGCCCCACCATTTCCTCATTGCCTTCCCATTATTTGCCTTCCTTGCCTTTCCTTCTTCCCCTCCCCCACCCACTTCCACTCTCCGCCGGTGCTGACTTCTCCTCCCTACTTAATTCTTAACTAACCGTCTTCTTCCTCTGATCCTTTCTCTTCTCTCTCTCTTCAATCTAAAAGCTCATTTTATTCAATCTAATCTTTCTTTCCTCCCAATACCTCACTCACATTCTCACTTTCAACCACCCATCACAATGTCTTCTTCCCTCGAGCAGCTCAAGGCCTCCGGCACCGTATGTGTTCCTTTCCGTCCCAACTTGCGCGATTCTGCCAACTAATCATCTTTGTCTGTCGCAACAGGTTGTCGTCTGCGACTCCGGTGACTTCGCCACCATTGGCAAGTACAAGCCCCAGGATGCCACCACGAACCCCTCCCTCATCCTGGCTGCCTCCAAGAAGCCCGAGTACGCCTCCCTGATCGACAAGGCCGTCGAGCAGGGCAAGAAGGAGGGTAAGACCGTCGATGAGCAGGTCGACGCCACCCTCGACAACCTCCTCGTCGAGTTCGGCAAGGAGATCCTTAAGATCATCCCCGGCAAGGTCTCCACTGAGGTCGATGCCCGTTTCTCTTTCGACAAGCAGGCCTCCATTGACAAGGCTCTGCACCTCATCAAGGTACGATTCTTTTTCCCTTGCCGACGGTGAGCCAGGCACCTGAGACTGACATGGTATGTATGTATAGCTCTACGAGAAGCAGGGTATCTCTAAGGACCGCATCCTGATCAAGATCGCCTCCACCTGGGAGGGTATCAAGGCCGCCGAGGAGCTCCAGTCCAAGCACGGCGTCAACACCAACCTGACCCTCATGTTCTCCGAGGTCCAGGCCATCGCTGCCGCTGAGGCCGGTGCCTACCTCATCTCTCCCTTCGTCGGTCGTATCCTCGACTGGTACAAGGCCGCCCACAAGCGCGACTACACCGCCCAGGAGGACCCCGGTGTCAAGTCCGTTCAGCAGATCTTCAACTACTACAAGAAGTTCGGCTACAAGACCATCGTCATGGGTGCCTCTTTCCGTAACACCGGTGAGATCACCGAGCTGGCTGGCTGCGACTACCTGACCATCTCCGTAAGTGCACTTGATCACCCCGAAACCCACCACGCCATTGATCTAACCGATTGGAAACAGCCCAACCTCCTTGAGGACCTCTACAACTCCAACGAGCCCGTCCCCAAGAAGCTCGACGCCGCCGATGCCGGCAAGCTCGACCTCCCCAAGCGCTCTTACATTAACGACGAGGCTCTGTTCCGCTTCGAATTCAACGAGGAGGCCATGGCCGTCGAGAAGCTCCGTGAGGGTATCTCCAAGTTCGCCGCCGACGCCGTCACCCTCAAGGACATCCTCAAGCAGAAGATCCAGGCATAAATTGCTTTCTCTGCGTTTCCCTTTTCTAACCCAAATTGAATGTGTGTTCTGTGCGCGCATATCAAAACTTCTCTGTGATGACCCATATATTATTCCCACTTGTGTAAAAAAAATTTGATGATCATGAAAATTTGATGAGTTCGAAACAGTTTTGGCTTTGGGCTGGTAGATACGAATTGATGATTGTTTATTTTTCATTGGTTTCCTTTGTTCGACTTCGATAACTACTATTGGGATCTGTAGCCGTGCAGGGGTCCTTGGTGGGGTCACTGGAACTGTACGGGAGATGTTGTTTACTTAGATTCAATATGACAGCTGCAGCATGCATGTAGCATTGTGATAAGGTATGATGACGTGGCCGTATCAGCTACCTCGTAGGATATTGATTGTTCAATATTGCTTCTACTATAGTTATATCCCTGGGTACTGGGGTGATAATGCCCTCGCTGAACAAGAGGGGAGGAGATTCAAGGGACTCCGAGATCGCAGGTAGAAGCTGGGCGGGATACACACTAAGCTCGGATGGGACGGATGCGATGAGGTGATGGTCGAGGAGAATTAGAGGGAGACCTATCATCTGGTCGATTGATCTGTTTGTTCATATAGGATGCAATTCAGCATTATCTACAATGTGGTTTGAAGAGAGAGAGAGAGAGAGAGAGATACTCATCCCCGTGCTCTGGTGCAGCATGCATCTGGACCCTGTCTGCTTATGAATCGCTCGGGAGGAGGGAAGGGAAAGACGGACGGAAGACACAATACCAAACGTCATTCCCGAGAGAACCCCGCCTGGTGGGGTCAATATTGGAAGCTCGTCGAAACCGAACCCACTGCAAGCGGGTTGGTTTGAGCTGCTGTTGCTGGTGGGGGGTGAGTGACTTGAGTGTCGTCGTTGCTACTGCTGGTTGCTGGCTGGTTAGGTTGCTACCCCCCTCAGTGCTTTGCTCATTTTAGTGCTACCCCTCGTTCGCTTTCCTTCCTTCTCCTCCTCCTCCACTTCTTCTCTCTCGCTCTTCTCCCGTCATTCTCTCTTCTCGTTCCACCTCCTCAACGCTTCTCTCTACATTGTTTTAATTCCCCCAGATCTCAAATTCATTCACAACCTGTCAAAATGGTCAAGGCTGGTGAGTTCGAGGTTTCCCTTTAGATCGGTTTCTGCTTGTATTATTGGCCTTTCGTGTTTCCGTGGGATCCACGATCGACCAGCCGCCGGGGACCTTGAGTGAGCAGATTTGAGCACCTTGCGATCTCTCCTCCTGCTGCCTCCGACCTATCACCGCTTGGGGACCCTGTCTGCTGGTCAAACAAGCTCAAGAACCACTGCCATCTAGTTTGTCTGATGGCTCTGATTCGTTCTCCCCTGGTCGACTTCGTGACCAGAGACAGCTACCTTACTTCCCTGAAACCCTGCCAGCCGGCTGGTCCTGGCTCGGATCGGGTGATCCTGCTTCTGGAAAACCTTCTATCATCAATGTGTGATCATGGGCTGACTCCCTATTCTCACTAGTCGCTGTTCTCCGTGGAGACTCCAAGGTCTCCGGCACTGTCACTTTCGAGCAGGCCGACGAGAACACCCCCACCACCATCTCCTGGAACGTCACCGGCAACGACGCCAACGCTGAGCGTGGCTTCCACGTCCACCAGTTCGGTGACAACACCAACGGCTGCACCTCCGCTGGCCCTCACTTCAACCCCTTCGGCAAGACCCACGGTGCCCCCGAGGACTCCGAGCGCCACGTCGGTGACTTGGGCAACTTCAAGACCGATGCCGAGGGTAACGCCGTCGGCTCCAAGCAGGACAAGCTTGTGAAGCTCATCGGTGCCGAGAGCGTCCTGGGCGTATGTTCCCCCCCCTGACTTCCTTCGTTCCTGGCGATCTGGTCCATAGCGCTAACATCTGCAATGCAGCGGACCCTGGTCGTCCACGCCGGCACTGATGACCTCGGCAAGGGTGGTAACGAGGAGTCCAAGAAGACCGGTAACGCTGGTCTCCGCCCTGCTTGCGGTAAGTTGTCTCTCCGATTGCAGTATATCGTGAGCTGTTACTCATATTCTTGCGTTTTGATAGGTGTCATCGGTATTGCCGCTTAAATGCATTACCCAAATGTGTTTGATGTCTTAGTTTAGGATGCGAACGGCTGAACCAGAATGGAATTAGTCTGCTGTTGTCCGATCGATCTCATGAAACAAATTGGAATGCATGAATGACTTGATGCTGTTAATGCTGGCGATATCCTATGTTCGTCGACTATGTAGTTCTTGCCTGGTAGTGTATGTAGTGGGTTGAGGATGGTAGCTATAGCTGAAGCTCCATCGCCGTCTCGACTCCATGCCATTAGCCCCTAGTAGTCGAGTCTTTCGATGCTGGGATAGATGCCTGGCTCATACCCGGGGTAACAATAGCTGCAGCTGTACAGAAGTAAGCTATTTGTTGCTTTTTTGTGTCAAAAGGGTGGGCACCTGTAGCTGTACAGTCCATGTACTTTAGACTGTAGTCGCTGTAAACTCAGAACTGGCGATAGCAATTTAGTGCTCTTTGCAGTCTCAGCTGTGTCAACTGTCTAGCACTCGAGCAATCATGTGATTTCTTCCCGTCTGAATCTTCGAGGATGCATTATCTTGTGCTTGTGCTGAGCTGCACAGTTGAGCGGCTAGAATCCAACAGGCGGGAACTCCCCCACAAAGTCAGGTGTTCCGCCTAGGCGGGATTGGTTCTCGCTTTCCCGCTGGCCGGTGCTGTACCGTACCTGGCCAGATACCTTCCTTACTCAACTCCTCTCTTTCTCTCTCCGCCTCTCCTGTTTCCCATCCTCCCCAAATTTCACCCTTTTTTCTTCTCTTCAGTTGCTTACTTGACCTAGAGAGTCAATTGCTCATTGGGTGAAGCTTGGATTCTCTTGTTGTTTTTTTGGTTCATCAGTTGCGTTAGTTCTCGCTTGCCAGAATGCCTCTGGAAGCTCGTGTGAAATCTGTCCTATCCGGCGACACGGTGGTGCTGTCGCATATCACCAATCCCGGCCAGGAACGCATCCTTAGTTTGGCATATGTCTCAGCACCCAGACTGCGCAGAGAAGGCGATGAGGTAGGTTATTCAATTGTTTCCCAAAAAGCATAGCCTCCGATGATCTGGCCGAATCATCTTCCTTCTTTCCATCTTTCCACTGGTTGCCTGCATATGTGTCCTCTGTCGGCCATGGAGGCCAATCCATGTGGAAGTTTCTTTCCCCCAGCCCCATTGGCATATGCTCTGGTTATCGGAGACCCTCCCAGATGTCAATTGAGCATCCGTTTGCTAATCTGAAATCTGCGGAATTCCCTTGCAGCCATACGCTTTCCATTCCCGCGAATTCCTCCGTGAGCTCCTCGTCGGCAAAGTAGTCCAATTCCAAGTCCTGTACACCATCCCCACCGGCGCCAAACGCGATTATGGCACCATCAAGCTCCCCACCTTCGAGGTCTCCGTGCCTGATATCAGCGTTCAAGAAGGTTGGACCCGGGTCCGTGAAGAGGCCGGCAAGCGCAGCGACGAGTCTGAGGAAACTCTGGCCTACCTTGAGCGCCTGCGTGCGCTGGAAGACCACGCCCGGTCGGAAGGCAAGGGAACCTGGGCTGGTTCCGACAAGGGTCAGACCGAGACCAGTTATGAGCTGTCGGATGCCAAGTCCCTAGTCGACGAATGGAAGGACAAGCATCTCGAGGGTATTGTCGAGCGGGTGCTGAATGGCGATCGCCTGGTCCTCCGTCTGCTGCTCTCGCCAGAGGAACACCTGCAGGTCGTTGCTGCCATGGCGGGTGTCCGGGCGCCGGCGGCCAAACGGGTGACCGCCGACGGCAAGGAGCAGGCAGCCGAGCCATACGGAGACGAGGCGTTCCAGTTTGTGGAATCCCGCATCCTGCAGCGCAAGGTCCAAGTCTCGCTGCTTGGTGTCACCCCCCAGGGTCAGTTGATCGCTAGCGTCCTCCACCCTAACGGCAATGTCGCCAAGTTCTTGCTCGAGGCTGGTCTGGCCCGCTGCCACGACCACCACTCAGCTCTCCTTGGTACGGAGATGGCTGCTTTCCGCCGCGCCGAGAAAGCGGCCAAGGATGCCAGCGTCGGCCTATTCACCGGTCTCGTTGCACCCAAGGGTCCTGCAGGCGGGGCCGCCGAGGACTACACTGTCAGCCGTGTGTTGAACGCCGATACGCTGTTCATCCGGAACAAGGCTGGCCAGGAGAAGAAGATCAGCCTGAGCAGTGTCCGACAGCCCAAGCCTTCTGATCCCAAGCAGGCTCCCTTCGCTGCCGATGCCAAGGAATTTGTTCGCAAGAGGCTCATCGGCAAGCACGTCAAGGTTACTGTCGACGGCAAGAAGCCCGCAACTGAGGGTTACGAGGAGCGGGACGTTGCCACCGTTGTGCAAGGCAACACCAACATCGCTCTCGCTTTGGTCGAGGCTGGTTACGCTTCCGTGATCCGTCACCGCCAGGACGACGACGACCGCTCCCCTGAGTATGACAACTTGATGCTTGCGGAAGCTGAAGCCCAGTCGGAGGGCAAGGGTATGTGGTCGCCCAAGCCACCCAAGGCGAAACAGTACCAGGATTACTCCGAGAGCCTGCAGAAGGCCAAGATGGAAGTTTCGATCCTCCAGAGACAGAAGCGCGTGCCCGCCATTGTTGACTTTGTCAAGTCCGGCTCGCGCTTCACCGTGTTGGTGCCTCGCGAGAACGCTAAGTTGACTCTCGTCCTGTCGGGTATCCGTGCTCCCCGCTCCGCCCGTAACGCCAACGAGACTGGCGAGCCCTTCGGCCAGGAGGCACATGATCTGGCTAACAGACGCTGCTTGCAACGTGATGTCGAGATTGACGTTGAGACCATCGACAAGGTCGGTGGTTTCATCGGCACCCTGTATGTGAACAAGGAGAACTTCACTAAGATCCTGCTCGAGGAGGGTTTCGCTACGGTTCACGCGTACTCCGCTGAGCAATCTGGGCACGCCACCGAATACTTTGCTGCTGAGCAGCGGGCTAAGGAGGCTCGTAAGGGACTCTGGCACGACTGGGATCCTAGCAAGGAGGTTGAAGAAGAGGAGGAGCCGGTCAACAGCAGCAACGGTGCTGAAGTTGAGGACGTTCAGCGCCGCAAAGACTACCGTGACGTGATGGTCACCTACGTCGACCCGACCACCGGTCGCATCAAACTCCAGCAGATCGGTACCGGCACCTCGGCTCTCACCGAGTTGATGAGCGCTTTTCGCTCGTTCCACATTAATAAGGCCAATGACACTCCACTGCCCGGACCTCCCAAGGCTGGTGACTTCGTGGCGGCCAAGTTCAGCGAAGACGGTGAATGGTACCGTGCCAAGGTCCGCCGCAACGACCGCGAGAAGCAGCAGGCGGAGGTCCTGTACATCGATTTCGGTAACTCAGAGGTCCTTCCCTGGTCTCGTCTGCGGCCCCTGAGCCAGCCTCAGTTCTCTGTCCAGAAGCTTCGTCCTCAGGCTGTCGATGCGGTTCTCTCGCTGGCCCAGTTCCCCGGCTCCGAGGACTACCTCCAGGATACTGTCAGCTTTATCGAGGAACAGGTATACAACCGCGAGCTGGTGGCCAACGTGGATTACGTCTCCCCCGAAGGCACCTTGCATGTCACTCTTATGGACCCCACCGAGTCGAAGAACCTGGATCACAGTATCAACGCCGAGATCGTTCGGGAGGGTCTAGCCATGGTCCCGCGGAAGTTGAAGGCTTGGGAACGTGCTGCTGCCGATACCTTGGCCCACCTCCGTGTTATGGAGGATGAAGCCAAGCAGGAACGACGCGGCATGTGGGAGTACGGTGACCTGACTGAGGACTAAAGCTCACGACCTTTTTTTCTTGTGATGGGTTGACTGTACAAATAGTCTCGCAACTGGTGCCTTTTCTTACTTCACATTTGATTCCCACAGGCGATTCACTGTATGGTCTTGCTTTGGGCCCTTTGTTTCGCCTGAATTACACAACACCATTTTGATGTGAACCTACTAGATTAGTCTAGGATACTTCTCTCTCTCTCTCTCGCTCACGTTACCTACTACCTCCCGCTTAAGGATACCAGACCAAAAGAGGAAAATAACACTGATGATGCTTTCTTGTTCTATTATGTTCTGCTTAAATCATCTGTCCGTGCATAAAGTGAACCCTGAGTTGCATAGATGACATAATATGGACTCCGGCAATTGTGCCCCCGCGACATCCGAAACTTTGTTCTGCGGCTATTGGAGGATTCCAAAGCAAATTGGAAAAGTATCCATCTGTTGTTCAGCCCAACTTCGCCGCTGATCGCCGCCGCGGTTCAATCCGCTCCTTTTTATTACATCCCAGGTGAATGATCTGTTGGTTGGGTTTTTACTGTCGTGGGATTTGATTTCCTGATCATTTTGTTTCTACTGAGTATCACGTACCTCACTTAATTCTTCCGCGCCCGCGCTTAAGACTACCTAAGAGCCAGTGCAAAGTCCGCTAGATCCGAAAGCCCCGAGCTCAGCTCTCGTAAAGACGACTCCGACCCACTCTAGATCCTACAGCCTTGTTTCGTGTGTCGAGACGAGCGAGACAAACATCTTTTTTTTCTCTCTCTCTCTCTCTATCTCACAGATCATACCCTCCCCCTGAACGGAACCAGATCTGAGTCCCCGATTTAAAAATGCCTTTCTGGGGAAGCAAGTCCACACCGACCAAGGCGGAGAGCGAGGCCAGCTCGACGACTCCTGACGCAACCGATCCCAAGAATGACCCGGTCGCTTCGGCATCGCAGGCGGCGGGCACCGCCTGGCTCGCGGGCCACCTCCACCACCTGACGGACGACCAGGAGCAGAAGCTGGAGGAGTTCAAGAAGCTGTGCGAGCAGAATGGTTACTATACGCCCGAGCGGGAGGGCGAGAAAGCCAGCCACGCCGATGCGACAATGCTGTATGTCACTTCTCTCCCCTTCCTTCTCGTCGCAAGGCTGGCTGAGATACTGACTCGGCTTCTGTAGGCGCTTCCTCCGCGCACGCAAGTTCGATGTCGATGGCGCTTGGGGCCAGTTTAAGGATACGGAGGATTGGCGCCGTGAGAATGCCATTGAGTCGTTGTATGAGACTATTGAGGTGGATGCTTATGATGCTGCGAGGCGGATGGTTCGTTATGTCCCTACTTATGGGTTTGAGATATGTTGTTGGTGTTCAGTACGGTTGCTGACGATGGGTCTTGTGTTGGGCGTTATAGTATCCTCAATGGACCGGCCGCCGCGACCGTCGCGGTATCCCTGTCTATGTGTTCGAGATCCAACATTTGAACAACAAGAACATGGCCGCGTACAAGTCGACCCTCTCCACCGAGACTCAACAATCGTCGAAGGTCCCCGAGCGGCTGCTGCGTCTCTTTGCGCTCTACGAGAACCTCCTGCGCTTCGTCATGCCCCTGTGCTCGCAGCTGTCTCGCCCCAACCCGGAGACTCCCATCACCTCGTCCAACAACATCGTCGATGTCAGCGGAGTCGGACTGAAGCAGTTCTGGGATCTCAAGGGCCACATGCAGGACGCCAGCGTGTTGGCGACCGCGCATTATCCTGAGACTCTGGACCGGATTTTCGTGAGTTTTCGCTTTGGATGTGGCAAGGGAAATGCTAATGTGGTGTCTCTGTAGATCATCGGCGCCCCCTCTTTCTTCCCGACGGTCTGGGGCTGGATCAAGCGCTGGTTCGACCCGGTCACCACGTCCAAGATCTTCATCCTCTCCGCTGCAGAGGTGAAACCCACCCTGACGTCCTTCATGGACCCCTCCAGCATTCCCAAGCAATACGGCGGCGACCTCGACTGGAAATGGGGCGACATGCCCTACCTCGATGAGGAGGCCCGGCAGGTCGTCGGCGCCCTTGAGACTCCGCCCGCCGAGGGCGAGACCAAGCCCAGCTTCATCAAGGGCCCTGTCCTGTTCAACGGCGACAACATCGAGATCCTCGGCAAGGTCAACGGCGAGAGTCGCAAATCCACTCTTCCTGCGGGTGTTGTCGCCCAACCAGGGCAGTCCGCTGCTGCCCCGGCCGAGAAAGCTCCAGTGCAAGGGCCTTCTGATGTGGTCGCTTCGGACAACGAGAAGGTGGCTGCGCTGCAGGGTGAGGCGGCTGCTCCTCCCAAGTCAGAGACTGAGACTGCCACCGCTTGAATTTTCCGCAAATAAACCATTTCTCGCATACATCTTTCTTCCTTAGCCTTTCTTTTCACCTGTCACTTCATCTCGCATCAAGACTTTCATCAAGACACTAATCGACTTATACATACGAGGCGTCATTCGGAATCGAATTGGATACTTTTATAGATGAATTTTTACATTGTTATTTCCCGTGGTGCGAGGCCCAGCTGGGGCCAAGAGCAGGAGATTTTGCGGCTTGAATGCTTGATCTCGATTGAGGTCCTCTTCTTTGGACTGACTCTGTCTTCGTTGATCTTGACCGACTGATTCGGCCCCACCTGTTGTCTTCTTTCATATCAATCATCTTAATCTAGCGTGCTTGGTGTGCCTGATATATGTGTATATGTCTGACCTTCACTCTCTAAATCATGTTTTCTTTGGTTGCTTGGAGGATTGAGGTATAGACATTTGTCGTCAGATGAGTTTATTTGGGGTGCAGCATTTCGGATTTTGTTATCAGGGTTCATTTCCCGAGTTTTGTCCGGTACCTACTTCAAAAAATTTAGATTCAATTAGGGGTGAGATTGAGGTTACCAGGAAGCTGAAAGGAAGGGGGGTCCGGGGGTTCTCCCCCGGAATACTTTATACATCTAGTTTGATAGTATAAGGATAGGTGAGCCAGCAAGTTGAAAGAAAGGGGGGTCAGGAACACTTGTTTTGTATGTAGATAGATGAAGCTATACTGACGTCCGCAAGAGGCAGGGCTAGACTAGCCGCAACGATGATTGGGCCATCACCGCCCGCAGCTCTTCCGCCCCGGATAACATCACTCACTCACCTCTGAATTACTGCATAACCCAACCTGCCGCCTGTGACCCTCCGATGACCGCCCGAGAGTCACAGTCATAACCATGCGGCTACAGGCGACGCTCTTTCTGCTCGCCTCGTGCGTTCCCTCCACCTGGGCCATCTACACCGACGAGGTCGACCACATCGATTACCACCACGCCCTCCTCGGCCAGCCCACCTCCCAGTCGACCTTCTTCCTTAAGCCGTCCGCTTCATCCAATGCCTCCCTCCTCTACACCCTCTCAGAAGACTCCCTCCTCGGCGCCGTAAACCCCAAAGACGGTTCTTTAGTATGGAGGCAGAACCTCACGCGATTCGCACCCCCCGCCGCCCAGGACGGCGTCTCCGGTCTCCTGCGTGCCTCCGAAGGCACAAACGCTCTGGTCAGCGCGCTGGGCGGATACGTCTCCTCGTGGACCGCCCTCGACGGCAAGCTGATCTGGGAGAAGCGATTCGCGGACGATGTGATTGCAGATCTCGAGCTTCTCGAGCTGGAAGATGCCAGTACCGCGCCGTCAGCTAAAGACACTGTGGCGCTGTTTGGTGGAAAGGCCGGCGTCGTGCGGAGACTCGATGGTAATTCGGGCCATGTAAAGTGGGAATACAAGGATGAAAGGTTTGATTTGAGACCCCCGTTTCTCTTCCGTAATGTGTGTAGTAGGTTTTGTTGCTGACGCCGGGGCTTTACGTATAGTGGAGACGTCCCGTTGCAGCTATCATCCTCGTCCACGGAAGTTTTCTACATCGCCCTGCAAGCTTCGGCGCGCAAAGGCTACCGCATCCGCGTGGTCTCTCTGGATCCCTTGACCGGCCTGCCGACTCAGCAGCAGATCCTGACCTCGGAAAGCGACGTGTCGGGCCCTGGATCGGTGGTCTTTGTCGGCGCGAATACGGCCGCGCCTGTTATCGTGTGGTCGGATGCGGCGCACAAGGCGCTGAAGGTCAATATCATTGGGACGAAGCTGGTGCAGTCGTTTGATATTGAGAATACGAGTGGTGAGAGTATCCGCTCGATCACCGTCCATACCCCTAAGAAGCTGGAATCGCTGCCCCATTACCTTGTGCACTACGAGACGGCCTCCACCACCTGGGCGGAGGTCTACCATGTTGACCTGAGGTCGTCCGTGGTCTCCAAGGCGTATGAGCTGCCCCGGTTGCAGGGCTGGTCGGTCTTCTCTACCAGCAACAAGGACGCCAATGTCTACTTTACCCGCATCACGCAGTCGGAGACTACCGTTGTGTCGTCCGTCTCGCATGGGATCCGGGGCAGATGGCCCCACCAGTCTCCTCCGCTGGAGAAGGCGGTACACGCTGTCTCGGAGGTGGTGGCCAAGGGTGAGACGGTTGCTGTCCGGTCGGCGGCCGCTCTCGTCACCGGTGACTGGCAGTTGATCCGCGGCGGTCAGATCGAGTGGACGAGATACGAGGCGTTGACGGGCGCGCTGGCCGCTTCGTGGGTTGAGACGGATGGCTCCGAGGATCTGGTCCATCAGCTTGAAGTTGAGGGTCATGAGAGCGTCTACAAGGCTTACGTTCACCGCGTCAAGCGTCATGTCAGAGACCTCCAGCATCTTCCTGAGTGGCTCAAGGGATTGCCCAACCGCATCCTGACCAGTATCTTGACCGACGAGGTCTCCAATCTCGACAGCTTCGGAATCTCCAAGCCTGTCATTGTCGCCGCGAAGAACGGTCGGGTTTATGCCTTGGATGCCGGAAACCACGGTGCCGTGTCCTGGGCTGTTAAGGCCGCTGAGAAGGACTCCTGGGACGTGAAGGCGATCGTGGCTCAGCCGGGCTCGGCTACTATCTACGCTGACGATGGCAGCTCTGTCACTTTGGACGTCACGTCTGGCAAAATCCTCGCTCGCACCCCGGGCACCGCCATCAAGATTCGGTCCGTTGCCGTCGTGAACGACGGTGCTGCTCCGGTCACCATTGGTATCAAGGAGGATGGTACGCCATTGGAATCCCTGGATCTTCCTGGGTTCTTTGTCACTCTTAGTGATGATGGCCGGGTCTTGGGATGGGCTGCCAAGGACAACAAGACCCCGGTTTGGCAGTTTCTCCCTGCCCAGGGAGAGAAGATCGTCCATGCTACCGCGCGTCCCGCTCACGACCCCGTTGCATCCATTGGTAAGGTTCTGGGCAACCGCTCCGTCCTCTACAAATATTTGAATCCCAACCTCGCCCTCATCACCGCCGTCGGCAAGAACACGGCCACGTTCTACCTCCTCGATGCTGTCTCCGGCCGTATCCTGCACACTTCTGTCCAGGAGGGTGTTGACCCCACGCAACCGATTGCCTCCACTATCTCGGAGAACTGGTTCGCGTACTCGTTCTACGCGGACGTCACTTCTTCCTCCTCGGCCAAGGGCTACCAGCTTGTGATCTCGGAACTTTATGAATCGCCCAGCCCCAACGACCGGGGTCCCCTCGACGCTGCCAGCAACTACTCCAGCTTCACCTCGCTTCCCTCTCCCCACATCATCTCCCAAGCCTTCGTCATCCCCGAGCCGATCTCCCACATGACCGTCACGCAGACCCGCCAGGGAATCACCACGCGCAACCTTCTCTGCACGCTGCCCCTTTCGAACGCCATCATCGGCATCCCGCGCCCCGTCCTCGACCCCCGCCGTCCCGTCGACCGCGACCCCACCTCCACCGAAGCCGAGGAAGGCCTGTTCAAGTACAACCCCTACCTCGAATTCGAAGGCCGGTGGTATCTCACCCACTCGCGCAGCGTGGCGGGCATCAAGAAGGTACTGTCGAGTCCGACACTGCTGGAGAGCACGAGTCTGATCTTCGCGTTCGGCGGCGACGTCTTCGCCACGCGGGCGACGCCGAGCCAGGCTTTTGATGTGCTGGGCAAGGGTTTCTCGAAATTGCAGTTGGTTCTGACGATTCTGGCTTTGAGTGCCGGTGTGATGGTTTTGGCGCCGATGGTAAGTCCCCCTTTTTCTTCATCCGCTTGTGAAAACTCTCGTCGAGGTGAATGCGAATACTAATGTTCTGTGTTTGTTTTGTGCTACAGGTCCGCAGGAAACAGAACAATATGATCTGGAAGACGTCGTTGTAGTCTGGGTCTGTTTGACTAGTTGCTAGGTTGGATAGTATCCAGTTGGTCAGACCTGGTCGTGGTAGTAAAGTATGATGATGAGATAGATACATATGATCGATAATTGTTGCTTATGATTTTTGTTGTAGTATGCTTCTTTGGTCTATGATTAATAACTGGATGTAATTACATGTTGATTGTAGGCTGGCGGTTTTCTGATAGATGCCCTATCGTCAACCACGAATGTCAACCCTGTCTTCTATTTAGATAGTGCTACGGTTAGTCGATTGATGAATCGGGTTGATATTTCAGCCTTTTCAAGCTGGGGGGTATTTTAGCTTGGATATGGACAAGAACACTGGCTCCTATGTCTGAGAAGCAAGAAGTGGTGATACAGTCGCTGACGCAGATGCTGTGCTATAAAACATTGTCATTCTACTATACTTTTTGCATGATAACTCTTAGTTCTGTAATCTCTAACATCATATCTAGAGCTATGTTCTCAATACATCGTCTCCAGAAAAAAAAGGCGCTGTTGCTGAAATTGTTCTAGTCATGATATATATCGTCCATAGAATGGATATAAGTATAATCTTGTGATCAGCAAACTTGAGCTCTTTTTTATCAGTTTCCCTGGACAACGCCTTCAACAACTTTCAGTCATGATAGCTGTTGCACATAGTGATCTACTTGGTGTATAACTATCTAAGCCACTACATATAGCCCAGTTAGACGGTTACACTAACATTCTACGATTACATGGCTTTAGTAGAAAATTGTACCCCAAGCAAGAAATGAACAAAGGCAATAACCAAAACACCCTGGATACAGTATCTAGGGCAATATATATCTATTTTTTCCATAGTCCGCGCGTTTAAGACTAACCGTCAACGCAACCCTGCAGTAATAGTTTAGACAGGCATCTAGTAACCCTCGTCCTCACCCTCACCATCCCCCGAAACCTCAGGCTTCTCCGCCTTGATAGCCAAACCCGCAACGGCCACGCCCGCCATCCCCACCGCCGCAACAGCAAACGGCAACCCCATCCACACCCACCCAAGCACCAAACCCTCGACCAGCAGCGCATTCGCAACTGGCCCAGCCACACTTGAGACCACGATGCTCAGCATCAGCGCGGCGCTGTACACGGTACTCACCTGGCTCGGGTGCACGGCGCCACCCAGCAAGCTCATCAACAGCCCCGTCGTGCAGCTCCCACACGCCACCAGCAGCAGCCCAGCTGCCTCGACGACTAGCCCCGGCGCCATCGCAATCACCATCAGTCCGGCGGCTGTCAGCACCACCGACACGATGGCGTAGCGGCGGTCGCGCGCCCACGGCGTCCATCCGCGCGGGTCCGCGACCCACCGCGTGATGAACGGCAAAAGCACAAGCACGACCAGCCCCTGGGCGCCCTGAAACACTGACAGGAGCACGTTACCCCTCCCGTAGGGCAGCGCGAACTTCGCCCGCGAGTACTGCAGGCCGACCATCGTGAAGAGGTCGCGTGCGGCGGTTTGCGGGGCGAATACGCCCAGCAGTAACAGCGCTTGGCGGTTCGAGGTCAGGGTCAGGGCGGGGGCAAGTACCCGGGAGATGCGATCCCAGATGGAAGTGGGCTTGGTGATGGGTTCCGAGGATGGATCGATCCGGGCGGCGGGCGATGCAGCGGGACCCCCGGCGTCGGTCCGGAAGGCCAGGGTTTCAGGGATGAAGGGTGTCAGCAGGAAGGTACCGGCGAGAAGGGCGGCAGCGGCCAGCAGCAGCACCGTCCAGACGTGGCCTTTCTCCATGAGGGCGGCGCTGATAGCAGGCCCGCAGAAGCCGGCGAGCACGTCGGCGGCATGGAGGAACAGGAAGATCTGGGCGCGCTCCGCGGGGCCCGTCACGTCGGTGACCATGATATGCACGAGGCTGGAGGTGACGGCGTCGCCGCCGCCGACGAAGAGAAAGGCGCCGGACAGCCACACCCAGCGCACGCTCGCAAACCGCCAGAAACACACGGCCAGCACCCAGCCCAGCGCCGCGCACACCCCGGCGCCGCTCAGCACCAGCACCCGCTTGCGCCCGATCCGCTCCGCCAGCAGCCCGTACGGCACCGTGCATACCAGCGCCGCGAACAACGGCACCAGCTGCTGGTAGCCACGTACCTGCGCCAGCTCCATCTGCACGGCGTGCACCTTGCATCGATCGCTCGTCTCCCCGGTGGTGGCCACGGAGATGTGTCGCGCGTAGTAGTCGTCGCAGATCGCGTCCTCCATCACCTGCGTCAGCGCCGCGGGCTGGAGGTTATCTCCTAGCATCATTATGAATGCGAAGACGCAGAGGAGCACCTGCACGCGCCGCTGCAGCCTGGCTGGAATCCGCCCGTTTGGAGCATGATGCGAAAGGAGCGGGGTGGATTCGGAGGTGTGGTCCATACCGACTCCCTCCGTCGAGGTCATGATCTGCTGGCGCCGGTCGACAAGAGCCACGAGGGTTGGTGATGGTACTGATGAACAAATGTTTCGCTGACTTCAGGCCAGTAGTGGTTACAGCCTGCAAGTCTGGATGGTCCTTTTTTGGAGGTGCGCCCCGATCAGGTTAATATGTAAGAAGCCTAGCGTCATGTGATTCTACTACCCCTTAGTCTATCCTATTTGGTCCGTCGTACTATACTAGCACTACCGTGTGCTTATTTGAAATACTTTTATCTTAACACTTACCACCATCTTATCATCATCAGTGAGAAACTACTCTTCAAGCTCTTTGAATACAGGAAGATCAGATATGTTCTATTCAATGAGTACAACAAGAAACTACTCAGTTTACGCTGGATCTGAAGGAGACCCTATGAAATAATGAAACCCCTGTTATATAGGCGACTGCAACAGCTTCCTGACTAAAATCTTATTGACGTAAGATATGAAACAAGACTGGGTATATAGTAGTGGGTCAGAACTACTGCTCCTCCACTGCCTCTGCGATTGTCACCAAGGAAGGGTCACGTGGCCTATCTATGTAGGCCTACTCCATATGCACTCGATGCACTTGCTCAATTGAAAGACCGTGACTCTAGTCGGGTGCCAGTCATAGTGCCTATAAAGAGGCACGATGGCGTAACATTGCCATCGGTAATTTAGATAGCGTACCGTGAGGCGATCAGCAAGGCGGGTTCTCCCGCCCACCCAGTTGCCGTGCTGAGAATAGCCTCCCCCGTCGCGCCGTTAGGGCACAGTATAGTGAAGAGGGTGTCGGGGATGTCAGCACTGCTCTGCCACGCACAGTCAAGGCCAGATCCAGTGCAACAAAGAACGGAGAGTCGGGTCATTCGAGCAGGATAAACTAGTTAATTACCTCGAGTCGATGGTTAGACCTGCATTAGTTAGTATCACGGTAGAATTAGTCCAGTCAGCGAGGTATAGATTGCTCATTCTACAGTACATGCCCGTAGACTAGTTTCAGGGTCTAAGTAGAATACAAGCTGTCGAGGCAGATCACATCCTTTCACCTAATGAAAGTGCTTATAATTCACCTTCAAGCCCAACACAGACAGGGTCTGAACCCACTCATTCATTCCGCCCGCCAGTAGACTCACTGCGTGCATTGCAGGCCACGTCGTCGGGGCTGTAAGTAGCCCTCATGCTGTGTCTGAAGGGCCCTTCCTCTTTCGTTTGGTTTCTGTGGAAAATGCACCTCGATTCCCACTTGGGAGCTGCATAGTAGTTCTAACATGTCTCTAAAATTCTCCGGGTGATAGACTGGAATGCAGGTATGGACCCCAGCTAGGCAGTTGGCACACTGACCGGTAAGTATTGCAGAAAATCTACCGGCTATACTACGACTAACAACTATCCAAGATACTTCCGCTGCGGTAAATCAGCCCCTCACAATAGCCGTCAGCGCCCGCAGCCGCCGCGGCTGAACAACCAGCAGGAACGGCGCGGGCAACGCCACCAGCAACACAAACCCCAGCAGCGAGTTCCCCCAGCCGTACCCCAGCCGATCATACATGTACGGCGCCGCCACCGGCATGAAGGCGCCGCCTACATAGCGCAGAGGAAGCACAGCGGCCACCGCCGACGCCGAGCGGTCGCCGAAGATATCGACAAGATAGTTCATGATTGGGGTGGTGCTGCTGGAGAGGGAGAACCCACACAGCAAGGTGGCGAGAGCCGGCACGATCCAATGTAACCGCTCCTCCAGCGACCAGCCGTACAAGAAAAGGCCAACAGGAAAGGCCACCATCGCTGGAAGGATGGGGATCAGCCGGTTTTCAGGACGCGGGGCAACGCCATGGTCTGGCTGTTTGAAGGACAGTCCGCGGAACAGGAAGTAGTCGAGCGTGAAGCGGCACATGAGTGCACCACTTAGAGTCCCAATCGCTGGGATGTCAGGGTTAGATGGGCCCAAGTAAGTTGAAGTGAGACACATGAGGGAGAGGGGAACTTACTCATGGCAATGTAGATCAGGCCCGACTGGCTCTCTGAGAAGCCGTAGGCCTCTTGGAAGACGGTGGCCAACGTCGCTGCCAGAAGGGAAATGTAGGCAAAGAGGAGCGCCAGGTACAACCCCATCAGCACCGCGATGCGAGATTGGCTCAGGATGACAAAGGGGCGGATCGCGAGCAGAGCCACGGCCTTGACGGTGGCCATGCTCCACCCTTGGAAGTATTTCTGCGATGGTCTGACTGCTTCCTGGCCCGAGCTTGTCTGCTTGAGGGCCTTTCGGCGGATGACCGGCACATAGGATTCCTTCAGACGAGGGCCATGAGAACCGCGAGACTGGCGCTGACGATCGCCATCAGCCAGAACGTCCAGCGCCAATTCAGGTACTGCGTAATGTAACCGCCCACAATCGGGCCCACGGCCGTGCCGAGGATGGGGATTAGACTCGTCAGCGACATCGCAGATCCCCGCTCTTCGATGGTGAACAAATCACCGGTAATTGCTGGGTTCAGGCAGATCGACGAAACCGATGCCCCCGCGAGGAACCTGAACACAATCACCATGCCGAAGCTGTTACTGAAGCCCGCAATCATGGTGAAGACCAGGAACGAAAGGTTAAAGAAATGACAGACGGGCATGCGGCCCAGACGCTCAGACAGCGGGCCAATATAGAGAGGCGCGATGATTTCCCCGAGGTTGGGCACGGTAATGAAGAACACTGACAGAAAGGCGTCGTAGTCGTTGAACTCTTGGGCAATTGCCGAGCTGGCTGGCGAGCAGATGACCAGTGACATGTTCCTGGGAGCTTGACATCAATACCTATCGCCTTGCTCCTCTTCCAGGCATGCACAGGAGACAGAGGAACGTTCACCATCAAGGACATCAAGGACAACACAATCAGAATGAACCATTTCCGCGTCTTGGACCAGTTCTGCGGCAGCCTGGGATCGGTAACCTCCAGATCTTGAATCACCGAGCTTGCTTCCTTTGCAACACCGGCGGTGGGGGTGGCCTCGACAGCCATCAGCGTTGGCGGCATTATGTTAGTGGTGCAACTAGACTGCTGCTGCTGGCTGGATGTCATGACTGTCATGATCAGATTGGATTTTACCTACCTGCCTGCCTGCTCAGAAGGGATAGAGGGAGAGAAGTCTCCCTCGAAGCGTCGAGATATGGCCTTCCATGGTAATCCAACAACGCCACGCCATACGTGATCCCACGGCCATTGTCGTCTTTGGCTCACTAAACTAGGACTGTCTCAGTCAGACTTTAGTCTCTCCCACCCATTGCAGAGTTACATTCGGAGTGGGCCAAGCTCATGTGCCCAGACACTTGGCATATGCCTTTCTCAGATCTAGTGATTCGGCTTGTCTGGCCAGTTCCGCGGCTCAACCCGCTACACTTTTACTTGAATACTCAATATGAATACTGTCATTAAGTCTCATGGATCTTTCATCGGAGCCGTCAGGACCCATACAATTGACTTTTGGGCACTGTGGGCAGCGGAAACATGTCTCCAAAGCGGCCCGGCCCCTCAGGATCCGGATGGGTCACGGTCTTCTTTTTTTTTTCCCCCCCTACTACGGTTAGGTAATACATTCATTTTGATTTGATGTATGGGACATCTGAGAGAGCTTGGTCAGATACGGGCCAGCGAAATGACTGAGTTCCTCATATTGGCCGATCAAGTCACGCGGTGATTCTGGGAAGTCCACCAAATGCCAAGAATATATCCTTTCGATATGCATGGCACATACACCCACAGGAAATCCAAAAGCGTGCTATTTCACAACGTCTTTAATTGCTAACGTCTTATGTGGACCTCCCAGCATGGACTAGACTGATTCCGATCTGCAGCGTCGCTCGTGCTAGTCCGCTGGTGGTACACCACCGTGCTATCGTCCTCTCCCGGCTTCTGCGACAGCTCCGATTGCAGAGATCTGTCGAGCAACGGGACTGACTCGTTTCGCATTCCTTCATCTGGCCTGGTCGCTCGTGCTCGCGTATTTCACGGGCAAGCGACAGGTCTGCTTTGGCTATATCTCGTCCGGTCGTGACTATCCGATTGACGGTATCGGGGAAATTGTTGGACCGCTCATCAATATGCTTGTTGCGCGAGTTGATCTGAGCCAGCCACTGTCTACCACAATGGAAACCATCAGCAGCTACCACATCGAGCATCTCGAGAACCAGCACGTCTCCCTCGCTGACCTCCAACACGAGACTTCCACCAAGCAGTTGTTCAACACAAACATCACGGTGTGAGAAGCCCGTCGCGAGTCTACCGTAGTTGATGGTGGCATGCAGCTTGTCGAATTAGTAGAGGAAGATCGCCATGAGGTATGTTTTTGCTCCCCAGATATCCCTAGAATGATTATTGGTGTCTGACTGAGATAGTACGATATGGTCTTGGCTGCCACTATCGACAATGCCGACACTGAAGTGAGCATGCAGTATCGCACGGATTTCATGAGCCTGGTTAATGCACAAGAAATCCAAGATGCTCTGCAAAGTGCCATTGGATTCCTCGGCTCGACGCAGGACAGTGGCGCCGCAGCCCTCTCTGGCTCGTTATATGATGCATACTTCAATCGTGCATTCGAAATGGAAGAAAGCACCATTCTCGAGCGATGGAATGCGCACTTCAACGGTATCGAAGCCGGTGTTCACTTCCCTCCTGCCCTCAATGCTCCGCAAAAAGCCAAGGTCACTTCCTCGGCGTTGTACGAGATTGAGGGCTGGAATGGTGCCAGGACTGCGACATGGCATCGCAAGTATTCGCATCGTGGGCCATCCTACAAGCGTGCCACCAAAGCTCAACTTATGCCTTGCTCGGTGTCTCTTCTTTGCCTGCTGCCTATGGAGGTCTACACACCAGAGGCCCCATGCCCATGCGAATCAACGTTGCCCTGGATCAAACACTTTCTTCGTACCTTGACTCTGTGCAGTCGGCTATTAGGACGTGGTCAGAGATACCGCAGATTTCTATCCACAGGTTACGGAGCCTAAGCACAGCTTCGGCGCTTGCATGCGATTTTCAGACTGTATTGAGCATTCCAGATGTCAACATCACTGAGACCCGAGCCCTTTCTCTTCATATCACTGCCCATGGATCGAAATGTCAGCTCGCAGCACACTTTGATGATCAGGTTATCAGCACCGAGGAAGTGACACGACTCTTCTCGCGGTTTGAGACGGTGCTCCGCCAGGTTGTCTCGCCGGTCAACTATACCGCAGCACTGACAGCTATCGATGTCGTTAGTGAGGAAGAAAGCAGGACAATCTCTGCTTGGAATCAAACGGTTTATGAAAGTGTCCAAGCTCTGGTTCACGAGATGATTGCTCAAAGAGCTCTGGAACAACCAGACGCCCCTGCTATATCCGCTGGGACGGAGATCTTACCTACCGCCAGCTGGATGAGCTATCAAATCGTCTGGCCTACCGGTTGCTCGAGCTTGGCATCGGACCGGATGTCATTGTGCCGCCCTACTTCGAAAAGTCCATGTGGATGCCCGTCTCCGTCGTAGCGGTGATGAAGGCTGGCGGCGCCGGTGTGATGATCGACAGCACGCAGCCGATCGAGCGAGTGCGCAGCATGATCAGCCAAGTGAACGCGGAGGTCATTCTCGTCTCAAAAGATAACGCACCCCACGCCGCCCAATTTGAAGGCGTCAAACACCTTGTCGTGGATCAGGCATCGGTGGACGCCTTACCGGACGTGGAGGCAGCCATTTCTCTACAAAACGCCGTGCAGCCTTCGAACCTAGTCTACGTGTTCTTCTCTTCCGGCAGCACCGGAAAACCTAAGGGTGCTATGGTCACGCATTCGTGCTTCGCATCTGCTGTCCGGCACCAGCAATTAGCTCATGGCTTCCGACCCGGCCAGCGAGTCTTCGACTTCGCCTCCTACGCGTTCGACGTCAGCTGGTCCAACCTGCTACACTCGCTTACCTCGGGCAGCTGCCTGTGTATTCCCTCGGAGTATCAGAGACGCAATACGCTCCAGGAGACTCTTCGGGAGAGTAAGGCCACGTTGCTCGATGCGACTCCGTCCGTCCCCCGCCATCTCGACCCTGAGACGCTCCCTGGCCTGGAGCAGGTCATTATGAGCGGAGAGCCCTGGTCCGAAGAGGCCTTCGGAAACTGAATTGACACGAAGAAGGTGCTGAACAGCTACGGCCCACAGGAGTGTACCATCAAGACCAGCCTTGTTCGCGTGGTCCAGGGCATGGTACCGAACTCCATTGGCGTGGGATTAGGGCTGCACACCTGGGTGGTGCGGACGGATGGCAGCGATCTCCTTGGCCCATCGGCTCCGTGGGCGAGCTTTGGCTTGAAGGGCCGCAGGTGGCTCGTGGGTACATTGCCGACGAGGCACGCAGTGCCGCTGCGTTCGTGACCAGGCCCAAGTGGACGCAGCCCGCCAGCCAGCCGTGCAGATTCTATTGAACCGGCGATCTCGTTCGCTACGAGCCCGGTAGCGGAGGCTTGATTTTTGTCGGCCGCAGGGACTCCCAGGTCAAGATTCGTGGGCAGCGCACGGAGCTTGGGGAGGTCGAGTACCACATTCAGAAGGCACTCCTTGAGGGTGATCTTCGTGCTCAGGTCGTGGCGGAGGTGTTCAAGCCCCGGAAAAGCGACATTGCTATTCTGATTGCATTCTTGAAGGCCGACGGAGACGAATCGTGGAACAAGATTGCTGGCATCAATGAGCGGCTCGCAAACATGATCCCCAAGTATATGATCCCCATGGCCTACATCCCGGTTGGCGAATTTCCAATGACTGCTACTGGGAAGATACACCGCAAGTCTCTTCGTGAGAACTACGTGGAGAAGACGTTGGGGAAGCTGATTGCTCTTGATGTGCTGCATATGTCTTGCCATCGCGCTCCGACCAGTGCTTCTGAAAGGCTCCTGCAGGAGCTGTGGGCCGACATTCTGGGTATTGCTCCAGAAGCTATCTCCGCTGAGAATAGCTTTCTCCGGGTTGGGGGTGATTCACTAGGAGCAATGCGACTTGTTGGCGCGTTGCGCACACGAGGCTTCGGTCTGACCTTCGCTGATATTTTCCAGCAGCCTAAGCTCAGTGCGCTTGCGAGACTCATGGAACTGCAGCAGCCTTCCCTGGAGACTACCGCCTCCTTGCTGGAGCCGTTCGCGCTGGTCGAGGGGAAGCTTCCCCGAGATGCAGCTATAGAACAGGCTGCACGCCTCTGTAGCTTGGAGCCCGCGACTATCGAGGACATCTTCCCTTGTACGCCGTTGCAGGCTGGGCTTCTAGCCGAGACTGTTCGACGCCCCGGGAGCAATGTTCTTACCGAGACACGGGTGCTCAAGAAGGATATTGATCCGTCCCGTCTTCGGTCCGCATGGCAGCGGGTAATCCAGGCTCACCCTATTCTACGGAGCAGAATCGTCGATATGGGTAAGCAAGGCCTTGTCCAGGTTGTTGTCCGCTCTGGGTATGGGTCTCAGGGACTCGCGGATGCTACATCGGAGGCAGCATTTGGCCTTGGAACGCCGCTCCTCTTGTATGAGATCTCCGAGACTTGCTTCTCATGGAAGATCCACCACGCTCTCTATAACGGATGGTCTATGTCACTTATATTCGACGCCCTGCCCGAGAGCTACGAGGCCGGAGCCGTCACTGATGTCACCCCCTTCCAGGCTTTCATCAAATACATTGACGATCGCGGCCGGGTGGAGGCGGAAAACTTCTGGAGGGCGCAATTTGCTGCCTTCAGTGCACAGAACTTCCCCGTCCTTCCATCAAAGACCTACAAGCCCAGATGCGATGAGCACGTGGAGCTTGAATTCAAGGACATTTCCCCCGACGGAGATTACACGACCTCAACCCGGATTCGGGCCGCATGGGCTATACTCCTGTCGACGATCACAAACTCTTCAGATGCGTCATTTGGCGCAACCGTGTCTGGGAGACAGGCAGATGTGCATGGCATAGAGAATATGACCGGACCTACCATGGCCACGGTACCATTGAGAGTGGCGGTTGACCGCACCAGGACAGTCGATGACTTGCTCCAGCAAGTGCAGTTGCAAGCAGCCGAGATGATGCCGTTCGAACAAGTGGGGATCCAACAGTTTCGGCGTCTCAGCGAGAACTGCGATCTCGGCTGCCAATTCGCGTCTCATATGGTCATTCAGCATGGAGGCCAGCAGGCTGTGGAGGATCAACTGTCCGAAACCGCCGCTGTGACCACGGAGAATGACCTAGATCCTTTCAAACTCTACGCTATCTGTCTCGAATCCGTGCTTGGACCGAACAACAGCATTCGTCTGCAGGCCAGTTTTGACTCTGCTGTCATGCCCCCAACTCACTTCTCCAGGCTCATGACTCGATTCGAGAACGTCATGCGACAGCTTTCCTCCCCTGAGGTCTTGAGGAGGCCGCTTGCGCTCCTCGATACAAGCAGCTCGACGGATCGGGAGCAGATTTGGAGTTGGAATGATGTTGTTCTAGAGGAGTCGCGCGAATCAATTCATGAGCTCTTCGGGGGAGTAGCTGCCAAACAGCCCGAGGCGCCGGCAGTGTGCTCTTGGGACGGTGACTTTACGTATGCCCAGGTGGATGCCTTGTTCACCGGAATCGCCCATGAACTACTTCGCGCCGGGCTTTCTCAGCGGCCAGCGCATCGTGCCGTTGTTCTTCGAGAAATCGAGATGGACATCCGTCTGTCAAATCGCGGTCATGAAAGCAAATGGCACCTCCCTTGCGCTTGACGTGACCTTTCCCGATGGTCGTTTGACGACGGTGCTGGACTTGGCTCAGCCCCAGATTGTGCTCGTCTCTGCTGCCCAGGAACCCCGAGCCCGACAATTGGCTCCTTCGGCCGCGCAAATCATTGTTGTGAGCGACGCTGACGTGTCTCGTTTGCAGCTCCCTCAGAACGAGAGTCTCCCGGTGGTCAGCCCGGACGCTTCGCTCTATGTAGTCTTCACGTCTGGTTCGACAGGCGACCCCAAAGGCGCTGTCATCAGTCACTCCAACTTCGCCAGCGCGCTCCAGCACGGACAGACTGCGCTCCAGTTTGGCCCTCACACGCGCGCATATGACTTTGTGTCCTACGCGTTCGATGTCTCGTGGCTCAATGTGCTGTACACTCTTTGCGCTGGCGGCTGCCTGTGCGTGCCCTCTCAGGACGAGATCAGGAATGAACCCAAGGAGGCGATTGCTCGTCGGCGTGCAAACACCGCTTTCATCACCCCGACGGTTGGCAAGCTTCTCCATGGCGCCGAACTCAAGGTCATCAATCACGGTGGCGAGAACTTGCCCCGCGACGAGATCGACTATTGGAAGGATCGCGCCCAGATCATCCACTCGTATGGTCCGTCGGAATGCACCCCAATCTCGAGCTCGCACTTGCTCGATCCGAACCGCAGCCGGGTGATTATCGGCAAGGGTCTCGGTGTACGCACGTGTGTCGTGGAGCCTGAGCATGGGAGGTCCCTCGTGGCCATTGGCGATGTTGGTGAACTCTAGCTGGAAGGGCCCCTTGTTGGCCAGGGATACATGAATAATCCGGAGAAGACAGAGGCAGCATTCATCCGCAATCCGGAATGGCTGATGCAGGGTGCCCCCGGCTTTCCCGGCCGCCCTGGGCGTCTGTATCGCACGGGTGATCTGGTCCGGTATGAAGAAGATGGCAATCTGGAGTTTATTGGACGGAAAGATGCACAGATCAAGATCCGCGGACAGCGGGTGGAGCTGGAGGAAATTGAACATCACGTCCTCGCTGCGATTGGGGAGGATGTCGCGACTCAGGCCATCGTGGATATTGTCACCCCCGCCGGCGCATCTGAAGCTGTGTTGGTCGCCTTTATTGAACTCGCGAATAGGGATATAGTCTCTGGTACACCAGAAGCACAAGCCTGCGCACGCGAGCTTGCAGCCTCCTGTAAGCACCAGTTGTCCGCTGCAATGCCAAGCTACATGATCCCGAACGCCTATCTCATCGTGGATAGCATTCCTGCTACGACCTCGGGCAAGGTTGACCGTGGCAAGCTCCGCCAGGCGGCCAGGTCCATCTCGAAAGAAGAGCTTCTTCAGTCTCACCAGGTGAACAGGCGCGCTCCTGTCACTCCGGAAGAATTGAAGCTCCACAGTCTAATCGCGCAAGTGCTCTCCTGGGACGAGAAAAGCTTCGGCATGGACGATAACTTCATCCAACTCGGCGGAGACTCAATTAGCGCCATGCGACTGGCTGCGCTGGCCCGCGAACAAGGCCTTGCCTTGACGGTCAAGGATATCCTCATGCACGACCGGATTGCTGACCTGCTCGCATCGGACCACGGGCTCGCGTCTGAGCCTGAGCCTGCTGCCCAATATGCACGCTTCTCTCTACTTCCCGTCGCGGATCCTAGCGCGTTCGTTGAGAAAGAGGTGCTGCCACGGATCGCACAGCGTGGTCAAGGTCGTCTCGTTGATGTGCTGCCGGCCACAGACATGCAAGCGGCCTATCTCCAGGACAACATCTGCGCGCCGCGACGGTCCTGGTTTTATAGTTACATTGACTTTTCTGCAGTGGATGTGCAACGCCTCGCCTGGAGCTGCGAGCAACTAGTAACGCACTGCCTTTGTTGAGGTGGGCGGTTCGTACTTGCAGGACATCTTCGAGTCTTGGACGCCCACCGTCGGCATAGTAAACGGCGAATGCATCGAGCAGGCGTTCCACCAGCTCGTGGACGACGACGTCACGACACCTGGCGTCCCTGGATGCACCTCTGGTGCAGTTCAAGATCATCCGCGGCCGCGATGCACAAGCAAGACTCGTGTTCGGCATGTCGCATGCCATCTACGACGCGATCAGCTTCGGCAAGACCCTCGACATCCTGTCCGGCATCTACAACGACGCTCCCAGCCAGAACCCCGCAAGCTTCAGCCAGTACCTCGGCCACATCCAGCACTCCAAGGCCGACAGCTACCGCTACTGGCAGCCAACTCTGCAGGGCTCCTCCATCACTCGGTTACCGAGTACGTCGGCCAGCGCGCATCAAGATGGGCCACCTACCGTGCACGTCCGCACGATCCCAATGCCCACCGCCCCCTTCGGCATCACCCACGCCACCCTCTTCACCCTAGCCTGCGCCTCCGCCCTGAGCCAGATGACCGACTCGCAAGACATAGTCCTAGGCCGCGTGGTCTCCGGCCGCGCCGGCGTCCCCGACTCCCTCCGCGACGCCGTCCGCATCCAATTCATCCCCGACCAACTCCAGACAGACTACCTAGCAACCCTGCAGCGCCAGCAAGCCGAAAGCCTCGCGCACGAGACAGTAGGTCTCCCCGACATCGTAGCGCATTGCACGGACTGGGACCCCGATACAAAGGACTTCGGTTGCTGGATCCAGTACCAGAATGTAGACGAGCAGCCCGCCCTCAACATCCCTGGCGCCCTCAGCGCCCTCGGCAGCAAGGAGATGTGGCACATCCCCGTCGCGGCGGACTTCCTTGTGGTCTTCGCCATCCCCGCTGCCGACGGCGCCTTGACTGTTCGTGTCATCGCGGGCCCCGGTTTCGAACCTCGTGTTAATATCGCGTTGCTGGAGATGGCTGCGCTGAGTTGGGGGGTTCGTGTTGATATAGTTGGATGAGTGATGTTACCATAATGTAAATAGATTGAAGTTCTGCACTGCATATATGATTCGAGTTCTACTACCGCCCTCAATCACAATACTAGAGTAAGCGTTCCGGGGGAGAACCCCCGGACCCCCCTTCTCTTTCAGCTTCCTGGTCACCTCAATCTTAATACTAGAATAAAGTATTCCGGGGGAGAACCCCCGGAACCCCCCTTCCTTTCAGCCTCCTGGCCGAAGTCAACCCATACCCAGATATGAACTCCAACGGGATCAATAAACCCTGCGATCCGGCTCCACATCATAAAACATAACAGCCGACAAGTCATGGCCCTCAGTCCCCTCAAACACAAACCCCACCATCCGCTGCCGCGCCGTAACCACATTCATCAGCCCCCCATGCGCATCGCCGGAGTACTTCCCCCCGCTGTAATACTCCGGAAGCATGCGGGCGGCCGTGTCCTCAGGCCGGAGGTTGACCTGCACGTCGCCCCAGGGGTGGTAGTTGTGGACGCCCAGCACAAGCGTGAACAGGTCGCCGGACGAGGACTGGAACCGCAGCATGCCCGACGTCCCGCTGCCGCCCATCGTCAGCACGTACTCGCCGTTCTGTTGTTCGGCCGTCCAGGTGCCGCCGTTGGCGTAGTGCCAGCAGGCCTCTTCGACGACTGTCAGCGTGTCTGTTGTGCTGTTGCGGATGCTGAGGCGGATTGTGTAGGACATTTTGGGTATCTCTCGCTGCGCGTGTTAGGGTACGCTTTGAAGAACGGGTTGGGGGGGGTGGGGGGTACTGTACGTACGTAATGTATGTCACGGTTGTGAGGAGGGAGATTGTTATGATTGTTGAGTGAGTGCCTGCTTCTCTATGCTAAATGCTGGTCATTGGGGTGTGGTGTGGTGTGGTGTTCGCTTTCTTTATATATATTAGGTGCCGGACCGGGATAGTGAGGGCCACTCGGCTATTGTTGACGTTTTTTGCGGCTGTTTGCTACTCAGCCCGCCACTCGCGTCTGTGCTTCGGCTGCGCTGGACTTGTCTCTTCTGTGGGTGAGACGGAGACGGTTTCCGATTGGGATTGTTTGTTGTGGTGTTTTTTTGGACTGGGTTTGTGGTTTGTGGCGGGGGCTTCGGAGCTGAGGTGTTCGTGGCGGGCTGAACGGTTCGTTTGCATTGTTGGTGGGGTGCAGGGGCTGACTACTGCGGTTTACCTGGCTGGCTGGCTAGCCAGGAGCTGGGGAGGGGTACATTTTAGTATGATATTGGATATTCTGGTTCTAGGTTGAGGTGCACCAGGAAGCTGAAAGGAAGGGGGTCCGGGGGTTCTCCCCCGGAACGTTGTTACTCTAGTATATCCTATAATATGGTAGTATGGTTGAGTCAGGCCAGGAAGCTGAAAGAAAAGGGGGGTCCGGGGGTTCTCCCCCGGAACGTTGTTATCTAGTATATCCTATAATATGGTAGTATGGTTGAGTTAGGCTGGGAAGGTGGCCTCATTCGCAGCCCGCACCACGGCCTTCTCGCCCTCGGTCATATCTGCCGTGACCTCCCAGGGAGTCTCGCCCAGACCCATCGCCCTTTGGCCCTCGCGACTGATGTCGCTCCAATCCAAGGCTCCCTCGAACCCGGCCTCGCCTGCACCCCCGGCGCCCGGGAAGTCCGGCGGCGGGGAGTAGGCCAGCGCGGCCTGGCGCTGCTTGAGCAGGTACTCGACGTTCATGTGGCACATGGGGGTGGCGGGGATGTACATGACGCTGGAATCGCCGGCGCCGCGGTGTTCCCTGTCGACGGAGTGCAGGGAGTCGCAGTGCCAGGCGACGTAATCGCCCGGTTCTACCTCGGGCACGGAGACCATGGTGTGCTCGAGGGCTAGGTGCGGGTGGGTGGACGGGTTGTACTCCTGGCAGGCGCCGGGGACGGAGCCGGGGAAGGCCGCGGTGGTGTCCAGCACAGCGGGGTGGTCGCGGCCGACCTCAAAGAAGGGTCGGAGGATGGTGTACGCGGTGCTGTGGCGGAGCATGGGGCAGACGTGTAGCGAGCCCTCGCCGGGCGCTGTGCGCGACATGGACAGCCAGCCCTGGAAGAAGCGCAGCATCGAGCAAGCGCCCGCGCCGTTGTACAGGTCCATGTTCGCGGCCACGCGGTGCTTCGCGTCCCATGGGTCGTACGCCTCCCATTGCCCGGCCAGGATGGCAGCGTACACGCGCGCATACTCCGGGTCTTCCCAGCGTTCGAGCGAGCCGCCGTCGATGTGCGGCCCCAGCGTGAACTTCGCGTCGCCGGGCTGGCGGAAGCGGAGCCGGTCGGCGTAGGTGAGTGGGTTGCGGGTTGAGATGCGCGTGTCCGGGTCGGACGAGTGCCAGAGCTGTTGGAGGAAGCGCTGCGTCGTGAGCATGTGTGCGTCGCTGCGCGCCGCGGCCTGCGACGGCGTCCAGTACAGCTCGTAGACCGCGGGCGAGTCGGCTGGGAACGCCTTCACGCGCGCCTGGTTCGTTGCGATGTAGTCTTGGATTTGCGCCTTCCAGGTTAGGGCTTGTGCGCGGGGCACGACGTTGCGGATGACCACGGACCCGCGGTGACGGACCTCGGCCAGCGTGGCCTCGGGGACGGTGTTGTTGACGATGTCGGAGTATTGGACGGAGGGAATGATCTGCGATCGGAGGTTAGTGTTGTGTTCGAAATTGGGGGGTTAGATGTATAGGACGTACGTCGCTTCCTTTCGCCTTGATCTTGTGTACTTCTTCTTCGAGGCTGGGGAGCAGTCGTTCCCAGCTCTGCTTCAACGCGTCACCGTTCTTCTGGGTGTATTGGAGTTTCAGATCCCGGAACCGGGGTGGTAAGGGCTCTGGTTTGTAGTCGGGGCGCAGACTGGGGAAGACACTGGAGATGTCGCCCGCCGCCTTGGTTGTTGGCGATGCCGTCGACGTCGATGCCGCGCGGGCGGCGGTTTTAGTGACCAGTCTTGACAATGTCATTTTTCATAGGGTTCAGGATATCTGAGAGGCTTTGCACACTTGGGGATAGTCCCCAATGGTTATCCTGGGGTGTCTTATACATCACGAGCAGCCAGTGGCCTCGTGGAGCCCTGGTCGGCAAGTCTCAAAGAAGTAGGCGGGCCGATTACTATTTGTAGTAAGCTGCCGACTTCCCCGCAGACAAGACTCGGTGCGCAGGCGGCTGCATTTCCTGTTCGAGCGCAAGAAAATGGGGGAACTGTGCGTCACCGTCCATTGATCCAGACACCGTGGTAACAGGAAACTGCCGAATGGATCCATAGCGCTCGGCTGTTGCTTTGGATTGGTCATGGTGTGAACCAGTGATGGCATCAGCTCATTGTAGAGGAAGCGAATCGATTGCTGCATCATAGCTAGCTTTGTCTATCTGCAGGACTGGATCGACTGGCACTGCACCTCGACACTACGCCAAAGATAACAGTCGAGCTGTCTAGACTGTGCCCAAGTCAGCTGCTGTATCCCCCACTGCACCGAACATGATGCGGAGCCAGAGTGAATTGGGTCCCCATGCATTGTGCAACACATCTCAGCGTAACCTCGTCCTCCGTAGAGCTAAAAAGTCTGTGTCACTGGTAGCTGTTCAACCTAGCTGCTGGAGATGAATGGCGGATAGGGAGGAATGAGGAGAAGTGTAACCCGGACGGCCATCGTGTTGTATACCCTGTCGGGCTGTTCTGTTCTAGCTAGTGAGTGTGTGTTCCGGAATAGAGTGCGTGCATATAGAGCTCTGTTGACGAAAACATGGATTCATCTCCTACGTTAGTCTTGCCTCATGAAGCCAAAGATTGCGGGCTGCGATCACCAACTGCCCCCGTGACGCAATCGGTAGCGTGCAAGCCTTCTAAGCTTGAAGTTGCGAGTTCGAGCCTCGCCGGGGGCTGTGTTTTTACTGTTGATGTCTATCATCCTAGAACGAAGACTGTAAGAGTAGGAGTTCGTTTTTGATATTTGATGTTTTGATATAGAAATGTATGGGTGACATAGACTTTGGTGAGGATGTTGGATTTAGGCTAATATGGTCGGAGTCACTGGTCGGGTCGGGTGGTGTAAGGGCCGCTTGGTGATTGGTCGGAGTCAGTTCTTGGAATATAATGACAGGCAAGCGGTGCCTCTCATAACAACAGCCCCCGTGACGCAATGGTAGCGTGCCAGACTTCTAATCTGGAAGTTGCGAGTTCGAGCCTCGCCGGGGGCTTCCCTTTCTTTTTTGTCTTTCTCATACCACCCTCGCTATCTATCTTCTTCGCTTGATAGATAGATAAAGCCTCATTCAAGCAGTCTCTTTTCTTTGCCATGGCTTTTTATGTGAAAAGAATTACGCAGACTGTACGCCAAGCTCGCGAAAGGCTCTACCGACCACGGCCTTCTTCCCTAACCCAACGCACCACGACACCTACAGCTCAAGTCGCAGCCACGTCGATCTCCCCTCATCGGTCTTTGTCCGGATCCAGGCCGACGATGACAGCTTCGTATCCTCGGTCCATGATGCCCAATACGGGCAACAACAACCCGAATCCTCGGATTGATATCGCCCGAACCAAGTATAAGGATAGCCCAGGGAGTCCCGCGTGTAGCCCGCATTGACTGCATCCATCTCCTTCGCGCGGTCCTTGGTATCTATCGTCAAACCTCGTACTTTATATACGATGTCCTTCTCCGTCCAAGGACGATCTGCCATCGTCACGGGAGCAGGTTCCGGTTCGTCCACTTGAAAACAGCTGCTACTACCCGTATCTTGACAAGTGACTGAAACATCTACTACAGGCATCAACCTGTCATTCGCCAAGCTGCTACTCGAGAATGGGTGCAGTGTTCTCATCGCCGACCTGGGCTTACGTCCTGAAGCAAAGTCGCTCGTGGACCAGTACTCGACCTCTTCCAGTGGTCCCCGGGCTGTCTTTCAGCAGACTGACGTGACTGACTGGAAGCAGCTGGAGCAGATGTTCGAAGTAGCGGAAAAGGAATTTGGGGAAGTCGACATTGTTTGTCCCGGCGCAGGGATCTACGAGCCCGTATGTGCCCCGGTCCCCGCTTGAAGCAAGGGATGTTGAGGTAGCGTGTGTCTGACTCGCACTGGCTGGCAAGCATTGGACCAACTTCTGGCGGCCCCCTGAAACATCGGAGAGCCAGGACCCACGATATGGTGGTCGGTATGCCTTGCTAGATATCAACCTGACCCATCCCATCCGCACGACTCAACTGGCCATCGCCCACTTCCTCCGCAAGGACACCAGCAGCCAGCGCGGCAAGCACATTGTTCACATTTCCAGCATTGCAGGCCAAAATCCCTCCTTTGCGACACCCATCTACGTAGCCACCAAACATGCGATCAATGGCCTGGTGCGGTCCTTAGCCCAGCTCGATCAGAGGTGTGGGATCCGCGTCACGGCGGTGGCTCCGGGGGTGATCAAGACGCCGCTCTGGACAGACCACCCCGAGAAGATCAAGATAGTCGACGAGAACGCCGATGAGTGGGTGACTCCGGAGGAAGTGGCTCAAGTCATGCTGGCGTTGATTCAGCAGGATCAGGTTGGCGAGACCATTGGGGATCAGACAGGTCAGGGTCCTCAGTTTCTGGTTAGCGGGGGAACTATTCTGGAGGTCTCCAAGACCGTGCGTTCGGTTAGTGCCTTTAATGACCCGGGCCCCGGAAAACGGCCCGGAAATACAGTGTCGGACTCGAATATGCTGGTGGAGGAGGTCTATGATTTGTTGTCCCAGCCGGGGTGGGGAGACCCGAAATTGTAGGCAAATCAGATCGAATGAGATACGATCTATTGTATCGTTTCGAGTGGACCATATGTCCATCGCATTCCTTAACTCTTCCAGGGTAAAAGAGGAGAGTGGAGGACAAGTAGAGGACTAAGTCTCCAAGACTCTAGGCGGCTAGGCAAGGAAAGAAAGGAAAGGGACTCGGAAGCGGAAGTCTGACTAAGGCACTACTAAATTGGGATGGATACGAATTGGCCTTGACTCTCTCTTCCTCTTATCTCCGCCTTCTTTCTCCCTCCTCCTCCCTCCCTCTCTTCAAATCCCCTCCCCTCTCTCCTTTACTCTTCCGCTTCTAAATCTCAAGCATACACTTTTCCTATTGCAACTTTACTCTCCTCCTTCTCCTCCTCCCTCCCTCCCTCTTCCTCTCTGCTGCCGGCGTCGCAAACTCGGGTGGCTTTTATCTCATAGTATGCCGGGTTGACCCACCCCGGAATTCTCCTGTCGTGTGGCCACCTCTTTATCTATCACTTTTTTTTACTCAGTCCCCAACTTGTGCCGGCAACATGATGGACGATGAGGCTTCCATCGGGGTGGCCTCGCCCAGAAATGCCTCTCGAAGGTAAGCAAATTCTCTCTGCGCCCGCTTTCTGCCGGCACTTCTTATCGCTGACGGCTACTGTTGCAGGCGTGGCGGGAGAGGGAAACGGAGCTCCGGACTCCATGGCGATGCCAGCTGGATCAGTTGCGTGATCAACTTGGTCAACACCAGTGAGTCGGAACAAATCACAGCCACTAATTCTTCCAATTAGTCTGGTCTCTAACGGCATAATCTTCCGCTAGTTATCGGCGCCGGTGTCCTAGCCATGCCGCTGGCTATCTCGCATATGGGCATCGTCCTCGGTGTCTTCGTCATTTTATGGTCGGGAACGGCGGCGGGATTCGGTCTATACCTTCAGTCGCAATGTGCACGATACCTCGAACGTGGAACCGCTTCCTTCTTCGCCCTGTCGCAGCTCACTTACCCCAATGCGGCCGTGGTCTTCGATGCCGCAATCGCGATCAAATGCTTCGGAGTCGGGGTCAGCTATCTTATCATTATCGGAGATTTGATGCCGGGGGTGGTTCAGGGTTTTGTGGGCGGTGCTCCGGATTATGACTTCTTGGTGGATCGACACTTTTGGGTAACAGCCTTCATGTACGTTCCACTGCTACGTGGGGATCAGCATTGGGACTAAACTGATGTGTTTCTTGTCAGGTTGATCGTCATCCCTCTCTCTTATCTTCGGCGCTTGGACTCGCTCAAATATACGAGTATTGCCGCCCTCGTCTCTATGGCCTATTTGGTGGTTTTGGTCGTCTACCACTTCGTGATTGGAGACACGACCACTGATCGGGGTCCTATTCGCGTGATTCACTGGGCAGGTCCTGTTCCCACGCTCAGCAGTCTCCCTGTCATTGTCTTTGCATTCACATGCCACCAGAACGTATGTTGCTCCTTCTCGCGATGTTCTTCGGCGCAACTCTTCTGACTAGGACAATAGATGTTCTCGATCTTGAACGAAATCAGCAACAACAGTCACTTCCGGACCACCGGAGTTGTCTTCTCCAGCATCGGTAGCGCCGCTGCAACATACATTCTCGTCGCCATCACCGGTTACCTCTCCTTTGGGAACAGCGTCGGTGGAAACATTGTTGGCATGTACCCGCCAGGTCTCTATGCTACAATTGGTCGTGCCGCCATCGTTATGCTCGTCATGTTCTCTTACCCGCTCCAGTGCCACCCGTGTCGGGCCTCCGTCGATGCAGTCCTGCGCTGGAGACCCAAGCCCTCGGGGCCCAGTGACAATTCGCCTCACCGGCATCCGCTCCTAGGGTCACGAGGAAATCGCAGCCCAGAGCCGATGAGCGACCTTCGGTTCTCCATCATCACTACTACCATTCTCGTATTAAGCTACGTTGTCGCCATGACCGTGTCATCCCTCGAGGCTGTGCTCGCGTATGTCGGCAGCACCGGAAGCACTAGCATCAGCTTCATCCTTCCCGGTCTCTTCTACTACAAGATCTCCTCTCCCGATTCGCCGCACCACCAACGGTTGATGAAGGAAGACGATGAAGTGGGCGATGCCATCATATCCGACAGCAACGATGATGACGAGGACATCGAGACCTCGCAAACCCGTCCGCTGACGGAAAGCGGTATTCTTCGCCGCGGCACCCGCCAATGGCGCAGAGCACTGTTGCGCAAGCTGAGTCTGGCACTCGTCATCTACGGTGTCTTGGTCATGGTCGTGTGCCTCATCACGAATTCACTCTTTCTAGCCTCTCATTAGAATAGAGGCAGGCCTACGCACAGTCAAGCTAGGCTTGGCTTTAGAATTCTTTTCATTCTCTGCCCCACCACTGTCGATCTTTTATAACTTCTTTCTTTCGGATTTTTCCCTTTTATACTCTATTCTATTTCCAATCTCAGTTTCTTAAGCTCTGTCTCTTCAATTCTTATGCTCCCCCCGCCCCCTTTTCCCCGAATCATTCTGCATTGCGTGCAGGTTTATTAGAGCTGGGTCTTGATTCAGGATTATAGTATTGAAACTACATCATTATACCACGGCACCGGCGTTGGGGGGAATCTGCTTTGTTTTTTTGTCGTCGTTAGATAAGTCCCCGGTCCCCAGTCCCCAGTCCCCATTACCCCATTACCCCCATTTTCAATTCTGTTTCCGATGCTCGTTTGGAATATACCAGAGCCAAGAATTCTTTTCTCGTTTCTTCCCTTGCCGACCCGGTTCTCGTTCAAGACATCTCAATACCGTCTCAATTAGTACTTTGGTGATGCGATGCATCCTCTGTGTGACTCGTTTGGATGATTAGTTAGCATGCCAGTAAGAGTCGGAAAGTCGGGACGGGAATAACCCAGACTACAACCAGAAATACAGATATAAGAACTAGTCAATCAAGTTTTGTGCGTCAAGTTTTCGAACAGCGGTCCTGGGAGTTGCCTTATGACTGTCTTGTAGGCCTAGAGTTGATCGGTTGTCTGCTGCACCATCCTTACATGCCCCCTTGTCCTGGTTGGTCGAGTGCACCATGTCAAGAATGAACGGTATCTGCTTTGCCACCACTTCTGGCCTGTCCTGGCCTGTCCTGTCCTGTCCTGAAAGTATCCATGAGGACTACCGGTAAAGTTCCGATTACTGAGGCGGAGACTCGATTAGTTGTTTCCTCGCGACTACAACACAGCCTCCAGCAGGAGATATATAAGCCCTGGAGACTAGTACTAAGATCGAACTGGCATTCTTGACCGTTTACATTACAGACAGAATATGGATGAGATGAACTCAATGCAGCGAACTGATGTCTGTTGTATTGGAAAAAGAAACAAGAAGACGACTAGCTAATTTCAAAGTAGAGATCATCACCTGAATAGAATCTGCGAACGCACAAGGAAAAATACGTAGCTAGTGCCAACGGAAGCCAGAACGGCGGGGCAGAGTACAAATGATGTGATTACAAGCGGAGCAGCGCGACAAGTTCCGAGGGAAAAGGAAAAGAGAAGCAAGAAAGTAAGGAAACGGTCCCTGGATTATTGTCTTGTAAACTCGTGGGGATTTGCGGGGGTTGTATAGATAGGTAGGCATTTATTGAAGGTCTGAATTGTTGAGGGAAGTGCTAGCAAATGTCCGGTGCAGGCAGCATCGAACACACGAGTAGGTAGTCCAGGGAAGCAAGAGAAAGCGAGTACGTAGCCTAGGACTGAGCCATATCCGTCACGTTCACTCAGCCGAAGAGCCTAGCGTATGACTTGACCTAGTTGTTGCTCTGGCTGTTCAAGATGCGCAAAATGGCCAAGAACAGGTTCAGGATGTCCAGGTACAGCGAGATGGAGGCAGCGATCTCCTCCTCGACGTGGTAGTGGCGCATGACCAGCTGGGTGTCGACGAGGATGTAGCCGGCGAAGATCAGGGCGGCGACGCCGCCGTAGACGAGCTCGACGGTGCTGTTGCCGGGGAAGAACATGGCCATGAAGCCGAACAGGATGAGGAACCACAGCGCACCGAAGAGGTAGGGCATCCAGTGCGTGAAGTCGTACTTGGTCTGGCAGGCGAAGAGGGTCAGGGCGACGAAGAGGCCCAGCGTGATGACCAGGGCCTGCAGCACGATGCGGCTCTCGTACAGCGAGGTGACCACACTGATCGAGTAGGCCTCCATGATCGTGAAGCCGGACAGGAACAGTAAATTGGCCGGGTACGACTTGCGCTTCCAGTAGGTGACGAGCATGAAGCCCAGGGCGCCGAAGACCGAGAGGATCATAACCCAGAAGTTGGACTGGATCCAGGTGCGGTAGCTGGGGCTGAAGAAGGAGATCGAGCTCATCGCGGTCGTGAGGAGGAGTTGCACCGTTCTATAAGGGAGTGAGTTAGTTGTTACGGCGCCTGAGAGTAATGATGGTGGTGGTGTTGCTGCTCCGCTCCAAATGTATATCGAGAAGACTCACAGAATCGCATAGACCTTGCGGATGAACTGCATACGGATGGGCAGAGTGCCCTCCGCCACAGTGCCACCGAACTGTATCACACGGTATTAGTTGGAAGCCGTTGAAATGCATAATGCATGCTGGAAGCTCACCTTGAAGTCATCGGGAACATTGTCATCTTCGCTGCGAGGTGCTTGCGAGTGATCGGCAGTTGCCTGATAAGAAGGCGGGGGCTGAGTGTAGCCGCGCTCTTCGAAAGAGTCGCGCTGCGGTGCGGGTTCGTATCTAGTGTTGGCAGCCATTTTGCTCTTGAGCTCGCTTTTGCGTTTGGTCAGAAAGCCGAATGAAATAGGATGGAGTAGAGCTGAGGACTCACGGCTGAAGATAGATAGATATATGGGGGCGAAGTGAAGTACAGTAGAAGGGAGAAGGGTCGAGAACACGGAGAAGCCTCGGGACCCGCGTGACGTCGCCGCAATCACCTGACGCCGCTGGAACGCCTCAGGCAGCACAATTCATCCTCTAGTCGAGACCACTCTTCCACTACTGCGTCCCGTCTACTAAGTAGGACTGGTTTGACACCATCGCATTAGAGGCAGTGCGACACATAATACAGCATACTCTGATACATGCTACCTCCCTGGGTTCTTTCCAAGCGTACGCACAAGCACAAGAATGTTATTAAACTGGATTGCTGAAATTTGAGATCATGATCATCTATGATATGCGATAATATGTATAAAATCTATCCTCTAATATATGCCATGAAAGCAATGATCCTCTGGTCAGGATGAGATTGGACTCTGAGACTGTTCTCTGAGACTGTTACTCCCGCTCATCATCACGATACTCTTCCACTATCACATTCCCCCCCTCCGATGACGGCCGCGAGCCGTCCTCCTCGTCCGTACTATCATCCGGTGTGTCCAACCCCTCATGACCTATCGTCGCGCTTTGCATCTCACCAGGACGTCTCTTACGCTGGAAGTCTTGCGCGTGGGCCGCCGCCAGCAAAGTACCAACCCGAGCAAGACCACGCGGCGTCCGAACAGACAAGCCTGGAGTGGGTGGTGTTCCTTGCTCGGCATCGCCGATAGTAGGGACGGGTGCCAGTGGTTGGTGGTCTTGAAGCTGCATCGCCTCGTCTGGTTGCTCCGAGGGAGCCTGTGGTTTGGGAACGTCGTATGGTAGCGGTACGTCTCTGGATGCCCGGAAGAGGAGAACGTTCGTGCAGTGCTCGTTTTCAACACGGAATATTGTCCACACGCCTCTTCGGCCCACCTCCGAAAGAGCAACGGCAAAACTCAGGACGGCCGAATGCTGGATGTCTTTGCGGAAGATGACATAGAAGATCCAGTTGAAGCGGACAATGACATCGACAACCATCCCCGCATAGTACACCCACGGCTTCCGGAAAGCCAACACCTCGCGAAGCATGGGATTCTTTGCATGAGGGTTCCCCAGACTCCAATCCATCGCAAGATCCCAGACAGAGCAATAGACAGCATTCAGCAACGCAAACGTGATGAACGGGGCCTCAAAGCGTGAAACCTTGTCGATACGGTACATACTCAGGGTGCAATAGTAGAGGACAGTGAACATGTACTTTCCAAAGTTGAGTAAGTGAGGGAATGCGTTCTTCGTGTCGGCGTATCGTCGTAAACATTGCAGAGCTCGCCAAATCCCTGGTAGGCATGCGAAGAATCCCAGCAGTCGGGAGTGAGATGAATTACACTGCTGAGGGTTGTCCCAGTGTTTGGCATAAAGGCAAAAGAACAACTCGATATTCTACAATCCATCAGCAAGCCAATCATACAGCTGTTCGGAGAGGATGAGGTCACTTACGCCCATAGCGTACGTCTGAGAGCAGTACATATCACCGAGGAAAAAGTCCCGAAACTCGACAGGATATAGTCCGGCTAACAAAAGTCGCCACTACCATGTATCGTCAGCACCCGATCAGTGGTTCTAAGAAGAGGCCAACTTACATTAGAGTAGGCCCACCATTTGCGACTGTGGTGATACAAGAAGCGCACGGGCAAGAAAAGAACTATCACCGTCACGCCTATTAGGATCACAGGCCAATAAATATATGCGTCGTTGATCAACATGAAATTAAGCCACATGAAGAGCCCTAGTATGAACAAGAAGAAGCTCGGCAACTGCAGTAGCGTCAGTACAAGACGAGACATATGACGGGCGAAAAGAGCTCACCTCAGTCAATTGTCGCCAATCCAACGCGTGTCTGGTGTCGAACTCAAAGACGAAGACGTAATTGATCTTGGCCTTGGTCCAGACCATGCAATCCAGGCAGAACAAAAGAAAATGCAAAACGATAAGGAAGTAACCACCATAGATCTGGTGAGGTTAGACAGTTCGAGCACTCGGGGATCAGACATGAGAGACTAACCTGAAGCAAGTAGCTTGTGTTAAGCTTCACGTCTGAATCATCATTGTCCAGGTTCCGGCTAGCATAAACCAATGCCTGGGCTGCAAATAGAACGCCAGCCATTATCAGGAGCCCGGAACGAAAAGTATTGGGCGAGTAGTCGCCAGCCTTGTTGACGGTATGTCGTAGCTTAGAAGCGGCAATCTTGCGATTTCCCCGCTCGAAATAGCGGGCATAGAGGTCCTCTGCTGCTGACAACAAATGTTCCGTGACCTCGCTCTGGACAAACCACGCCTTATTGACTTTCTCGGACAGGTATCGCATCGGGGGATGCGCGTTGACAACCTTGTCATATTTCTTGTTGATTTTTCGGAAAGCGGTCCGATTGAGATAGGCGTAAGCCTTCAACAGTTCGACGCCTCGATAGAACTCCTGAATTGCATGCTTAAGCTTTCTCTTGGCGGAGCGATAGGGAACCTCGGCCTTATTTGACTCTTCCGGCCGCCGTGCAAAATCCCGCCGGGTGATGGTGTTTGGTAGATCTTGCGGTTGTCCCACTGGTGTCGCCAATTGGGCCAAGGCTCTGGAATTCTTGCCGAATTGGCGGCCAGGGAAAGCGTCCCTGATCTTGGCTAGACCCCCGAATCCGTTGTTGGTCTGCGCATTATCCTTATTGAGACCGCTGTTCTTCGATTTGCCAAGGACCTCTTGGGTGCGTTGGTCTCGCATGATATGAAGCTGGTTTCGGAGCACCTTCAGACGCTCAGCCGCTTCCTGCTCTTTCATCTGATAGAACGAGTCGATCTTGGCCAGCTCCCCATCAAGAAAGGCAAAGAATTCATCCTGTCGCTTGGCGATATCCGACGTTGGGGTGTCGGTACCCTCGTGCTTTTCGGGCGCATTCCAGTCCTGATAGGACAGAACTCGTTGCAGTAGGGAGCTTCTCCGGTTCGACGGGCCTGCACCGGTATTCCTCTTGTAATCCTTTATACCCCCAGCGAGCTGTGGGGCCGAGGGGCTTCGGCGAGATTTAGCAGGAGTCGCTGGCCGCAAAGTATCATATCGTGATATAATCGGAGACGGACTCTCGGGGCCCTCGTCCGAATCGCCATCTCTCTCAGGCGAAGGGAATTCGACTTCCTTGGGATCAATTGCTGGATCGGGCAGCCGCAAGGATGCTACGTCCGACGGAGCAGCGTGCAGTGGTGGTGATGCGACGATGCTCCCATACGTTCCCTGCACGCCCGAAAACCGCGATCCAGGGGCCCGGAGGGGTTGACGTTCACTTCGCGCCGACGTCGAGCGCGGTGTTAGGCCGTTACTTCGCACCGGCGTTGAGGGGACTTGGAGGGTGTCTTGAGTCACTTCATTTCGGCTTTCGCTTCGAAACAACGATGAACGGCGATCGGAGCCCGGCTGACGGTCTACCTGCTCGTTTGGGGTGGACGAGAAATTGCGAAGGGAAGGATGGCTAGGGCTGCGACTGGCTTTCTGCAGGGCGCGCGAGATGGCTTTGACCTTCTTTTTGCCGGTCTGGTTCCAGTCACACAGCGATGAGTATCGGACCACACGCCGCGCATGGAAGCAAATGTTCGGGGAGGCACCAACCTTGTAGTCGAGATATTTAGCTCGCCATTCTGGAACTAATTCCTGTTCCAGCTCCCTGTCGCCAGTGACTGGGTCAGCAACGCCTCACCAAAATTTACGCATTCCAGAGCAGTGGTGGGTGGGTGAGTGGGTGGGTGGGACACACTTGGCGAATTTCATGCTGGGAAAGCAGAGGCATGAGCGAGCATGATACGGTGGACAGAAAAGATACGGAAGATAAAACCAGGAGGATTTATGACGCAGCAAGTGCCATCACAGTGGCAACAGGATGAAGCAGAAGAATGGTGGAGCAACTTGACAGGGATCCTGGTATCCGAGGATCATCGATAAGGGTTTCCGATTGTTCACAGGCCTCGTAATCCCAGTGCCCAGGGCGATATCAATAGCAATTCACGGCACCGATCAGATCATTCTCCAGGCAGGGGGGACAAACACACTCTCCAGCAAAAGACGAAGAGGAGACTGGGGGAAGAGGGAAGTGAAAAGGAAAAAATAGAAGATAGAGATAGAATGTCACAGTGGAACGAGGGCGGAGTAGAGGCAGATAAGAATGGAAGTACGAAAAACTAGGAAAAGGACGCAAGCAATGGAAGAGGCTAAAAATGCGAAACAGGTCTAAAAGCTAGACCGACGACAAGCTACCAACGGGTCAATGAGACTCGTCATAGCGAGACAAAGAGAAGACACTAGATAGAAGCGAGAATTGGGGATGAATTTGTTGGTTTGGCTTAGCACTTGGCTGGCCGCCAGTAAACCTTCTTGCCTGAATTGGCACTCGAGTCGATAACGCAGTCTGATAGGTCCGGATTTATGCACGTGCAACAGACGATGAGCTCATTTGCAGGAGCCTTGGCAGGGCGGTGAGTCACGGCAGGTACACATTGGTTGCTCTGTCATACCGGACAAAGTATCCCCATCGAGTATGAGGTTTGCCAGTCACACCCACGATCAGAATGCGAGGCAGGCTCGTATACCTTACCCTTCAATCCCCTGTTCCATGGGATGGATGTCTGTATAATGGGGGGGTTCGTGATAATTTCACACCCCCAAAATAAACACAAGAAAGGGAATCCCCAACTCGGAAGAGGAGGGGAAAAGCGGCCTCAATCTGCCCCTCTCTTCCGCATCAAACTATCTTTTTCTTCATACAGGACCCGAAAATAGTTCGAACCGCTGCTCCCTGATGATCCTTGCTTGCCGTCAGTCGCAATCCCTCCATGATAATCCGCGTTACTTGCCCGATTGGGTGGAATCCTACATACTGGCCATGCAGTTTGCGGTGGTCGTTTCAGCCTGCCCAGCGTTTGACCTTCATAACTCTTGCCTCGGCTGCGATTCATCATTACGACTGTTTTGTTTGAATCCCTCTCTGCCTGACCGACTATCATGATTCGACAGCAGCTCATCTGACCTGCACCATACCAAACAGATCATATATGCACGAGAAAGCCCTACGTATTCTTCAGGCCACGTCGCATGCAGCTGAAGCCATGGATTCAGAAACAAGCACCAATAAACAATAAGCAGAAAGGGAGAGAAGAAAAAAAGTTTCATTTGCGAACACAATCATCGTATTATCATATCAGCTCCGCCGACAGGTCCAAATCCAGTCTGTCCCATATCGAACGAGCGCTTTAGTACCAGCCACGGCCCTCAGAGCCGAAGCGGGGAGGAGGGGGGATGCGAGGGTCGAATTCGGGGGCGCCGTGGCGGCGCTCGTAGTGCTCCTCGTACATCTGATGGGCGTTCTGCTCGGCGTGCTGCTTGGCACGGTGCTTCTCAACCTCGTCCATACCCTTGGTCTCGGCGAGCTTGTCAATCTCAGCGCCGACGAAGCCAGCAAGGAGCTCCTTGGCGAAAGCGTGGTTCACGGTCTTGCCTATTGGATAAAATGACCGGTTAGCGTGGGCTGTCGTGGACACGTGGGAAGGAAGATTGGTGTAGGCGAGGGGCAAGTGCATGCATACCCTGCTTGCGCTGGTGGTCCTCGAAGAGCTTCATGCCCTCGAAGGAAGCGGCGCCGGCCAGAAGCTCGTGAGAGAACTTGGCCTCGTGGTGCTGCTGACCCTCGTAGACCTGACGGTGAGCGTCGTCGGATTGTTCTGCAAGGTGAACGTGGTTAGTTGTATTATGAACAAGCCCACCGATGCAGGCAGGTTATGGATGTCAAAGGGGGGTAGGGAGTAACAAGACAGGGATAACCCCGCGATTGGATCAATTGACCGTGAGCAACGGCATAGGTGGGGAGAATGACTTACCCCAGCCCCAAGCCATGGTGTCTGATGTGTGATGTGTGAGGAGGTTGTTTAGAAAAGGAGGATAGTGTTTGCGTGAAGTGGGAGGAAAAAAAGCTGGTAAGAGCAGGACGATTGAGCGCCTTATATAGAGCTGTCCGTCGGCCAAATCCACCTCAGCTCTCTCAGCTCTCGTCGGCTACCCCTCTGAACCCCCTGACCCACTGCTGTCGTGAATACTAGAATAGCTGCGACTCCCAAAGCCTTGTGGGGTGGAGGGTTCTGTTGCCCCTCCATGGTGGGGTGAATCGAAGGAAGATCACATCCAGTAGCTGGACTCGGCGCCACGTTGGTAATCCTCTCACCTCTTGCGATGAGAAGAGCCTTTCCCCGTCTTACATTGGGGCTGCCTGCGCTGTAAGCGCTTCTCTGGTGGCTGACGGACCAATTCTGCTACTGGCCGAGACGGAACGACATAGAGTCTGGAGGGATCGAATAGCATTCGAGGGTACAGGAGTTACACGTATGCGCTGGGCTCGGAAACCCACCAGGGGCACTGGAAGGCAAGGTGGATTTGGCTGCGAGCTGAAACAATGGCCTTCAGTAATAGCTCAGACAGTCATTGGAGGGGCATAGAAGAATCATCCTTCGTTTGGTGGTCTGCGGCGCGTCTGGAAATAGAGCCGGCCATGCCAGTGGGGTAGAATCTAAGCTGACGATTCGCAGTGATTCCAATCGCTTCCTGTGTCTACAATTCTAAGGATCACCAGGACCATCGCCTCGAAAAATACGTACGTGTCCCAGAAGTCCCATGGATACACGGGCGACACCGCTGGGACCAAGATGGAGGAAGGGGATCACCTCAGCCTTAAACTCTGGGTGAGTCCATCTGGCTGTGGATTTAGCGCCTCGGCCTCAGCTCGCCCCGGCTTGGCGAAGGTGAGGACGAGCCGGTCGAACCGGAGGACTTTGTCGCCAAGAAGCTCTTGTCAAGGCTTATCCTCTGCCCTACGCTGTGCAACTTGAGAAAGGCCAAGTCAGGCGTACGAGTACGTAGCCGCCAGCGCGCAGTCTCTGATACTGCACATATCAGATCTAATCTCCCCCGGATCTAGATTTAGCTGCCCGGCCTGGCTGTCGGTTGATCACGAAATGTCAATTTGGGCACGCGCAATGCTGCTTGGGAGTGGGGCAGCCTCGGAGTTAATGGTTGGTTATGCGAGCCCTGAAGTGTCCATATCCCCACAGTCGATTGCCCGATTGATCCTACCGACGACTCCGCAATGTTCGATAGCCTGAGACCGGAAGCCCTGGAGGCTGTAGCGCCCTGGAACGTCGTGTCTGTCGGCTGAAATGGCCTCTGAGCCCGTGGCTTGCTGGCGATGTGTGGCAGTGTCGGACTGTGGCTTGGGCTTGGTGGATAGGAGGGGAAGACATTACGTACTGCTTCAGCTGGAGAATGTGCATTGCGTCTATCTGCCCCTAATGCGGTTCAGCAGTCGGAGCACAGTCGGAGCACAGTTGTCCAGGCCGCTTCTTGGCTTCGTTTCACCGTGATGAGGGACGTCATGCCATGCCAGGCAGAAGCAGTATAGAGCAACGAGAGGTCAACTTGCATTCTCCGTGTCATCATACCATTGTTCCATTGCCCTTCATAGACCTTCCCAGCACCCTCAATCTCAATACTAGAGTAAGCGTTCCGGGGGAGAACCCCCGGACCCCCCTTTCTTTTCAGCTTCCCAGTATCCTCAATCCTAATACCAGAATAAAGCGTCCCGGGGGAGAACCCCCGGGCCCCCTTCCTTTCAGCTTCCCAGCAACTGCACCTGTCATCATGGATCATGGATGTCATGCACAGCTACCTGCAAGAGAATGAGTGCACTGCATAACCACTGCCGAACCAAAGGCGGTAACCACCTCCCGCGCCGCGGCACCTCTGCTCCCTCCCCTCCATCCATCAACCCCTCCATCAACATTCAACAATACCAAGTACAAACATTGAACTCACCACAATCCCCGAAAAAAGAACAACCACACCAAAAAATGACCCAACATCCACGACCCCCAAAACAAACCGACTTCCCTCCGCATTTAACAATAACAATTACCCCCCCAACGAGCAAATCCTCACCCCAACCCCGCAACGCAAGCACGCCGAATCCAACCTCCCCAAATATATTATTGCTGTTACACGGAATAGGCGACACAGCCTCAAACTTCACCAACTTTGGCCGCGCGCTCAACCTCCCCGAAACAACCGTGCTAACGCTCCAAGCCCCGCACCCTCTCCCCTTCGACCTGGGCGGCTTCCACTGGGGCGACGACGTCACATTCACGCCGGCCGGCGAGCTAGATGCCGACGCAGGGTTCACGCGCGCCGCGCGCACGGTCGTCAACGATGTGATCCTCGGGACGCTGGTTCAGAAATGTGGGTATCGTCTCCGAGATGTGCTGGTTTTTGGACTCGGGCAGGGCGGGATGTTGGGTTTGGTTGTTGCGGGGTTGCTGAGGGATCTATCTGGTGGTGATACTGGGGGTAATACTGGTGGTGGTGATGGTGCAGCCGGTGACAATGATCGATGGCTGTCCGGGGTGGTTTCGATCGGGGCCGCGTACCCCATGTCTGCGGTGAAGAATACCACATCCATCAAAAACCGCACGCCCGTGTTGCTCGTGGCCGGGCGGGGCTCGCTCGTGGTGACGGAGAGTGCGGTGCGCCGGACGAAGGATCGCTTCGAGTTTGTCGAGGTCCATCAGTATGCGCGCAGGGGCGATGGGATGCCCCGGAACCGCGAGGAGATGCTGCCGATCATGCAGTTCCTGGCGCGGAGATTGAGGAGTTGGCAGGGCGTGCCTGAGGGGAGTGTGGAGATTTCCTGAAATCAAAAGTTCCCAGTACGTGGGCGAATGGGATGTGCTGTGGGCTGTACGATACTCAGTCGATTCATAGTGGTGATAGTGGTAGTACAGTACATATCGTGTAAGTTCTAGGATCTATCTAGTCGACCTCCTCGAAAGCCTTGCGCGCTCGGTCGATGGCCTCTCGCGTCTCACGCGGAGATACTGCTTCCTCCGCCGGCAGAGGTTGTCCGCCTCTCTGCACGACGCCGCGGAGCTCTTCCTCCGTCTCCAGCAGCGCCGTGCGGCCGTCCTCGCGGGCCTCGTTCTCAAACCACGCCCGTGCGCTTTCCCACTTGCGCTGCTGGCGACGCAACGAGTAGATCAGCCCCACTGCTGCCATGGTGCAGGTCTCATACACCGACGCAGCCGGCCAAGACAGGTAGGTTAAGACCGACAGCGCCGACGATAGTGTGGTCGTCGACATGCTGAAAAGCACAAGTCGCTGCGCCAACGCCTGCAGTGCCGGCGCTGTCGTCTCGACCAGCTTGGTCCGCCGCGTGGGAATCTGGGTCGGCCAGGATGGTTCGGTCTGGCTGGACCCAGGGGTAGTTTCCACCAGGCCGGCCTGCTGGAACCGGCCAGCCGTCCAGATGACCTCCTTCTCAGCCTGGCGTAGGAACTTGCGATCCAGAATCTCCCCAGTGATCATGCCCACGTCGTCCACGCGCCAGAAGAGCTTCCACCACGCAAGGCCCTTCCACGGCTTACTAGCGAAACCTTCTTCCAGTGCGCCGCGGAGTTCCGTGTGCGCCTTCTCCGCCCACTCAGACACCGAACGATCCAGCCCATTCTTCACCTCCAGCGGCACCAACCCCATCTCCTGCTCCTGGACCCTCTTCGCCTCTTCAGCGACAACCCCCGACTCCGCCGCATCCAAGAGCGACGTAATCAATGTACGCAGCGAAGGATCCAGCGGACCCGTCTCCGCACGCAGCGCAGTGAGCCAGTTGACCACGGGCTGGACACCACTACTATTCCACCCGCGTTCGTAGAGCGAGGCATTCTGCACCGACTCCCGGAACTTGGTCAACGCGTCATCCGCCTTGTCAATATCCACAAACGCGACCCGACCGTTATACTTCTCCGGATTGGTCACCGGCAGCTCAATGGCACCGAACACCGACCCGGTCTCTTTCTTGAGATCCGAGCGCGCCATGAGCCCGCTGAACGACAGGAAGCCATCGACGCCGCTGCCGCACACGAGGCTCCGGTGCACGGGATATCGCACCATGTTATGTCGGCCGGAATGCGAGGTCTGGATCGTCACCGTCGGCACCAGGAACGTGTCGGCCGTAAACTTCGTGTTGGCACGGGTATCCGCTCCCAGGCTTGTGATCAGGATCTCCAGGTTGCCGTTCTTCAGGATCGGCGAGGGAACCGAGATTGTGGGGAGGAGGTCGTTCGGTATGCTCTGCGAGACGGGGCCATACCTGTTCCATTCGCGGACTGTAGTTAGCTTTATGTTCCTAGTCTCCCGTCTGTCGAACGCAATCATAGATAGGAGATGGACAAAACTCACCGAATCAAAAGTCCCCTCTCCAACCCTGCCGTCCCTGTCCCCATCTCCTCCAACAAGTCCTCCCAACTCTCCTTGCCATTCAACGGGTCCGCCAACAACAACTTCACGAGTCTGCGCGCCGCACTGATATCATTCAAACCGAGCACTATACCATACATTAGTCCACAACCCAGCCCCATTCTTCACATGAACAACTCCCAGCAGGATCGAGAGCAAAAGAAAACGAATCACGAGAAACGTACCAGCAACCCGAATCAAAGGTGTCTCCGACTCCAGGCCCCTCATCGCCAGCTGCAATCGACTGAGATTGACCTGCTCAGGCGCGACATCTTTGAGCTGGTCAAGCGCCGCATGGAGGTCTTTCAGTCGCGGGGGAATGTTGCGGCCGCCGGCGTGGACAACGGGGACGGTGTTGCTTAGGGGTCGCGGGGCAGGCGTAGACGGTAATGGGTGGGAATGGGTTCGAGAATCTAAGGGCTGGGCTTGCGGTGGTGTGTTGGAGGAGGAAGAGGAGGAGGAGGAAGCGACGCCGGTGGTGCTGTTGGCACGACGCGCGAGAGTGACGGCGGTTTTGGTGTTTCGGCGCCAGGTCGAGCAGGACGGACAGTAGAAAACTGTTGCCGGGTCTCGGCCCGCGTGCGCGAGGCTCGTGGTGAGCGAGCCGCGGATTTTGGGAGGCATTGATGTGAATTGAAGGCTGGGAAGAGAGATGATGGAGATGGAGGAAGACGAGGCAGCCGGACCAAGGTAGCGGCGGATTGAAGTTGGTGGTCTTGGCGGGCCGGGAATCAGCCGGAGAACTTCCACTATGCAAGGTACCAAGCATGATTGACAATGGCGGTGTATCTGTCCAATCTCAGGTTCTACTGAAAGACTACGTAGCTATTATGGTCCAATTGTTACGCTCGCAAGACCATAATGTCAAGCGGCAAGGAGTAAACTCGGTAGGTGAGAGCAGAATTCATGGTGTATCAATTCATCAACTCATATAGTTCAGACGTCACGGACGCCTGGAACTGTTTGCTGTGCAGGAATTACATGATTTATCCCCCGTCCTCCAACTCCGGTCTTTGATACAGTGCTTACCACCGGTGAATCCGCCATCTGATCCAAAGTGGATGTCGCGGGGCAAGGTCACTCGCCCATTCGTTTCGAAGCGCAGAGTTTCGTTCAATACACGGTTGTGAAGCAGTTGCACGCCTAAAATAGCAAGGAAGGATATCGGTCCATATTATGCCGCTTCGCCAAACGGGCGGCATCTCAATTAAATTCTCCGTTTCAGGCTCATGCCTCCCGAGAGACCGCAGCAGCGTCCCGTTGTCGACGAGTCTTACCCGAGCCGGCCGACCTAGCTAAATTAGAATCTGCAATTCTTTTTCAGAAAAGGGGACAGAACTTACATGCTGATCCTTCGAGCCACTGTGGCTAGGCCGGCGTCATTGTCGGCCTCATGCTGAGCCCGCTCCAGAGCAATGCGTCGGTCCTCTTCACTGCGTCGCATGACCTCCTCTTGGGTAGGAGGCAGTCGCTCGTTCTGTAAATCGACCTTGCGCGCATCTTCAAAGTTCGTGATGGCTTGCTTAATGCCCTCCGCTCCCAACATCAAAGTACCCGCGGGAAGACGACCGCCGGCCGCGGTCTTGAGCTCAGTAACCCGCTCGGACTCCTCACGTAGCACCTGGAAGACACGCGACAGACGGCCAATGGCCAGAATCTTGTTCTTGATGGCGCGACGCTTGAACTCGCTACTCTCCACGTCCATCTGCGCCGCGGGTGGTGACGAGGGCGCGGTGGGTGATACGGATGTGGGGGTCTCTTCTTCAAGCTCCTCTTTGGAGCAAGTGTTAAGGATCGCGATCAACATATCTGTAATCTTCTCACCAACGAAAGGAAGAGACCAGGTAAAGACGTCCATGAAGTTCGGGAGCCAGTACGGGTGGGGAGTACAGTTGAACTGTCGGATGTTCATGACGTTGTTCTCATACTTCAGCACGGCGGCCTTGTTGTTGTAAACGTCCAAGTAGTTGGGTGCGCTGAAAATGGTCATGACACTAGGGAAACCCGTCGTCCGAGTCTTGCGGTACATACGATAGCCCGCGTCTTGGGCTTCGTGCGCGCGAATGATGGAGAGGAGGTTGTTCTTCTCGAGGAAGGCGCAAGCAGCAGGATACGAGAAGAAGTACGAGCAGCCTCGCACACTGTTGTGAATGAAGTAGTCCCCTGTCTTCTCTTGTCCAAACTCTTCCAATGGATCAGCCCAGAGGATGTCACACATCAGGCCGTGGGTCGGGGGTTCTCTGAAGCGGTCGATCTGAGGAGAGCGCATTAGCTAGTGCTTCGTAGTATGGCCATGAGGATTACATACCGCCTTGATATCTTCCAAAGTATGCAACTCAGGGCTCAAACCACCGTGGATACACAAGAACTGCTTGTTCATGACCGCGGCTAGCGGCAACGAGCAGAAAGACTCGATGCAAGCCTCATAGATGCGCTCGCTGTACTTGTGCTTGCACTCCAGTTTAAAGGTGAAATAGTCCGTCAGATGCCTACATTCGTGATTACCCCGCAGCAGCCAGAGCGTGTTTGGGTACCAGATCTTCAGGGCCCAGAGGTACAGCACACACTATCGAGGAGAGTCAGACCGAAGCGGCTGGTAACAGTGGCAAGAAGAACACGTACCTCGATACTGAAGTATCCTCGGTCGACATAATCACCGAGGAAAAGATAACGGGTCTCGGACGGGTCGCCACCGACTTCGAAGAGCTTCATTAGATCGTAATATTGACCGTGGACATCTCCGCACACGGTGATGGGCGCATCCATCTCCAGCAGGTTGGGCTCAGCTCTGAGCAGCTGTGTTCCAGCTTGTATGATCCATAGCGCTTGGTCCTCCGTGAGACGACCTTCCCGATAAAAGTGCTGTTTGAGAAACTGGAGGTTGGGCTTGGAGGGGTCCTCGGGAGACCAGAACTGATCGTCCGACGGGGTGTTCAACGCCGGCGCTTGCACCTCTAGACGGTCACCAAACGATTAGTCGACCAGCTTTGTGCAGAGGGGCCAACATTGTTGGTAAGAGAATGAACAAACCTTTGATGACACGCTCGAGGGTGGACACCTGAGTGCCATCTTCCATGACATGTAACGTGAAGTCGATCTCCGGGACCGGCTTTTTCTCCGTCACCGCACGAGCGATGTTGCGATCCATGGTGGTTGAGGAATTCGAGGCACAGAAGGGGTTAGATCTTAGGCCAGGAAGAATCGCAAGCACGTTGTGCCCCGGAGGATGAAGAGAGGCGAGGGGAAAAGGGGAAGGGCGACAGCGCGGAGGCCAGTTGTTGGTGGGGGGTTAAGCGCGGGATGGGGGATTTCCCAGCCGAGACACGAGAGAGTAAGAAGGATGATGAACAGTGGCAAGGTCGAGGCGACAAGGATGATCTCGGGGCCAAAAGAGAAAAATGTAGTGTGGAGAAAAGAAACCCGATAACAGGGTCAGGAAAGAGGAGTAAGAAGAGGGGGAAGTAGTGGACACTAAAGTAGAAAGAATTTTAAGGATTTAACGATCTTACTACTTATATCAGATTGGGGGGGGTAAGAGTGGGAATTGAAGGCCTAGCCAGTGCAGAATAGGAGAGAGAAAGAGGGTCACTTGAGACACTCAGACAATACAACAAGTGACACTGAACAAGAATCAAGATAAATAAGCAAGAGGGGTACGGAATAGTTATTATACAATCAAGGAAAGCTGTCAGACGAGCTGAAACCGGGTTCCGTTCCTCTCGAAATCGAATAGATTGAAGATGAATTGATAGATAACAACTTATTAGGATAATAATTGGATTCATTCAGCTGCAATTCGACGTCAGACCCAACAAACCGTATTTACAGGTAAGCTTCAGCCGCGGTCGGGGATTACCGCGCCGTGACGGTCCCTGTAACTTTGCTGCTACTCCATCAAGGCGGGGAAACTCCCATGTCGAGAATACAATGCCGATTCGGGTCATACTCCTCCATTAACTCTCGATCAGAAGAACCACTTCCTCTGTACCTTCCTGAAACACTAACCACATTGATATATCTCAGCACTTATCATCAAGATGTACGAGTCCTACCGTACGTACCCCTCCCTCGCCATTGATCTATCATCATCGTCTGACCTCGATCTAGGCCCTCACCCTCTTCTAGCCCAAGTCCCTTTGACCGTCTCCCCATTCATCAATCTACCCACCACCGTCACCCTACCCTATACATACAAGTCGGTCCCGTCCACAATTCCTCCCTCCGTGACCGTTGACCCCAGTAACCCCGACATCAAGACCCGCTACGTAGTCTCCTCCAGCGGGGAGCACGCGGCCTCGCCCGAGGAGATCCTCGCCTCGTGCAACGCCCTCGAGCAGCACCTGAACAAAGCTCGCAGCGACGCCGAGAAAGCGATACGCGATTGGGAGGAATCGATCGCGCAGCGTGACTTGGCCGAGAAGCGACGGGTCGCGCCTGGATGGCTGGACCGTGATGAGAAACTTCTCCAGCCGCTCAATGCGGCCGGGTCGGGTACGCGCGAAGAGAATCAGTCGAGCTTGCTGGACAGCTCGTCGGCAGCTGATCCGAGTGCTGCTGCCTTGCCGTCGATGGTGCCGCATGATGAGGGGGAGGAGCTGGATCGGGCGTTTGGGGGATTGAATGTGAAATGAGGGGTCGCTACTTGAGTCACGACTTGCTTGTTAATACAAGCTTATCGACGGGGACTCTGTATACCAAAGATACCCAATACAACTCGATGCTCTCGACGAGGTCAGTGTGCGATGGTGTTCGCACGGTGGGACAACCAGAGGTCCCTTACGCGGCGCGCACGGGAGACAGCTTCGATGCTCCGCATCAAATGCGGTCGACTCTGGATTCATACCATCAACGCATAAAATGGGTTAATCTGGAAGTCGCGCATGCGCATGTGAATGAAACAAACTGGGATGATTTCACAGTTCACTTGGCAGTTCTGAGCGAGAGAGCCAGAATCAAGTTCAGCGAAGGCGTTCACCGTGGGAGTATATAGAACTACACAGCGAGAAGCAAAGTCATATTCCGACGAGCACAAGGGGTTTGACCGACACCCTTGGTATAATAATATACTTGCATAGCTATTAGTACACAAAATAAATAAAAGCCACTGGGACCCAGCACCAGGACTGTGACGCAACCACTAAAGCCCGAAGAGTCGAGACAGAAGCTCCTTCCGCCAGCGGCCCGCAGCAGTAATAAGCTCCGACAGAGCTCCGCGCCGGAACCAGATCTTATCAGTTTTCAATTCACCTCCCCTCCGTCCGTCCACTTTGCATTCTCAACCACCACCATCACACCTCACTCCCACCCTACAGACCCAAACACCAAACCAAAAATGGAACCCCTAACCACAGCCCCAGACACAACAACCTTCACCCCCCTAGCCGAGCACCAATCCCGCACGCCAAGCTCCTTCCACTCAGGCCCAGCAATCCTGCACTACCACAGCACGAACTGCAAACTGGTAGTGCTCGAGCGCGACCTCCACGCTCACGCAACCCTGCGCGCCCTGCAACCCAACACGAGCACAAACGGCGAGCATGCGCTTGCGCCTACATCTACGACCTCAGCCGAAACAGCATCCACCCCCGAAAAAGAGGTTACGGTAGCCGGCATCAGCGTCTGGGTTACTTCCGAGTACGTCTGCACCTCACCCCCCATCCATGACCCCAAAACTAACACACAAGGAAAGCAAATTCCTCCTCTACTCCCCCACAGCAACAGCAGGGCTGCAAATCAGCTACCCCTCGATCTCTCTACACGCCATCCAACGACTCCGACTCCCAGAAGAAGGCCCAGAAGGAGACGAGCACCAAGGGCTATACATGCAGATCGCCACGCCATCCGCGGGGGGTTTCTCCGCCGATGAAGACGACGAGGAAGCATGCACGATCATGACTCTCGTTCCGCCTGCGCAGCAACAACAGCAACAAGCCTCCGCCGCCGCCGATGACAACGCAGAGAAGTCCGAGGGAGCAGGAGAAGAACACGAACTAGAGACACAGACGCCCACTCAGGCGCTCTACGCGGCTGTCTCTGCGTGCTCGAATTTGCATCCTGATCCTGTGGAACCTGGTGAAGAAGGGGAGGATGATGATGACGAGATGGGGGATGGAGGAGACAGTGCGTTGTTGCAGTCGGGGTTGATTGCTATGGGGAACGGGGAGGGCGGCTTGCCTCCGCCTGTGGACGGGAGCTCCGGGTGGATTACCGCCGAGAATATGCACGAGTTCTTCGATGAGGATGGGAACTGGATTGGTGGGGGCCAGGAGCCGACGTTGTCGCTGGGTCCCGGGGCCGGGACTGTGAGACAGCGGGAGGATGGAGAGGACGGTCAAGAGGATGAGAATGTGGATGGAGGTGATGAGAGTGAGGAGACCAAGTGGAGAAGAACGGACTAGACGAAAGAGCCACGATGAAGACAGGCGCTGTCTAGGACAGACGCTCAAAGCTAATAGGATAGTCATAATAAATCGTGATCGTGGGATAATGAGATTAAGGGAGTCCGTTGCATTGGCTGTACTATTAAACTTGTATTATATATTTATCCTACCTACGACTACTCGTGACAGTGGATGGATATCAATGAAACGCCCGCGCGCTAAGCAAAACCCAATGCGAGACCCAAGCAACAGCCGAAAACGATTTTTATGGTCATCTAGCCATAACTGGATTGGAGCGTCTACTCCTTCAAGAACCCGTCGCCGTCATACAAACTAGCTGGAGTGGCAGCACCGATGCCCAAGCCAACGGCCCTTCTCGTGGGGGTCTTCGGTTCTTGATTGGACCGGTTGTTGCTCGACTTGGCCGGTGATCGATCACCAGGGCCCTGACTGTTTGTCCTTTCGACGCGCTTCTCCGCCAATTCATCGGGGTGATCGGCCGTTTCCTTAACTAGGGATAATGTAGGCTTGGGTGGTGCTTTGAGCTCCGGCGGCCTGTCTTCCCAGATGGAGACAATGCCCCCGGTTTGCATGATCGGGGACTTGGGGTTGTTCCCTGGTGGCGGAGGACGATGTTGAGGTCTGTGCTGTCGCAGGGATTGCGTTGGTTGCTGTTTGGCGCTAGGGGGAGGATTCGAGCCTGGGGAAACTTGACCAGCCTGGTCTTGGTTCTGTGGCGGGGTTGTCCGCTGGGTATCGCCTTTCGGTCGCTGGGCTGGCTCGGGCGGTTTTCGCGCCGGATCTTTGCGCATTTGAGGAGGGCGAGAGGTGGTTCGTAATGACAATTTCGCATTGTCCTCCAAGGGCTGAGACTGACGGTAATTGCTGCGCATTTGACGGCCTGGCTGGTTGCGCGGCCCTTTAACAGTCGAGCGACGTGGACTGCCTGGACTGGACATGTTCTCATAGGTTGATGGGGAACTGGCATGGCTGGACATCATCCAGACAGGGCTACTCGTTTCTGGAGAAGGGGTGTTGAGCAAGCTGGTGTCAATTTTGGGAATTGGCAATGTCGTGACAATTTCTGGTAAGGATTTTTCAGCATCAATCATGCTCAGCATGCTGTCTGTTGAGTCGCCGCGCGTATGCTTTCGCTTCCTTGGGGTACCTCTGCGTGAGCCACAATGATCGTCCGAGACATCCATCCCCCGCAGGCGATCGTTCTGTTGGGATTGCTGAGCATTCTTACTCGCCGGCAGGCCAGAGAAATTCGAGTAGAGGGATATGCTAGATGCTGACAGGTCAGCTACCTGGGAACGACGAAAGCCGCCCTCCTCAATGTCTTCCGGCTCCTCGGCAGTCGGAGAGAATACAGGCCCGTTGAAGGTGACGGGTGGGTGAATCGATATCCGGACACAATTTTGACGCCGATGGCCTTTACGTATGCTGTTTCCACTTCTCATTGCAGATGTCAAAGGTGGCTTTCCAATGCTGTTCATGGACTGCATAGAGGACTCTTGTGTAGCTGAGCTGGCCGGTCTATTTCTGGAGGCGGCTTGCCCGTTGGTATTCGCCGCGTTAGTAGGCCCGATGTAGAAGGGATCGTGACTTCTTCGCTGTTCTGCGTGCATTGGACCGCGCTGCATTTGACTGAAGTGTGGCAGCAAGGCCGCGTTTCGTCCAGCGGCATTGAGTAAGGGTGCATTACTCAGATCCCAGTGTTTGACACTCGAGGCCGAATCATGCCGAGAATGTCCCACGGAGACAGATTCACAACGTCGCGGTGGCGGACTGCTCCTATCTACCGGGGTAGGGCTGCGTGCGGTTAAACTGCGACGTGGTGAAGTACGACCTGACTCAACCTTCTGGCCTTCCCAAACGTTAGAGGGCGTAGGAGGAAACACAAACGGAGCTGGCACGACTGAGCTCGGTGTCACAAAGCTACGTCTGTCAAATTCCAACCTTCCAACATCATTGGCATCGAAGGGTGTAAAGGTCGGGCAAGGAGGCAAGGCCGGAGAAGTGAAGTCACTGTCGATGTTGGTCGATGTCCTTCGGCTTTCGTCGAGAATTGAGCTGTCCGCTGTTTCCAGACTCAAGGAAGAGAAACAAACGGAGTCGTTCTTTGACAAACGGAAGCGATTTGGAGGATAGGCACAAGGTGGAGGAGGTACTGGCTGCTCCGGCATCGTCCCAGCCGTCTGCGCCGTGATGCTTCCGGCCCGGACTCGGGCAAAGGGTGGATTGATTTCATCTGCGTTATCCTCCAAAACCGGATACAGGCTTCCCGAGCGTTCTCGTGAGTGCATCAAGGGCCATGCTCCTGAAATGGGACGCATAGTGAGCTCAGCACGCGGATATTCCTCATCTCTCTCTGGTGTGTGCCTCGGAGTCGTCTCGGTAGGCAATTCGACCGCTCCGTCAACAGCGGAATTTGACAATCGCTGATTCACACAAGATACCGACGGTGATGATGAATAATGCTTTTCGTATCTCTCTGTCAGTGGTGGGAGAGAGCTGAGGCGTTGTGGTAATAGGAACCCCCTCGACGCTCGCGAAGAACGCGTAGACAAAGAACGGGACATTGGCCGACGCCCATCGCGTGCCTTTTCATTTCGAGGGGACGAGGATTCCGAGTCGGCTGGAGAAGTGGGTAGACTTTCCCGAGACGAAAGCACTCCCCATTCAGATGGTTTTCCGTACGGAAGTTGGCCATATTGTCTGAGTGCTGAGCCTTCTTCTCGGGAGAGTTCAGTCAACGTCTCAGCTTGGTAGTGTTGCAAGCCATATTGACCGTGTTTGGCATTTGCCACAGCCAGCGACAACCGATCATGGCGTACTCGAACCCATATGACTGTCCCGACGACTGCAGCGACGATGAATAGAACCGAACAGCTGACGGCAATCGCGATCACAGTGGTCAGTGGCGGCATGGCTGTATCCTCTGTGCGATTTCCTGACTAGACCCGACCAACCCTGTGCTGTGAATGTCTGAGAACGCGTTGGCCCATCCAATAAGCTCAGGCTTGGGTCATACTCTGGTCAAGGCCGTGGTTGATGCTGGGACGAGGTTGAGCAGCGTTTAGGCACCCAGCAAGACAACGAACTGCAAGCCACGAACACACCAACACAGGATGGAAGAACGAACAGGGAGCATGTTGGATAAGGAGGGCATAGAATTGGGGGGCAGGGAGACCTCGTTTGTTATGGTCCACCCGATGAGGCAGAAGAATGTGTAGAGCATAACAGTCGGAAGCGTGAGGAATGTAGCAACAACTGGTCTTTGTCGGTCCTAAGCAAACATGAGGAGTCGAAGGAGCATGTTATTCGTAGAACCTAATTCAACTATCTATTTTGTGGAATATTTCTACCTGCTGGTTGAGTGAGGATGCACATAGTGACTGGCAGTTGCCGCAGGTTCGGGGTTTCTCGCTGCCATCAGACGGTGATTGCCTGAGGTGCTGGAGAAGATGTGTCAATCGATTTTCTCTGCCATTTCAGTGCATACTAATTCTTAGTCTTTGGATTCACCCTCTGGCTTCATACAATATTCATCGAATTTGTTACCTTGGCCCCGCATGTTGACCTAGGTGGGTGTGTATCCCGCAGCGTCTCCACTGCGGAGGGGGAATTCATGATTCGGCTGACTATGCGAGCTTCCCATTGCAATGTAAGACAGTGAGTGCCAGAGAAATTGACACCCTGGTCTGATCGAGTGAGAGTCACAGGTGTCATGGAAGAGTAGCAGATTGTATATTCGATTCGAGGAGCGGTTCTGTTTCCTTCGTTCTGAGTCTTGCTCCAGTCAAGTCGGGACGGGAGGACGCGGCGGGTCACGGGTCAAAGGCTCAGGGCACTGCAGGCTGTTGTTCTTGCCTAATCGGGAAACCAGCATCACGGGACCGCTTCGGATCTTGAGAAGTTGAAGTCAAAGAATGATTCCATCTCTTCGGGTTAACTGCGGTAAATAAGGTACTAAGTACGACTAAGCTGCTACCATCGCTCTGAGTCTTTCAACACTACTCCCTACTTGCCTTATATCATACACTCTTTAGGGAGCTCGGAAAAGCTCCGGCGGACCTCAGGACGGTTACGCTCCACCGCCGGAGCTGGTACGGCGGTTCACTTCCGGCGGACTTGAGAGACCGAAGTCTGTATGACCCCCACGCTCTGAGATCTCTCGCGATCATTTCCGAGTCCGCCGGAGCCGATGCGGTATGTACTCGTACATACTAGCTTTCTTCTTCATTCCCCCTCCAATCCTCCTATCCTTTCTCTATCTACATCATACTGCCTGCCTTCATCTCGTCATGATTCTGATGACAGGTCTGTGTAAACCCTCCAAAGTGCAGGTTGACACCCGCTCCATCCGCTGGAACCAGACAACGGGGATCCGAACAACACAATGACGGATCCACGGGGCACTTGCTGTCATGCAAACTCTCTTCTGTTGTCGGTGTGCGGCCCACCGCGAGCCGTTCGAGATCGGGGATGGCAAAGCGTCATCTCTATCTGTTGTAGTGGACCGATGCGTAGTCGAAGGGGAAGACTGCACCTCGGTCTTACGAGGCCATGAGCGACAGAAACCCTCAAAGATTCAGAGGAAGACAAATCAGTCTCTCAACTGGGTCCGACTGCTCCAGAGTGGATTCGTTAGCTATTAGCTCCATCCGACTCGCAATCACGACGGTTAGTGGTGTGTATACTTAAGCTCCAGTCCAGCATATAAACCCCCCTTGAGAGCTAGCTGCACCCCAGCTTCTATCTTTCTCCTCAATTCATCTTGTGTGCACTGCTCCCATTTCTTCCTTTGTTTCCTACACAAGACCTCCTCACAATGGCTGCCAGCCCCATTCGGAATGGACTCTTCGTCCACGATAACACTACCCCACCGGCACACCCTAGCTTAATGCAGATGTTCTCTCTGAAAGGCAAGACTGCCATCGTCACGGGTGCCACTGCGGGCATTGGGTTTGCCGTAGCCAACGGGCTGGCGGAAGCCGGTGCCAATGTGGCCATTTGGTATAATTCCAATGCCAAGGCCCACGAAAGCGCAGCTCAAATCAGCGAGAAATATGGGGTTCAGAGTTAGTGGTCGAATGTCATCTAAGAGAGAGTACTGAGGTGACCGGCTAACTCTCTATCAGCCAAAGCATATCAAGTTCAGATCACGGATCCCCAGGCCGTGCAAGAAGCGGTCGACCAGGTTGTGAAGGACTTCAACGGCCGACTAGACGTCTTCATCGCCAATGCCGGTGTCGCCTGGGTGAAAGGGCCCATGGTCGATGCTCCTTTGGATCACTACGAAGACGTGGTTGGCGCCGATCTCAACGGCACCTTCTATTGTGCCCGAGCTGCCGCCAGCCATTGGCGCAGACAGAAGGAGGAGGGCACCGATGTCTTCGGCAACAAGCTCGAGAACTTCACGTACGGTAGCTTTGTGGCTACGGCCTCGATGAGCGCGCATATTGCGAATATCCCCCAGTTGCAAGCGGCGTATAATGCCGCCAAAGCGGGGGTCATTCATCTTTGTGAGTGCTGTTGTCTAGCCTGGCTGTTCCTCGTCGGTTCAATGCTAACGCCCTCCCGCAGGCAAGTCTCTGGCCGTCGAATGGGTCCGGTTTGCGCGCGCCAACACCGTTTCCCCGGGATATATTGTGACGGAGATTTCCAATTTTGTTCCGGCCGAGACTAAGAGCATTTGGAAGGATAAAATTCCCATGGGTCGCGAGGGTCGGCCTGAGGAGCTGAAGGGAGCTTTCCTGTATCTGGCATCCGATGCGTCCAGCTACACGACGGGTGCCGATATCCTAGTGGACGGCGGGTACTGTGCTCCTTAAACATGTGTATTGGCAATAGAGTCTTTTCTTTCACCTTCCATACTGTCGAACTTGATGGCGACGTGGGAAAGGTGGAATCCTTGGCTGAAAGGCGATTGCTAGGTATTTACACCGGCCATCTAAGATGGCGAGCGGTCTGACGAACCAGTACCGGATCCCTGTCGCCTCGCAAGGAGAGCTACATGCTCGATGATAACGAATCACATAGAGTTTAACTTGTTTCTTCTGCAAGGCTCCTCATAAGCAAAATAACACCACACCGACCCACGGACCGGTAGTCCAACAAGTAGAGGCACCGACCCTGGGACCACAAACACAAAGGACATCAGGATCTGGCACGAAGCCATGCAGTCTACACACAGATACAAGAAAGTAACTGACCGCGGACCGCAATCGCTAAAACGACACCCAAGTGTTAAGAAAGCGCGTCCCAATCGATCAATATCGCTAAATATTTATTCCCATGGTAACATCCATCCCATGTGGCCGTCATTATATGATACAGTAAGAAACGAAAAGTTAATCTATGCACCGCAACCAACATCGACCCCATCCCCATCCCCACGAGCACCACCACCCGACCCAACCCAGCCCATAGTCTATCCATGCTGAGTTCCTCTCAACGCCCCCAAGCCAACTCCTCATAATACCTCACCACGCATTCGACCCCCCGCTCAAACCACGAGCCCATCCCCTGCTCGCCACCACGCCCCCTAAACTCCATCTCACGCTCCCACCGCGGCGAAGGCGGGACCGTCCTCCGCTCAAAGACATGTCCATAGAGTAGCGCGGTCTGCGGATCGAAGTATCTACTCAAGGGTGTAGCGGGGGGAACGGAGTCGGGAAGGGCTCGGAGCTCCTCCGGGTGGTGGGCCGTGATCTGTGTGTTGTGGGATTGCGAGGAGGTAAGACTGTCTCTGCGTTGGGACTGAGGTTAATTATTTGCGGGGCTATAGCTTGGTTGCCCGGTCTCTTGCTTCGGCTCTCTCGAGGGGGGGGATTCATGGTGGAAGGGAGGGGCGATGCGGGAGTTTGAGGATGGTCTTCTACGTAGAGTATGGTACGCACCGGTGGGAATCGTCGATTGCGAGGGGGAGATAGTGGTCTTGGGTTAGGTTGTGTTGGCGTTGGTGATGCCGGCGGCGGCGGTAGTAGGTGAGGATGGGGGTTTGGAGGCGGTAGAGGCAGAAGATGAAGGAGAGGATGAGGCAGATGAGGGGGAAGAAAGGGAAGGAGCTTGGGGGGAGCATTGTCCCCGGTTTGCTTGAGAGGATGTATTTTCTCAATTCAATGTGAGTGAGGTAGGTAGTACTACTAGTAGCGGGTGTGATGGTTTCGAGCCGGGGTGTTGTTACCAATGTCAACACGGGAGTATACATATCTCTAAGGCAATGTGCCTTGAGCTACCTCATTGATCACCACCCACGATCGCGTAGGAACCCTGGGAGCGAAACAAACGATGAATACTCTTGGCTCTGTCATACTTGCGACTGAAGCAGCTGGTAGCATGCTTCACCGTCGAACTGTACAGTACAGTGCATACGTAGGAGAATTCTGCTGCGTGGGGTATAGAATAGTAAAATATGCCCCCAAACGTCGAGAATAGGGAAAGACATTAGTCTTGCCCATGGCGTACCCTATTCTCCTTTCTCCTTGTTTTCCTTTCTTGCTGATTTTCTGTTGTGAAACCATAGTAGGTCCAGCTAGATAGAGACTAGCCCGGCAGAATAACAGTCTAAAGTGTCCACAATAGTCTAGTTTCCCCAACCTGCCATGATGCAAATAGCTGGATAACTCACTTCGCCAGAGTACAGCGAATTCCAATCCTACGAGAGGCCTTGAGCCCAGGTCCACCTTGGTATTCGAGTCAGATGAGGCCAATTCATCCCATTTCAATATCTCTCTTTGCTTAGGCGTCAATTGGATCGCGCCCAGCTACGGCCAATTCTGCGCAAGCCCTGAACAACAATCTAATTCTATCCTAAACCCCAGAAAGAATCCTTTGACAAGGAGATACAAAAGCACAAGTTGACCCTGGTTTTGCTAAAATTGTGGCAACATTAAGAAAAGGAAGGAACTTTCTGGTTCAGGGAGCCAATTTCGCGTGGCAGAGAGCATGGCTCATCGAATGAGCTCGAACTAACGGTAGGGGTGTAGCCCAAACGAAGCAGTCACCGCGTAAGTAGAACCGTCGCGTTTCCGATCTCGCGATTGTATGCAGTCGCTGAAAAGGTGAGTCTCGGGGTTGGACGATCGAGGAGTCTCCACTGAATATCAGTATGGATGTAGTATTGATTCTGACCATTGATTAAACACGCCGGTGACAAATGCCATGGAATATTCTCTGGAGAGCAATCTAGAGTGCTAACCATGACACCATCTAGACAAAGAGAGGCACTGTTAATATAGCGACATCTAATAGTAATGTCCGGGGAGAAGGAGAAAAGGGGACTCACTGGTAGGTTCTGTCTCACTGTCTCGCGGACGTCGGAGAACTTTGATTCTCTTCAATAGGTAATCGCCTTGCTGGTGAACTAGTCTTATCTCGAAATTCTTTTTCTTGTTGGGTTTGACTCGATCATTTTGCTGGCCTGCGTTAGAGATACTCTATAAGAAGAAAACAGATCGTGCACAATCGAAACAACTAACCATTTTCGCAAGCCAGTGCGTCTTGTACTTAGTGGCAGAGTGCACTTCTTGCGTTGCGGGGATTTCGGCACTCTCCAAACCGTAGTCACCCACGGCACTTTTGAAATATTCACACTCAATACCATACCAGGTCGCACCCATCGAGACCATATCTGAGCTAATGATGTATAGGATTTTTAGCTTTCTCTCCTGTTGAGACGTGGCTTGAGTTGCTGGCGGATACTTACATGTATGTAGGTACGTATACGCCGCTGTAGTATCTGCCCAATTCGCGTGTCAATCGGCAGTGCAGATAAGACTGCCGTCCACTAACAGCTTGGTACACAGGAAATTGGGATATCTAGAGTGTGCCTCAGGGCCCCAGAGAACCTGACCATCTTCTGTATAGGCGATTTTTGAAGGTACCTCGCTAGTGTTTTTGTCTGTAATAAAAAGTTTCCGGATCTGGGCGAAAGCTGGCTGATCTCGAGTCAACGGATAGTAAGTCACGCCTGGTTCAGCTGGCTTAGCTTTATTCGATCAACATCTGCGATGATTAAAATATGCAGTACTTACGCGTCTTCGTCGTGCCAAAATCTATGCCGACGAAGATCTTCTGCGTGGGCTTATGTCTTGCGTCCATATCCTACACGCCAATTATAGCGGCAAGGGAATGTTGGTTTATTCAGAGGTAGAAGCCAGAGAAACGTAGCTAGAAAGATGGAAAGATGTGGTGAAGCAGCGGTCGGAGCGATGAAGCAGACAAGAAAGCTTGCTCAGGATTTTTGTGTTGAGTGAATGGCTGTAAACCCTCAGCATCAATTCAGATCATTATATAAGCGAATCTGGTGAAGGCCGTCGTTTGTTGCCTGTCACACAAAGGAATAATGGAACAAAGGAGAGCCCCTCGTCTCTGTCACTCCTTCCCAACTTCTTTCTCTCACTTCTACCTCCCATCTGATTCTCATTTCCTGTTTAACATCCAACATCTCTTTTATGTACCACTATTATGCCCGTAACCCGACCCAGTGCGAAGAGTGCCGGAGTGAAGAGTGAGAAGAAGAAGAAGAAGAAGAAGAAGAAGAAGAAGAAGAAGAAGAAGAAGAAGAAGAAGAAGAAGAAGAAGAAGAAGAAGAAGAAGAAGAAGAAG